TGGTCACGATTTGGACTATTCGGGCTTGGCATTTATTCGCTGAAAACATCAACTCAATTTGAAAATGGCACAATCCGACCCCCTCTTAGCTTTGCCTTATACAGGTTCGACTCTTGACATTACCAACGGTAGGTCCAGCCGGCAAAAAATATGCGAAATGGCCCGAGGAACAGCCCTTACAGCAGATCGGGAAACGCGTCCCCGTCGAGAAGCTCGAGAAGAAGACCAAAAATGCAAGCTTAGGCAAGCATAAACCCCAAGGTCCGTGGAAGAAGAAGCCTTTTTTTCATTTAAGCGACCAGAAGAAGAATTGCGTGTAAACCTTGCCTTCCGCTGCACGTGTCTGTCTCTCTGGCCTAGAAACCGCTTCGTCAGCCAAGATGCTTGGGAGACGAAGAGGGATTGCGACGACGATGATCGCCAAGCCTTTTGTTGCGTGCCGTTGACTCTTCTTGGAATGGCATCAGAGCAGTGTCGGTTGCAAATCCGCTGTGAAGAAGGAGATATCGGTAGACCCGATACTGGCTCGATTGGATCGGGTCCACTCTTCCGCACTTAGGTTCATCACGGCTCGGTCCCTTCCCCTAACCATCCCACGCTCGGTGCTGCTGCTGCTGCTAACTCGATCGCACTCGCTTTACTCGATCCAAACAGTCAATCTCATATCTCTCATACAATCGCAATTGCAGACACTATCGACCGAACCTCTGCTCCATCTTGCCCAACTTTCTCAACGCCGCCACAAACTCTCCTCCGCCATACCCCGCTTTCCGCGCACCCTGATCGAACAGCAGATCCGTCACCCGCAACGGCCACGCCGGAAACCCGTACAGCTTCTTCACTCCTCCACCACGTTGCTGCTGCGCTCCCCACACCACGAGCAGATCCGGGTCGTCCAGATACCCTTCCCGCAGCAGAGCCTCGTCCAGCTGGCAAACGCTGAGCTCCGAGGTGAACACGTTGCGCTTGGCGATCCACATTTTGCGACACGACGACGCGGAGAACCGTTTCGTGCGAGAGGCTGCCATGTCCGGGAGGAGCGTTGTGGAGAGGTACATCGATGCGAGGTTTCGGAGGTGTGAGCTGACGATCTCGGAGAAGCGTGGCTGACCGTCTCGGCTGTGTAGCAAGGTGACTTGGAGGTTCGATTCCGATTCCGGAGAATCTTTGGGAGAGGGAGAGGCATGCAGTCCGATGCGGATGTCGACGGTGGCAGCGGTGGCGTCTTGCGCTTCGTTGTCGGCGGTGAAGGAGGAAGCGAGTGTTTCGTCGAGCGAAGAGGGGCCTGCTTCCGAGTCGCTTGATGCTGGAGAGCCTGTGGATGAATCGCTCGACTTGCTCGCATTCGATCGTTTCCTCAACCCCGTATACCTTGACCACGAATCCATACCTCCGTCCGCCTCTATCCCCTCAGCACGAAGTGCCACCTCCGTCCCTTTCACGACAGCTTTGGTCTTGTACCCCACCCGCAGCGTCCCGCACAACGCCTCCACCGCTTCCATCGACATCGCCCCCGACGTGTACACGCTCACCTTCTCGACCCCACACACCCTCGCCAAATGGATCACCGCCGCCGCATCGCTCACCCTCTTCGCCTCCACAGCTGTCTCGTATCGCACCCTGAACTCGTTCCACATGTCTGTCTGTCGAGAACGTGTCTCTGGCTCCCGCATGCGCATGAAGAGCGTCGAGAGGTACAGTCGTATTGACGAAGGCGCCGTGTCGGCGAGGACGACAGCGAGGTGGGAAGGGATGCGTATCGAGTCTCGAGGTTGATCGTGTGCGGAGAGGAGGTCTTCGAGCGAGGTATATGATGCTGGGGGTCGGGTGGGTGGGCGTCGGGTGGCATTTTGTATCGAGGTGCCGGCTTGACGTGTGATGAGGATCAGGTGATAGGTGATGTGCAGCACGGCGAATGCAAGCAGCAGGATCGGTTTGAGAAGCAGATATGTTACACTTTGACTGCTCCCTGTCTTGCGTTCCGTCGCCGCGGACGTTGCTGCGTGTGTCCTCGAAGCAGCCATTGTCGATGTGGGACGAGAGCACCAATGCTCCGCCCGGAGCAATCTTGTCTCGCTGCCTTTTGTATGATCTTGGCGACGTCTCTTTGATACTACAGCATGTCCCCAACGTCGTCTTGATCCATTCCAGACCTTGTATCGGTGCGCAAAGCGGCTGTGCTGTAACGTGCTGTGGTCGATGGTCGTGGTGCGAAGAGTTGCACAAATCATCGAGCGCACTCTTCCACGTCAAATTCGGCAACTTTTCCGGCACTTCAACTCGGAATTCGGCACGGCAGCGCTCTTCCTTCTCGCACGTTTCAAGTTCAGAAAACGGCAGAAAGTGGAGGCACTGAAACAAGAAACAAGGGTCCAACCCTTGTCCTCACCATCCAATCACTCTGCGACATCAACCACACACTCACGACGTCGACGTACAGCTTTGCTCCTAGACATACACGGCCAGCGCATACAAAAGGTCAGCCGTGTATAAGGATGCTGCCTCCGGGATTGGCTGCTTCGTGGAAGGCAGGTCTGCGGCTCGGATCGACGTCTTTACTCTTCACGGCAAGCGCCGCTGCCTCACCTCGATGTGCTACCCCAACCATACTTTCTCTCTCAAGATCTAGCATCGACACTCGCATCCCATCACATCGACCGCTGACCACTTCGAGTAACATCCTTGCCCGACTGGCTCCCCTCGCTCGGCGGCGAGACCCCCTCGCACGATCACACCCCACTCCTATCTCCCCACCGCCACAAGACCTCGACCCCATCCATCCGTATCCACCACCATCATCCGCACACCAACCGTCCACCTCACGCGCGCTGCTCTTCCTCGTCGCATTCTCCACCCTCACCTTCACCTCGGCGGCGTACTACTCCCTCCTCGACACGCAGCGCATCGCCTCGCGTCTCCACACCTCCCGCGATGTGTTTTCCAACATCTCGAGCTTCTTCACCTCCTCGAACGATGGAGCTTCTTCTCGCTCGATCTGGGGTTCTGGGGTGGACGAACGTCGTCTGGCGGTGGCAAAGACTCAGGATACAGCGGAGAGACTCGGGTTGCGGATGGAGTGGATCATGCGTCGGTGCGAACAGCTCCTTCCGGAGCCCGTGTGCGAGGTTATCGGACGAACGTATTTGATTGTTGCGGAGAAGTATGTGAACCTTTCTCCATCGCAGAGGGCGGTTGTACCGGTGGTGGCGGTGAATACTTTGGTGTTTGCGATGTGGAGCGTTGCTTCGATCGGTAGACGAGGTGGTGGGGGAATGTTGGGTTGGATGACGAGGAACTTTGTCCATCGTCCGAGTGCAAATCGTAACCGAACCTTGGTCACCTCGGTATTCAGCCATCAGAACTTCTTGCATTTCACCTTCAACAACCTCGCACTCTGGTCTATCGGCGGTTCTGCCGTCTACCTCTCCACCCACCTCTCCTCCTCCTCCGCAGTGGAAGAAGCTTCACCCACCCCACACTTTCTCGCCTTTTTCGCAACAGCGGGGGTATTCGCCGCTACCGTTTCCCACATCGTCACCGCGGTACGCTTTAAACGCATTTCGGCGCTACACGGGGTAGCGTTTGCGAAGGAGACGCTGGGAAGACACGCGAGTCTGGGTGCAAGTGGCGCGGTGTACAGCGCACTGGTGATGAGCGCATTTGCATTCCCCGACGCCAAGCTGGGTGTAATACTGCTGCCGTGGGTGACGGTGAATATTGGTGTCGGGGTGGTGGGGTTGGTGCTGGTCGATGCAGTGGGTGTGGTGAGGGGGTGGAGGATGTTCGATCATTGGGCGCATTTGGCGGGTGCGGCGTTTGGTGCCGGGTATTGGTTTGGGGGAGCAGAGGTGTGGGAGTGGTTGAAGCGGAGGCTGGTGGAGAGGTTGAGGGCGGGTCGGGAGCTACAGTAAGGAGCCCGAGGTGGATGTGGATCTGTAGCATCGTCCAGCACTTCCACTGCAACAGGCTTCTCAGTCGCTCATCTTTCCCCCCACACATGCCTCCTCTATTCGCACAAACTTGCTACCGAACCCTCTGTGTAAAAGTACATGTTCTACAATTGCATTTCACCTTCCTCCTCAGGAGAACCTGCGAATATTATCCAACTCCTGCAACAAGCTATCCAACAAGGCATCGTCCCTCGTCGACAAGGTGGGGATCAAGGCTTTGGCCTCGTCGACCTCTGTGATGCACAGGTTGGCGAGTTGCGCCATTTCGAACTGCGTCAGCTGCAGTCCAGCATTGGCTTCGTCGTCGGGGATCTCGTTGCCTTCGTCGTCGAGCAGCTTGTCGTCTAGCTTGGCGTGTTTGAGCAGCAGCCTGGGAGGAGGGATGGAGGGGAAGAGTGGTGAGTGACGTGGAAATGGAGAAAAGAGGCTGGAAGGTGTGGGCGAAAGACTTACTCTCGGATCTCACGGATGGTGTTTGGGTCTTTGTAGCGGGAGAATTCGGATACGTAGTCTTTGGTTTTGGAGAACACTCTGTGGTGCAAACGTAGCGAGGGTTGGGCAAAGTGAACGAAAGAACTTGTCAGTTGTCGATTGCTGCAACGAATCGAGATTTCGGTAGGGAATGCCACTCACGCAGTCGCCACTTCGTCCCGACCTCCAGCTCCAGCGTCGTTCGCCATGGATCCGAGCGAGTCGGGCTGCGAGAACACCAGCTCGACTTCCGAAATGAGCAGGCATCCGACGTCGTCAAACTCTGCGATTGTGAATGCGCGGGAGTGGGAAAGTGTCAGTGTTGTCATTCGTCGTAGCTGGATAGGATGACAGCGAAATCTCACCTGTTCCGAGTTTGCCGATGGCAGCGTCTTCGTCCTCGATCATCCCCCTGTGTCGACGATCGCGGCCCAGATCGTGTGCTGCCGACATTGTTGCGAGCTCGTTGTGTGCGTGGTGCGGTGTGATCGCGGTTTGGAAGGTGCTCGAGCTGCGATGAGATCAATGAGGGTGCGCCGACTGACGGAGTGTTGAATTGGGCCTGACTGCTGATTGTGAGGGCTGATGTTGAGTCTGCGAGACGGGATGTTGCGAGGGTGATGGACGAGAGAGAGAGATGGAGAAGAAGAGTGATGCTCGAAATTGCGCACTTTGAGAGTGTGTTGGTTCGGAAGGATCGGGCACAAATCGGGTCGCGGCGGGTGTTGGACCCTGAGAAAGCTTCCTCGACACCGTCAATTGCTCAAAACCACCATCACCTCTGACCCCGTCCTCGCACACAACACACTTGCAGCACGTGGACAAGACAACGAGGATGCCATCATGACGGTCGAGCTCACCAACGGCCAACCCGGCCACGACATCCTTCCACCATCGCCCTCCACCGCCTCGCCCAACCTGACCTCGACCATCCACGCGCACCTGAAATCCATCACCTGCCTCGCCTTCTCCCCTTGCGGCACGCTGCTCGCGCTCGGCTCCTCCTCCTCGCACATCTCCCTACACTCGCTCCCCTCTCTCACCCACCTCCACACCATCACCACCTCCCACACCTCGGGCATCAACGACCTCACCTTCTCGTGCGACTCGCTCTACCTCGCCTCGGCCTCGGACGATCTGACCATCAAAATCCACTCGCTCCTCACCTTTTCCCCCATCCGCACCTTCGCCGATCACACGTCGTACATCCTCTGTCTCGCGTACAACCCAACCTCGACGCTGTTGGTGTCGGGATCGTTCGATGAGACGGTTCGACTGTGGAACGTTTCGCGCGCCAAGTGTCACCGCGTCATCTCTGCGCACAGCGAGGCGGTGACGGGCGTGTGTTTTAGCGGAGATGGGACGATGATCGCCAGCTGCTCGTACGACGCCACCATTCGGCTGTGGGATACCACCTCCGGCGCCTGTCTCAAAACGCTCGTTCATAAGGACCAGTCCCCGCTGGGAGGTGTAGTGTTCTCCCCCAGCAGCGCTCAACTCCTAGCCACCAGTCTAGACAGCACCATCCGAATGTGGGACGTGTACAACTCCAAGATCGTCAAAACCTACACCGGTCACCTCAACACCAAAATCCCCATCACTGCAAAGCTCACACGTTTTTTGCCCGAAGCAGCACAAAGCGCGCAAGAGGAACCTTGCTCAGCAGCAGTCATCACCGCTGGAGAAGACGGCAAAGTTACACTGTGGGATGTTCAATCGAAGAAGGTGTTGTGCCAGTGGATGGCTCACAAAGATACAGTCGTAGCCGTAGCACTCCACCCATCCCAAAAGATCGTGGCCACCGCTACTGTAGAACCGGAATGCTCCGTCAAGCTCTGGCACTTTCCACACACCACAAGCTGAATCCAGAACACCCAACACTGTACAACACTAGACTTTCATTTTGTCAATTCACATTCGTGCTTGCAAAAACACCTCGCTACATACACCAAAAGCCTCTCTTCCTCTCCGCCTTTTACTGGCTCTTGTTCTTCCTGCTCACACTCTTACCCCAAACATTCGCCTCCACCCTCCTCTTCTCCTCCTTACCCGCCAACACCTTGTAGTACACGCTTCGCAACAGCGTATCCACGGGCAAGAACATACCCACCCTCTTCTGGTAATCCCTGTACTTGGGGTACTTTTCCGCCGACACCTGTTCCGAGTACCTCGTGCTAGGCAAAAACAGCGCGTTCATGGCGAGAGGAGCCAGGATGGCGTAGTTGGCAAAGTTGGACCAGTGGGCTTTCGTAAAATCGAAGTCGGTGGGGAGGAAGGTCAGGGGCACAAAGGCGTACAGGATCCACCAGGTGGTCTGTTCGCACGCAAAGTTGGGGTGACGACTCCAGGCCCAAAGACCTTTGGTAACGAATCCACGCTGAGCGTCCTCGGGCGTAGAGTAAGGAGTGACGTTTTGCCTCTGGAGCGGAAGCTTGGTCTCCGGGTCGACGAAGGCGTTGGGAAGCGGCTTCTCCTGTGGGTTCTTTCCCCGCTTGTAGTTCTGGTAGTTCCACTGCTGCTGATCGGCGATGAACTGGGTGGTGAGGTTGAGCACAAACAGCGCGGCGAGGATGTAATCGCCGAGGATGAGCTTGTTGACGGGGTGCGGCACGGGCTCGGTGACGTGCTTGACCGAAGTGGTGGTGAGCAGCAGGTAGTTGGGCAGTGCAGTGATGGCCAGCAGGATGTTCTGGGCGATAGCGATGAAGAAGATCGAAAAAATCTCCCAGACAGGGCGGGACATGGTCTTGCGCAGCAGAGGCCATCGGTAGTCCTCCTCACCGGGCTTGAACATGCCCCTGCGGTAGGCGTTGTAGGTGAGCCTGACGGACCAGATCACGGAAAGTGTGGTCATGAGCGCCAGCCTAGGCTCGATCTTGTCCCAGATGGAAGCGTGCTCGACGCCTCGGAAGAGACTCAGCTTTGCGGGCTGGTAGGTAAAGTACTTGTGCACGGTAAAGTGGACCGAGTAGATGAGGGGCAGGAAGGTCCAGAGACCGTCGACCTGGGAAGCGTTGCCGGTGATCTTCTCCATGATCCACACGTAGAAGCTGACGACGCCGCAGAACGCCATGGCAGAGTGGAAGGGGTCGGCGTCCGCATAGTAGGCCTTGTAGGTGGCGAGGTTGGTGAGCGTGTTGGCGTTGCGGAAGTAGGCGGTGAACGCGGGGTAGAAGGAGCGGATGGCGGGAAGCAGGTGGGTGTTTGGGTCGAGGGCGGCATGAGCCCATTCGGAAGCGGTGCCCACCATGTTGGACAGGGAGATGCTTGTGAGAGAAGTGGTGGTGGGATGACAAGCGAGAGCGGATGGATGGAAATTGCAGATCAAGTGCGGAACAAGCGACACGGACGAGGAGGACGACCAAGAATCGATGACTGTGGGCTGTAAAGCCTCCACATGCTGCGCGTTTGTGTCACGCTTTCTACCTAGGAAAGCAGAATCGGCTCACTTTGCAGGTGCGGCGAATGCAGAATCATGCGGATGCAGAATGCGAACAAACGTGCGTCTGCAGCAGATTAGTTAATCGCGTGTCACGACAATAATGCAGATGTTAGACTGAATGTTGTTTCCCTCTAAAATGGTCGTGCATCACGTGCCACTGCCTCTCATCAAGCAGGAAAGGGTGCGCGTCGAGTTGCAAAGGTGCGTGTTGTTCTTTTCTCACTCAGTCAATCGGCAAATGCGAATGCGTCGATTCGGATGCACGAAAGCGCAATTCCGCCAAAAGATTGCTTTCCGCTGCCGATTCGATAATCGTCGTCGTCGTCGTCGTCACACTCACCACCATCCATATCACCGTTTGGCTTCGTTTCTGATACCCCAACCACTACGTGCGCACTGCTGCGCAATCCCTGCTCGCAGCCATGTCCAGCTCATCCTCCCTTCGACGCCAACCGTCGGCCTCGAACCTCACACGGCCAGTACAGCCACGCTCAAGAGCTCCCAGCGTCGCTCCTCCGGTCTCTTCATCAGGCGCTGCTCGAAGGCTCACCGTGAATGGAGCATCCCAGACTGCCTCTCGCTCCGCCTCCTCCTCTTCCAACAACGCTGCCGACGCAGGTTCAAAACGCACGGATGCAGGCGAATCCAACATTCAGGTCGTCGTTCGTGTCAGAGGTCAGGCTCCCAACGAGCCAAAACGCACAACACCCGGCATCCTCACCACCTCCGGTCCACGATGTCAGCAAATTGACGTCGCCATCGAACCCGCGCCCGTCTCTTCCTCTTCCGTAATGGCATCCTCGTCCAACCTCGTACAGGAGTCATCGACGCGTCAGAAGAGCTATCACTTCGACCAAGTCTTTGGTCCCGAGGCTGACCAAGGCATGGTCTACCAGGACGTCGTCGGCCCCATCCTCGAAGAGGTCATGTCAGGCTACAACTGCACCATCTTTGCCTACGGTCAGACTGGTACCGGAAAGACACACACAATGGAAGGCGATTTGACTTCTCAGATGGGCACCTACAGTTCCGAAGCCGGCATCATTCCGCGCTCGCTTTATCGTCTTTTCCATACCTTGGAACTCTCCAAGGACGACTATTCCGTGAAGGCTTCCTTCATCGAGCTCTACAACGAAGAGCTGCGCGACTTGCTCAGTCTAGAATCGTCAGCAGATGCCTCCTCTTCCGCTGCACCCGCAAAGGATGCGCAGCACGGTCTTCGAATGTACGACGATGCACGAGGAAAGGGCGTCGTCATCCAAGGTCTCGAGGAGGTCGCTCTCAAAGACGCCGCTCACGGTCTCACTGTCCTTCGACGCGGAAGTCAAAAGAGGCAGATCGCAGCTACCAACTGCAACGAACAGTCCAGCAGATCTCACGGCGTCTTCACTATGACCGTATTCATCAAGGACAAGGGCTCAAGAGGCGAGGATGTGCTCAAAATTGGCAAGCTCAACCTCGTCGATCTCGCTGGTTCCGAAAACATTGGGCGATCCGGTGCAGAGAACAAGCGTGCCAGGGAAGCAGGCATGATCAACCAGAGTCTGCTCACCCTCGGTCGCGTCATCAACGCTCTGGTCGAGAAGAACAGCCACATCCCTTACCGCGAGTCCAAGCTCACCCGTCTCCTGCAGGAGTCGCTCGGCGGTCGCACAAAGACTTGCATCATCGCCACCGTATCGCAGGAACGCGCCAACATCGAGGAGACCCTCTCGACGCTTGACTATGCACTGCGTGCCAAGTCCATCAAGAACCGCCCCGAGCTCAACACTCGAATGACCAGGTCGGCGCTCATCAAGGAGTACGTATTTGAGATTGAACGTCTCAAGGGCGATCTCCAAGCGTCTCGCGATCAGAACGGTATCTACCTCACCGAAGAATCGTGGAAGACCATGCACTCTGAGCACGAGGAGCGCAAGACGCTCGCCGAATCGCTCAAGCGCAACGCCGAAGTCACCGAAAGCAAGCTCAACAGCCTCAAGGAGCAGTTTGAGCAAAACATGCAGCTCCTCGTCAAGCGCGACAATGAGGTGAAAGCGGCCAAATCAGAATGCGCCGACAAGCTCGCCGAGCTCGAAGCCATGATCGCCAGGGCCAACTCGCTCGAGCTCACCGTCGAGCAGGAGGTGGCTCTGCGCAAAGCGTACATGGCTAGCGAGGCGCACCTCAACCAAGCTGCCACTTCGCTCGCCGACCTGGTGCATCAGAGCACTGCCGACGTTCAGGGTCTGTTTGACAAGTTGGAGCGCAAAACGGCGGTGGAGACGGCGAATCGCGCTCTGGTCGCAGAGTGCAGGAACGCAGTCTCGCAGCGAGCGGGTCAGCTCGAATCCAGTTTGACCAACTTCCACTCTGCAGAGGGTCAATTCCACGCCACGCTGCAGTCCAGCCTCGAGACGCTCGCCAGCAGCTCCGACACGCGTCACGAGGAGCAGCAGCAGTTCCTGCAGGCACGTCTCAAAAAGCTTTCAACATCTCTGCGGGATGTTCGATCGGGTCAGATGGAGTCCAAGGACGTTCTCACGGCACTGCTCGGCGAGCTCGATGCGACGGTCAACGAGATGCAGGCTGCGAGCGAGGCGAACCTCGGTTCGCTCAAGCAGACCTGTCGTGGTGCGATCAACGATGTCGTGCTCGCCAACACGCAGCGCTTTGCCCAGGTAGCCGCGTCCCTCGATTCCATGGTCCAGTCCCACGTTGCCACTCTGAAGCACGTGACGGACATCAACCTCTCCAGCCAGCAGCAGATCGCGCAGGTCAAAGCAGCTGCCGAAGCCGCCAACGCGCAGGAACTCGCCAGCCTGAGGGAGCAAAACGCCCTCTTGACGGCCACCGTCGACGAGATGAAGCGCAGCAACGTCTCGCTCAAAGCGGATCTCATGTCGGACTTTGGCAAACTCCTGGACCGTTTCACCGACCAGCAAGAGTCGGCCGTCTCGACATCCATCACTTCTGCCCAGGCGCTCGTCTCGCGCTCCACCGCCGCTTGCGAATCGCAGGCCGCCGAACAATCTTCCCGGCTTGACGCGCTCTCCTCCACGGCCGAAGAGACCGCCACCCAGCTGCACAGATCGCAGTCCGCGCTCGTCGAGCAGACCAGCGTCATCAGCACCGACGTCAGCCAGGCCAGTGGAGAGCTCGGCACAAAGATGGACGCATTCGCTTCCGCGATCGAAGACGATCTCTCCTCCACCACGCAGTCCACCTCTCGGGGTCACGAGGACATCTCGTCGCTCACAGAGAGGGTGAGGGAGGAGATCGATTCCCGAACCAAATCGCAATCGTCCAAGATCAAGGCTTGCAACTCGAAGCTCAGCGAAACGTTCGATTCCCTGGCGGAGAACCTCAAGACGTCCGGAGAGGAGATCGGAGAGGCGGTCAAGCAGGTCGGTGGCCTTGTGGATGGAAGACACGAAGAGGTCAAGCAGTGGGGAGAGCAGATGGAGGCTGGGTTGCGTGGGTTCTCGACCGACTCGAATGCGCTGTTGGTGGGCAGGTTCAAGGAGGACAAGAGTACCGGTCAGACGCCGCAGAAGAAGGTGTGGAAGATGCCCGGTCGTTGGACGCTGGTGCCGGAAAACAGGGAGGATGCGATCGAAGCGGGGAGGCAGGTGACGGATACTCTGCGAAGCGCAGACGCTGACAACGTGCTGAGTTCGGAGATCGGTGTGGAGCCTTCCTCCGAAGCGGATGCTCACTTCGCACCGGCAGGCTCGGCAGACGTCAGCGCTGTGGAACCAGAGCTGGCGATCGACACACCCACTTCACCTCCAGCACCAGTAGAGGCAGAACTTGTTTCGACACGTTCATCCGCTCGACCCCTGCGAGAGCTGCCTTTCGGCCACTCGAACCTTCCCGTCTCGGCGTCCAGCGAGGACTTGGCTCCGATCAAAGCCGTCGAATCAGCTTCGGCGGTCCCCAAATCGAGAAGCGCCAAGAACAAGCTCGCTGCTACGGCGTTGCCCGTCAGCAAGCGTGCGAGGTCGTGAAACCCCTCCCATGACTTTCTCTGTTACCGCCGTATCCTCTCCCTCTCTGGAGCCACTTGGACCAGCGCTGCGTCCCGACTAAGTCGTGTACCATTTTGTAATTTTATTTGTCGTGTAGAATCAGCTGCTTTATCTTGGATGCTTATGATAGAAATATTGATACCAGGTTTGGAACCGAAAGGAGCTTTGTGCGTGTCTGGCGGTGCGTGTGTGAGCGATGGTGACCGAAACCAGGAGCTGTGCATCAAAGCTGACAGAGTTCTGCACCAGCACTACAGGTTGAGAGCGAGCTGTGGCGGGTCGAGCAAGAAGAGCCTAGGGCAAGTCGCAACATAGTCTAAGTTGGCAGGCAAGGAATAGTCTACAGTGGGAAAGTCATCGACGTCTGTCGAGCCGTGATATATCGAGATGCCGGCGATGGCCTACTGAGCATACTTTTGGCCAGTGATGAGCTCGTAGGCCTCCCTGTACTTCTCCTCTGTCCTCTTCACCACGTCGTCTGGCAATGTGACGGGGACACCCTGATCGGCAGCCTTGTCGAGACCGTTTGCTTTCAACCAGTCGCGCACGTACTGCTTGTCGAAGCTGTCCTGACCTCGACCGACGGCGTACTTGTCGGCGGACCAGAAACGCGAGCTATCGGGAGTAAGGACTTCATCGACGAGGATCATGTGATCGTCGCCGATCAGGCCGAACTCGAACTTGGTGTCTGCCAGGATGATGCCGCGCGACTTTGCGTGGGCGGCAGCTTTCGAGTAGAGCGCAACGGCGGCGGTAGACATGCGCTTGGACAGGTCTGAGCCGATGATCTCGTCGACTTTGTCCGGGTGGATGTTTTCGTCGTGTTCGCCCTGCTCGGCTTTTGTGGACGGAGTGAAGAGGGGACCGTTGGGGATCTGTTGGCTCTCCTGAAGACCCTCTGGCAGCTTGATGCCGTGCACGGTGCCGGTACGCTTGTACTCTGCCCATCCACTTCCGGTAATGTAGCCCCTGACGATGGCTTCGATGGGCAACACTTTTGCACGCTTGACGAGCATGGATCGAGCCTCGACTTGGTGCTTGACGCCGTCGAGTTTTTGTTTGAGCTCGTCGGGGAACTGTGCGTAGTCGGTAGCGATGATGTGGGATTCAATGAGGGAAGGAGTCAAGAGATCGAACCAGAAGGTGGACAGAGCGTGGAGGAGTTTGCCTTTGTTAGGGATGCCATTCTGGAGGATGATGTCGAAGGCCGAGATCCTGTCGGTGGCTACAAAGAGGATGGCACCTGCATGAGGACCTTCGGTGAGGCCTGCGTCGTATACATCGCGGACCTTGCCCTTTGCGATGAGCTTGAGTGGCAGATCGGTGGATACGATGGCGGTTTGCGACATGTTCTTGAGTGACTGACAATGGCCTGTCGAGACGTGTGTTGTCGGCAAGAGAAAGCAAAGATGGCCAGACGATACCAATTTGGAAGCGAGCGAGCAGCGAGTCATGCAGACAATCAACCAAATGCTTCTCAAATTAGGCTTTGCCGCCCCACGCACGGTCAGTCCGAAAGATTTTTACTTTCCTCCACAACAGAAGATGCACAGGCCTAACATTGAGTGAGACACGTGATCTCGGAAAACGTGCATTGGAGACGCGAAGGGCTTTCAAGCTGAGCTCTAAGCTGAAGGGCGCAGCTACACTGTTGTTAGAAGCGGAAGGGTGCGGCAGGCTCGACCCAGAGGCCGGACCAAGAGCGACGCCATGACGTCGAGCTCCAACAGGGAATTGCTCTGTCATGGTCCAACTAGAAGCCGCTCGTCAGACGTTGCGATGAAACTTGTTCAAAACAACGAAGAGAACGCTGAGATAGTCCATTAGATCGGAGCCTGAGTGCTTCTGAAAGTAATCAGAGATCTGGTATGTGCAGAGCCCATCTTTGGAGTCAATCACAGTTGGTCGAGGCATACAGTATAGAAAGGTGGAGCAGCGATTCTCGTCTCGAGAGAACAACACTTTTTTTGACGAGAAACGCGCTCCCGCAGCTCGAAACGCGAGTAGTTGCAGTCAGGCAGAAAAAGAAATCAGGTTGGGCTAGCGGGTTGAGTGATTTTGCGGAAACAACACACTCACGCTCGAGGCCGCAGAGTGTCTGTCTGTCAAAACGCTGCTCAGTGGTGTTGCTTTCGCGTCACCGACTTGCTCAGTTGCTCGGAAGCATCCCGCAATTTTCTTTCTCATCCACCACCTCCGCCATCGGATCATCACCCGACGAATCACACAGTCATGGTCAAGGCTGCCTCGAGGCACGCCACTCCGGATGGCGAGAATGAGAACGAGAACGGCAACGATCTCGCTCTCGCCACGCCCCGACCCAAATCCGCTCAGCTTTTGCCTTCGCGCAACAGCATGTCCAACATCACAAACTCGCTCTCGTCCAAGCGCATCCTTCCAGCTCACCTTCAGTCAGCCGCAAAACCCGCCCTGCGCGGCTCCCTCTCTTCCAACGCTACTCCGCAGCCGAGGCGCAAACGTACAGATGCCGAGCCTGCCACTGTCACGCCTCGTCCCAGAGCATTCGTAGACAAAACGTCCGAGATGCGCAAGATGCAGTCCGTCAGCGACATTTCCAGGCTCACTACTGCTTCCGCATCCTCCAGCGACGACTCTTCCAGGTCGGCAGACATCGAGCCTGTCAAAGCGTACCTGCGCATCCGACCTCCCGCCCAAGACGCTCCCAAAGAGTCCGCTCGCCCTTACATCGAGGTTGTCAGCGACACCGAAGTCCTCATGCACCCGCCCGCCCAGCACGCTTACAGCAGCGCTCATCCTGGTGTCAGGTCCAGAACCGCCAGCATCCTCCCTCCCACAAAGTACATCTTCAGCAAGGTCTTTGGCAACGAGCCCTCTTCTTCCTCTCGCGCCGAGCAAGACATGTCTCAATCTGCCTTCTTCCAGCACACCACTCTTCCTCTCGTCGAAGCTCTTCTCCAAGGCGAGAGCGGCCTCATGTTCACCTACGGTGTCACAAACTCTGGAAAGAGCCACACCGTCATGGGCAACAGCTCGCCCGGCGGCGCCGGCATTCTTCCGCGTTCGCTCGACGTTATCTTCAACAGCATCAATGGTCTCGAGAGCTCCGCAACCATCCAACCCGTCGGTGTCTCGGGTGTCCAGCGCGCAGAAAAGCACTCCCTGACGGCCGAGTCTGCTTCTAACCTTGGCGTCAATCCTTTCATGATTCCGAGCGTCTCGCGTAGACTCCTCGCAGAGGCTCCCACACGTACTCCGAAGCCTGCAAAGCTCATCGAACACGATCCAACTAAAGTTGCAGTCGACCGCAACCTCCGCTACAGCGTCTTTGTCAGCTACGTCGAAATCTACAACGAGAAACTTTTCGACCTCCTCGATGTCTCGCCCGGTGCCACTCTCGGTCGATCCGAGTCGGTCCGCGGCTCCAACTGGAGTCTTGCCAACATGGCCAACGCGCCTCCGAGCTCCATCCCATCGAGCGCCAGCATCACGCTTAACCGCAAGCCCCTCAGCCTCAAGAACGATCACGACAACGGCGGCAAGTATGTTGCCGGTCTGCGTGAGATCAGGGTATCTTCGGCACAAGAAGCTCGCGATCTCCTTCATCGCGGCCAGGAGAATCGTGCCGTCTTTGGAACCATGGCAAACCGTGCAAGTTCCCGAAGTCACGGCATCTTTACCATCAAAGTCATTCGTCACCACGGAGGTCTCACCAATCTATCCGATGATGACCTCGACTCCTTCACCACTGCGCGTCTCAGCATCGTCGATCTTGCAGGAAGCGAGCGTGTCGCCAACACCGGCCTCGCAAGCGGTGACCGTCTCAAGGAGGCCGGCAACATCAACAAGAGTTTAATGTGCCTCGGTCAATGTCTCGAAACTCTTCGCAAGAACCAGGTGCGACTCATGGGCACCACCGACAACGGCCAGGCTGCTACTGTCAAGCGACGCGTCAGCATCGTCCCTTTCCGTCATTCCAAGCTCACCGAACTCTTCCAGAGCTTCTTCGTCGGCGAGGGCAAGGCCGTCATGATCGTCAACGCGAACCCTTACGATACCGGCTTCGACGAGAACTCGCACGTCATGAAGTTCAGTGCCATCGCCAAAGAGGTTGCTGTTCCGCGCTCCATGGGTCCCGTGACCAAGATGTTGCCTCCGCTTCCACCTCACAAAGAGGACCGTGCTTCCGACTCTCGATCGCTGCCAAAGTCCAAGTCGAGCATCGACGTGACCACCTCCGGTAGCGAAGCTAGCGCAGACGTCACCATCGTCGAGGACGACGAAGAATACGAAGACGAGAATCACGATTCCTTCGTCGACATGCTCGTCCAGAAGCACGAGGAATTGCGACAAAAGCTCTACGCCGCCGAAATGCGCTGCGCCACCATCGAGGCTGAAGTGAGGAAGGAGATGGCAGATGAATTCGAAGCCAGACTTGTCGAATTGCAAGAATTCTACCACACAAGGATGATGAACGATGCCGAAGAAAACAACAAGTTCACTAACCGCAAGATCGACCTGCTCGTCAGCACAAACGCTCGCAACGAACCCGAACTCGATGCTGACACCAGCCTCGAAAGGCAGCTCTCCGACATTAGCATGAGCGACGACGAGCACTACGAGTCCGGTCACGATGAGGCCGAGGTCGAAGGCAACCTTGTTGCCAGGAACCGTGGCTTTGACCGCAGCATGAGCGAGGTCAGCGCGGGTGACAGCGTCTTTGACGATGCAACCGAGGGCGAAGTATCCGACTCTCTCGCCATCGACGATTCCGAAGATGAACAGGACGCGAGCCAGCTTGAAGAGTCTGCCATCCTCCAACCAGGCAGGACTCCCAGGCGCTCGGCAGCAAAGCAGATCAACTACGCGGCTTCCGAGGACTCGCTCACTGGATTGGACGAGGAAGATGCTTCTCAATCAGAGTCTGAATCCGGGTCCGAAGAGGAGTCCGGATCTGACGCTGCATCGGTGAGCGATCAAGACGACAACATGTCGTCGGCTATCAGCGCTGCAGGAGCTGACGAGAGCGAGAATGACTACAGCAGCGAAAGCGATAGCGATAACGACGCAGACCAGGCGGACGAGCGAAAGCTCAACAAGCGCGCAGCCGAACAAGGCAAGTCGCAGGTCTTTGTCGAGATCCCTGACAGCACTCCTGATGACAGCCTCAGCTCCATCGCAAGCTCGTCTCGCCTGCAGCAGGAATCCGACTCGTCCTTTGACGAAGAGAATGCCAACTCAGACAGCGACGAGGAAGAGGACCGTCCCGCACCTCCACGAAGAAAGTCTGGCCGTGCCAGCGGAGCCAATTCGAAAGCAACCCGCGGAAGCAACGGCAGCACCGCCACAGCTCGTGGCCGACGCTCCTCAAACAAGTCCCGCGCCTCTTCTCGAGATGCGTCCATCCTCGACCAGGCTGGTGCGCTCACCGACTTGAGCGATGCCAGCATGGTAATGGAAGAGACCGTCACGCCTAAGAAGAAGCGCAAACTGCGTAAGAAGGCAGCCATGCAGGAGGACGACTACGTCGAGCAGATCGGCGACTCGAGTCTCGTCGAGGCTGTCTACTCGAACACTAGCCACAACACCTCGAGGGCCTCGGGCGCGAGCCGAGCCTCCCGCAGCTTCAACAGTCGGAAATCGCTTCGCTTCTAAGGTCCAGTGCTCTTGTCGTGTCTTATTAGACCTAGCGGCTCTTCACCGTCTGCAGACTCTGATCGTGTACACCATCTTCCCTCGTTCCGCGCAACTTCTTTCTAGCAATGCTTCAATACCCTTTCTGACTCGTCTACACCAAGTAGCCTGTGTTCACTGTGTTCATACCTCACATCCTTTCGAAGGATAATCGTGCGATAAGTTGGGTCTCGCCACAGACGATCCGCTTTGGTCCGGTTGCAGAGTGTGCTGAGCTTGACATTGGTGTCATCGGCGAGATCTCCCGGCTCGTACGCGGATCACACCCGTTCCAGATCGTGTTGTGATGAATATTACGCAATCGTTCCAATGAGACCTCCAATTCCTGGCTTTGGGCGTCGACCATCTGTCCCTCCGTGATCCTCATATATGTCGACGTTGTTCGGCAGGATCAGAAGCGGAGAGTGGTGCGAGGGGAAGGTAAGCTCGGCATGATTGATGATGCCTGCATTCCTCTCTCTCTTCCTCTATGTACGCCGCATGATCTTGTCATAGGCCCGAGGCTGCTTGAACCCGAGTGATTGTCGTCGGACCTCCTCACAATGCATGCATTAGCAGGCAGTCCTTGTCGAGCACCATGTCTATGTGAGTGGTGACGTTGTGCGAGATTCTCGCTGTAGTAGCTTGATCATGCCAACCGCCAAGCATCGCTGTCGAGGACGGTACCCAAGTCGAATCCTAGGCTCCTACCCTCACCGCCTCACTTGTTCTTCAGCCTCAGTCGACCCTAGTCTCGGTCAATTCGATGAAGGAAGGACCCAAGATGCACAGTGACCTCGATGAACAGCTCATTGGCAGCTTCTGTCGAGCGAGACGATCGCATGCTGTCCCGACCCGGCTCCTTGCCACCAGAGAGAAGAGGCAACATCAGAACGCTTGCCCGGAGCATCCCAGCTCGTCTATCGACAGCGTTGTGGAGGCAGTGAGAAGTCACTGTGGCCCATTCGCGTGCAACCAGCTCAACGAAAGTGCAAGGTCCGCAAGGTCGGGTCGGTCGCCAATCGTCTTTGCGATTCCCCGCGTGTAAGTGTCTTCTTTCCCATATCGGATTTGTCAAAAGATGCTCAGAATTTGATCTCTTTTTTTCTGGCGCGGGCAAAAAGTGCAAACCTTTTACTCATTGATATTTGCAGTCTGAGACCTATTGTGAGACTTATTGAATGCGTTTCGCTTCACGAAGGCAAAGGAAAAAAAAACATCGCTTCGGGTTATATCTACTGGAGAGCTGTGAGAACCCCCCTAGCAGCGTTGTTGGTTGTCAGTAGGAAAATCCTAAAAAGACTTTGCGAGCGAACGGATATTGTTAGCCATTTGTTCATTAACACATTTCATGTTCGCAGATGCTATCGCAAACGATGCTGACCATGTTTGACTTTCAAACAAGGAGGATTTGTGCTCAATATCTTTATGTATCTCAGCAAAAATAAATAAAACGCTGAAAGAGATGTGACTACGAAGATGATTCTTGTGGTAAATTAGCGCGACAAACAACAAGTATCCCTTTATTTCTGCTTAGATTCTGTGCATGTCAATAATTGTCGTTAAGGGCAAGCATATTCTCGGCCTCAGTTGCTGTGCTTAGGCGAGAATCAAATGGCCAAGAAAATATTTGTCGGTATTTGACGAAAATTATCAGTCTCACGATCTTTAGCTCGAGATTGAAGCTCAGATGTGTGTTTGTGTGGGGATAGAAGCCTCTGAAAATGACAGTATTTCTTTTGTACCGCTGACTTCGTCGAATTGTCGAGACGCCTTGCTATCTTATTATGCGTCAAGGATTGTAGACACAGAGTTTTCCAATATACATCTAAATCCAATCTATGTGTGGATATTTTTGAGCAGCACAGAGCTGATATGTTTCAAAGCGTGGCAGACCGAGAAATGGTCGCAACCTCACCGGCGATGAGCTCCTCCGCAGACGCCAAAACTTCGATACAGATCGATGTGATTTGCTGCATTGCCCTTCTCTCAACGAAAATGCGTACTGGGCCGTCCGGATGCCTTTTATGAACGCAATATTGTGTCATCTTCACCGAAGCGAGCGCAAAAATTTGAATGGACGCCATTTTTCTTGGGGCAAGACCTCGGCCGTTCGCCAGATTCTCTACGCCAAAGCTTTGTTCAATTGGAATTACGGGACTGCCGGCCCTCGGGGTCTGTCAGGACTCGGGGTGGGACGGCACATGAGTTCACGCAGATCCAGAGGCACGGGATACACATGGGCTCAATCGGTCTGCTTCCACGTTCATTGAAAGCGTGTCGCGAGGGGCATGACTGCTTTCATGCAGGCACTACGGATGGTGTGGAACAAGTATGCTTAGAAATCCATGGAGTCGTTGATCATCCGTGCCTTTCCTGTCTTTGCTTTGCCACCAGCATGAGCTCTTCCGCCCTTGCCGGCGTGTGCCTTGCGTCCATGATGCTTCTCTGCGCGGCGGACCGCTTTTGCACGGTCCGAGGCCACGAGTTGAGCAATCTTTGAATCGTCACCGTCGAGCATCGCCTTGCGAGCAGCTCCGCGAGAGGGCTTGACAGCGCTGGCAGCGGCTGCCTTTGCAGCTTTGCGTTCCTGTCTGCTAAGGCCATCATCCCGATCCTGTGCGGCATCGGCATCGCTGCCGTCATCGTCTTCTTCGGTACCTTCCTGATCGTCGCTATCTCGGCCTTGATCGCTGTCATCGTCTTCGATGTCAGACAGATCCTCATCACCTTCATCCTCCGAGCCAGCAACCTCGATCATTCCCTCGGTGGTGCTTAGGCGTAGGGAGGACATGTACTGTGGGAATTGATCGGGCGGAAGCTTGTGGTCAGTCACAGAACTTTGTCTGAGGATGAAACGCAACACGCCTTCGTGATGAAGCACACTTACTTGTTCAAGCTCACGGTCCTGTTTGGAACCACCGAAGCCACTGGCCTTGGCAAGAAGGTCGAGTCTAATGTCGCCATTCGCGACTATTGGTTTGTCGTTGTCTTGGGCATGTTCTGCGTCCGATGCTGGCTTTGGAAGTTTTGTCTGCTGTCGTGCGAATTCTGGAACAACGTCCTGGAAGCGAGGAAATTCGTCGGACTGGTATCTGAAGCGTTTTCGGAAGAATCTGCGCACGCACTCGACGTCTCTGTCAAAGTAGCTGAGATTGCGATATGGAGGGAAGGAAGTCAGTTTGTGATCATCTCGCAGTGAGCGATGGACGCAAAGGCTGAGCTACTTACTATTCTGCGTTTTCATGGTTGATGCTGACCATTTGGGGGAAGTCAATCAAGATGGGCTCAACGGTGACGTCGTCTCCCAAATGTACCTGACCGTCGGACGCAGCATCGGCATCGTCGTCATGGTGGCCTTCCTCTTCCTCTTCCTCTTCGGACTCGGAGCCGGACTCTGATTCGGAGAGCTCTTGCCCTTGCTGGCCTGCAGTCTGTAAAGATGCTGGCGCGATGACCCGCTCGAAGCCGTTGCCGCGCTCGACCTCGTGTCCAAGGGCTCTGTCTACTTTGAGACCGTTGGCGTTGTGCTGTTGCGAAGGTTCTGGCTGATCATGTCGTGGTGCGTTCTTGGCTCTTGATTCTGTTGGAGCTGCTGCTCTTGCCGAATCGGATTCGTACTCGTCATCACTTGGACTTGTGACCTCGCGAATGAGGAGGTTGAATTCGTTAAAGTCGCCGTGGATCAAGCCGGCTCGTGCTAGACGTACGATGAGCTTCATGAGGGCTGAGTAGAGGAGGGGGATCTGATCTGGAGGCAGTACAGCGATTTGTCGGAGCGGAAAGGCGTCGATGTAGGACATGACGATGCAGTGGCGTGCTTGGTCGATAGGTTGAGGTACAGGAAAGCCATGCTCATGAAGGATCTTCATGAATGCGTACTCCTTTGCCGCAGCCAAGCGACTCATGTACATCCAGCTTGCGCTCTTGCGCTTGCCCATGTAGTCACGCTTCTCCTTGATGGCTCTGAAGCTGATTCGACCGAGACGATGGATCTTGAGAACGCGTTGTTCTTGATCTGGCGAAGAGACGATCATGATGTCGCTCTCCTTGCCGACGCCGATACGCCTGCCGACAGCAGCTACGCTGTCACGTTTGGAGAAGGCACGCAAGGCGAGGTAGTCGTAACCACCGTACGTGAGTCGATATCCATCGTACTTGGTGTTCTGGACACGAGCGATCAGATTGCGTTTGGCGAGCGAACCGAGAAGCTTGTTGATACCGGAGTGGTGAAGACCGCAGATCTGTGCAGCGAGGGATGATGGGACGACTTCGTGGTTTTTGGAGCCCATCTCTACCGCAGTCAGGACACGAAACTCCTGACTGGTGATGTAGCGTAGATCGGTTGCATCGAGCCTCATGGTGACGAGAAGCTATGCCGAGGTGGTAGGGGTATACGAGGTTGATGATGGTGGGACACGAGAAGAAGTGCAAGAAGATTGTACGAATGAGCAACTTTGAGTTTGACTGTTTCGACAAATTTTGAGATTTTGAGAAATTTCGCTAAGGAGTGAGAGAAGAGGACCCTGAACGTCGTCAACCTTGACTCCACACTGCCGAAGGCGATGGGTTGAATTTGTTAGAGTGGAGCATCAACACACTTGCTTCGCTCGAGTGGAGCGACCAAGTCCAAACAGGCAGGCAGGACAACAACAGCGGCGACGCACACAGTCAAAAAGACCACTTGTCGATCCAGGGCGCAGGGTCGCAGGCTGCAGTCGGTTCGCGGATCATTTTGAACTCCACATGCGTCAACTGGGCAGTTCAACGGTGTTCCAACATCCAAATTCATGGCCGTTGTGATGGCGGATGCATTCGGCTGAGCTGCCTTTTGGAGCCCCTTTTGCCCTCTGCCTTTTGCCTCTGTCACCATCACTCGCCATCAACGTCGACCTCTCCTTGACCATCACTGCGAGAACGGAACGCAGATTTCACATTCGCCCACCATGCATGCTAGATTCGTCGCCGTCACTCTGGCATCCCTCACCTTTGCCTCACAGGCCCTGGCATGGGGCTGCATCGGCCAGGATTGCAACCACGCTGCCAACCAGATCTCCTTCTCAGCACCCGAATCTGCCAATCACGACGCCAAGTCAGGCTCGCTCGCATGGGGTCCCACTCCTGGACAGGGCTGGCAGTGGTCCAGCTGCGGAACTGGTGACGAGATTGTAGACGTAGACAGCATCGTCGTCAGCCCAGACCCGCCCGTTCCCGGTCAAAATCTCACCGTCCGTGCTAAGGGTACCATCAAGGACGAAGTTAGCGTAAGTCGCACCGGTTTTTTCTCGCACAGATCTCTTGCATCGTCTCACTCACATCATGCTTACTAACTCGCTCCTTCGCTTTTGAGCTCTCTTTGTCAATAGGACGGCACCTTTGCTGATGTCATTGTCAAGCTTGGTCTCATTCGTCTGCTCGCACGCCGATTCGACGTTTGCGAGGAAGCCAGACAGAACAACGCTGACCTTCAATGCCCATTGTCCGCCGGAGAGTACGAGCTGGAACACACAGTCGCACTGCCTCGAGAGATTCCACCCGGCAAGTTCAACGTCCACATTACCGGAGAGAACCAGGACGGCTCCAACCTGCTCTGCCTCGATCTCAGCATTCAATTCGGCTTCCGTCGTTGATATCAAATAGCTCCCTCGCTACGATCACTTCAATCTCAACTTGGAACTCGGCTTCCTCATGGGCACAATCAATTCACTGTTTTCATCATGTCATCCATGCCTCGTGCTCGACAATCGTCATGCCTGCAGGTATGCCGTAAGCCCCGCAGACCGCGTTAGACACAGCTGCCGACAATGATGAGACTGTAGGAAGTGAGGCAACCCTGGCTCATGTCTGCAAAGACGCAATCTTACAAAAACGCGGGTCACACGCTCGCAGATCGGGTGCGAAGGTCCGCACGATCCATAGCAACGCAGATCCACAAATACGTGTTGAGCGACCATTGCGTGAAGAAAGAACAGACGGCGGGTACAAGATGCCGAGATGCGAGAACAGAGCGTGACAAGTGCATGAGACGAGACGACAAAGAGCAGTGACGGATAGACTACTTGAACGTGAGGAGAGCCAGACCTACCTGCGTGGCAATGGTCGCCTCGGCGTCCTTGGGAAGCACGCCTGGCTTGTCTGACCTGTCCCACCACGTTCGTCCTTTGGTGAGCCGATTGATCCATCCAAAGCTATCCTCGTCAATGACAAAGCGACGCACCCCTCTATCGCCCTTTTCGCCATCCTTTGAACCTGGACCGCGGTAGCGCGAATGTGTGGCACCTCGTAGCTCCCATCTGCCCTGGAATTCGGGATGCAGAGAGACCGACACAGGCGCTACTTCGCTCGACGCGTGGCAGCGAAGGGGCACTTGGGCTTCATGACCGATGAAATCGAGCTGGATGGAGCCAGTCTGCGATTGCGAATCGACAGTGACGAGATCGGTCTTGCCCAGACCGGGAGCATCGAGCCTTGCCAGATCGGGCTTTTCAATGTTGATGGCTGCCTCGACTCGACCGGTCTGCGATCTGAGCGACAGCGTGTGGTTGACATTGAAAACGGCGCTGTCGGCGATGATGCCTCCGTTGAGCGACTCTGAGCGCAGAGTGGTGGCACGAAGGCTGGTGTTCTGTCCCACGCGGATGTGTCCGTTTTGCGTCTGGAGGGTGAGATCGTATGCAGCCTCGAGCTTAGAGTCGTGGTCAATGTCGAGGTGGCCGTTGACGGTCTTGAATTCGAGAGACTGTGCTTCGAACGATCCACCAATGTGGAGCTTGCCGTTGGTGGTGGTGAGGTGAATATCGGCAATCGCACGGATGGAACCGGAGCGCAACTTGCCCACTTGAGTTCGCGCGTGCAGCTTTCCGAAGTAGAAGTCCGGCCTCGATGGAGGATCGCGAGAATGCAAAGCTTGGGATGCGAAGCTCCTCTTGGAAGCAGCAGAAGATTGGAAGAGATCAATGTCGGAAGCGCCTGCGTCTACCGAAAGGGTTGGAATGTTGACGTGCGGCGGAATGATGACCTTGACGTCGTAGATGAGTGGACTCTGATCTGTCGAGACAGCCTTGGCGTAGGTGAGGATTTCGACTCCCTCATCATAGAGCCCTCGCTTCATCTTGGCGACCAAGCTTGTGTCGAAGAGCTTCTTGTAGGCCTCATCGTAGCGAGCAGTGATCTCGACTTTGACGAGGTCCTTTTCGGGAGCGGGAACATCGTCGGTGTGATGGACCACCGTAACGGTGCCGGGGACGCTACCTGCGGGCTGCGGTCGATCATCCCTAATAGGATCTACGTCGACGAATATGGACTCGGTGGATGCAAAGCTGTCTTTGGACCTATTGGGATTGAGGAGGAAGCTGGTGGATTCTGTGCACTGGACCCTGTTGGTGCCCTTGATGGAAGCGCAGTTGTGCCACTGCCATTCTGCCTCTTGGACGATGTGGCCATCTTCATGGAGGGGCGCAGGCTTTGTGTTGGGGATGTTGGAGTAGTCCCAATCCTGGTGAAGGCCAGTACCGACATTGTCGCCGGCAGGCTGGGTGAGCGCTGGACCGGTGAAGAGGACAAGGATCCAGAGGCCAATGATGAAAACGCTAGCCTGCGCGAAGCGATTCGAAGGCCAGCAGCGCATTGCACCTTGATAGCAGCCGGAGAAGGCACTCGAGAAGGTGAGAAGCTCGCCTTGACTTGTGCGAGGGAAGCAAGCTTGGATGTGTTCTTTCGTGGTGCGGGAGATGGAGAACCACGCTACAGGATTCCAGTTGGATTTGGAGCGCGAGTCGACGCGGATAGTGTCGTCATACGAGGGCGGAAGCGGCGGATACTTGGGCGACGAGCCGGTGTTGGCGGGCTGTTCCTCGGCCAGATCCTCATCGATGGCGAAGGGGGTGTCGAGCTCAGCAGCATTGCTATCGAGCAAAGGCTGCTGATCTCGATCCAAGGAATGACGTGTGTGGTCCATGTTGGTGATGTCGTGACCGAACGAGTGGAGGCACTTATTCCAGCTGAAGGGCAGCCGACAGTTGCGATGTGTAAATAGATGGTGGTGAACAGGAAACTAGGCAGGACGGTACGATGACTTGCACAGCAACCATGCGCTGTCGGAACGGTGTCGCCGAAATCTCGGCTGAGCAAGACAATTCAAGGTTTGGGGCGCGGCTATCAAAACCCGCAAAGCAATTCCGCTGTGCACTGCACAATGCCCTGCAGTTCTGCACGGAGACGTGCCGACTCGGCGGAGCTCACTCATGACATGGTGAAAGCTGCAGTCTAACAAATTGGCCTCGATGATGAACTCGGAACTCGGCGTCGGTTGGAGCATTGTCATGCCGAGACTTTTTTGATTCTTCTCAAGCTGACCACAAACAGAGCTGGTCCCTCATCCACATCAGTCAACCTCGAAAGCATCCATCCCTGTGCGGTCAAGGCGGTGTGCGGGAGTCGTGACAGAGATGTTACGTCTTACCGCCATCACGGCGGTAGGTGCTACCCGTCGAGCTGCCCAGGCAGGCTTGCACCTCCATTGCTCGAGGTTCCTTGCTGCCAGAGACTACAGCACCGCCGAAAGCTCCTTCTCCATTCACGTTCCCAAGGCCAGCAAACGAGTCAGAACGCGGCAGTCATCAAGTGGTAATCAGAACTCCGAACGCTCGCCTTGGTACAGCTCAGCTCAGCGCAGCAAACCGAGATCCAGTACTTCCTCTACACCTCGAAGCAAGCGCATCCTCGCACTTGCGCCTACACGGACAGCCTTACCCGTATCGGTACAGCACAAAAGCTCAGAACTAGTTGCTCTACAAAAGGCAATCGATGGCCAAGATCTGTCCGTGGTGTCGTCAGCATGGCAAGCACTGGGCAATCAAGTCATACGACTCGGTCAAGCCGAACACGAAAAGCTGCTTCAACTTTGCTCCTCCAGTCTTTCCAGCACCCGAGACGCACATCACGCTCAGAATTGGCGCCCCCTCTTCAGCCAATTTGCCAGCGTTGCTTCTCTCACCGGCCAAGTCGACCTCATCAGTGGATGGTTCCGACTTCTTCTTGCTAACGGCCAATCAGAGCTTGTCGTCAATCTCTGGCAGAACATCGTCCGCGCACGTCTCGACAACGGACCTCAACAGATCGACTCTGTGACCGATGACTCGGATTCTATGTCAGATACAGGAGCTGGTGGCGATTCATTCATTCGTCTCGACGTATCTACCGATGGCGAGAGAGTCGACATCCATGACCTCGTTTGCCTCGTTGCGTTTTCATGTGCCCATTCTATCCGAGCTGCCGACTTCGTAGATCTGTTCGACAAGGTGGAATTTGGTTCTCCTTTTCGTCTATTCTTTCAAATGCCTCGGGCAAAGCGTCTCTACAATTCCATCCCAGTCTCCTCCTTGGTCAAGCTCAACAAGTGGGACACGGCGCAATCACTACTTGGCGAAGTCGAGCTCGCCCGCGGCCTCTCTTCTGGCTCGGGTGGTCCCCAGCGGATTGCGAGATTATTAGGCTCCCTGTTCCAACTGCATCAGATCGACGAAGCGTTCACTGTCTTCAGCACGGCTATGCGGGTCTCTTCCGGACCCCATGCTTGGCTCACACTCCAAGCGCCTCACAAATTCCCAACTTCTCTTCCACCGTCGTCAAGGGCTCAGTGGACCGAGAGTTGCTGGTCCGTATGCCTTTCCAACTTCATCGCCACCGGTCGCACCGACCTTGCCATGGATGTCTGGACCAAGTTTCAGCAAAGACGGCTGGTCCCAACCCCTTCCATCTGGAATTCCTTGTTGGACGGCTATGGACGCGCCAACAACCCCACTGCCGCCAAGCAGACCTGGTCAGCTGCTCTTAACTCGGCAAGTCAAGACCCATCGTCAGCGCTGAACCTGCCCGACGAACAGATGTACACCACCATGATCAACATCCACTTCAAGGCAAGAGAGACCGACGAAGCAATGGCACTTCTCTCGGATATGGTAGCAAAGAGTGACAGGCACGGAGGGCGTCTGCACGTCCGAGCCGAGACCTTCAACGCTGCTCTGCATGGACTGTTCCTCAATCAGAGACCGACACAGGCGCAGACTCTTCTGAACCAGATGCTTTCCAAAGGTCCAGTTCCCAATATTGGAACCATCAACACCCTGCTTCGGTCATATGCACGCGTTGGAGATCTCGAATCCATCGTCTCAAGCTTGCGTCTCGCCGAGAAGCTCAAGCTAGAACCCGACGTCGTGACATTCACCACAATCCTCGATGCGCTACTTCGCAAAGGTGGCGAGTCGGCTACAGCGTCCGTCGTCAGAACGCTAGATATTATGAGCGGCATGGACGTGCAGCCCAATGTCGTCACTTACACGGCTCTGATGAAAGCCTGTCTGGTCGGTGCCGAAGCAGCACAGCTGGACATAGCATCGCAGGGCTTGTTCGGCAATTCGGCGCAACGAAAGGGACAACAGCCTTCAACGAACGACGCACGCATCGAAGCTGCGCTGGAAGTGCTAGATCGAATGCTCAAGGCCAAGGTGGCGCCATCCGAGATCACGTACAGCGCTCTCATCGGAGGATGTCTGCAGAATCCAGATGCCGTCGCACATGCATTCGCTACCAAGACGGTGCCGAATCACTACTGCCATCCTCCAAAGCCTCTACATCGGCTCGGGGAGAACGCCCAAACTGTTCAACGATGGTCGAACGAATCACCTCAAGTCTCTCTAGCCTTGCTTTTGCTCGAGCACATGAAAGGCCGCGGCCTGCCACCAACACCCACCACATTCCGCTACCTCATCGAAGGGCTGTGCAGCACGCACACCGACCAAGCTGCCTTCATTCGGGCCATGGACCTAATCGACGACATGCTGCTTCGAGGACCGGTCTCGGATCCAGCACGAAAGTTGGGACCCTTTGCATCGATGGCTCTCAAAGGCAAAGAGGTATCTCCTCCTACCTTGCATGCGCCGAATCACCGGGCTTGGATCATCGTCTTCAGCTCCCTGCTCGATCGACTCGAAAATGGACCGCGGGACAAGGTCGCCATCACGAGCGGCGCGAGAGCACTGAGTACGGCCATACGTCTTGTGCGCGAGATGGGTTCATTGGCCGGTGCCGAAGGCGGCATGTCGCTGTCGCGTCTTGTCGAGCGGGCAGCCTCGCTCACATCCAAGATTGGTCGTTGAGCCACGATATATATCCACATTTGTCTGAAACATGCCATTTCCTCGTGCGATTGTGTGACTTGTGCTAGGCCAGTACGGCTTGCCTCTCCGCGGGTTGCGCTTTTTGCGGTTGTGGCTCCGGCTGTGCCTCTGACTCTTGTGTGACCGGTTCGGTCTGTGGTGCTGATGGCAAGACGACTGTCTTTTGCGGCTCGTCGGATCTGATGCCTGCTTCGCGCTCGAGTGCCTCGAGTTCAGATTGAACGGCGTCTTCTTCTTCGGCGGTCATCTGTGTGGCCAGCATCTCGTCGATCTCCTGAAAGAGTGTGAAGAAGAAAAGGTAAGCATCAGCGTCTGAGAACCATGGCACGTTAATTCAAATGCACGTAGGAGTGCGATACGCACGCGTTGGTATGCTTGCGCCTCGGCGGTCTCTTCGAGCAGTCTCTCGACGGATTCGGGGTTCATCTCCTTGTGAATCTCTTTGAGAACTGCGTTGCCTTGTTGCAGGCCGAGCATGACGCTTTGCTGGATTTGTGAGAACTCGATCGAGGAAACCTGTAAGGATGCAGCAGGCGGGCGGGGCCGGATGTCAGCAAGGGACCTCGGGCCACTCCAAAGGATGCAATACGGGCTGGTGCACTTACCAAACCCTCCAATGTTTCCAGCTGAGAATCGGTCTTCTGAATCAAGCTCTCCTGGTACTTCCGCCGTCTCAAGGCGGTCAAAGCCTTGGTCTTGTCACCTTTGACCAAGCATTGTCGAGCAATCTCGTGTTCGCGATCGAGGACGACTTGGATCTGTAACAGTAAAGGGGGAGTGTAGAGACTCTAATCAGCCAACGGAATTGATTTGCATAGTGGCCCGCGCTGCCATGTTGGCTCACCTTCTTTTGATATTGCTTGATGCGATCTCTCTGAAGCTTCAGGCTAGAAGCAGGAGCGTATGAAGTCACTTGGTCAGCATGCATCCGGTCAAGGTCTGTGCGAAGCATTGTTCACTCACTCCAAGACAGCCCGGTCGTGCGGTGTGATCTTTGGACCCTTTGAGCTAGTTGTGCCCATCCTTGTTGATACTTTATCGCGTGTCGAAGCGTCAGTCAGGTCCTGAAACGCGTGCGCACCGATCGTTAGATGCTTTTCTCCACTGCGCTTTCGGCTGACAGCAGAGCGTGGGGACTGTTTTGGTTGTCGACGCCGAAGGCAACCTCGAACGTGATGGTGGTGCAGCGAATCGAGTGATAGCGAAAGGGTCGCGCGCGCATATCGGCTAAAATAGAGATGTGGAGCTGTGTATCACTTTTCCGCCAAATACCGACTGCCCACGCTGCAGCTGTCAAAGTCGCGTGCAGCTTTCGCCGCCGCAGCGAAACGGGGTCTGCAACAACAACGTACATATCACTGACCTTGCTTTTGAGATCATGCAGCCGAACGATCTGTGAACACAGGCCGAGCGAACTCAGAGACAACCATGACAGTCGAGGATCGGACAAAATGCTGAAGCAATGTGTCCATGATCGTGATGATGCCCATAGAGATAGTGATACAAAAAATGATATGCTAAGATGCGATGGTCCTGGTGTGAATGCTAGAAGGTTCAACGTGAGTGTTCGTGAGATGAAACATGACGAGCGGGGAGTGCAAGCTTTACTGCCTCCAGAGGGGAGACACGGCGTCTGCCTCTGGTCTGATCTCAATGTCTTCGAAAGAGCGAGCAGAGAGATCGGTGCTTTGTCGGCTGAGGCGCGTAGCGACGTGGTCAAAGCCGTTGAGCTCTTCGTGTTTGCTCCATTCGTCGGACGCGCTTGTGAACGCGAAGCCGGGATGCAGGTGCGAGGAACGGGCCGAGGGAGTGGACGGCGTTGAGGCTGTGGAGGCAGAGAGAGCTCGGAGTGAGGCTGACGGGTTGAAGAGTGGCAGGCTGAGCAGCTTGGGAACAGACCAGGACCGCGTCAGAGCGGCCTGTGCGCGTGCATGAGCGTCGACCGACGACTCGGTAGAGGTGTGAGAGCCGACCCGTTCCCGGCGACGACGCAGAAGCTCGCCAGCCTCGGCCGAGAGCTCCTTAGGCGTTGTGGAGGAACGTCGACGAGGCTCGATCGGAGAGTGTTGAGCCCGCGTCATGTCGTCGTCGAGCGAGTCTTGGCTGCTTGGCACGACGAGCTTCTCGAGCGCGGACGATCCGAAGTCGAGCACCATCTCGGCCAATCGCAGCACGAAGTTACCGCCGTGGTTTCGGATGATCCGAGACTGAGCGTCGTCCGAGTCGGTGTCATCGATGGTCTTGGACTCTGCTTTGGACGTGGATCGAGGCGGATTGGCGGATTGGCGACGCTTAGAGCCGACGCGGCGCTGTGACTTTGAAGGAGAGGAACGACGCTGCTCGCGAAGACGAATGATACCGGCGGCAAGTTGAGCCTCGGGATCTTGATCTCCAGCGTCGCCGTGACAGGAGCCGTCGGACTCGGAGCACTCGATACGCACCACGGGCGGGCTGCATGTCTTTGGAGATGGACCCACAGCTGCTAGAGGCGAGGGCACCTCGATCTGAAGCGATGGTTCGTCGCTGGTCACGGTGGAGAGGTTAAGCGGAGCAAGTCGGAGCGGTTGAGCCGTGTCGATGCTGAGAGGACGCAGGGGCATGAGTTTAGACTCAGAGCCCACGGTAGCCCTCGAGCTGCGCAGAGCACGGCTCTCCGACGAGGAGGGGGAAGCAGAGGACGGAGGCGCCGTCATGGAACGAGCGCGAGCCATTTCGACAGGGGTATAAGATGACGGAGCCTCTGGCAGCGGGAGCGTCGATGATCGGCCGCGAGCATGGTGGGCAGGTGTCGATTTGTACTGGACAGCGCGGTCATGCACATCATCGTCCGTGTCGCTGGAATCATCGCTGTCGTACTGCGTGACGGGGGTGACGGGTGTAAGCCAATGGGCGCTCCAGCGGTTGAAGTCGCTGTGCCGACTGCTGCGTCGCTTCAGGAGCTCATGCTGGTACTCGAGACCCGAGCCGTCCGAAGCGACACGGCCGAGGAAGTGGGTGCGAGCAAAGATGGGGTCATCTCCAAAAGAAGTAGCTGGTGTAGAGTATGTGTGAGAAACCATACCGACAAAGAGGTGAGACCTGCCGGAGTCGAGCTGGTCGTGCAAGGGTAGCAGAGATGGTAAACGTCGTCTAGCTATTGTGCAAACGCTGGTGAGAACTGTTGTCGTTTGAGTTGGTCAACGTGAGCAGACGACGGGATGATGGAGACGATTCGCAACGAACTGGCGGCGAAAGAGATACCGTTTCGTATATATGATTCCGAGCTTCTCAGGGACGTACAACGGACAAGACCAAGCGCCTGCTGTGTCTCACTGGCGCTGCAGCTGCAACAATGCAGAGGCGACGGCGGCTAAGCACATTCTCCGTCCCTGGAGTACAGTAAGCACACCATGCGCCCTGGGGTCAAGAACAGGCAGGGAGTATCGAACAAACTAAAAAAAGCAGAAAGATGCCGGCACGAGGAAGGAGCTCTTGGACAAGCGAATTCGAGAGCAACACAACCCATGTGGGCAGATAGCGAACTGAATTCTGCAACGCACAGGCTTGGAGGCGAAACTTGCCACGGAATTTTGGACAGCGCTTGTACGAAACGTTGGATACCATGGCAGGCGAAATGGCAGAGGATCAGGGGATTCCTGAGGGAGTTTGCAGCGACAGCCGGACTGACACTGCCGAAAGTTTTGTGTGCCCCGTCCAAAGATGTGCAGCCGAGAAATTGTGTGCTCTGGGTCCAAACGGTGGCGGCGAGCGGAGGTGGGGCAACCAGCGCAACACAACCCAACTGCTGAGGTGCTCGCCTAGACGCCACCACACAATGGATTGACAGCCGAGGTGGTTAAGAAACTGGTATTTCTCTAATCGGGACCCAGGCAGCTCCAGCTCAGGACGAGCAAGCCAAGCGGACCAGACAGAGCGCAACTGCGGGGCAAATTAGGAAGAGCAGGTCGAGGCCATGTGCCTGCATCTCCACAATGCAAGTTTCGCCACACCCACCTTGCAGCAGAGCACATTGCAGCCAATCCACACACAAGTTTCTGCGAGACGGAGGCGCGCCTCGCTGATCCACACTAACTGTACGACGATATCGATTCCTCTCATGTGGTCGTTCCGTATCATATCAAATCAACGAGCGCATCAGCTGCATTGCGTCCCCGTAAGCCACCTCATTTTGCGCGGAAACGTTTGCGACGTCCTTCGTGGACTGTGCTAGGAAGAGCGAATCGAGGACGTGCTGTTACGTGGCGGACATGGCCTCGAGCCTTGTCCTGCGGCACACAAAGAAGAGGAGGCTGGTGTGGATCTGTAGGTCCTCCTCGGCTGCGCATGATCACCCCTGCTCAGGGCGAGACACAAAACACATGCAAGGCGAGGACTGTCCTTTGTCCTCTTGACAGAGAGTTTGGTGCTGAGGTCGAATTTTGCCCCCTGCTTGTGACAAATTCGATACTTTGGCAATTAACGGTGATTCCGACAGCTCCTTCCTTCCCGTGTCTATCTATTATAATATTAAAATCGACCAACTTCGTGGCAACAAACAATACGAACGACGCTTGCCGTCTGATCAGCTTTGAGCCTTGTTCGGACGCAGAGCACGACCGACGAGGTGCATATACGGTACCAAGACACAGGAGAGGCAACACAGTCCACTGTACGGCGTTCTTCGCGGAGCGCACGGTACCCCACTTCCGTGCCGCTAGATTAAAAATCCTGTCTCAGCTCCTTCTCAACTTTCGACATCCGCGACGCCAGAAACGGAGTTCAAAGTTTTGCAGCGGAGGCTGCCTCGCAAAGTTGATACATTGAGAGCGGGCAAAGGCAATCTCGAGGGATGTGGGATTCAGCTCCGTTCCGACAAACAGGGACGATGATTGGGTAGCCACAGGCATCCCAGCGAAGACGCACACCCGAGATGCAGGTGTGTGCTGTCTCAGGGAAGTAACTCTGACATTTCGAGAGAAACAAGAGCAACATGTGCGCTGCAAGCCTCGTCTCAGATCTTGCCCAAGTGGCAGCCATTCGGTTCGCAGGCGAATCCGCATAAGGACTTTGCAACGCTTACGATACAGGAGAAACCGTCCTTGTCTGCGTGTTGTCGGAAGCCTTCGAAGTGGTCACATGGCAGGCTTCATGCAACCAAGGTGGTCTAAAGCACCTACATCTCCGACAGCCATACTCCTTGCTTTGTCGTTTTGCTTTCCGTCCTGGCTACCGTACCGAGCAGCTTCGGCATTGAGCTTATTTGCAGCAATCGAACGATATTGGCTTTGGTCCTCGTCTCATGACGGCTCCAAAGCAGACACGGAAGCGATTCGACAGAACACGCTTACGCCAAGGCCTGCTGCACCTCTTGGCCAAGCGAAGCAGAAGAAGCAGATCCTGGGAATCCGAACCGGCCCAGAAAAAGATCTGAAACTCCGTGGCGCTCTCTAGGAATTTTAACTGCAGTGTTGCACAATTGCAGGGAAACGTGAGTGGTTGCTGCAGCTGTCAGACTGAACTCGCACCTGCCTGGCACATCCCCCGTCCTTGTCGTCGAAACTTTCTGCTGCTCTTCCGTGCCGAACAGCGACACCGTGCCGATTTCGCCCAAATACGGGACGGGATGATGAACTCCTTTCGAGTCAAATGCTGGACATTATTATATACTCTAGATTGCTTTGAGTAGAGACCTAAGTTGCCTAGTCATTCGGACAAAGCCAGCTTCCTCCCCTCAAGGTGTGGCTGGATGGGTTTCTCCATTGTTGTGACCAAATGAACGGTTCTCGAGACAATCACAACAATGAGCCAACTAAACCCACCACTCAAAAGAAGAAACAAGGTCACAACCCTCGGCGGGAGCAAAGGTGAAGAATAGACCTTAATGTGGCTCACGCTCGAGCCGCAACGCTAAGCAAGGCTCCGGCAAGAGAGCTTGGCGGTAATCCGCCTGTCGACATCGCGAATTACCGTCACAGTTTGGAAGAGCATGGTTCTGCCTTCTCAGGGTGGTGATGCAGCCGGCAAAGGAGGCAACAGCGTCGGAGGCAAGGTCCAACTGCTTCTGCTACGACAAATGGATGTGGAACTTCAACCACCCACAAGGCGCCTAGCGGCTAAGCATGAGCCCCAGGGTCACTTTTGCATTTTCTGTCTTGTCGGACAGCACAACGTTCACAAAAAGCCGGTGTCTTACGGAAGAGCAACCTGACTCAAATCTGGGACACCGAGGCCAGCCAGCAAATGATGTAATTGCTCTTCAGCGCCGTGCTGCCTCAACTCCTTTGTAGCGTATTGCCGAGCTTCCCTTTTTGGCCGGTCGGCCACTCAGTCTTTGCCAGCGTCCAGCGTTGTATTTTTGCATCCCCGCTCGCCCACGGCCAAGCGAGCCCGAAATGGCAACGCCCAGCGGCGACAGCGTGCCGAGGCGAACTCGGGCCCTCTCGCTTCCCTCGACGAATTCACAAATCTTCCAAAGCTGCCAACGTCAACCAACACCGTGCACGTTGTGGCGAGCTAAAAGTTACACCGCCATGTCATTCGCACAACATGATGTAACGAGCTTGCATGCAATGACGCTCAGGAACTTGCACTTGATGACCTGGCGCCCTTTTGGAGCGAGCTGGGATCGCCTGAAGAACACCCACTCCAGCGTGCAGCATGCGGGTCGAACAACACTGTGTGAAGCAGATTCCACGCAAGCCGGGCAGTGCGATCAGCGAAGACCTTACACTGTTCGGAATACTAACCAGCTTGCAAACCTATCACTCTGACCTTCTTGATCACAGTGCATGGCATCTCACAACGCAATGTCTGCAATCGGCCTGCCATCCACAACAAAGGGAGGGCAGGCGAACTTTCCCATGCACTACCAAGCATGAACGACACCCAAATCTCGCGAAATCACCGTCTAGCCGAGGTTTTGCGAGCTATGGCCTCTCGGCCTTTGACTGCCATGACTCCTGAACTCGAGAACGAGCAAGTAGGCTGCGTCACAATCTCCCCGCACCGCTTGTTCCGTTCGGATAGTCTGTCTCTCTTCCATACGCATTAGGCCTCCGGGAAGACCGCGCATTCTCGGCTGCCGTACAAGAAAGCTCGGACGACCACCGAGAATCGAGACTCTCGCGGTCTCACCAGTCACGCTTCTTGCTTCCTCCCTTGTGTGTATAGAGCAGACTTGCTTCCGAACTGACCTTGTCTCATCCCGCGCTCGCATGGACGCCGAATCCGTACTAAGTCCATCGGCTGATCCAATTGCCGTTCGAGATGAGCTCGCCCGACTCGGGCCCTTTCGTGCCAGACGCTGCATCAGAACAAAGATGCGAACATCAGGTATCCGTGGTCCGTGCTGCCTGAATGAGACACACAGCAGGGCGACCAGCTTCTTGACATGTCCGCTACTTGAGCGTAAGATAAGCTAGCTATGTCTGGCTTGTCCTCTATCGACAACAGGCATCAGCCTCCCAGGTGCTTGGCGCCGAGACTTTGGCGTGCCAAGGTTGCTTTGGCCCTTGCGCTCAATCCTCGGCGGAGATCCGCGATGTGGACTGTAGACGATGCACGACCTGAGCTTACATGTCCCAGCGATTCGTCATGAGAATGGGCTGCGGCTTGACGTTTGGCCCACCAAGGGGCTCGACAAAGGGCCTTACCCCGCATGCACCATTGCGTGGGGAACAGTCTGACGGAAGTTGAAGTCCGCATCCTGCTGCCTCCCGCAACAACAAACAAGCGACACATGATCTAGCGCGGGGTGAGGGTCGGATTACCCTTTATCGGAGCCATGCCAAAGTGCGAAAGCGGAGGCGATATCAGTCGGTCGATACCGTCGTTAGGCTGCAAGTCTGATAAGGGTCCCAGTAGAGCTGCCATTCCGTGACGCACGGGTCCCAATGCGCATCACCATCAAGAGGCAGATTGCTGTTGGCACGAGACCCTTATCGTCGGTATCGGCAAGGCTCGCGGCAACGTTCAGCAACCCGGGCCCACTTCCAGATGGTCCTGCTTCGAAAGCTGTCGCTGGCACCCTGGGGCCAACCACCAGGCATGCCGAGAAAAGTGCTTATCTCTTGCACTGCCACCAACCCACAGTCTGAGAATCAATTGCAAAGCCACCATTTTGCTGAACGTGCCGGCACCTTGGACTTGCTCAAACGACAAAAAAGGCTACACACTATCTCTGTCCCGGTTCCGGCAATGCAATGCAGTATGACAGCCACCACCGATCTCCACAGAAATGGCGAAGCAGATTGCGAACGAGGACGAGGAGCGGCGCGCGTTGCCTGCATGAGAGGCGGAAGTAAGCAACCGATGCTCGAACGTCGTTATCGTGCCACATGGCCAGCATCGTCGCAGCATGGAGGCCTCTCAGTGTCAGTACGGGACGTATCCAGCTGACTCGCACGATAATTTCTTGGGCAGCTGCTTACAAAGAATGAGATAATTAAGATTGCCTCGATTTTTGGAGCTGGAACACGCAGCTTCGCATCATATTTCACTGTGACAGCCGCCGCTCCCGACAATGGCCGTTGGACAGGTGTCTTGCTGTCAGACATCGTCCTGTCAGCTACACCGTACTCATCCTTGAGACCCATCAGCAAGGCACGAGAATGATGGCGAGCAGCCTGAGCAGGAGCTCTCGCAGTCTGTTGAGCCAGTTGTCCCGCAGCAGCGGCAGCAGCAGCAGCTCAGCAGGCACCAACCTCACTCGACGAGCCGCCTCCTCCGCAGCGAGACCGACCGACGACGTGGATCCATACTGCGCTTCTTCCTCCTCATCGTCACACTTAGCGTCTTCCAGCACCAACCTGAACCCCTCGGGCGATCGCAAAAGAACGTATGGACAACCGCTCCCCCACTCCCACCCACACTTGTTTCCACGACGCGGCGTGCTAGGTTCCGAGGATGCCGTCCTTCGCCCAGGAGACGCCCTGCCCCACCACTCGCTCTACGATGACGGCATCGGAATCGTAGCCACCGAGCAGCTCACTCCCGGTATCCCCAAATCCGAATACGAAACACGGCGCAGGAACCTCATGGACCGTCTGCCCGACAACAGCGTAGTTGTCGCCATGTCTGGTCGGGTCAAAAGCATGAGCGGAAACATCTTCTACAAGTTTCGTCAGGAGACCAACTTCTGGTACCTCACCGGGTTTCAAGAGCCAGACTCCGCCTTGATACTGGAGAAGGATCCAAGCAGTCCGAGAGGTTACAGGATGACCATGTTTGTGCAGAAGCGGGACGAGCATAACGAGACGTGGAACGGGCCGAGGACGGGGCTGGATGGCGCGGTCGATATCTTTGGCGCCGACGAATGCTTCGAGCTCGATCCGGCGATCCTTCTGCACCATCTCAAGCAGATCTTACCCAGGTACACGCACATCTACGTCGAACCACCGAACCAACCCAGCACGCCAAGACGCGGCACCACAGCGACCACCAAGGCGGGCAACATCCTCAACTACCTCAGTCCACCGAGCAGCACCTCGTTGGATCTGTTTTCCAAGAAGTCCGACTTCGAAGCGGTGATCAAGCTGTTGGGAGACACGCGCAAGTGCCACTCGCTGGCACGCGAGGTGGAACGTCTGCGGTTCAAGAAGTCGGCCAACGAGATCCGGGTGATGAAGCGAGCGGGGCGGATCAGTGGAGAAGCGATGGCCGAGACCATGGGGTTCGTGCGACCCGGTGTATCCGAGGCCCAGCTGCAGGCGGTGTTCGAGTACCACTGCAGCCTCGGCGGATCGCAACGGCCGGCGTACGTGCCCGTCGTAGCCTCCGGATCCAACGCGCTCACCATCCACTACGTCAACAACGACCGGCTCGTCGGACCCGACCAGCTCGTCTGCATCGACGCCGGCGGCGAACTCGACGGCTACGCCTCCGACATCACGCGTGCCTTCCCGTCCAACTCCAACGGCCTCTTCTCCGAACCCCAGAAGGACCTCTACACGGCGGTACTCAACGTGCTCAAATCGTGCACCTCGCTCGCCACCGAAAACCAATGCTACACGCTCGCCGATCTGCATCGACGATCGGTCGACTTCTTGCGGCAGGAACTCAAGCAGATCGGCTTCCACCTCACCGGAGGATCGCTGGAGAGGGTGCTGTATCCGCACTACATCGGACACTGGTTGGGCATCGATCTGCACGACTGTGCGAGCGTCGAGAGGACGACGAAGCTGGAAGAGGGGGTGGTGGTGACCATCGAACCGGGTGTGTATGTTCCGTTTGACGATGCGTTTCCGAAGCACTTCCAGGGGATCGGGATCAGGGTGGAGGACGATATCGCGGTGGGCGAGGATGTGAACGTCGTGCTGTCGGCGAGCGCGCCCAAGGAGGTGGTGGATGTGGAAGCCGCGTGCAAGAGGTTCTTGGACAGACGACATAGCGATGCTGAAAGGGTTGGGTGGCAGCCTCGTCTCACGTCGTAGATCTCATTGTTGCCTCTCATTCGTGCTCAAACATCCAGCTTTCCCAGCATCATCATCATGTGCGCTCTTTGACACCTTACCGTCTCCATTGACTGACTGACTGAAGAGCACAGACTCGCGCCTTTCCTCATTGATGGAAGTTTCGATTGATCACATGATTGTTCGACATGAAAGGACGACTTGCTCTGTTGCTGCCTGATCCATTTTCTAGAGGTGAGGAGCTGCCTTACCTCTCAATGCAGCCCTTCACCGTAAACAGCCTTGAAACTCGGCCTGTCGGCAAACGCCTCCCACAGCCCCTTCACCTTGGCGCCGACGCCATCCCCCACGCCACCGGTCCTGACGACCTCATCCAGCGCCTCCAACCCGTGCTTTCCCGTCAACCCGCCCGCTACCGCGCTCAACCTAGCCAACCAGGGCAGGACGTGCAGATCAGCCAGGCTGATCTGATCGCCCAACGCAAAGGGACCTTGCAACTTGGCTTCGAGCTTGACCAGCGTTTCTGCGACCGCCTTCCATGCCGCGTTGGTCGACTGGATGAGCTGCTGCACGCTCTCGGCGTCGTTTTCCAGGTAGGCTTTGGTGAGGAGCGATTGGGAGTCGAGTTTGTCCGCGTACCACTTCTTCAAGTTTTCGTGTACGGCGGAGGATTTCGGGTTGGAAGAGCCGTCGAAGGCGACCGTAGCAGAGTCGTTTTCGAGCAGACTCTTCTGGTGCGAGAGGAGGACGTTGTGACGGTTGGTGACGAATGTTCCCGGAAGAGCTTTGCGAGAAGCTGCAAGTTCGGATTCGGATCTTGCTCCAAGCAGAAGAAAGTTCGGGTCGACAGTGGGAGAGTGCGAGAGAGCGATGATCTCGTCGCTGGCGGCTTTGCCTTCGATGGTAGCGGGTGCGAGGATGGGTGCAGGCGTGGCCGAGGTGTCGGTGACGGTGTTGGAGCTTCGACTCTTGTCGAGGAATTCGAGGATGGCTTTGGTGTCGTTGATGGCGCGGAACTTGGTGGCTACTTCTGCCGAGGTGGTCTCGAGCAGAGGAACAACGAGGGTGGGTACGGTGCCCTTGGAGTTGATGCGGAGGTAGGAGGGGTCGAAGTTTTCGCCCTTGACGAGGTCGACGATCTTGAGGTCGACGTCGGTGGAGGAGTAGCCCTTTTCGACGAGGGCGAGGCGCGGTGCTGATGCCCAGACGGATCCGTCAAAGGTGTACAGGGTTGCTTTGGGTACGTCGGCGGACATTGTGGGTGAGTGTACTGGAATCGAGAAAGGGTGTTGGATGGTGAGAAGGAAGGGGAGAAATGCGGGGGTGAGTGGTTTGTGCGGGCTGCCTGCGTGTTTGCGTCGAGTTCTCGTGTGAGCAGCGTTGGCGCAGAGACAGCTGATGCGCCTCGCCGTCATCCCTCGCGTGCTGCCGCTGCGAATTTCCGCAAACTGCGTATTCCCACGCATTTCTGCCGCCAAACGTCAAACTTGGCCGCACATTACTCCACATTTCTCGCGGCGGTGATCATCATCATTCGGTGCAGCCTTCCTCAATACACCGCCAACGCACTCGCACTCGCCACTCTTGCAGCCTCGCAAAAAAGATGGCGATCACTCTAGGCTCCATCGTCGGTCGGATCTTTGAAGCGCTGTCATCGATCCGACTCGCTCCGCCGGTGCCAACGCCATTCCCAGACCGTCTAGCTGCCCTCGATCCAGCCGAAAGCACGATCGACAACGACATCTACGACACGCAGGCCTTCGACTGGTCTCGGTCAGGGCTCGAGCTTCTCAACCCGGCTCGTGTAGGGTACTTTATGGACAAGCTGCATCGTCGTGTATCTTCGCTCTCACCGGACGAAAAGAGGGAGATCACCATTGTGGATCTGGGTTGTGGAGCTGGGCTGGCCATCGAAGCCATCCACTCGGCCATCCTCCACGCCTCTAGCGGTGAATCTCGCGTCAGACAGACGGATTCGGGGCTGTTCGACGGCACCACGACGTACAAGTTGATCGGAATCGACGTATCCACCCGATCCATCGATACCGCTCGTCAACGCGCCCTCTCGCGCTCCCTCAGCATCGACTACGTCGTCGGCGACATCTACTCGCTTCCCTTCGCCACCTCCTCCGTCGACGCGATCATCTGCTCCGACGTCCTCGAACACCTCTTCGACCTCCCCCTCGCCTTCTCCTCCATCGCTCGCACCCTCAAACCCAACGCCATCTTCTCCTTCGACACCATCAACCGTACCCCCACCTCGTACTACCTCACCATTTGGATCCTCCAGGACATCCTCCGAGCCATGCAAGGAGATGCTCACGATCACAGGTTGTACGTCACCCCGCAGGAAGTACACGCTGTTATGCGCAGCAACGGCTTGAAACCAGGTCCAGAACGCGATCTTGTCGGGATGAGACCGGGAGTCAATTGGCCTCCCGTAGCGTTGTATAGGTTGATGACAGGTGCAGGGTTCATCAATAGCGTCTTGGCAGAGTTTCGTTTGACCAGGGATATGAGCATTTCCTACTTGCATTGGTGCGAAAAAGTCCAGACCTAAGACTTCTCTCGATTGTACAATAGATTCAGCGGTAAAACATCCACCTGCCCTGCACACACAGCCTTCGCTCAAGACTCACATCGTCTAGACTCTTGCGCAATCTGAAGCGAGAAAGAGTCGGGGCCATGAAGCGATGCATTTTCTAGCGCAAAAGGGAACGTATGAGAAAACGAGAAGTGTGAGAGTAGGGAGGATCGTAAATGTACATTTTCAGCAGGACCTATCACATCGGAAATCTTCGATGCAAGAGGGCGCCTTGCTGTTTTAAGTGGACCAAAGGATCAAGTGGCAAACGACGTTTCGCAATCGATACGTTTAAAGACCCTTGGCGGCGTTCTCGGGGCGGAGGGCGCGGACCTTGTGGCCGACCTTCCACATCTCCTGGGCGGCGATGGCGTCAGTCTCCTTGTCAAAGTCCTCGCGGTAGGTCTTGCGGTTTCCGAACTCGAGCGCCCTTCGCGTCTCGCTGCCGTTGCGGACCGACTCGTACAGCTTCTCGAGCACGGGCTTGCAGGCCTTCTCGAACTCGGGGGCCCAGTCGAGGGCGCCGCGACGGGCGGTGGTGGAGCAGGCCTTGTACATGTAGTCCATACCGTTGGCACCGACGAGGGGGTAGAGCGACTGGAGGGCCTCCTCGCACGTCTCGTTGAAAGCCTCCGAGGGCGAGTGACCGTTGGCACGCAGAACGTCGTACTGAGCCTTGAACAGACCCTGGATACCGCCCATCAGGCAGGCACGCTCACCGTACAGATCCGAGTACACCTCGCGCTCGAAAGTGGTCTCGTACAGGTAACCGCAGCCGACGGCGACACCCATAGCAGAGACCTTTTCGAGAGCCTTGCCGCTGACATCCTGGAAGACGGCGATGGAGCCGTTGATACCTCGCGACTCGAGGAAGAGCGATCGGACGGTACGGCCGGAACCCTTGGGAGCGCAGAGGATGATGTCCTTGTCCTTGGGAGCCTCGAAGCCGGTCTCCTTCTGGTAGGTGATCTGGAAACCGTGCGAGAAGTAGAGGGTGTGGGTGTTGGGCATCTTGTCCTTAACCGAGGCGTACACCTGGGCGCAGGCGGCGTCGGAGAGCAAAAGCATGGCGATGGTGGCCTTCTCGGCAGCCTCCTCGATGGGGAAGAGGTTCTTGCCGGGTTGCCAGCCGTCCTCGATGGCCTCCTTCCACGAGGCACCGTCCTTTCGGACACCGACAATGACGTTCATGCCGTTGTCACGGAGGCTGTTTCAGAGACAAAAGTAGAAGAAGCGGGAGAAGGGTATGGTCAGCAATCGATCCAGCTTTCGACAAGTCGGTTCCTGCAAGCTTTCTCTTTCGCATTTTGCGAATCTAGCGACGCTCTGAGCTGCGGAATCGGTACTTTCCGACGAAAACAGCCCTGCCTTCGCACAGAAAGCACCTCCAACCGCAGCTAAGCCCTGAGCGCACATCGAGCCGCAGAGACGCCCAAGATGAAAAGCGACGCTCTTCACAAATACTCACTTGAGACCCTGACCGTGACCCTGGGAGCCGTAACCGAGAATGGCAAAAGTCTCGCCCTTGAAGTAGTCCTGGAGCTTCTCGAGAGGCCAGTCCTCACGCTCGTAGACCTTCTCGGGGATACCCTCGGAGAACTCGATGGTCTTCAAGCCACGAGCGAGCGAAGGCTTGGCGGCGGCCGAGACCATCTTGGTGAGCGAAGGGCGGGCGGTGGCAGCGATCGAGAGCGATCGTGCGGCGCCGGCGACACCGCGGCGGGTGGTGGAGCGCGAGGCGGCCCTGAGGGCGGTGCGTGCGACGTTGGCGTTCATTATGGTGAGGTGAGTGCGAGAGGGTAGACGAAAGGGGAGGATAGCTCTCGGATGGTGGTGATGATGATGAGGAGAGGAGAAGGAAGAGAGGGAGATGTGGAAATTGGAAGAATGTGATTCCACAGAAGCGGAGCGGACAGCACAGACAAGAGTGAGCCAGTGGCACGCAGGCCGAGGCCTTTCTGCGAAGAAAGCTGCTGGCTCGTGACAGGCAAGGGCGGTGGGGAGCCAGTCGAAGCGGACACCGGGAAGAAATGCACGCCTCGCTTGGCCACTCGCTGCCTTCCGCTCGCTGTTCCAAGCGGAGCGGACCATTCAGGACGACGCAGAAGAAAGTTGCAGCACAGCGCGGCTTGCAGACGGGGTTGTGAGTGTGTCTCAACACTGTCTCGCCCGTCTGACCTTCCTGTGTGAGAGAGCCTCTCTGATTGTGGTGACTCTTTCCTGCGCCCTGTCATTCGTCAGGCCAAAAATCTTCACACAGGCCCTTCTGCCACCCCACCTTCTCCCTGTTGCCGCGAGGGACCCTTTTCAATCACTAAGGCAAAAAAAGGGTAGAGCCCAAGTTCTTCTTGGAATACAAAAGTGGAAATTGATCTTCCACTTTTGTATTCCCGCTTTGCCTTCCAATTCAACTTTTGCGTCTCGGTGGTATTTTCTTTTTCGTGAGCCTGCAAGACGAGTCACACTTGACACTAGACTGTGTGTTTGACATGAGGTGCGGGTGATGATGATGATGATGATGATGATGGTCTTCTGCTCTGTGATTGGATCGTCGGCGATGCCCGTTCAAGGCGTCATGCAGACGATGTTGTATGATTGAGACGAGCAAGTACATCCTGGCTCTCGCTCTGTCCTTAATTCGAGATCTCCCTTTCTATTCAAGCTGTGGTCAGTATTGGGTCCAGTAGTCATCTCCGAGCACCTCAGACGGTGTAGTCGTGGTTCTCTTCAACTGTCGACGAAAGTGTTGGTGGGGCAGACATCGACACGACGATGCGCAGGAATCCGGCAAAGGTCCGCAAGGTATGCTCACGCCATCTGTGTGTGTGCGTGAGAAATCTAATCTGACCACCCGACGAATCAGATTCCGCTGGTCGGCTTCTCCCGCATCGACCTTTGTCTCATTGGGCCAGCTTATTCGCCGAACGGCTCTCCACACACTCTCGACTGGCCGTCAAGCTACAGCGCCCGATCTGCTTGCCGGACCAATCACCGTAGACGTGGACGATACAATCGCAGCACAAAACAGTGAACGAAAATCAAGGTCTCGAAAAGCCAGCTCAGAAAGAGAAGAAAAAAAAAAAAACTGCAGCACCTAGGATTCCCGCGTGGTCCCCCACCGCAGTACTGACTAGGCGGTAAGTTGCTTAACTTCGCAGATCGGACGGGATGCGGTGTTTTCAACTTCCTGTGGCCGCAGATGAACTTCTTCGCTCTATCAACATTTATATACACCAGCATTACTATTGCAGACATTGTTTCTGCAACGCACATACACTCCTCTCGAACAACGAAAAGCAGCCCAGACTACGAAAAAAGTGTGCAAATCAAGAGGTATCATTGATAGCGAGCATCGAGAAGATGGGTATGAGTAACTCTTTGCGGAGCGAGAAGAAAGTATGGAAAGCAGACGAGATATGTACAGAAGACAACATGAGCGAGGTGGGAAGGTGCTACGGGTGTGTAGTTGTGTTTTCGCAACAAGCCGTAATGTCCAACGTGTGGAGCACTAGTGAGACTCTGTGGCAAGATGGTCGTCCGATTGCGACGCTTTTGCCAAAAATTCTCGCTTATACATGAGCGGAAGCAGAGCTCTCGAGTCAGATCCGCCCCGCCTACATGTCAGCCAGCTGGCTAAGAGCAGCCGTAGGGATCATGTTGGCACCCCTCGATCCAGACCCGGAAGCGGCAGGAGCCACGTTGGCACCGGGACCCGTGCCTCCCGGAGGCAGATTGTCGTCTGCCGACAGATCGTTGAGGTTCATAGGTACAAAGATCACCTTGCTGTTGGCCGTCTTTGCCATCGCCTGCAAGCTCTCGAGCGCGCGGATCTGCATGGCGCTCTTGGAGGCCAGGATATCGGCGGCCTGGCGCATGAGACGAGCGGCGTCGACTTCGGCCTGGGCGGCGATGACCTTGCTCTCACCGATACGCCTCTGCTTGGCGGCAGAGCTGAGCGAATCCTGCAGCTCCTTGGAGAAGATGATGTCCTTGATGAGGATGCTTTCCACCTGGACACCCCAGCGATCGGCGACGTCGCCAACGATCTCTTGCACCTCGAGCGCAACCTGCTCTCGCTCCGTGACGAGGGATTGGAGCACGCGACCACCGACAACGTTTCGCAGCGTGGTTTGGGCTCGTTCGATGAGCGCCTTTTGTACGTCGTTGATGCCGAAGCTGGCTCGGTACGGGTTGGAGATGTGCCAGAAGATAACGGAGTCCACGAGCACACTCACAGAATCCCTAGTAATGACCGACTGTTGCCCGATGGGAGACGTAGTGATACGGACGTCCACTCGCCTCAAAGATTCTGAGCAAGGGTTGATCTGCGTAAGGCCTGGGTCCTCGCTACGATAGAACTGGCCGAAACGAGAGACCAGACCGACGCTGCCTTGCTGGATCTCCTTGTAAGGGTTGGGGCAGCAGATAAAGCAGGGGATCTGACCGAAGAACCCTGCGACGGCACCGATGCCGTTGATGAGCGAGCCGTAGAAGCCGTGCTGGACGGTGTCGAGGCCAAGGTTCTGCTTGTACGAGGGTTGCATCTCGGCCCGTCGAAGGGGCTGGACGGTCACGAGACCGCCTCCGTTGGAGACAGGAGCGGCGGAGCTGGTCATGGCCGGCTTCTTGGCGGCGGCGTCGCCGTTGTACGAGCTGGAAGGGGGTGCGTCAAGATCGGACATCCTGTTTGTCTGGGTTCGGATTGGATGTTTCGGGTTGAGCGAGAAGAGTCGATGATGCCGAGAATGCCCAGTATATATGCCTTTTGCCGACCGGATCGAGGGGAGGAGGAAGGGCATCCGCCGCCGACAGCTGAGCTAAGTGGAGCAGCATCGAAAAGCGCCAAGCGGAGTGTCAACGAGTGCATCTGCGCAGTGTCTGAGCGTCTGTGCATCCGCTGCATTTGGTGACAGAAAAGACGATTTTCGGCAGGTTCCTGTTCCATGACCCTTGCGCCGCACTCACTCTGTCTGTGGTCTCGTGCCTCGTCCATTGAGACCCAACCACGCAAGACTGCGATCCCCACCCTTTCGGGAAATTAATTGAAAGGCACAGCAAGAAAGACCCTTACAACGCAGCAGGCACATGAGCTCTTTTGTTTCACTGTCGCACCTCTCAAGGGATGATGGCAGAACCGGCAAGGAAGCGAGATAGCCGAGCAGGCAATTCGTGCCGTTTCCCACGGGCTTCGATGAAGCGACTAGGTCTCGCTTCTGCTGCAGTCAACACCGCCTCTCGTCTGTCATGAGTAGGTGGGGGGTCCGGTTTTGCCAAGGCTCAAATGCACGCTACGTGTGCAGCTGACGGTCACGCACTCTTCATTGGAGATGGGATGTGATCAAAGAGGGTAACATTGACCACAAGCCGACAGCAGTGCCGCCAACGCTAAGCGAGGGTAAACAAAACATCACAGGACTTGGACAAGGTGCGTTGGGAATCGCGTCTAGTGAGCATGTAGACCGCTGCCTTGGTAGTGTCAACCTCTGTTGTTTCGTGGTCGTCGACCCAAGCTGACCAGTCGATTTTGCATGCTAGTATACTGATCTGCCCGATCACCAGAGTGATGGTATCCCCAACTTCCTTGGTGAAGAAGAATTTTTCGATCTGAGCGCCGGTGACAGAAATACACTGCTTCTCGTCGATGCGCACAATCTGCATGGGATGTTCAGGAGGTCGTCTTTGTGTCCCGAATTGTGGGCGAAAGACGTTGCTTGTAGAAAGATGTTGCTGGTCGAATGGATCTTGCTGGGGAGTGAGGCGGTGAAGGTGAGGAAGAAGGATAAATTAATTCAGAGTGGAAGCGGTCCTCGAGCTGAGCTGCATTCTATGTGGGCGGCGACTCCGCAGCATCACACGACGGTGCGGATGTGTGTTCTCCGCTCGGCTCGTCCGTCTAGCAACGGTATTGGAAGCACACCGATAACACCAACGCCTGTGCGCCTGTGCTCCACCCCAAAGCGATTTCTACTTGCCCAGCACTCGCATGAATACTCAGCCGCACCACACTACGTCAGTCCTGCATCCGTGTAGACCTCGGATGCTGCGCGAGACATGGCGCTCTTTGTCTTCCATGCACAGAAAAGTCTTTCCCTTTCTGCACAGCCTTGACGCTCAACCGCTACGACATCGGCTTCCACCGGAACGACGAGCATGCATCCGGCTGCTGCCAAGACAATTCCCTTCCGGTCGCCCAAGAACCCCTTACCGGCACAAAGAGAAGTGTCAGCCCCCGCACCTCCTGAAGTCTTGCCGGAACATGCCAGGAGTAAGATGAGAGTCGAGTAGAAGAGTTTGATCAGTGCCCTGTTTGAGCCGATAAGGAGGATCGGAGGTGCAGCTGAAGTGAAAGCTGCGTGGGGTGGTAGGAGTGATCAGCTGACCCCTTTTTTTCCGCGGAATCGGCACGCTACGATAGACAATAACCGGCGGCTGAAGGGTCCTCAGGACACCGCAGCTTCAGACACTCAACAGCGCACAGCCTGGCATCATCCTGCGTTCTGTCTCGATATCTACCATTGCCGGCTACAACTTTCTCGCCGCCGACTTGAGGATGGTCATGACGGCAGGCAACACAATCTTCCTGTTGGCCCTCGCATTGGCCTGCTTGTACACCTTGGCCCACCTTGGTCTCCCCTCTTTGTCGGCCGAATCCCTTCTGCCCTCAGCGTCCACTCCCTTGACCCTCTCCCTCTTCCCGCCTGCACTCTCGGGCAAGCGTTGTCCCTTCCACGGCTGCTCCAACATCAACCTCCTCTCCACCTCGCTCTTGTCCACATGTTCGTCCGCCTCCAACCCTCTCCTCAACTCGTCCCACAACACGCTCGCTTTGCTCTGCTCCAACGTCCTCGGAGCAAAGGCCAACACCAACTCCCTCCTGTGCTTCCCTGCATCCACCTCGCCCTGCGCTACACGGAAGCTCCCCGTCATGACGGCGATATCGATCTCGCGTTCGTGCATAAACTCGTCCAGCGTACTCCACCATTCCGCCCAAGCCTGTTTCACTTCGCCCTTGGGATCGGGAGAATCGGACAGTCGCGGGTGGGGTCGATCCTTGTGAAGCCATTCCGCGATGCTGATGGGTACAGAGGCGAATCCGAGTTTGAGCGAGATTCCAGCTACAGAATCAGTGGTGAAATCAACTTGCTTGTAATCACGTCGCAACAAATCTCGACCGCTGAGATGCGATACCGCCTGCTTAGACCCAGCCAGGATCTGCCAGAACGGCGCCAGGATGATCTTTGCACTGTGCGTCGCCGAATCGATGTCCGTCGACGGATCGATAGACTGAATCGGTTGGATCGACGCTACTTCCGAGGTGTTGGCCAGCGGTGAGAAAGAGAGCGCCGTTTCGCGGATGGAATCGGCTGTGCTCGGGTGGCCGAAGGATGAAGCGGGGAAGAGGGTCTTGACGGCGTCAAAGTCGATCTTGGTGGCTTTGCCACGCGGTGCTTCGCGGAGGTTGTCGGTGTCGATGACGATGGCGCTGATGAGCAGGTCGGCTACCTGGCGCATGCCGACGTCCGTGGGAGAGGCGGTGGAGAAGCGGTGGGCGAACAGATCGGCGATCAGGCTGCTGCAGCTGCCGACGGGATCTTTGGATGGCGATTTGATGATCCTCAGTGCAGCGTCTGCGTGGTCACCAGCGTCTTCGTGGTGGTCGACGACGATGTCGACCTTCCTGTTGGCCGCCCTAGCTCCGCCCCAGGGCCCTGTGAGGGATGGATGATCGACCAGTCCGATGGACACGTTTGCTGAGGGTGAGAACGCGTCGGAAGCGAGGTCGAGTGCGAGCGTGTTCTGGACGTCATCGAGGAAGAAGATGTGCTCGGGGTTGATCCCCGAGGCACGGAAAGCGGCCGTGTTTTCGGGACGCAAGACGTCGTCGGTGTGCAGGCTCTGTATCAACGGGACGTAGGTGGACTGTGGAAGGTTGTAACCGGTAGGTGGACCGAACCTGGAGAGAAGATAGCTCAACGCGATGGCACACGAGGCAGAGTCGAGATCGCCAGCCTCATTGCCCATGATGAGTGTAAGCGTGCCTTGGGAGCTGGATGGTTGTTTGAGGTGGTCAAAGGCATGCTTCTTTGCTTGGACGAGAAACTCGTCGAGCGATGGCGGCTTGCTATCGCCGGTTCCATTGGATGATGTCGTCATAGCAGCAAGAGACTGTTGCGTGGTAGAGGGAATGTGACTTGGAGGTTGACTGTGTCTCCAGTAGACGTAGTCGGTAAAGGAGAGAAAGACGACGGAGGAGAGAGCTACGAAGGTGAGCAGAGCGACGAGACGGAGGATGGCGTGGTTGCGTGCAGCAGCAGCTCTCGTTGTTTGATACGTGTAGATGGGTTGGTAGTGCGCAGGCATACGGGACTGCGCAGCGGGCTTTGTCGTGTGTGATCGAGAGCGAGCAGTGTCGAGAAGCAAAGGTGTCGACATCAAGATTGGCGAGACCAACACGCACTCGCACAGGCCGGCGGCGAAGAAGGATTCACTTCCATCTCCCGAAAATCCAACTTTTTTTTGTTTCGAATTGAAAACGTGGTCAAAAAGCTTATTTAACTCTGCTTCTTTCATTTTGATCGGAGCATCAAAGATCGATCAGTGGACAACGCATCTCGACCTGCATCGACTTGCTGAGTGTTCGGTGAAGTGCATGGTCAACAACATGGTACGCGCCAGTGCGCTGCACAGAATGCACCGTGTTGCGCAGGAACAAGCATCCTGAACCACAAAAACGAGGGCACACCGATGCGCTCGCCGGATAAACAGATTCGTCGAACTGTGTGTGCCTGCAGTGTTGAATATGAAAATCCGTTCTAGATCTCTTTCCATTGGTTTGCCAAGACTCGGGCGCAATCTCCCCGTTTTCATACGCGTCGCAGCGCATTGCTCCAGGCCCTCGGGCCGGAACACATTGCATCAAGAAGCCGATAGTACGGTTGCACAAAACAGCACAGCAGCCTGTCTTGTTCGGCAATATCTTGATTTACAGGCGAGATGTGTTCAAGACCGCGGACCAGGAACCGGTGCGGTACTACCGAGCGGCCACCTTGCCTTGCCTGACCGGGTTTGGTTCCAAGTTCTGTGTCCTCTCCGCCCGGACTCCGGTCAAGTTGTGCATAGCTGCGCTGCTGCTGTGGAAGTTTCCCGGAGAAACTTTGGCACAGATGGATGGCGCTGCTGAGCGAACCAAGGCGTGAATCACCTTCCTGTAGCTCGCTAAGCGCAATTCAGAACCGGCTATCAGCGTCGCATTCCTGCTTTCAGGCATATTTGCCATGACTGCGTCTCACCTCAGAGCTCCATCTCACCTTTCCGCCTTGCTTCTAATTGCTCGACTCTTCACCACCACCACCATTTTCTCAACGAGCCTCGTCTCGATCCTAGTTAGACACGATGGCGGCCAACTTCATCGAACTCGTCCGCCTGCGCTCCACCAGCTCCCCATCCACGTTCATCTCGTGCTCCAACCCCGAAAAGATGGGCAACCCAGCCGACATCGCGTACGGGGGCTGCGTCCAAGCGCTCTCGGTCATGGCTGGCTTCCACTCGATCCACTCGCACCCGAACCTGCTCAACTTCCAGATTCACTCCCTACTCGGCACCTACCTCGGCCCCACGTTGGCGGATCGAAAGGTCAAACTCACCGTCAGCGACATCCGCACCACCCGATCCTTCGCAACCCGTTTCGTGCTCGCTAGTCAGATCTTCGACGACGGTAGCGAGAGAAACACCTTCTGCGCCACCATCGACTTCACAGCTCCCAACAAGATCGATCTCACAAAAGCTGGAGAACCTTTCGACAGGTACGGTAGGAAGCCTAGGATGCAGTATGCTCCACCTGAGCAGCTACCGAGTATGAGGGATATCGTGTTGAGGAAGGTCCAGGAGGGTAAAGTGGATCGGGCGGCGGCGGATTACCTGGAGCAGACCGTGTTCGCCCTGAACGTCAAGACCATCACCAACGTGCATCCTCCGCAAGGATTGCACGCTCAGAACGCTATGGGCTTGGATCCACTCGCAGAGTCCGAACAACATTCTTCCGCTTTGACAGACAGATTCTCCGTCGACTGGGCGAAATCTTTGCAGGACTTGTCATCACCTCCATCGCCACCACCTGTCGAATCGCTGCAGAAATGCGACGAGTTCAAGGATGCGGGAGCACCACTCTCCGTTACATCGGCAGCAGCAAACGCCGCGCTCGTAGCATTTCTCATGGATGGAGCATTGTCCTTCATCCCCTTGACGTTTTCGAGGATGTCGCTGGTGGATGCGAGTGCTGCCTCGTCGTTGGACTGCGCTCTGAGGTACTTTGCCGTACCGGACATGGACGACTTCCACCTGAGGGAGATGCAGACCATCCAGGGTAATGAGTGCAGGACGTACTCCGAGGCCTTCTTGTGGGACAGGAACCAGAACATGGTGGCCAGCATGACACAGGCTTGCGTGTTGCGACCGCACGCTCATAAGTTGTGATGCTCCTTCCTGTAGTGATATCTCCTAGGAGCGCAATTCATAGATGCGATTGATAGGGAATGGCGTCGAGTTCGTCGAGCATGTGAGGGAGGGAGCAAGAAACATGCGTGTCTGTGCGCCTCAATTTTCCTTGCTGCTGGACCCTGAAGGTCGCCATACCAAACGTGTGCATCTCGCTTACAACTTGCACAACGGTCTTGCCTTTTCAATCCTTCCATCTTGCCCACCATCATCTCTCTTCCATCTCGAAACCCCTTGCGGTGTAGCGAGCCGGACCTTCACAATGTCGTCCGCCGACCTGTACGACCTGACGCTGGCCTCGCACCTCATCGTGGAGCAGTTCCTGCTGACCCAAGGCTACACCTCTACTGCGACTCAACTGCGCACCGATGCGGCTGCTGCTGGGCTTGCGCTCCCACCGCTCGGCGCTTCCGAAAGCCCGGACCTTCGATACATTGTCGAGTCGTACCGATCGCGGATCTCTGCGGAAAAGAGGAAAGCCCAATCCATCGCTCGCTCCGCGGTCGCCACCCCGGATCCACTAACCCTTACCCTGCCCGGCCCAGCTACCCTGCCCTACCACCTTTCCGCATCGCATACTACGCTGCACGCCTCCAACATCCTCTCCATCTCCCACCTCCTCCTCCCACGTCGCACCTTTTCCACCACCACCTCTCGCTACACCAACGCCATCCACCCCGCGCTGGTCACCACCGCTGCCGACAAACGCATCGTCTTCTCCAACTCCACCACCGGAGACGTCGAGGAGATCCTGGAGGATCCCAGGGAAGCGCATCAGGCAGCAGTGTTGTGCGTAGCACAGGATCCGCTCGACTCGCGGGTGCTGGTGAGCTGCGGGATGGATGGAAAGGTGGTGGTGTGGGATCTGTTGGAGAGGAAGGTGGTGCAGGTGTTGCAGGAGCACAGCCGGTTTGTGGTGAGGGTGGCGTACAGTGAGAGTGGAGAGTATCTGGCGAGTATCGGGTACGATAGGAAGGTGGTTGTGTACAGGAGGTTGGTGGAGACCATGTTCAGAGCGTCAGGAGAGGAGGAAGAGGAAGAGGAAGAGGAAGAGGAGGAGGTGGAGGGGGTGAAAGGTCCAAGGTACGAAAAGGTGTTTGAGCTCGAAACGAAGAGCAACCCGGAAGCGATACTGTTCGTCGGCGCCGGTATGGCTCCAGTACCAGAAGAGGAAGCAAATGCAGCAGCAGAAGAAGGAGCGGTAGCTCAGACGGCGGCGGAAGCGAAACGAACCTGGTTGTGCTTTACGGTTCGCAACGACTGTTTCCTGCACTACATCGCGCTACCCACCTCTGCCGATTCCTCCCTCCACGATCTCTCCCACGTTTCCCTCCAAGACACTCCTCCTTCCAAATCATCCCACCCCGCGTCTTCTCCAGATTGGTCCCTGCACAGCTTCAACACCAACCCAGACATCCACGACCACCATGTATCCTACTCGCTCCTCTCCCTCACCCTCCACCCTTCTTCCGGTCTAATTTGCATCCAGACTGGCGACCACACCCCTACCTCCCTCTCCTCTTCCACCACCACCACCTCTTCCACTCTCTCTCGCCTCTTGCTGCTACCAGCGCTGTCCTCCCGTCGGGCGCTGACGATCTTCACCGGAGTCTCTACCAGCTCGTATGCATCCCCCCGCCACTCCTGGTTGCCCGACGGCAGTGCCTGCTGGTTGAACTCCGAAGACGGTGTGCTTCGTCTGGTGGATCTCAAGGGAAAGACGAGAGCGAGCGTGCTCGCCCACGGCATCGATTCATCCGGCGAGGCGGCAGGTGGAGAGAGAGACTTGGCTGCCACCTGGACAAGAGGCGGAAATACCATCGTCAAGGACGTTGTGGTGCTAGGAGGGGTGGAAGAGGGAAAGGTCGCTAGTTGTGGGTTTGATCGAACGGTTAGGATCGTCAGTTTGTAAGCGAAGCTCAAGATGGGATGTCTGACTCGACAAGAAGCGAATACAGGGGAAGGCGAATAGAGTAGATGCATTGTACAGATAGAAGCCGTATATACACATGTCTAATCGTTACAACTTGTTCGTCGGCTCATTCGGCATACCCACCGCCGTCGACAACTTCTCATAAATCTGATGACCATGACTAATCGGCGTGAAGTTAACATGCGTCCCCAACGCCCTCGCATCCACCATCTCCGGCACGACGTCCTTCAACGTCGGTGCACCCAACAATCGCATGTTCATCTCCATCTCGGCCTTGAGCAGCTGGATGGCGTGGACCACACCGTCGCTGCCGTACGCCGAGTAGGCGTACAGGAACGGTCGACCGATGCCCACCGCGGTAGCGCCCATGGCGACAGCCTTGAGCACGTCGGAGGCGCGACGGATGCCGCCGTCGACAAAGATCTGGAACATGGGGTTGGGGAACAGGTTGCGCGCGCGCAGCGCGTCGACGACCTCGCCGAGCACCTCGATGCCGGAGCGCGCAAAGTCGAGCTGTCGACCGCCGTGGTTGGAGAGGACGACGCCCGAGAGGCCGAGCTCGGCGGCACGTACGGCGTCCTCCCAGGTCTGAACACCCTTGAGCACGATGGGCATCTTGGTGACGGATCGCAACCAGGTGAGGTCGTCCCAGCTGAGCGATGGGTCGATGAATGACGAGATGGCGCGGGCGGCGCCCTGGCTTCGATCGACATTGTCCTTGTTCTGGTTCTGGTGGTCCGAGCCGACGTCGTCGAACTTCATCCTCATGTCCTTCTCGCGTCGTCCGAGCTGCGGTGCATCGACGGTGACAAAGAGACCCTTGACGCCGGCGTCTTCGGCCTTTTGGATGATCTTTTCGGTAATCTTGCGGTTCGAGTTGACGTAGAGCTGCATGAACTGCACCTGGGTGTCGTTGACGCGCGCGCCGACGATCTCGTCGAAGGAACACGAGGCGAGGGTGGGGATCATCTGGATGATGCCCTCCTTGCCGGCAGCGACGGTGAGGTTCTTCTCGCCATCCGGGTGACCGAGCTTTCCGAGAGCGGTGGCGGTGATGTATACGGGAAGGGTGGATTTCTGACCGAGCAGGGAGGTGGAGTAGTCGACGTGGCTGACGTCGCGAAGGATGCGAGGGCGGAACCAGATTCGACCGAACGCAGAGGTGTTTTCTCGCATGGTGACCTCGTCATCGGCACCCGACGAGTAGTAAGCCCAGGCGGTGGGCTTGAGCACGCGCTTGGCGATCACCTCGAAATCGTACAAGTTGAGGCATTGCGAGAGGGGAGGCACGCCACCGTCGTCTTGAGGAGCGAGCCGCTTCTTCTCGACCTTTTCCTCCTTCTGGATGGTGGAAGGGTCTACGGGGCCGAGGCACTTTTCCTTGGGCAGGTTCTCCTCGAGGGTTCCGGGCGGGTGGATGGGGTCGTACTCTTCGGTGGCATCCTTGCCGGCATACTTGAGAATGATGCCGGCTCCACCGGGGTGTTCGGGAAGGAACTCGGTGACGTCGTAGGCGTTGCCGTGGACGATGACCCAGCACGAGTCCTTGTTGTTGTGCTTCTGGACCTCTTCGAACTTGAGCATGGTGGGAGCGGCGGGTCGGAGCAAGGGGGGCAATGGTGTGGTGGTTGGATGACTTGAAGGGTGTGACTGACGTATATATCGGATGTGGCGAGTCGAGTGAGAGTCGGTGACTGTGGGGAGAGACGGCGATTCCGTGCCAGATTGTCTCGCTCGGAGTTGCCGTCACTGCCGTTGTGAGTGCGTGAATGTGCGGTGGCCCAGCGTGGGGTAACTTGACTTTTTCTGTCCAACGACGCAACCAGCCGATCCGCAAGAACCAATCCAGTTTCGAGCGTTTCTCATTTTCTCGCGGAAGCGCATGCATAAGCGGTTTTACGCCGCGCCGTCGTAGCTGTGCCCGCGTCGCTGTCTCGTCCTTCCCACTGCGATCATCCACGACGACGCTGCTTTTGCCACAACTCGTTTGATAGTACCATGAGAATGTTCTGCTGAGCAAGCATCGTTGGCGCGCACACAGTACGATATCGCTCAAGTCGGAACCTCTTACGCGGCAACTCGTTCAACGACCCCACGCCAAGAGACGTCGACAGCATGCATGTCTGGTTGTGCAGCCACAAAGCGGACAACCACGGACAGACTTGACGTATGCATGTTGCTATCTCCCGCTTGGCTCCACGATTTCGGTTTGGGCGAACCGAGGCAAAGAAAAAGTAGATTCGTCGGCAACCACTCAGACGATTCTGGCAAGGGTCATTCGCAGAGCGGTGCGGGGAATCGGCTATTCAAAATTTCTGCGCTTTCTGGTCTCTGCCAAACCGCGTCGGCCGCTGACGGAGATGGAGTCTTCGGGCGTCGACGTGAGTCTCGCATCACAGTTAGCTAAGCGAATCTCACCGCCGATCCCGATCTTTTCTTCGCATGCACACAATCGTACACTCATGAAACAGTCCAAAACCTAAGATCTAGCTGCTGCACTGGAAGGCCATCTGTAAGAGACCGAGTAAGATGCGAGCTCACACAGATCTTTGAATTTGCAGTGGACATTAATGCAATGGTAGGCCAGCCCGCCAATGAAGCTTCGTTAGCGTAGTTGGATTATCGCATCCGTCTAATACACACGGTGCCTCAGTTTACTGAGTCGAGAATATTACTTCAACGGAAGGTCACTGGTTCGAGCCCAGTACGGAGCATTCTTTTTTTGCTCTCATCATCGGGAAGTCATCAGCCGAGCCAGATTTGTGCCCACCTAAAGTTGATTATTGTTTTTTGTTCGACCTTGCAGCGTGACGGCCAATTGTTTAGAGTGTACATGCATGAAAGATTACGCAGGAGCGCGAGATAAGACCTCTCCCTCCTCGAACAAGCCTTATCGCTTCTCCTCCCGTGATCGATCCCGCGATCGGTTCCATGAGCGTCGCGACACGCATCCAAGTATCACAAAAGGTGATGCTAAGGTCGCCCAGCAAAGCGGAAAGGGGCAAGCGTCGCTTTCTTGCCGTCACATGCCCAAGGAGGGGGGGGGGACGGGAATGCAGGATCCAGGCGGCCCTTCTCAGCGAGAACACCTGCCACCGTTGTGCGACTGACGCCCAACAATCAGGCATGCTCGCTTCGTAGGCTGGCCACATCAAAAGGTGGCGCGGCACAAAGTTGGCCGAGCCGACGCCGTCTCGCCGTCTCAGCGTCCCTATGCTACAGGACGTTACTCCTGTATTGTTCTTTGCATCTTCACGCAAAGTCTATCTCCCACACGCTCAGCACAGTCTTTGGCTTGGAGTGTCGAGCGACTGTGTCAGGTGCAGGTGCACTCGCAGACCGCCGCTTCTAAGGTGGTTGATGCCACAAAGACATCGCGCAATGAGATGCACCCACAGATGAAGGGCGCCGACCAGCTCGCCATTCTGACCGGCGATTTGTGATTTGCCTTCTGTTCAGCCAAAAGCCATGATGGGAGCCGCCGCCGATTGGGTAACGCGCGGACTCGCTTGCTTCATCGCGCGTTGCCCTCGCGCTGTGCTGCCAGTCTGCCACTGCAATGTGATCATACAGTGACTTCTCCCAACACTCACTCACTCGACTGGTTGATTTTCTTTTTCCTGATCCTATTTTTTGCGGATCAGACCCTGACTGTCCAATTGTATCTTTTAGCCCGCAGCTCGGTGGGGACGTGCAACGAGGCTTGCGGCAGCTCACCAGTGTCGCGCCGTTGGGGCTGTCACACAAATGCACCTGCGTGCTCGTGCATATCCACGCATCCGCCCTAATCAACGCCTGCCAGGGTCGGCTCAGTCATACGAGCCACCGCCATCGTCCCCATCCTTTGCACCATCGTCCGACTTCTCTCATCTCGTCTCCTCTTCTCTTCACTTCTCTCTCTCCGCGATACATCCTCATCTTGTATCAGAGCATCCACCATCTCGATTTCTCACTCTGGCGACCGCGAGAATCGGTTGACCTGACGACCCGCACTCACTGTCATCCGGACTCACAGGCGATTACTTGAATACAGCAACCATCTGCTCCGCTACTTCAAGCCTCTTCGAGCAGCACCGGCTGTTGCTCCGCATCCTTGCATCGCATCGACACGATTCAGCTCTCTTGTCAATACCGCCATCTTGTGACCATCTCAGCAACCGACTTGATCAATAGCTAACCGCCACCCTATCTCAAGCCTCCAGCGATCCTCTCCGACCCATCGACAATGGCTTTCGTTCATCATCAACCGCGGCAACAGCGTCGAGAGCGTCAGGGCCATGTCCCCGACTCGGTCTCCACCACCTACGCTTCGGCACAGCATCGACATGATCGCGAGGTACCACAGGATTGGAGCATCGTCTTTCCTGGCAGGTCGCGTGAGGCGCCGCCATCGCCGACCCTCCAGCATGCATCCAGCATCACTCGCCGCCCATCGTCACTCGCCTCCTCCTCGACAGATCACAGCGACGACTCGGATCCACTTGCACTCACGCTCCCGCCGCTTCACGATGGAACCGGCCGATTCCTCGCCTCTCCACTCAGCCCTTCCTCCACCGATGCTGCTTCCGTCGATGCAGCGCCCCAGCACAGCGGGGCAGACGACGATCGCCTCTCCGACGCTCGTCACTCCGAAGATGTGTTTCCAGAGTCTGTATTCAGCGGCACCGACTCACAGCTCGATGCGGATGAAGAGCTCGGCTTCGGCTCAGGTTCCGATTTCGACTTTGAGAGCGACGCTGCCGCCTCTTCCCATCCTAGTCGAAGCTCCGCCCGACGAGGAGCGCTTCGCACAGCATCGCGCAGACGGCCTTCCAAGTTGAGCCACGTGAGCATCGGAAGCGACGATGATGAAATCAGCGAAGCGGCACGATCCCAGTCCCACAGTCACATGCTTGGAAGCAAAGCGTGGTCTCTTCTGGGTCGCAGCAACGCATTGGAGCGCGTCCCCGAAAGCCCCTCTGCTTCCACACAGCTCTACTCGAGCGCTCGCTCCAGTCGCCAGATGGGACGATCCCGTCGCCTTGGCAACGACCTCGCCGTTGTCTTTACCAGCGGCTCTGAACGAGAAGACAATGACGGTCACGACCTCGACCGCTCGCGAGACACGGCACGTCACGATGCCGATGCGGCTTTCGACGCCGATCTCGCGGTGAGCAACCTGGCTCAGAGTGCCGGGTTGTCCCACCTGGAGCACAGCGATCTGCTTCGCCGACCCAAGCGCAGACACCGACGCTCGGCAGCCGGTCGTTCGAGCAAGCGCAGCAACACCTCGCAGTCGTTGCTCAGCATCGATTACGAGTCGCGCCTGCTCACGGGGCATCACCGACACCAGGCCGACGGGCATCGCCACGCTGATGGAGCAGAGACGCCGCGATCGTCGACACAGGCATCGAGGATGGTTCAAGAGCATCCGTCCAAGACCACGCGAGTGATCGGCACCATCTTGCGCAAAGTGTTTGACCTCGAGCCCGAAGTGCTCGAAGCGTTTCTGCAGGAAGATGCCGAGCGACAGCAGCGGTCTGGAGCGCAGAACAACACGGCTAGGACGTCTTCAAGGCCAGGTTTCGCCTTCGAGGCAGCAGAAGCGCCGCTGGCTTGCGCTCCGCTGTGCGATGCAGCAGCGGCAGCGACGGCGTCATCATCATCATCTTCGTCCACGATGATGCTGGATGGCCGGAGCGAACATGAGCGTGTGCAGTCTTCGTCAGACGACCAGACCGAAGTCGAGGAACGAGGTAGCATTGCGCTCGATCCCTCGACATCGCCGCTGTTCTCCAACTCGAAACCAGTCGAAGGCGAAGAGATGGGTGACACGAGCGGACTGCGACTCACCGAAGCTGCTCTGCTCCAACGCGGGTCGGTGTCTACCCGTCGAGCAAGCGGTTCTTCTTCGCTGATGGAGCCCACGACGATGGAAGCGCTCTCTGCGTTTATGAACACCATGGTGATGCCGGTACCCATGCCGCTGCGATTGCTTGGAGCGCTGTTCGGATGGTCCAGCATCTGGTCCTCTTCTGCGAGCAAGGTGGGCTCCGAAGAGCGCGATGCAGCAGCAACGACAGCGACGATGGGGGAGCAGGAGGAAGATGAGGCAGCTAAAAGGGATGCAGAGGAAGAACGCAGGTACAGGTACGAACGGCTGCTCAGTGCGCAACAGGCCAAGGCGTGGAGTAGGAGGTACAGGGGGATCCTCTTTGCCAACGTCGACGACGAGGAGCCGAGTCCGGATGTGCCGGAGCTGTGGAGGGGCGAGGAGCATCCTGCGATCGCTGGACAGAGGGATGTGTGAATGAGCATCGCCGTTGTTGAACATCGTTAGCATCTGTCACAGTCGACTATGAATTCTAGCATTTGCGTTTTTGATGTTTGACAGGAACGGTGTGGAGTAGAGAGACATGCCCGCGGAACAGGGGCCTGCAGAACATTGAGTAAGCGCGTTGGCAGTTTTCCTTTCACGGATGTCTGTTTCATTTCATACACGGCTGTGTGCGGCGGAGAATGGAACATGAGAATTGGTAATTATGTGGGATGATCAATGCAGGAACCGTGGAAAAGGGTGGAGATCGAGGATCTGGTAGATGTATGTGCACGAGCCGGCGTTGGGCTTCCACCCCTCGCGAAGGTTCCTTCCTCTCTCTCTCTCACTCCGTTCCATCTAGACGTACCTTTCTTTACCTTTCGTCGACAAAAGATGAAGATCGCAGTAGTAGGAGGCGGCGTATCGGGTTTATCGTCGGTATGGGCGTTGAACGAGTACTCGTCGCACGAGGTGCATCTGTTCGAACCCTCCGCGTGGATCGGTGGACATGCCAATACGGTCACCTTCACCTCGCCCAAGTCGGCGTCTCCTGATTCGGCGGAAGCTACACCGGTGGATATGGGGTTCATCGTGTTCAACCGGGTGACGTATCCGAACTTCTTGCGGTTTGTAAAGCTCGTTGGGGTGGAGATCCTGGACAGCGACATGTCGTTTAGCGTCACACGGTGGTTGCAGGGATATGGAGGGTTCGAGTGGGCTGGTGGTTCCCCGCAAGCTCTGTTTTGTCAAACGAGCAATCTGCTCAACCCAGGTCATTGGAGGATGGTGTGGGACATCGTACGGTTCAACCAACAATCGGTCGACTACCTGCGGGAATCTCGCTCCAACCCGTCGGACGCTGCGGAGATCTCGATAGGAGAATGGTTGGACGCAAGAGGATACTCCTCCTCCTTTCGACGGAACTACCTCATCCCGATGACGGCTAGCATCTGGTCCACCGCCCCGGATACAGCGTTATCCTCCTTCCCCGCTCTCACCCTGTTGCGCTTCATGCACAACCACCACCTTCTGCAGATACTCGACAGACCCCAGTGGCTGACCATCAAGAACGGGTCCAAGTCGTACGTCGATCGCATCCTCTCCAAGTTGCCCGAGGAACGGTTGCACCAGGGAAAACAGACGGGTTGTGTCACGGCAGCGTGGATCGATGGGAGGAATGCAAAGTGGACGATCAAGACGGCCGATGGCGTCAAGCATACCGGTTGGGACCGAGTGATCTTCGCCTGCCATGCGGACGACACGCTCAAGATGCTCGTCGAAGGCGAGGCGGAGGGGTTGAGTCTGGGTCGAGAGGTGATGGAGACGCTAGCTCGGTTCGAGTTCAGCGAGAACCAAGCTGTGCTGCATGCGGATACGAGGTTGATGCCCAAGAGGAGGCAGGCTTGGAGTGCGTGGAACTTCCTCGCCGAATCCGTCTCCTCCAGCAAAGAGATCGGTGTCGATGGCAAGCAGATCAAGGATGCTGGGGGAGAAGACGTCGATCGAGTATCCCTCACCTACTGGATGAACCTGCTGCAGTCGCTTCCCGAAAGAACCTACGGGCCCGTCCTCGTCACACTCAACCCGACCACCGACCCATCCTCCCCCTACACCCCCCGCCCCGACCTCGTCCTCCGCCGTCACTCCTACACCCACCCGCTCTACACCCCCGACTCCATCCTCGCCCAATCCCACCTCCGCACACTCCAAGGCACCCGCGGCGCATCCTTCGCCGGCGCCTGGACCAACTACGGCTTCCACGAAGACGGCTTCACCTCCGGCCTCCGCGCTGCCGAAGCCATCGACGGCGTCTACCTGCCCTTCGACGTCAAGGACGCCGAGAGGGAGGTCCCCAAGAGCAAACAGTTGGCGTGCAAGCTGGTGGAAGCCGTGGACGAGTACGGCAAAGCGTGGGTGGTGAGCCGGTCGGTGGGCGTGGTGTGGGTGCTGCTGGTGCATGTGCTGGCGGTGCTCGAGGTGGTATTGGTCGTGGTCGGCGGTAGGAAGGAGTGGAGCGATGGGGTCAGGACCGTCAAGGGTCACTTTGCAGAGTCGCTCGGGACAGACAACAAGAAGAGGATCAAGTCGACTTGAACAATCCTTCGTTTCGCTCTCACACACATGGCAAGGAATCAGTCACGACGCGGAATAGAATGCCATTTGCCTTTCGCTTTCTCTCACATTCACTTGGCCAACAGTGTCTTCCAGAAACCCTTGACCTTTGCCTTCGCTCCACCACCATCGACGTTGCTCTTGGCCACTGACACCCTTTGCTGCAGCCACTCGATGATAGCCGCATTTCTCTCACCCGTATCCAGATCAACCACTCGGTAGTCGCGATCCTTTTCGTAGTTGAACCAACTAACTCCGGTCATCCACTTGAGACCCTTCTTGGCCTCTCTTCCGGTGACCACGTCCAACCACCTGAGCCTGACCTGCTGCAGGTCGACGCCCTGTTCGACGTCAAAGTGCAAACCCGTCTCGCCCAAAATGAACGGCCTCTCTGCGGACGCATACCTATCATGAACCTTTTTCATCTTTCTCACAAAATCGCTTGGATCGAGACATCCCGGAGCGGGGCAGTAGTAGTCGATGCCGACGTAATCGATGTGGTGGAGCGTGGGTAGGAAAGTCTTGTACTCTGCATCAGCGCCAGAAGAGGTAGAGGCGATGTTAGGACACCAAAACATCTTGATCCTCGAGGCATACTGGGGCGGTAAAGCGCGACAAGCGATTGCGACCTGGTCGAATGCGGCCCTGTAATCCCAGCCTGGATCGGCGGTGTTGGTAGGGGGAGGGTAGAGTCCCGACTTGATGTAGTAGTTGACCTCGTGTCCAAACCTCAACCTGATCTCGGCGATGGCGAACTCTGCGTTTGCGTCCTCGCCGACACGGCTCCTGTCGAGCATGTTCTGCATGACTTGAGCCACCTCTTTAGCCTTGACATCGTTGTCCGGCGTGTAGCCCTGCCAGCTCTGGAAGGGCATGACCGAGGCTTCGTAGATCAAATTGGCGCGGCGATCGCATCGATCAAATTCTCGCTTTAGATCGTCGACGAGAGGCATGAGCTGAAAGCCGTCAAAGGTCTCATGGGGGTAGGTCTGAGCGTACCATCCGACTACATTGATGGCGAACGGAGGCGTGTTGCCGGACGACGAAGAAGAAGAGGCAAGGGCGGAGTTGAGGTCGGAGAGGTAGGATTTGCGACCACCAGCATCACCTTCGTCCGGGTAGAAGCCGATGGTGATGTCGTTGACTACGAGCGAGGTCATCCTGCTGCCACTGCTGAGCGATGGTGGTGGTGATGAGGGAGAGACATGGTGCGACCGAGTGATGAGTTGGACAAAGGGGTGGGGCTGTCGGTTGTCGGGATCGAGAAGACTTTGCTGTGCAACGCTGCAATCGAGCATATTCAGGGTCCAACCAAGCTGCACTCACTAACTTAACCGGCGGCGGCTAAAATTACAATTTCAAGCTTAGCCACCCGATAGACAGCGCAGGCATCGGGTGAAAGTGACAATCGAGATGAAATTTTTACTTTGTTGAAATCGCGCCAAATTCTTCTCAGCCAAAAAAAGAGAAAGTTTGGCATTTCTCGACTTCGTACTGCTTTGCCGCCTCTCTCTCTCCCTCCCTCCCTTCTTCACTTGTTCTTCCAACACCACCATTCACACAGCATCTCGCAACCTCATCCCGGATCACGCAACGATGCCGTCTGCCATCGTTTCAGACGCCACCACTTCCCTCGACGGAACGGCCCTCGCCTCCGCCTCCACCTCCAAATACAAAACCACCTCGGTCGACCAAGGTCCCACCCCTTACCAGTTCGATCTCGGCCTGCTCACCTCGATCAACCCCAACCCTCTCACCTCCACCTCCTCCCCCTACCTTCTCTCCCGCGCTCGAGATGGAGTCCAGTCTCTCGTCAACAAGATCTTTGCGCTTCCCATCACCCGCGATCCCGAAAACGGTCCCCTCGCAACGCTGCCTGCGTTCACCTCGAAGCTGCCTCGTGAGAAGAGCATGCCCAAACCCAAACCGATGACCAAGTGGGAGAAGTTCGCCAAGCAGAAGGGCATCCAGTCCAAAAAGAAGGACAAGATGGTGTTCGACGAAGCTACCAAGGAGTGGGTTCCTAGGTGGGGCTACAAGGGTGCCAATAAGGATGCTGAGGATCAGTGGATTCACGAGTTGAAGAACAACGGCAATACCGACTTCGACCCCGCCAAGACCGCCAAGAAGGAACGTCTCGCCAAACAGGCCAAGAACGAAAAGCAACGTCTCGGAAACCTCGCCCGCGCTGCCGCCGCATCCACCGCTTCCTCCTCATCCTCGAATAAAGGTGGTCTCGGAGACGCCAACGCCGCCAAGCTCGCCCGCGCCGCAGCCCGCGAGAAGCGCAAAGCCGAACTCGAAGCAGACGTCCTCCGCTCCAGAGCCAGCACCGCCTCCATGGGCAAGTTCGACAAGACGCTCAAGGGAGAACACAAGCAGAAGGGTCTCAAGCGCAAGTTCGATGCCAACGAAAAGGACGTCGGCAAGGAGAGGGAGAGCAACCTGGCGCTGTTGGAGAAGCTGGGTACCGCAAAGATGAGGAAGAACGCCAAGTTGGCAGAGGGCCAGGGCGATAGGGAGCTGGTGAACGCGAGGAAGGCGGTGCAGTTTGCGACGGGCGGGCATGGCGTGACGAGTATGGGAGCGAGGGGGGCGAGGAAGGGCGGTAGGAAGTGAACGGGGTTTTGTTGGATGTGTAGTTTTCGCGAATACTAGCCGTGTGGTGGCTGATCTGAGAAAGCATACGTGCTTCTTCGAGTGTGCAGTGTGTGTGTGTCAATCGCTGCAGCGCCGTCTGAGGAAGCTGAGATCAACACCGTCTTGCGGTCCCGACCACCTCGACCTCCAACTCTCACCGAATCCCACGTCACAAATCACGACCACACACCTACACTCACACACCACTTGTCTTCTCCAACGTCCTTTTTCCCCATTCTCTCTCTGTTTGTGCATCTATTCTAATCCCACAACTTGATCAGCCCATCCCAGCCCGCCGTGACAACCTTACTGCTTTCCCTGGTCAACCACACGTGGCTGCTCACCGCCTCCGCATGCGCCCCTCTCAACCGCTTCAACAGCCTGGCGCTCTTCCAATCCCAAAAGCACACATCGCCCTTCCCATCACCGCTACTCACAAATCTTCCATCCGGGCTCCACCCAACCTCACAACCGAACCCAGCCACATTATGACCCTTGAACACCTTCTTCCGATTCTGCTTCATCCCATCCGCAGCGAAGGCGAGGATCGTATTGTCCATGCTCTGCGCAACCAACCACTTCCCGCTCGGTGACAGCGAAACGCTCGGCATGGAATGCATCCCCGGATCCGCCACGTATTTCACCACCACGGGAATATCGTAGTCCCACACCCGCAGCGTCTTGTCGTCCGAGGTAGAGACGAAGCGTCGATCGGCGTCGACGAAGGTGAGCGTGTTGATCGAGCCCAGGTGCGAAGTGTATTCTTGGGTGATGGTGGAGGTGGGGATGTGGTATTGGAGGATCTTCTTGTCGGACATTCCGGCGAGGAAGGTGTCCGGTTGCGAGGGGTGAAAGGTGAGGCAGTTGGCGGTGGAACCGGGGGTGAAGGTCGAGAGACACGCGCCGGTCTCCGTGTCCCAGAGCTTGATGTGTCGGTCGTAGGAGGTTGACAAAAAGCGGCGACCATCGGGTGAGAAGGCGACGTCGCGTACACCTTGCGTGTGACCCATAAAGGTTCGCAGACACGCCCGATCGTGGTAAACATCCCACAGCTTGACCGTCGTGTCCAGCGAAGCCGAGAGCAGCAGATGCCCGGAACCCGGTAGGAGCTTGACGGTGGAGATTCCCTTGGTGTGCCCACGGAAGGTGTGGATGCACGTTTTGGGCAGGAAACACTGCTGCTCGCCCGGCTCGCTCGACAGGTTGACGTCGACGTCGGTGGGCACGTGCATGTAGGTGCGCCCCTGGTAGTCGTACATGCTCTTGCCGTGGAAGATGCTCTTCTCCGTCACTTTTTCGGGTTCTTCCTCCTCGGCCTTCTTCCTCTCTTGTTCAGCGCGAAGCTTGTCCTTCTCCCGTGCATCCGCCTTGGCCTGCGCAGCTTTCAACTCTTGTTGCGTCGGACCAACGCTCGAATCCTCTCCCAACAACTGCACAGCCACATTCTCGTCTCCTTTCCACTTCGCCCACGGACCGACGTACGCCCCCTCTCCATCCACCACACCCGGATCCCCAACCGTCCCATCCCGTTTCTTCTTCCTCGCCTTCTCCGCACCAGCACCACGATACACCGCACCCTTAGCGGCACGAACGTCCGCCGCGCTCGCGCCTCCCATCATCGCTGCTGCCCTCTGATCACCAACGTACTGCGATGATCCAGCCAGCGAGGGGTCTCTCGCATACCCGTATATGTGGAAGGTGCGTTGCTGGTTTCGGAAGTCAAAGTCCGAGACGGCGGTGGACTCGACGTGACCGGTGACTGTGTTCTGCTGTGCTCCGAGGGTGTGTGGGGCGAACGGGTTTTGTGGACCGAGCTGGGGTGCGGTCATGTCGGCGTAGGGGATGTTGACGTGCATGGTGGTGTCGCCGGGTCGCATGAGCAGCGCTTCAGCGGCGGACGAGTTGTCGATGACTTTGGGCGCCAGAGCTACTGCGGATGAGGAAGCTTGGGTCGAGGTCGACGCTGATGGTGTTGCGGCCGCATCGGTGCTATTGTTCTTCCTTGAAGCACGGGACTTGCGTGGGGAATGGTCGACTGGTGGCTGAGGTGTGTTATGTGAAGTTGACGCCTGCTGGGCTTTGAGGCTGCTCAACCCGAATGCGTCGGATGGATCGTACTCCAATGGCTCGGTGCTGGTCGGCGTCCGGCGGGTTTTGACGAGCTTTGGCGCCGATTGCTCTGCAACATCGCTGTCGTCTGAGCTGTACCCTGCGAGTGCATCCATGTCGAGCGTGTGTTTTGCTGTGCAAAGCTGATGGTTGGTCGTTGGAAGAAATGGTTGCCGAAGAAGCTGAGCATCCTTTGACGTGCAGTTTCAGGTCCGATTTCCGAAGTTTGAGACTAAATTTTGAGAAACGCTTTCAGATTTTTGGAGGGAGCTTTTCTTCTTGTCCTTTCCCATACCTTGCTCCCATCACCTCGTCCTCACAAGCATCGTCAAGAACATTTGAAAGATGCCGTTCGATCCACGCACAAAGTCGCGCAACACCACGACCCTGCCCGCTGCCCTGCGCGACGAGCTCGGACTGGCAGCTCCTTCAGCACGCAAGCGTCACGATCGCGCTCAGCGATTCAACCCACACACTGGCTCGAGCAGACCTCAGCTCAAAGCGATAGGTCGACCGCAGAGCGCCTTGAATGGAGCGCAAAAGGGGGCCACCAGAGGTCCGATCAAGTCGCTGCGCAATCAGGAGAAGGAGCATAAGGAGCAGTTGCGCCAGCAGCGCTCGCATCCCGCTTCGGCTCCACCTCAGCACAAACAGCGTCGTGTCGAGGCGAGCAACACTGCTTCTTCGCACGCCTCTTCATCACGCAGGCCAGAGACGAATGACGAAAAGCCGCAGCAGAAGAGGAAGTTGGAGAAACAGCCGGAGAAAACGCTCAAAGTAATCAAGAAACCCAAGAGCACCTCATCTAAAGCAGCAGACGAATCCGAACCCATCGAACCCAAGACTCGACTCAACCCCTTCACCGGCGAGCTCGAACTCATCAGACCCTCCCGAAAGAAGGCCACCTCAGAGAAGCCGACAGCCCTCGAAAAGATGCTAGCACGAGCGGAGGCAGGTCCCTCGTCATCGTCTCGATCCCGGTCCACCGACATGCACGCTGGTGGCAAAAAGAAGAGCAGAAGGAACATGAGTCAGCAGGAGAAGGATGAGGAGGACGAGATTCGCTGGCTCGAATACAGTCTCGGTAACAGCAGGAAGGGGCAAGATGTGGTCAGGGATGATTTGGACGACTTTCTGGACGACCTGGACAAGTTCCAGGTCGGGATGTATGATGAGAGTGATAGCGAAGACGAGGATGAAGAGGAAAGCGATGATTCTGGGCTGGAGGAAGTGACTGCGAGCGAGGAGGATGAGGACGAGTCGGAGGAGTCTGAAGGGAGCCAGAGCGAGAGCGAAGCGGAGAGTGCAAGTGAGGATGTGGAAAGCGATGGTGATATGGAAGGGGTGGATGGAATGTACGAATTCGATTCGAATGACGAAAACGATTTCAGCAATTGGGATGCCGCTATGGCAACGACGGACGAAGAAGAGCAGCAAGGCGATGACGATGACGAAGAGGAGCTCTCCGAAAGCGACGACGGTTCAGAGGCCGAAGAGGCTCGCGCTCTCATCGATGGAGCTGCATCGACATCTTCAACCTCAGCAGCTGCTGCTCCTACTGCGACTACCACCGCCACCACCTCAAAGTACATCCCACCAGCACTCCGAGCCAAACTCGCAGCCGAATCCTCTTCCGCTCCCACCCATACGTCTGCCTCCGCTCCACTCACCACCGACCTCGAAATGGACCCCATCGCCTCCCAAAAGCTGCGCCGCCAAGCTCAAGGCCTCCTCAACCGTCTCGGCGACGCCAACATCGAAACCATCCTCACCGACTACGAAGCCCTCTACCGAACCCACCCTCGCGCACACGTCACCTCCACCATCACCCAGCTCATCCTCGACACCGTCACTTCGCGCTCCAACCTCGTCGACACCTTCGTCATTCTCCACGCTGCGCTCGTGGCTGCGCTTCACAAGGTGGTCGGTGTCGAGTTCGCTGCCTTCTTCGTGCAGCGTCTCGTGGAGGAGCTGACGAAGCACTACACTGCGTTGAACGAACGCGGGGCGGGGGGAGGAGGGGAAGAGGAGGGTGAGGAGAAGGGAAAAGAGTGTCTGAACTTGACGGTTCTGGCCTGCGAGCTGTACAACTTGCACGTGGTGGCTTGTCCCCTCATCTACGACCTCATTCGAATGTTCCTCGGCCAACAACCCACCACCACCACCGCCATGGACAAGGCTGGCGTCACTGAGGTGGATATCGAGTTGCTGCTGAAAACCATCCGATCGTGTGGCTTCCAACTTCGATCCGACGACCCCACCTCGCTCAAGTCCATCATCTCTCTCACCCAATCCCGCGTCGCCTCCTCCTCATCTACCGCCACCTCCACTCGAACCAAGTTCATGCTCGAACGGATGACAGATCTGGACAAGAAGTCGACCAGCGGTGGTAAGGCGGGTGGTAACGATGCTTCGAATGCGAACAGTGCGGCGGGGCAACTTTTGACGAGGATGAAAAAGTTCTTGGGAGGGTTGGGCAGGAAGCGCACTGTCAAGGCGCACGAAGCGTTGAGGATCGGGTTGAAGGATCTGCAGGATGCGGATCGGAAGGGCAAGTGGTGGTTGGTGGGTGCGGCGTGGACGGGCCAGAGCGATCAGACGGATGCGCAAGGTCTGACAAAGTTGCTGCCCATGAACGCACGTGCTTCCACGCTGCAATCCTCCGCTTCTGCGCAAACTCCACCCGAAGACCCGCACCACACCGAGCTGCTCTCCCTCGCCCGTGCACAGGGGATGAACACCGACACCCGCCGTCTCGTCTTCATCACCCTCCTCACTTCGGCCGACTTCCGCCAAGCTGCCGAGAATCTGCTGCTGCTCAAACTCAACGACACCCAGCGTCGCGAGATCATCCGCGTCCTCATCCACTGCCTCGGCTCCGAATCCACCTACAACCCGTACTACACGCTCATCGGTCAGGAGATCTGTCGCAACCACCACGGCATGCGCATCACGCTCCAGTACTGTCTCTGGGACTTCCTCCGCGAGATAGGTCAGAAGCAGGTGGGCGGTGAAAAGTTCTCCGCTGCGCTCTTCGAGAGCGAGGATCAGAGTGGCGCGAAAAAAGTGGATCCGAGAAGGATTGGGAACATGGCTCGGGCGTACGCATGGTGGATCTCGAAGGAATGTCTGTCCTTGCAGTCGCTCAAAACGATCGATTTCACAGCGCTTCACCCCGTCCCAGCGCAGTTCTTGGGTCTGCTGCTCATCCACCTCGTCCTCTCCATCCAGTCGAAATCAGCCGCCAAGACGCTACACCTTCCGACCGTCACAGCAGCGCTCAAGCACGAAAAGCTCGCCAAACTCGTCCAGGGTAATCTGATCGGCGGAAGCCCGGATCTGGTCAAAGGGTTGCTGCTGTTTTTGAACACAAAGTTGGACGAGAGGTCGCAGAGAAAGTTGGTGCTGGGCGAGGAGAAGGGGTTGAGGGAGAAGATGCAACCGCTGCTGGAGGTGGTGAAAGAAGGGGCCGAGGTGGTGAGGAGGACGGTGCAGGTGATTGTGCAGCAGCAGGATGGGGTCGCGGATGGCGGGGAAGGTGGGGTGGGGATGGATAGCGAGGACGATGATGAAGACAGCGACGACTATTGATCGATCTGTGATGGCGAGACACAGACAGGCTGAAAGCTACGTGCCGGGCGACCCGTTCTCAACAGTCACGCAAGTCACGCCGGTGATCGATACAAATGTTGCAAAACAGAACTCTCGTGCTTGTGCAGGCGAATGTGCTTTGCTGTGTGAATAATGTAGATGACAATCATGACTGCCGACTCCCTCCTTAGAACGATATCGCGTCTACACGCCATCATTCCCCTCCTTTTCCCTTCGGAGTTCCCTCCCCCGTCCCCTCCACCTTCCTTCGCTTACTAGCAGCGACCATCTCCTTCCTCCTGTTCGCCTCCCTCCTCCCTACACTGCTCGCCGCGCTCGTCCTAATCCCCTTCCTCTCAGGAGCCCTCGCCTTCAGCTTCTTCCTCTCCTTCTTCCCCGGGCCCTTCAACCCGACCATCCACTCTGGCACCTCGCATCCGCTCTGCCTCATGACATTGACCACGGTCTTCAAATGACCCGCGTCTTCCTTCGTAAAGTAAGTGATGGCCCTACCCTTCCTGCCTGCCCTACCCGTTCTGCCGATCCTGTGAATGTAGCTCTGGACGGATTGAGGGAAATCGTAGTTGATCACCAACTGGACTCCCTTGAAATCAATACCTCTGGCCATCAGTTCCGTACAGATCAACACCCATACATCGCCCCTCTTAAAGGCGCTGATGACACCTTCTCTTTGCAGCTTGGGTCGTTCGGAATGGATGACATCCACGTGCAACCCATCGTACACCAACTCGTGGAACAGATCCTTTGCTCGTTCGATCGACTGTACGAACAGCAGCACGGGTGGTTTGAGTCCTCCTTCCTGGATCAAAGATCGCAGGGCGTGGAGTTTTCCGTCTTCGGAACCGACGAATTGGAGTTCCTGAGAGACGCTTTCGGTCGCGGAATCTTTGTTGCCGATGATGACGCGACACTCGTCGATCATAAATGTCTTTGCCATCTCTTCGACACCGGCAGGAAGGGTGGCAGAGAACAGAGCTTTGCGAAGATGAGGATGGGAACACGCGGCGAGGATGGAATCCGTCTGTTGCAGGAATCCATCTTCCAACAATCGATCCGCTTCATCGAGCACCAAGTGTCGTACGTGGCTGAGATCCACCTCCTCCTTTTCGATGGCGTGAACGAGTCGCAGTGGAGTGGTGATGAGCACGTCGTACTTCTTGCGTTTGCTAGCGTCGGACGAGGATGCCTTCGAGATGGCGGTGGCATCGGACGTTTTGGTGAGAACGCAGATGCGGAAATTTCGTCCTTCAGAGAGACGTCGGAGTTGATCGTAGATCTGTTGGGCGAGCTCTCGCGTGGGAGAGACGATGACGGCTCGGAAGTTTTCCTTCTTCGAAGGTGCACGGAGATGATGGATGAGGGGAAGGAGGAAGGCGAGCGTTTTACCGGATCCTGTAGGTGCGCCGGCGAGGAGATCTCGGTTTGCGAGGAGGACAGGCATGGCACCTTTCTGGATTGCGGTGGGCACGCCCCATCCCCACTTGTCGAGGTTGGTGCGTAGCCATGGCTGGACGTGGAAGCGTGTCTCGAGCTCGGACCAGGATGCCATCGGGAGGGGAACATCTGTGCCTTTGAGTTTGATCTTGTTCTGCTTGAGAAAGGTGCTCAACGTCGCCTTTGTGACCGGTGCTGCATCTGAAATTTCATCGCGTTCATCATTTGAGTCGATACCGCTTTCAGCGTCGGATTCCTCATCGGCTTTGCGCTTTCCATCCTTCTTGCTCTGCCTATCCTCTCGCTCGACAGCCGAAGTGGTCGATTTCGTCTTGGCCGCCGATCCGAAAAAGTCCAACCCATCCGGCACGATCAGCTTAGCACCATTCGCTGAGCCGCTTTTCTCTCCATTCGTCCCCAGATCAGCAGCTGTACGCTTCCGCTTGCTCGTACCCGTCTTGCCGACAGAAGCTGCGCTGCCGGATGTCGAGGTAGAAGCCTGCTCATCAGCAGCGCCACCAAAGATCTTGAGGTCATTTTGGAAACGTTTCTTGTCGAAGTGAGCACCTCCGCCCGCCAGCGTTCGAAAGATGTCCATGGTGGGCAGGCCTCAAAGCTGAACGAGAACTGTGCGGGATCGTCAAGCGCAATAGAGGGTACCGAGTGTCGTTGATGGGAGGACGAAGAGGAAGGAACAGGCTGAGGAGGCTGTTTAACTTTCAATTTGCGCGAACCTTCGAAAAATTTGGCTCAGAGTGGAGCAATTTGGTTTTCCGATTCCCGCGATGCACAAACAGATCTAACAATTGCCCTCGGTCGAAACCTGCATAACTATGTCGACAGAAGCAAGCGATTGCTTTTGAGGCACATCATCGCGTCAAAATACAGCGAAGTAAGATGTAGACGAGATCGAAGGTGATGGTATATAGGATATGATCAGAGCAAAGACAAGTACAATGCGTCTTCCAGGCATGGGTGTAGAGATTGAACAGGAGACTCATCTGAAGCTCCACAGCTGCACCCTTTCTCGAGGCTGTTGTCCATCAATGGGAATGATCCCAGCGTTTGCTGAATTCGATGTTGCCTCCGTATAGGCGACGATGCTGACGATCTTGTCAAATGCGGTCGAGACCCATCGGATGACGCCTCGAGCTTGGCGATCGAAAAGGCGGCTGCCAACGAGTTGGCCGAGTGAGGGACCAAAACGCCGCGCATTGGTAGGTGTACTCTGGCACGCAACGTCGTCGTCAAGGCTCCAGACCTCTGACTCCTGGGAGATCGTCGGAGATCGAAGAGTGAGGACGTGGCTCATGTGTATCGCAGCTTCTTCGCCGTCTTCTTCCAGCAAAGTGGAGCTGGTCGACCTCGCTGAAGTGTGTTTCGACTGCTCTCTGCGCTCAGCCCCAAGCGCAGTGGCTCGAGCTCGGCGCATTGCACTGGCAATCGACTCGGTCTCACTCGACCGTTCGCCAAGGCTCCAGACCATGACACTGCCGTCTGCTCCGCCGCTGACGCATCGACCGTCCTCCAGCGCGACACTGTGCACGCTGCCCGTGTGACCGTGCAAGCTGCGACGATGCACAAGTCGCAGACCCTGTCGATGTGAAGCGGGTGTGGCCGTCGCCGAGCGAGACGTGGATGTGTGTGCTTGCCGCTCCTCGGTGTCTGTTCGGACAAAAGTCGTGGCACCGACAAGCTCGTAAACTTCGACCAGATTGTCGCTAGCCCCGAGGACGACGAAGGGATCGTCATAAGTCAGACTGGTAGATCTGCTGGATGCCGGTCCGAGCGATGAATGAAAAGCTTTGCGCTGTCCCGACGCGTCTCGGGGGGCATGTGAGGATGGCATGAAGTTTCCTCCGAGCATCAGTCGGCCTCTGGGATCGATGGGAGTCGGTCTGAAAGGATGCTTGGCTGTCGCATGCCGGCTCGTGACTTGAACTGCAGACGTCGACGTTGCATCGAGTCGTAGCCGCAGCACGACCTCTTGCACCGAAACACTCCAGGAAGAAGGGTAACAAGGTGTCGAGTACGCCAAGGTGACCCTGAATGCGACCTCCTCAAGACGATCATCCGTTCCGTGACGCTCGGTCGAGGAGAGTGAAGAAGAACGTTTCAAGCGTTTGGACACATGGTGGTAAGGCAGCTTCTTGAGGCGCAGGGAAGCCGGCCACGAGCATCGATAGCTCGACAGACGGTGGACAAGATCGAGCCGTGTGGTCGAGGAAGCTTGGGCGATTTGATAGAACGCAACATCGAACTTGGACGAGCACAGCACGACAGCAGGGCTGTCCAGTGCCGCCATGGTGATACAGTCGCCGATAGCGAGAAAGGCTGGCCTACAGAAGATATCTTCGGTGGCGATGACGGAGCCATTCACTGCTTTCAGAGAGAAGAGACTGATGTGGCCTGTCGTGTACGCCACAAGAACCCTCGCAAGCTTCTCTGAGTGCAGACGATCGCAGGCTTCCCATCTGCGTTTTCGATGTCTTGAGGGTTCGACAGGCGAACGATTCTCGCTGGAGGCGTTGTCAACAGCGATCTCAGTGACGCGAATCTGAGCAAGTGTGTTTCCACAGTTGTTGGAGTCGAGCAAGTCCTGCATGCCAGCTGACGTGAACCGCAAATCCGGACTCCGTTTGTGCAGGTCGCTAGGCACCTGACCGGCTCCGCCATCGTGCTGATCGAGAGAAGCTGAGTCAGGCTCCGAACGATATACGGAAACGCTCGGATTTGTTGGGATATGGCCACGATCGCCAGAGGCTGCGGTGAAGATGAAGCGATCCGACACTCTGACAATGGTGTCCGTAGACGAAGGTGGGTGAAGCTTCTCTGTTTGGCGAGCGACGGGTGGTGAAATGGTGCTGAGCACCGAGACGGCAAAATTGCCTCGCTGCCAGTTGGTCGAGACGCGGAAGATCTGCTCCCAGTCGAGCAGGTGATTTTTCGAGGTTTCGCTGGACGCTAGCCCATCCAGGAGAAGGGCGGACAAAGCTTCGTCGGCGTTAGCTTCAGCGCCCTCCGGCACGGTCCCCGAGGCCAGGTTCGAGGATGAGCGGTAGTAGCGACTGGGCAGGCGATGTATCTGTTTGTTGCCGTCGCCGGCAACGTGCTTGCCAGTCAGAAGATTCTGGTGCAGGAGCAGCGACCTGAGCTCTCGCAGAGCGGGAAGGGTAGAGGAGGTGGCATGCTTCCTCGAACCGCCATACTGTGGGCGAACGAAGGTGCAGTAGAACAGACGCTTCCAGAGGTGACGGTCCTTTGCCAAGGTACGAACTTGCTTGCTGACCAGCTGCAGTCGAGCGAGGTCCGGCGCATCTAGCAAGCTGAAGATGCGCAGGATGGTCTCGTCAGCTAGGCGGGGGTCCATCGGTAGCACTCCGGGAAAGATCACGCTGCTGTGCGTGCGTATCCAGGTGGTTGCTGCGCTCTACGTAGGATTATGCAGCGGTTTCCTAACCGCCATCGTGAGACTGCTTGAGATGGTCCGTCAGGTCTTGCCAGACATAGATAGAGCGAGCAGTTTGAGCGCTTACCAGGACCGATGTGGAAGGCTAGCTCATGTGCCCGGATGGTGGCAGGACGGCAGGGTGAAGTGATCTGGGCAGAGCTAGGCTGAGCCAGAATATGAGGTGGAGAAATCGAAAAATGCAAAGCCGAAATCCAAACCACGCGCGGCTCGTCCGACGCCCGCAAGACCGGGTCAGCTCTGTCCTGTAGTCTCGAACTCAGCTGCCGCAATTTGATTTGGGATACGCAAGCTACCACCTCATGGTCGGCATACAATAAGTAGACCCACTGTAGACGTAGACAAGCCAGAAAGATTAGAGTCGGTACATTTTGAGCATCCCCAGTCATTCCCGATTTTCGTGGCTGGGGTCTCGTGCCGATGCCTTGCACGGCTCATTTCGCAAATGGCTGTTCTAGATATATGCCGACAGCCACGCCAGGAAGGAAGAACGGCGATTCACGTGGTCAGCTGGCGGCAGGATCGCGGCTCTTGCATGAACGTTTTAGACTCGTTTGTGCGCTTCGACGCGGCTGAATTTATTCTCATTTATAAGATCAATAACTGCAGCCAGCGCTTGGACCGCTGCAGCAACTAGTGACTAGCTATCGACACGTAACTAGGCTGCAGCTTCCGAAACGGAGCAAACATCATCACCAACTCCGACGCACGCACTCCAATCGGCACAGGGTCGTGCTGCAGGCTTGTCGTCGTTGCCAGGTGTGCATGCGCAAAGTCACCTTGCACCGCCATCTACCCGGACCGATCAGTTCAGCTGTGATCACCCGACCAAGTCCGCCAAATACCAATACCAAATCGATCTTGATACAACACTCTTTCACCGGATCAGAGCGGCACGGATCATCTCAACCTTTTCGTCCATCACACTGGTGCAGCCATAGATCTCGGCAGCAACACCGAAGCCCTACATCCAACCAGCCCGTATCACCACAATCATATCGGTGAGATACAAATCACGAGGATGTCTGACATCTTCTCCGGCTCACCCGAGGCCGACGACCAACTGCCTTCGTTTATGGAGCAGAAGCTCAAGGCCAAAGCGTCAGCCTCTCGGAACATCCGTCAGCCATCGGCTGGTCCGAGCGAATCCACACCGCCGCGTAAAGACACTCTCTCGCCTTCCTCAGACGCTTCATCACAGTCGCATTCACACGCACATCATCACGCTCACCTGCATGGCCGTCACCACTCTCACTCCCACGGATCGCCGTCTCTCGCCGTACCGGGTGCACAGAGCGACAGAACACCATCGAGGTCCATGACGCGATCATCCACCCAGGACTATCGCGAAACGCTCGATGCAAAGAGCAAAGATCTCGAAGATGGCACCACCGTCATCAACCAATACTCCATCACCGATACCATTGGACGTGGCGCATATGGTACTGTTCGCAAGGCCGTGCTCACCGAACAGCCTGACGTCGCTTTTGCCGTCAAAGAGTTCGGCAAGACTCGTCTGCGCAAGACACACCGTGCAGAGCATCTGCGCAAACCAGCCCGCGGCCGAGGTATGCAGCGTCCTGGCAACCGTAGCGATCCCACCAAAGGAGGGCCCAATCCGAAGCAGGATGAGCAGGACGAGGCCAAGGATCCGCTCACCCTCATCCGCCACGAGATCGCCATTCTCAAGAAGCTCCACCATCCGAACGTTGTCCAGCTGTTCGAGGTGCTCGACGATCCCACCAAAGACAACCTCTACATGGTCTTTGAGTACTGTCCCGATGGTACAGTCATCGATGTAAAGCCCAACGTCAACACCAAACCGCTACCCGAAGACGTTGCGCGGCTCTACTTTGTCCAGATCCTCATGGGCATCGAGTATCTCCACGAGAACGAGATCGTCCATCGCGACATCAAGCCCGACAACATCCTGCTCACCGACAACCGCAAGACGTGCAAGATTGTCGACTTTGGCGTTTCGGAGATGTTTCTCAAGCCAGGCGACGACACGATGCAAAAGTCGGCCGGCAGTCCCGCTTTCATGAGCCCCGAGCTCTGCACCGCCGGTCACGCAGAGTACCACGGCAAGTCCGACGACGTCTGGTCGTTCGGCGTCACGCTCTACTGCATGGTCGTGGGCCACCTGCCTTTCAACAAGGACAATTTCTACGCCATGTATGAAGCCATCAAGAACGACGAGCCCGAATATCCGGATCACCTCTCGGATGACCTCAAAGATCTGCTCCAAAAAATGTTCATCAAGGATCCCGCAAAGCGCATCACGGTGCCACAGATGCGTGAGCATCCTTGGACGCTCGCTGTCGAGGATGGCATCCTGCTATCCAAGGAAGACAACCTCGAGGCCATGGTCTCGGAGATTACCGACGAGGACCTCGACTGCGCCATTTGCAAGATCACCAACATCTTCACTTTTGCGCGCGCCGTCTCTCGATTCAAAAAGGGCGGATCCATGCATCGAGCTCGGCAAGAGACCATGCGATCTTCCTCGGGCGACAGCAACAGCAACGACCGAAGCTGGTTCCCTGGGTCCACCTCGAGTTCCAACGACAAGGACGGATCCGACGCAAGGGACAGCGCCTCCGGAAGCGGCGATGCCGCCACCAAGAGCTTGGCCAGTGATGTCGAGACGATCAAGGAGGAGACTCCGACACCGGCATCACAAGATACGGTCATGGCTGATTCCGAGACAGGCAAGTCGCAAGACAGCGACGACAAGGTGCGTGGTCTTGAGAAAGCTGCCGCGTCCATGTTTGAATCTCCTCAGATGCACACGTTCGAGCTACCGCCCGAGGAGCCCAACTCCAATGGTCCGTTGCAGCGCGATCGCTCCGGTCCCATCTCGACGCTGCACAGACTCGAAGCAGATCAACGCAGCAGAAGTCCACCCATCATCACCATGGATTCACCCCGCAGCGCGTCACCCGAGATGTTCCATTCGCCCGCATCCGAAGGCGACGCGCCGTTTGGCGAGTCGAAGATGGACACCGGCTCGTCGTCACAGCCCTCATCGAGCGTCAACACCAGCACGCGGAGCACAGGCGACCGATCGACCGACTACACGACCGACACTTCCAAACCTGACGACGCCATCGCCTCGCATCTGTCTGACATGATGCTCGAACAGGGGAAGCAGCATCACTCGTCCGATGCACTGTCAGGCAGCGCCGGTCGTAAGTACGAGTCGCCCGAGCACTCCATTCAGCCCGACACGCACAACGAGCCGGATGCTGATGACGACGACCAGGACGACAATTCGCAGCCTCGACGGGCAAAGACACTGCAGGAACGTGCGGCGTCATTGGGGAAAAAGGAGTCGAAACCCAAGCCCAAGCTGTTGCCGGATCAGCCGACGTGTGAAAGCCCGCGGCATGAGAAGATCAAGACGCCGCCAGGTGCGGCCGAGGTATATATGCAGTGCGGCGAGTCGCCGGAAGTAGCAGACGAGGAGGGGAAGAAAGACGATAATCCGTATTTCAAGGATTCAGATAAGAGTGTGATCCAAGGGGAAGCACAGGAGAAACACGATTCGGACGAAGACATGCCCGAGGCTGCCAAGCAGCATCAGACTGTTTGACGGAGCTATGATCAGCTGTGGTGTCTTCTTCCGGCGTGATTGGGACGACAGCAATGGAAGCAAATTTGCAAATCAGACGTGTGCGAGAAACTGTGCGTTTGAGACAGATGCGGATTAAGTGCGAGTAGAAAGAAGGTTTTTTTTACAGCAGAACGAGATGCGGAAGTGAAAGATGGGGGACTGAGGTCGTCGTGTGCGGGGACGTAGGTGTCTGTACGTGTCCTTGCTGTAGATGCAAGACCACTGTGCTTCTCGCGATAGCCACCCTAAGCTCCTGTTACTTTCTGCACCCTCTCACCCACACATCTATGTGCATTCACCATTCTTCCCGATCTACTTCTTCTTAGGCCCACCCAGCGGGCTACCGATATCCTTTCCTCTCAATTTGACACCCAGAGCTCTCTCCAGCTTGGCCAAGATCTGGGGGTTAGGTACGGCCTTTCCACTCTCGTACTCCTGGACCACCTGTGGCTTTTCGTTGATCTTTGTCGCCAGGTCCTTTTGGGTCAGACCTTTCTCCTGTCGTTTCTGGCCGATGGTTTTGCCGACGGTGGGGGCGACTTTGGGTGGGGGGGCGACTTCGTTGTCGCGATCGAGCTTGGCGATGCGTTGGTGGTCGGTTCCGACGTGACCCTTGTTGGTTCCAGCGGTGACTTTTCTGTCGTTCTCGGTGATGGCGCCGACTTGTTTGGCTCGTTCGTAGGCGGTAGGTCCCGAGGAGGAAGGTGCACCGCCGCTGGGTCGAACTCCTCGTCCAATGACCGTTTTGCTATCCCAGTCCGTGTTCGACATGTTTGTGAAAAAAAAGGAGAAGGTGGTACTCCGAGTATATGCGTTGGAGGGTTAGGATTGGTAGCGTCCTTTTGCGTTGGTGGAAGGGTAACAGAGATGATTTGATCTGAGTGTACGGGAATCACTTCGAGACTTGCAAAGTAGGAAAGTGTGACGGTGGACAAGCAACAAGAACAGCAATGAGAAGATTGCCCCCTCGTCGACCACAGACCGACGCTCAGTTCTGCCAGCCTCGTCGTGTGATCTTTCTGACGAGCTCACACACACAGACCACCAAGCCCTGCTCTCGGTGAAGTCATCAGACGCCTGACGCCTTTTCTCCTCCACTCAGATAGCCTAACTTCTGCTTATGTCAGCGGAATAACAACGAAGGACGTGGAATCGGTCTTATCCACCAGAATTTTTCAACCGCAGAAAACTCGCCGATGTAACATCACTCTCCAACCGATCCTTCACTGCCATCATCAACAACCGTCATGCTCAACCAAACCGGCCCTGTATCAATCCAACGATTCACATACACCTGCACACGTCACATCGTTTCAAACCACGTAGAAAGATAGATTATGAATCCAGGTTTCCCAAAAAGTAACAAAAGAGCGAGAGAGATAAGCCGGTGACCAAATGAGACCTTTTCTAGCAAGATGAATGTAAGATAGGGTATGACAGAAAGTTGATAGCGAGATCCAGCACATGTGCGTAGATCGAAGGAACAGAATGAGGGGCCGCGTGTATATGGCAGCGGAAGTAAAGATCAGATCCAGGAAGAACTTTGAACGTCCAAACATTGATGAGAAGTTCCAAGGCGCCGAACGTGCGTTGCCTTGAATGAGAAAACCAGAATACCGAGGTCGACCGACGGCGAGCATGTCAAGCTTGCCCGTTGACACCGCTCTGGATCGACTTGGCCGCCTCGAACTCGGTCCTCCACCCCTCCAAATCGCTCTTCAGCCGCCTCGGCGAGACAGGCTTGGTCATCCAAGCGTTCATCCCACACGTTTCGATACCGCGAGTCTTGTCCTCTTCCGAACTGAGCGCGGTGACCGCAACGATAAACGACGGATGATTGTGCGCACGCATCTGCGTGCACGCCTCGAATCCATCCTGGATCGGCAACGAGATGTCTAGCAGGACAACCGAGGGACGGAACGATATGAATTTGGCCACTGCCTCGGCGCCATCCTGCGCTTCCTCGTACCGAATGTCGAGCCGCTTGCACAGCGTGGTGAGCAGACGCATGTTGATCGGATTGTCTTCCACCACTAGCACGCGAAACTCGTCCTGTCGAAGAACGGCCGGGCTAGTGTCGATCGGCGCGAGTATTGTCTTGGCTGACGTTGGCTCTTTGGATGACTCGACAGCAGCAGCGTCGCTCGGATCGCTGGCATCTGCACCGGGCAGCAAGGTGACAGAGTCGGATTTACGATGTCCCGACACGCGACGCAGGCCGGCTGGGATGCCAAGCTCAGTGACGCTAACGCGGTGCTGGCTGTTGGTGCGCAAAGAATTGGCAGTGCGGATCATCGGAGGCTCTTGCTCCGACAAGAACGTCTCCACGAGTCGCATCGCACTGGGTCCATGAGGCATGGCCAGAGGCATCACCGGCCGTCCATCCAGCTTTTCGAGGCCCTTTTCAACGACAATGTGCGACGAGCTGATGGTGACAAACCGAGCGGTCGGCTTGACCTGCACCAAAAGAGGATCGCCTCCCTCGCCCAGCAATGCAGCTGCACGTTCGGGCAACACAATGCAGTCGGCCTCGCCGAGGTCGCGCGTGAGCTCGATACCACCCGTCCATGCGAAGTGCTCGCACATGGCATTGGCTAGGCGGCGCAATCCGCGCGTCTCGAGTCCGTGGTACGCCAGTTTCGAGACGGCGAATTTCGATCCGGACGCGCTCGGGATCGATCCATTGCGGTCGTGTTGCACGCGACCTCGCTGGAGCGGCATGCACATGGTGACGCGCGTGCCCAAACCGACTTCGGAGGCCACCGAGAGCTTTCCACCGTACTTTTGTAGCGTCGACGAGACAATCGTCATGCCGAGGCCGATGCCGTCGCGGAACGAGTCTCCCTTACTGAAGGGTCGCGTGAGCTGACTGCTGCAAAACTCTTTGGTCATACCCACACCCGTGTCGGCGACCTCGATCTCGATAGCAGCGTAGTCGTCCGCCAACTCGACATCAATGTCGTCCAGAGCATCAGGAGCCGCAAGACGCATCGAGATCTCGACGTAGCCCTGCTTGGTATAGCGAATCGCGTTCGAGACGACCCTGCGCACCACGTCTTGGAGTGATTTCACATCAACAAGCCATTCGCAGTCGCGCATCTCGGGCGTCGCCTTGATGATGAGCTCCATTCCATAGAGCGGGCCGTCGGGTACCTTGCCCACGTCGGCCTCGAGTTGGCGCGCCTGCAGATCGATACGCTGCGCAAACTCCCATTCCTCATCGGCGACGGACTCCACAATCTTGACAAGGTCGACAGCGACGCGTCGGGGAGGAACCGTGTCGTTCGTCTTGACGCCAGACAGATTCTGAAAGCTGAGAAGGTCGTCGATGTAGGAGTTGAGCGTGAGGCCGGACAGCGAGATGGACTCGAGCAGCTTGGCGAGGACGCCGTCTGCCGACAAGTCGATCTTGATGGCGCCCTCGTCGTCTTCATCGCTGATGGCAGCTCTGAGATACTCGACGGCACCCAGAGCCCCATGAAGAGGGGTGCGCAGGTTGTGCTGAACGTGACGAAGGAATTCGGCCTGGAAAAAATCGACCTCGGAGAGCTTCTGGCGGAGAAGGCTACTCAGAGCGATCTGCATGCTGCTTTCGACAAAGTAGCGCTCCTGTTGATCGAAGCAGGCCTCATCGCTGAACATGAGGAAGAAGATGATGTTTGGGCGCGCTTTGGCGCGATTGTAGCCCGCGCAAACGGCGTAGGATTTTATCTGGGTGTCGAGAGGCAGCAAGTCGGCCCACGGGTCTTGGGTCTTGTCGGATGGAGCCTCGTTATCGTCATCCTCGTCCGACGAGACGATGATATCGGTCCGTCTACGGTAGAACTTGCACCGGATGTTCATCTCTGTCTCGGACGCCATGCGGGAGAGTGGAATGGCGAAGATGGATTTGAGACGGTCCAAGTCGTTTGACATGGTGGGTCGACAGTTCTCGGGACCGCAGTAACTAAGCATGCTGGGCGGTGGCGAGCCTTCTCGCAGGTCGATAGCGTGCAAAGTCGTGCCGGCACCGTTAGAAGAGAGCTTGCGACTCACTCTCGGCGAGATCATGGGCGAATCAGGATCAATGCGGGTGGGCGTCGAGACCGATTCGTCGGGTGGAGTGAGCGGGTCGGAGGTGTCATTGCTGCCGGTAAGGGATTGCCATGCTGGCAGGGTGGCCTTTGAGAAAGTGCTCGAGGATCGCGGGGAGACGCTCCTGGTGGCTGAACGCCTGAAGCGAAAGTTGCTGACATCGAAGGCGGCGACGGCGACAGCACCGAGACATTCTCGCATCTCTTTGCAGGCGCGGTCGATGACACGGAGCGAGTAGCGCGAGAAGCCATCGCCAGATTCGGTGGTCGAGTTGGAAGACGAGTTGAAATGTCTCAGTTGCGCGTTCAAGGTGACGTCCTCCAGCGCTCGAATGAGCGAGCTGGTGCGTTGTTGCATCTCGGCGGCTTTGGCATTCTTGCCACTCTGATACTCCTTCTCGAGCGCGTCGCCAGCCATCTTGCCAATCGAGTAGAGGAGATCGGCGTCGGCCTCGCTAAAGTCTGGGCGTGGCTGCGGGTCCATAATGCAGAGGCGACCGACCTGCACTCGGCCCTCGACACCGTAGAGGTTGTACGAAAGGAAGAGCGGGGCGGAAGCGTAAAAGTTCATGGGCTTGCCTCTGGCGTTGGTGACTGTGCCGGCGAGCGTCGAGGGGCAGGTACGGAAACGCCAGTCCTTCTTGGTGTCGTTGACGACGAGCACCTCGTCTTCGGGCAACAGCATGGCGTGCGAGCACAAGGTCACGGTTCTGGGTACCATCTGTACCATGGCGTCGCCACCGTCTTGAGCGAGAATGAGCATGTAGGCTTCGTCGGTGCTTTCGACCATGAAGGAGGCGTATTCGCATCTGAAGACAGCCTTGGCATGTTTGATGTAAATCAGCAGAGCTTCGCGATCCTGCGCGGCTGTGAGGCCGTGGCGACGAAGGGCCTCGACGACGCGTCGATACTGTCGACGGGGGAGAGGAGGGGCGGCCAGCCAGCCATTTTGGCGGTAGAAGTCGAGCGAGTCCATCAAGGATTCTGGGTCGACTTTGACGTATCGATGCGCATTGGCGACTTTGAAGGGCTGCGAGAGCTTGGCAGATGTGTTGCGCACTTCGGACAGGACACCGGGGCTACTGGGCGAGTCGGAAGTGCCATTCGCAGGCGCTGCCGCAGAAGCTGCTGCTTCGTCCGACTCTGAATCAACGGCAGCGGCATCGGAGGTGATGGCGGAGACGTGGTCGGGATAGGAGTTTTCGGGATCGATGGACGACTGAGGCTCGACCGTTTCGTTCCAACTGCCATGTTGGTATTTGCGGAGCCATGCGCCCCATGCAATAGGGCATCTGGGAGCCTCGACGGCGTTGTCGGCGATCTTGCGCGCGGCCGCGCCCGAGGAGAGGCTGGAGGTCGCTGAAGAAGCACTTCTCGTCAAAGATTGGCCGAGCGGGCTTGGAGCTGCCGCCGTCATCGTCGAGGAGTCTGGTTCCGGCGAAGAGCGTGCGAAGTGGAGATAAGCTGGACGGGTGTCATGGATCAAAAGTGGGCGGTCATGGTTTACACAGGGACGGGGCTGTCGATGCGTTGGGCAGCTGGATGCACGAGCGTTGCTTCGCTGCTACAGACGAAACGGATGTCGCGTTGAAGTCCCGTGTCTCGATGAATGCGTGGGTAGCTGTATACGGAAGACGCCGATTGCCGTTTTGGAACGAGGCTTATCCGCGATCAAGAGATTGGAAAGCAGCAGCAACCGTACTCGAAAAGAGGCAGTGTCCCAAATGAAATGGTCGAGAGTGCAGGATATGTTCAAGAATGTGGTGGCGCGGGTCGGATAGAGCGTTCCTTTGGTGAAATAGAGAGCGGCGAAGCAGGTCGCAGTCAATGCTCCAACAACGATGGTGGTCGTCAATCGAACGGCGAGCGATGTAGAAGGCGGCCAGGCAGAACGGCCTTTCGTGTACAACGGCGATGAGCGACGACCGAGTCGGCTGCAGTCAACGGAAGGCCACAACTCTGTCTCTACTGACTTTGGCCTTGGCTTGGCTTTGGCTTGGCTACGACGCGACAGTGAGCGAAGTTTTCACGAAATTCTCGCGGAGAAGCTGAGCGGGATCTGTGAGAGGGACGAGTGACGAGTGAAGATGGAGGACCCAGAGATGACTGCTGCGCGTACAGCCGAACCAAGTAGAAATGTGACACAGACTGAACACGACAGGCGGATCGACCATCCCGGCTAGCGTCACGGCAGCCGAGAGAGAGCTCAGTCACGGTCCAAAACGGACCAGGAGAGTGCACCGTCATCAGATGAGAGGGAAAAAAAGCCAACCTCAAGTTTCCAGAGCATTTCCTCGTAACTTAACTTAAATTAAAGCGTTCAACCGGTCGAACCGAATGCCACATGCACTCCGGGATCGGGAGGGACCTGCGACTTTTTTTTCTTCTTTTTCTTCTTCTTCCCGTTGACGCCCAACTCCGCATTTCACACATGCCCACGGACATCGGGTCAAGCTTCTCGGCGCGACGAGGCAGAAAGAACGTAAGGTTGGAGACTGCTCGACATGATGAAGTGCAAGGTTCACAGGCAGCCGAACCTCCGGCTCATAGTTTCATGATCTCTATGCAAACAAGAAAGGGACGAATGGCGGTTCAACAAGCAGGGACCAACAGTCAGCAAGGATCCAATCACTGCAAAATCAGATCTGAATTTTATTTTATTCGGAGGGTGCCCGCTGGATTCGGGAGGCAGAGGTCTTGGAACAACCGATGCGCAGGGCGAGACTGGCTCATCGGACCGTGCAGTCTTGCTTCTTGCTATAATACTGCAGGTTGACCTTTATTTTCTCGACTCCGACTCCATCCGTGACACTTCGAACGCCTGCCTGTACACTCTGCAGCGCTCACAATGCGACATGCAATGGCGGCATCACTGCTTGGCAACGACGGTCCCCGGTGCCGTGGACTCCCTTCAACTCAGCCTTTGAAACGTGTTTCCCTCCCGACGAACGCGATCCGATGCCAAGCTCCGCACGCAGGACCGGCAAGAGAAAAACACGCCGCTCATCCTGGTTTCCGATGTGCATCTCCGCTTCTGCTGCGCCGCAGACAGTGTCCTACTTTCTGTCCCGACACCGAGTCGACAGCTGAGACCAGAATGCAGCGACCAAGACGACACCGTCGATCAACGCACTTCCACGGACTTGTTCGTCCTCGCATTGTTGTGAAAACAGCACAGCCCTCGACATTGTTTGCGTCATGAATCTATGTAGAAAACATCGAGAGACATGGCTGCATGCACGATGATCTGGCTCATTCCCAGCCGGGTCTCTCGGTGTTTTCTACGCGGATTCACGACGGGTGCAAGGATACGGACAGACGGGTTCCGCATTTGCCAGTGCAGTCCGGTTTCCGGGTTGAAACGCCTCTGCCGACAAAACATGGTAGATGGCCCACGATAAGCAGTGACGCTAGCGGATGACCAGGGTCGGTTTCGCGGATCGTGAAGATGCACCGCGTGCGTGACGCGTACCACAGAATTGCACATGATACAGACAGGCGGGCCACAGCGCAGGGACCGGATAAGCGACGGCTCTCGTAAATGATCTCGGCTCTGCTCGGGGTGACGCGGGCATCTCGGTCAACCTTTTCCGGACGATATTGGGGTTGTCCTTTCTTGCGTCCCGCTTTCTCTCTCTGCCTTTCTTTCTACTCCCAGAAGAGTCGTGTTTGCCGATGGAAGCAAATCCATCCGGCAGACCGGCTCAGCTTGCAGGTGCCTCGCATGTCGAATCAAAGCGAAGCAAAGACCTGACTCGGGAATCGGTCGCATAAGCAACGTCGAGCATCCCGGAAACGTGGACATCTCTACGATTCGCATGCGCGCAAACATCGCCGGCTCGTTCGCGATCACAGTATCTGCAGCTATCCTGATCGCACAGTAGCTAGCTCCCTTCCTTCGACGCAGAAGTCGTCTGGGCTGTTCAGTTGCCTCGGGCTCTCCATCAAACGATGTTGGCTTGGTCCTCACCTGACGTCCGTGTCATATCGGAGATGCTAGGGGCATGTTCAATTCACGTAGCCTCTTCAATCCTCATTCTTTCCTCCGGAAATGTGATGGAGTTCCAAGGTATTGTCTGACCCTTTTTCTGAAGCTGCAATGGCAGTTCCTGCACCGCAACTCACTATGCGTTTGCGAAGCTGGTCGGCATAAAGCTTACTTACAGCTCTTCCGTCCCAAGCGAGCCTTCGTTTTAGTGGTACAGATCGGAGTTATGCGCTGAACCAGCTCTAAATCGCCTCGATTGCGGACCATGAATTATTATATTATAAAATAAGGCAAATTTTCGAGGAACCAATGAATCTGAAGATACAGTCAACGTCTTGTTGCCGGCAAGCAGATTCCCAAAGATCGCCTCCTCGTGTGAATTCCGTCGGAAGAGGACGAGTGCCAGTCGATCACGCATTCCATAAGCAGTAGAACAGTAGCCTTAATCTGGATGACCGGTGGATTCGGTCCACGTTGAACAGGCAAGGTCGAGACGACGGATCGATGATTCAAAATGGATTCGTCTTTTGACAAGGTTAGATCTGACACGGGATCTCCCGATTTCGTCGATGGCTGTGTCATCTCGAACCCTCTGTCAAATTCTCGTGAGAAGTCACCGAGAAGAAGATGCTCGAAGTCTACTCTTCTGCTCAGCGTCGTCGAGAGGCAGGGACCATGCTGGCTGCAGAAATGTCAAAATCTTCGAAACTCCACAAAGGTGGCGCACCGCTCCGCCCGACACTTTTTTTTGTTTCTTTTGGGTTCGGCTCGCCCGACATCAGTACCCGCTCCGACTCACCACCACCACGACCGACGAGCTCTTCTGAGTCCACCAACAAGCGCACAAGTACAGTCTTTACACCTCTTATGAAACGCACAATCGACCCAGCCGCAGGACCCTTGCAAAAGAGACCCAACACTGAGTCCACAGTAATCGACGACGACGTCGAGATCGCCGACGCCACCACCATGTCGTCCGCACCACAGCCGACCGCGCAGGACTCGAAAGACTTCTTCAAGCCTATCGGAGAGTATGTCGCCGACGAAGACCAAGCTGGTTCTGGACCTGACGGCGCCGCTACCGGCGTCGAGGGCGGTGAGCAAAAGATGGTCGACGAGGTCAGCTCGCTCTGCATGGAATGCCAACAGGAAGGTACTACGCGCATGCTCCTAACTTACATTCCATACTTCCGCGAGGTCATCGTCGTTTCCTTCTCCTGCCCGCACTGCGGCAATCGCAACAACGAGATTCAGTCCGCTGGCCAGATCCAGTCGAAAGGCTGCCTATACACCGTCCACGTCACCAGCCCTGCCGATCTGAACCGCCAAGTTGTCAAGTCTGAGTGGTGCACAGTCAAGATCCCCGAGCTCCAGATCGAGATTCCACCGAAAAAGGGTCAGCTTACCACCATCGAAGGCCTCGTGTCGGACACACTCCGTGACCTCGAGCTCGACCAGCCACTGCGCAAGCATATGCAACCCGAGGCGTACGCCAAGATCGAGGAGATCTGTGACAAGTTGAGAGAGATTCTGGGCGAGGACAAACCATCCGAGGATGCAGAGGCCGATCAAGCTGGCGACGCTTCGTCAGGTCTGCGCAGTCTCGGCCCCGTCGGTGGAAGCTCTTCCTCGATGAGCGCCGAAGAGAAGGCGAACCGCAAGGTGCCGCCCTTCTCGATCCGCCTCGACGACCCATCCGGCAACTCGTTTGTCGAGTTCATGGGTGACGTCCAGGGTCGCGGCATGTCCGATGCAAAGTGGAGCAAGCGCGACTACCCCCGATCCAAGGAGCAGAACGAGCTGCTCGGCCTCTCCGGCCCTGCCGCCACCGGTGCCGAGGACGACGAGCAGCTCCACACCACCGGCTTCGACAAGGACGCCGGCGAGACTGATTTCGACAACGAAGAAGTGTACACGTTCGCCGGAACCTGCTCCTCCTGCAATGCACCACTCGAGACACGCATGAAGAAGGTCAACATCCCTTACTTCAAAGACATCCTCATCATGTCGACCAACTGCGACAACTGCGGCTACAAGGACAACGAGGTGAAGTCGGGCGCTGCCATCTCGGAGAAGGGACGAAAGCTGACGCTCAAGGTCGAGGACAAGGAGGACCTCTCGCGCGATGTGCTCAAGTCCGAGACCGCCGGCTTTGCTATTCCAGAGATCGACCTCCACCTTGCGCCCGGAACGCTCGGCGGACGATTCACCACGCTCGAAGGACTGCTGCAGCAGGTGTACGACGAGCTCTCCGAACGCGTGCTCATGCGCGGTGACTCTTCGGAGCGCGCCGCTACGTTCGAAGGGTTCTTGGGAAAGCTCAAGAGCGTCATCAGCTGCGAGACGTTGCCGTACACGGTGATCTTGGACGACCCCTTGGCGAATTCGTACATCCAGAACCCGTACGCTCCCGATCCGGACGAGCAGATCGTCGAGGAGCTCTACACGAGGGATTACGAGCAGAATGAAGATCTGGGTCTGAACGACATCAATGTGGACAACTACCAGCAGGAAGAGACTGGTGCTGCCGCCGAGGCTGCACCGAACGCTGCTGCTTGAAAAAGCTTGACGCAGATACCATGCTTTGTTGCACACGATCGGGTTTCGATCAGTTCTAATCAAATGGCATCATCATCATCATCATCATCATAGCTTCCATTGTGTGTGCCAAAACGCCGGCGGAGGCGCAACCTGACCGCGCTGACCCGTGCCTTGCATTCTCAGCATGGTCAAATGAGTAAATCGGGATCCTACCAACCCGAGAAATCTCCAAACCCGCCGTTGGACTTTCTCTTCTTCGCCGCCTTCTCATCTTCCGCTTTCCCCGACACGCCATTCGCATCCATCCTCCCCTTTGTCCCGTTCATGGCATTGAGATATTTGCCAATGCTCGAAGATCCAGCCAACAAGGCATCCGCCTTCCTCCCGACCCCTTTGTTCCCATCATCGCTCTTACCCGGTAACTCTGTACCCAACCACGTCGTCCTATCCTCTTCTCTCCTCCTTCTCTTCTCCATCCTCCTCTTGTAATCCGGATCCGTTGGATCGTTCGCTTTTGCACTCTGCTTCTGTCTCAGCTGATACTTCTCGAATGGATCCTCGGTCACCAGAACATCCTGTATCCTGATCTTTCTCAACGGTCTATCCGTCCCTTCCTCGCTCGGTACTTGCTCCAACTTTGTCAACGTCTGATCCTTGGCACCATCCACCAACCTACCAAACACGGTGTGTTTGCCATCCAGATGCCCCACAGCGCGATACGTGATGAAGAACTGACTACCGTTCGTATCCTTCCCCTTGTTAGCCATACTCAGCACGCCCCTGGAATCGTGTTTGAAGGCGCCTGGTTCGTTATACTCGTCCCTGAATTCAGAGCCCCAGATACTGCTGCCGCCTCGACCGGTTCCGGTGGGATCGCCACCTTGGATCATAAAACCAGGTATGTTTCGATGGAAGAGGGTATCATCATATCTGCCTTGTTTGCAAAGTTGAAGGAAGTTGAAGCATGTCTTGGGAGCCTTGTTACAGTGGAGCTCGAGGTTGAGAGCACCAAAGTTGGTGGTGAGACGGACGTAGGCGCTCGAGTTGGGGGACTGCTTGATGTGAGAGAACATGACTTCTTCGTCGTCGAGAACCACTCGTTCGATGGCGGTGCGAGGAGTGAGGGAGGAAGATGTGAAGCTGGCAGCCGCCATTCCGGTCGAGTTGCCGGACGCTTTGTTGCGAGAGTAGGCGGTGCTGGTTTCTTTCGGCGCCGGTACAGACCTCGAGGCCGCTGCCGAAGGGGACGCAGATGCTGTTGTTGCTGCTGCTGCTGCTGCTGCTGCTGCTGCTGCTGCTGATGATGATGATGCAGCATCGCTTTGTGCACTACCTCGAATCTTTTGAAGCAGCTTCTGAGCGCTTCCCGTAGCCCCAACATTGACCTGCTCCGACGTGTCAATCCCCTTGTCCGCCTGAGTCAAGGTCAATCCGTTCTTGACATGATGCATCGCACTCGGATTCCTGCTTTCTGGGTGGTTCGGATCCTGAATCGTGATAATATCAGCTTTTGTGAAGGTTTCATCCGTCACCAAATCCTTCATGTACTTGGCCTTGACGTTCAACCTTTGTACCGTGTCCCACAGAAACACATTGCCACTCTGCCTGACAGCAACCAGATGCGAGTGCTGACCGAACTCCTTGAGCGACACCGGATCGTGACACCTTCTATTCGCGTTCTTATGAAAATTGAGACGAACCACGTCGTCGAGTTCGAAGGGCTTTCCCGTGACCGGATGGGTGCGAAATTTGCGAAGGAAGGGGACGAGATTGGTGAGCTCGAAGGCAATGCCGCAGTCCGGTGAGCAGACGGGATTGGACCACGGTTGGAAAGAGATGGCACAACAGTCATAAGAAACAGGATGAAACGTCTCTTGCTCGAGACCTCCGACCTTGCCCGAGGATGCTGAATGAGCTCCGTAGGCACCAGAGTGCTCGGCGGCGCTGAGGAAGGGTCGATCGGATTTGCCGTGTCCCATGGTGGAAAGTTGACGCCCGGAAGGCTTGCGGAATCAGATGCGAGGAGAAAACTGTACAGAGTCAAGGGTGAGCGGCTCGGTCTTTCCTCCTCATCCTCGAGTACGGTCTGGAAGTGATGGTTGAGGGGCGAGGAGCGAAGATATGATGGCTCAACAGGATAATTTGGACCCTTGAATTCAAAGGTTTGCCGCGGCCTTTCCTCCACACACTTCGCGACCAGCTTCACTGCCTCTAGCTTTCTACGCCGATCAATCGGTATCGTAGAGGCGCAGACCTCATTTGAGATCCTGGTCTTGTTGCTTGGTTGCTTTCGAAGCATCTCGCTGGCAAGCTACCAGACAAGTAGCGGTGCAGCTCAGCAATGTCGAACGTCGACGTCGACAAGCTGGCCATGATAATGAGCTCCCAAAAAGCGCGGCAGCAGAGCAGTCTCTGGAGCGTGGGAGAAATGGCCAAGAACAATTGGCGAAATTGGGAATTGCCGATTCGCCTCAGGCGGCCGTGCCGAAATGCGCTGTGCAGTAGGCAGCTCCGCCCCCTCGCCAAAACTGGGTTCGGCTACTCCGACCTCCAATCAGGTTTGTGCAGCGAAGTCTGATTCCATCACCACCATTGTCTTTGCCCTTCTCAGCCACTATCATCATCTCGTGGTCGCGTCAATCCACGCTGGCAGCACTTTCCTTGATGCTATCGTGCATTGGTCCTCCGTAGCACCTCGCTCTCGACTCCTTACCTGGCGCTTGCGACACCTCGTCGTTCCGTTGCATGGGTTCTCACAATCACCAAGACTCTTCTGCCAATCAACTCATCTTCTCCGCAGAAACCGACGCTGCTCAGCACGTTCCCTCTCACTTGCATCCTCGACCAGCCGCCACTTCGCGACGTGACACTTCTCCAGGCGGAGACAGAGGCGAGCTCATCCCGCTGCAGTCTTTCGCTCCGTCACTCGCATCCACTTTCGACACACACCCTAGATTCTCAGCGCTACAGCAACACATACGATCCCATTTCGAACAGCACGGCACCATGAAGTTCTCACACAGTCTGCAATTCAACGCCGTCCCGGACTGGGCCGACAAGTACGTCGCCTACTCCAACCTCAAAAAGACCATCTACATGATGGAGAAGGAGCTACCCTCGGAACCGAATGCCGCCTACTCTGATCTGGAGCACGAATCTTCAGGCCTCTTGCAGGGTGCCGACACTAGCGAGACCGATCGTGCCTTCGTTCCTCTCCTAGACAAGGAGCTCAACAAAATTGTCGAGTTCTACCTCGAAAAGGATGCAGAGCTTCGAGCCGATCTTCAGCAGCTCAAAGACGATGTCGAAAGAACAGAAAACGAAGATTTTGATCTCGATTCCGACTTTGGGTTGAGCGACGACGACGACGATGACGAAGCTGTTGATACCGTGCGAACGGGCAAGGCGAGCACCAACCGTCGACCTAGCATCGACGACGTCTTTTCCCAGCCAAGCAAGTACAACGAGGCTTCTCGCCAAGAGCAGCGTATGCGCGAAGGTTCCGGTCCATCACGATCGCGCAAGGACAGCCGTGCCACCACCGAAGACGGCAGCACGCCCGCCAGACCTCCCAACAGCCGCAATCGATCGAGCCAGCTCCTCGATCAGTCGGCTGACTCGGCAGACATCGGAGGAGACGCCTCTGGCTTTGCAAAGCGCGCACGTAGCGGCTCTAATGCCAGCCAGATGGCGTCCAAGCCCCGCTGGGGAAGCATTTTCAGTAAGAAGCCCGTTCGACGTCGCTCGCTCGGCCTCATGCTTGCCGGAGACGATTCAGCCAACAATGGCGCGATGGACCGTCTCGCTCCCGGCTCCAGTGATGCGGGCGACAGCAGCTATGCCGCAGGCGATGCAAAACCCATGTCCATCTGGACTGCCGACAACGACTACGCGATCGACATGCGCATCACCTTCAAGAAGCGCATCACCGACCTCTTCGTAACCTTTTCGGAACTCAAGCAATTCGTACAACTCAACGAGACGGGTATGCGCAAGATTCTCAAGAAGTACGACAAGATTACCAAATCCGACCTCAAAGACCGATACATGAACGACGTCCTGCGTGCTCAGCAGCCCTTCACCTCGGAGGCGAAGCGCAGCCTCGACGAATGCATCGATACGCTGATCCAGCTTTATGCCAAGGTGGTGACCGGCGGTGACATTGGTGCATCCAAGAGCCAGCTCAAGACGCATCTGCGCGAACAGGTCGTTTGGCAGAGGAACACGGTGTGGAGGGAGATGATCGGCATCGAGAGGAGGGCGCAGGGAGCTGCTCTGGAGAGGACCGTCATGGGCTCGGGCAAGAGGGACGAGTTTGAACCAAAGAAGCCGTTCAGATTGCGTACGCCGTGCGGCAGCTTGATGGTCCCGAGCTGGCTGAGCATGAGCACGTTGCATCTCGTCATCGCTTTTACGGCACTCGTTGCGCTGCTCAAGGCCCCTGGCCTGCGTTTCTTCAACCGGGTCGAAGAACAGAATTGCTTGGCGATGCTCGTGTTCTGCACCATCCTTTGGGCAACCGAAGTGATCCCGCTCTTTGTGACCTCGCTCATGGTGCCGCTCCTCGTGGTGACGCTTCGTGTCGCCCGTACCGACGACGTCAAGGACCGCCGCATGACGGCACCCGAGACGACCAAATGGATCTTTTCGCAGATGTTCGCGCCCAACATGTGTCTCTTGCTCGGGGGCTTCACCTTGGCTGCGGCGCTTTCCAAGTACGGTATCGACAAGATTCTCGCCACCAAGATCCTGCGTCTGGCAGGCACCCGTCCGAGCATCGTGCTGCTGGCTCACATGGGAGTAGCCTGCTTCGCCTCCATGTGGATCAGCAACGTGGCTGCGCCCGTGCTCATGTACTCGCTCATCCAGCCCATCCTGCGTACGCTGCCGTCCAAGTCGCCATACGCGTCTAGCTTGATCATGGGCATCGCGCTCGCATCCAACATTGGTGGTCAGACTTCGCCCATTGCGTCTCCGCAGAACTTGATCGCGCTGCAGTACATGAAGCAGCCGGTGGGCTGGTTGCAGTGGTTTGCCGTCACGATTCCGGTGTCGGGGTTGTCGCTGGTGGTGATCTGGTTGATCTTGCTCTGGTCGTACGGTGCCGGGAGGGGTACGGTGATCAAGAAGTTGGGAGAGTCAAGGGATTCGTTTACCAAGATTCAGTGGTTCATCTCTGCGGTGGCTATTTGCACTATCGCGTTGTGGTGTTTGGAGAAGAACTTCGAGTGGGTGGTGGGTGATATGGGAATCATCGCCATCATTCCGATGGTGCTGTTCTTCGGGACGGGGATCTTGACGAAGGAGGACTTCAACACTTTCCTCTGGACGGTTGTCTTCCTTGCTATGGGAGGCATTGCGCTCGGAAAAGCCGTAACATCGTCGGGCCTGCTCGAGTCGCTCGACGATCTCATCCAGGAGATTGTCAAGGAGCTACCTCTGTGGCAGATTCTCATCGCGCTTCTGTCGATCGGGTTGGTGGTGGCCACGTTCATCAGCCACACCATTGCAGCTGTTCTGCTGGTGCCGATTGCGGCGCAGGTGGGAGAGTCATTGGAGCACCCGCATCCGAGGTTGCTGATCATGGCGACGACGTTGGTGGCGAGCGCGGCGATGGGATTGCCGGTGAGTGGATATCCGAACCAGATCGCGGTGTCGATGGAGGACGATTTGGGGGATAGGTATGTGAGTGTGAAGGATTTCTTGAAGGTGGGCATCTTTGCGAGTGTGGTGGCGACGGTGATTGTGGGGACGATTGGGGTGAGTATAATGTATGCGTTGCAGTTTTAGGTTGGCGGCGAGCGGAGCAGGGAAGCGGCAAGACTGGGAGAGATGCGGTATTTGATGCTGCAATGTCAGAAGAGTTTGATTGCTGTTTCGAGATGGATAGCAGAGTGGTTGTGCGTGTGTGATGGCGAGCTCAGGTTGGAAGTGAGAACAGTGGACAGTTGTCAAAGTCTGTCGGCGGACACACACTTTTTCGACACAGGCTATTGGAGCATGCGAAAACCATTGCTTTGCACAAGTGACGGTCAAAGCACAAGATATTGTCTTCACTCCCGACCGTCGGTTCACTCGAGGTCCTCCGGATTCACCTCCTCGTTGCCTGTATCGATGACGGCCTTGCTGGGTCTCCAAACCATGACGATATTGTCTTCGGCGGCACTGGTGAGCGCCCACTCCATGTGCGGGCTCCAGCCCAGATCCGTCGGTCTGCTCGTATGGCCTCCGTGAACGAAGATCAGTTCGGGCGGACCGTCCTCGGCGTCCTCTGGCGTCTGTTCCTGACCGATCTTGCTCAGATCCCAGATGTTGACCCTCCTATCCGCACTCGCACTAGCCAACACCGTGGGGTGGTGCGGGGACCAACACACGGACAGGATCTCGTCCGTGTGACTCTCGAGACTGTGCAGCTTCACCTTGAGGTTGCGCAGATCCCACACGCCTACAGTCTTATCGCTCGAACCGGTGACCAGGATGTTCTCGTTCTCGGGTGAGAAGGCCAAGGCGTTGACTTCGCCGGTATGTGCTTCCACGCGGTACTTGGGCGCGGTGGCGGGCTCGCGAACGTCCCAGATCAGCAGCTGTCGATCGTCGCCGACCGAACCGAAGAGCGACTCGTGGTGGTTGTGCCACGCTACGTCTTCGACGATCGAGGTGTGACCGGTGTAGGTGGCGGTGGGTTGGAGGGTGTTGTTGGGTTTGGTGTAGTTGTTGATGTCCCAGTGGCAGACGGTGGTGTCTTCGCTGGCGGCGAGGATGTGTCCCTGTTTGAGCGGTGACCAGGAGAGACCGTAGCCTTCCTTTTCCTGTCCCTCGAGGATGATATCGGGACGACAGACGCCGTCTGCGCTGGGTGTGTTGGAGTGTTTGGTTCGGTCAAAGATGTATGTCTTGCCTGTGACCGTTCGTGTGGCGATGAGGTCACAGTTCTGAGGACAGTAGCGTGCTCGGTTGATCTCTCCATCGTGGTTGATCTTTTGCACGATGGTCAAACGTGCCGTGGTGGCGGAGTAACTGCCAATCTCTCCCTTGTCTTCATCGTACTGTTTCAGGTCGAGTCGCGATTCGGCAGAGTTGGAAGGCCCATCGGCACCGGTGTTGGGGAGTTGTACCTGGGCGATCTGGAGGTAGTTCTGGTCTTGACCCGAGGTGTGGGTACCGAGAAGCAGTCGATGTTGGGTGTAGGATTGGCCGGCGGGGGACTCTTTATCGGGGAACCATTGGCAGGTGAGAGAAGGCCATTCGAGTGCGTGTGTGACGACGAGATCGTAGAGGAAGGGAGAGTTCTTCTTCCAAATCTTGTACTCTTCGTTGGAGAGTTTCTGCTGCGCAATGGCTGCCTCGTCCTCGATGATGTCCGAGGCGTCCATCTTCGTGGTGTTCGGGGAGTTTGCTGTAGCTGAAGCGAAGAGTGACTTGCGTGGTGTGCAGCAGATTGCCGATTGCGAAACGATGCGAGCCCGGTGCGGCGGGCCTGGGTGTGATTGATGTAAAGGATGAAGTGCTTGTGAGCAAAGAGTGATGAGTCGAGCTAGTTGAAGGAGAAGCGACGGCGGTGGAGGCAACAGTAGAGCCAGCTCGCTTGACCTGCGCCTCTCTGAAACGCGAACAAGAAGAAAGACGAAGCGGCGCTGAGGCCAACGCCAACGAGCGGGAAAAGTAACAGAGACTCAGACAGCCTTCAGGCTGCTCAACGCGTTGTGGACTCAATTCACGCGGACTGGACCCAAACCGCATTTTCTCGGACGAGTGTTTCCAGAGGATCTGCAATATTATAGAGGAGCGTCTCGCGTCGCGTTGAGTGGTAGGATCTGTGCTAAAATTGTCATTGAAACGTGTCACGAACCGAAGTTCAGCTGCCACTGATCACCCTCACGGTCTGACAGATGATGTGACGTCTCTCTTCCGAGGCACTAACGACCCGCACAGAGTACAGGAATTGGGGTCTCAGTGGCTCGACAGTCGGACGTAGAAAGAGTGCTCTAGCTATGTGACCAAATTGGGAGTGCAAGTCAGGCAATTGATGTCGTGCGTCTCTTGCGAAACGTGTTCAGCATCATGCATAGATTTTCAACGCTCGCATGTCTGTCTTCCTCTCGACGGGCCTCGTCTCAGTTGAAGAATCTCTCGAGGCAAGCCGACTCGAATCCGAACGAAGAAGAGAAGCTATTTGAGGGTGTGGCGTCTGTGCGTTCTGTCTGTCGAGCCAGACATTCCAGCTCTTTTGCCACCTTTGAATCCCACGACGCACAGACACCCTTTCGGCAGCAAAAAGAAGAACTTCCAACTTTTTTTTTTAGAGCTGTGCAGCTCCACAAGATTTTTTTTTGCTTTCCTGCGAAAGGTAAAATTTTGCTTTGCCGCCGCTGAGTGTGTGCACGGTGTCCAAACAAAGAAAGCGTTGTTTGCCGCTTGCGTTGGAAGAATTGCTCGACACTTTTTTCTGGAGAGTGTGGATGGACTTGAGACCGAAGCGCACTTGACCTTCTACTTCCTCCTCCACCACCATCCGGAACTTCACACTTCCCACACGTACTCACATCCCTTAATACACAATGACCGACGCTTACCGCCAGCCCGAGGCCAAGACCTTCTCGGACGCCCTCCAGCAGAAGGTGGATGCTCTCGTCAAGGACTTCCGCAAGGCCGATGTCGAGCTCATCAAGCACGAACTCAAGCTCAACGCTCCTCTCTACAAGAAGCGCGCCGACATCGTCTCGTCGGTCAAGGACTTCTGGTTCCAGGCTCTGATCAACTGCATGGCTACCAACGTCTACATCGACGATGCCGACCACGACGCGCTCTCGTACCTCTCCAACGTCGAGGTCGACCGCAACATTGACGACCCGCGTGCTGCCACCATCACCTTCAGCTTCCGCGAGAACCCATACTTCTCCAACGACAAGCTCGTCAAGGAGTTCTCGCTCGTCGACGGCGCCAAGTCGCTCGAGGACGAGTTTAACTTTTTGGAAGAGACCAAGCCCGAAAAGACCCAGATCGACTGGAAGTCGGACGACAAGAACCTCGTCAAGCTCAAGCCCACCATCGGCGGTCCCGACAGCGACGACTTTGAACCCGGCTCCTTCTTCTCCACCTTCTTCGAGAACACCGACCCCGAGGTGGCCGGTGGCATCGGGCACGCGTTGATCATGGACTTCTGGCCAGGAGCTATCGACTTCTACACTGGCGCTGACGACCTCGACTTTGACGAGGACGACTTTGACAGCGAAGACGAGGACGACGAGGATGAGGACGATGATGACGACGCCGAGATTGACCTGGAGGACGATGAGCCCCCGAAGAAGAAGTCCAAGGGTGACGCGTAAAGCGTGTTTCTCTGTCGACTTTTTCTCGTTCCCAGTTCTCTCTAGTTCTGTTCCGCGCTTCTTTCATGGATGCTCATCGACACCGCCCGTCTTTTTTTGGTTACCGGAAACGGTGACTGGTCGTTCTGTCTTTCGAAGCATTCCTCAGAGAGGCCGCTCTCTTGTGTATTGCTCCATCACTCGTCTCAATAGACATCTCATCTCTCTGGCTGCACCTTTCAGACATCAGTCTTTCGTTTTCTTGGCGCATCCGTGCGGAAGAAGCGAGGCTGACCTCTGTGTATCAATACCATTCTCTCATTCTGAAGCATTCGTAGTATAGCACTGTGTGACGTAGTGTGTGCCGACATCGTGATGGCTTTGAGTTCAAGAATCGAAATCTTCTGATACGAGCGGATGGAAGCCCGATCGGATCTTCCGTACTGGTTCCGCGCTCCCCTACGTGCGATCCTGCCGCTACGGCTGATTGTTCACACGCCTCTGCCTATGCTCGAGCGAATCTCTCGCGGCTCTTTGCCAAGCAGAGCGAAAAGCGATGTCGTTGTCAGGGAGGGCGTAATGAACCACGGTACGCATTGTCTTACCTGGCTCTGTCTTACGCTGCAATGCTAAACTCTATCCACTCTTATCCGAACCTGGAACCGTGGCGAGACCCTGCGTCCGTTCGACTCGCAAGCATCACGCTCGTTTGCGCCGCTGAGGCTCGCAACAAGCTTTTGTCAGGATAGGCGAGAAACATGGAACCGGATGCGAAGGCGTGCCAAGGTGGCGGTGGCGCTGACAATGCAGCAATGAATAAAGGTAGAACAAAGGCTGAGCAGGCGAGCTTTGAGAGACAGTGCAGGGCTGAAGCATGCAGTAAGCGCCTCTCTGCAGGGTTTCCGGCCATGGCTGTCTCGTGTGGGGACGAGCCCTTGATGATCCACCGGCAGAGTAGACTGGATAGCCAGTCCTGGTGGGTGTGCGCTTCCGGCTACAAGTCGACAAGCATCAGGGCGAACCCGAGAAGCGGGGAGGAAGGTCCCACGGTCCATTTACACGAGTGTCTCATCAGAAGCGCGGGCCGCCTGCCTCGGTAGCTCGACGCCCAATCTTTTGAGAAAATTGCGCCCTCTCGCCGTTGTGTTGATCAGGGTGCTGAACAAAACGAGGCGCCAGAGCACACACAAGCAAAACGCTGATCACGGGAACGCCACTTTTTCCCCGGCCCACGAGTGAGTGCCTGCTCTTGTGCCTGATCCACACTTTTTGCAGATCACAACCCAGTCCCGTCGCAGAGAATCCGTCGATCGATTCTACAGACAGCCTCCTAACAGGACTGGGTCTACGACGTTACCGCAAGAGAGTTAGGTCGCAAGTGTCGCGAGCTACACTGACCCGGCTTCCGACGTGACGCCCTTGAAGCGGACGAAAGCCAGGGGCGACGAAGGGGAGGTGTATTAGCACGCGTTTGCCCCGCTGAATGGCTCCAGGCCGGTGCGATCAGGAGCCGCGCAAACAACGCTTTTCACCTTCCGACCGAGTTTGATAACTCGGACCCGATTCACCATCTAGTTGATCCGGCCTACAACCCCACAATTTTTGATATGCGGCTTGCAAGCATCGTGAAAGTCGGACATTGCCATGCAACTGTTTACGGCTCCACCGAATACACCACCTGAGCTTGAACCATGGCAACGTGTCGCCTCCACTCTTTGGTTGTTTCGATCACTCTAATGAGTGAAGGCCATTGATGTGTAGATCAGGCACGGTAGATCACCGTCGGGATTCCTTCGCTGCAGGGGTTCCTTAGAAGGGTTCCGTGTGTAGGAACAAATCTGGAAGAGGAAGCACGAACGATTCGGCAAGGGGCCTGGCCAAGTAAAGTTATGCGCACACAGCGGCAGTCTCACCTCTCCTGTCCGCAGAAGCGTAAGGACCCGCAGCAAGATGCAGGAGTGGCGAAAATCATTCTTGTCCTTTTCCTGAGCTCTGGCACCGATGCGGAGGAGCAGCACTTAGAAGAAAAGTTTAAAGTGCTCAGCACGTTGCACGCTATCGTAAATAGCTTGCAGCGCGATGCATGTCGCGGAGTGCATTGCAACATGTACGACCGAGCTAACCTCGCGGCTCGTGCAAGTGGGAGAGTGAATTGAGCATTTCGATGACTGTCAAGCCGATCTTCGCTGACCGTCTCGAGTGTTGCACCCTCGCTTTCTTCGTAAGATGCGTCGGGCCAGCGTTGACACTGTGCGGTTCTTCGCGGCGGCGGAAGCGGGGTTGCAAAGAGTGGCTGCGTGATAGGCGGCGGGGCTGGGAGCTGAGCTTGGAGGAGGCGCAACAAGCAGATCTTGTTTCACGTCGCCTGACAGCCGCAGCCGCCGCACCCTTCTTGTCCCTGGGCTCGATGAACCCTTGATTCCTGCGCTACGAAGCTTCGACGAGCTGAGGTTGAGCTCTGAGACCTCAAACATTGGCAGCTGATCAGCCACCTTGCTTCAATTTCACACAACGCAGACTGGACGGTCGTAGGAAGGGCTAGAGCTGCTCAAATGTCGGGGATACTAGTCAGCCAGGATTCACTCTGACCATGCTTTCTGAGTCGGTCAGCTGCAAGCCCTTGCGTCGATGCAGCCGAACCAGAAGAGAAGCGCGTCTGCTGCTTCTCCTGCGTTAGAATTTCCCCTTTTTTTTCCTTCTTTCCCACCGCGTAAATTGACTGCAGATGAGAAGCAGCGATAGGGCGACTTTCACAATTTCCAAAGACACTGGCGAGACGCTTGCCGCCGAAAACAAGGCAACCGTTCGCCTCTCGCCAAATTGCGGGGTCAAAATTCTTTCGCTCTGCTCAACTGCCTACATTGTGCCTCCGAATTTCCGCTTCGTTAGCCTGGATGCCAGGATGAGCTCACTTTGCGGAGATTTTATTCGGCGCGGTTGCACGGCGGGGCAATCTGGCTATCAAGCCAAACACCGACAAACCAGCGTCGACATGGGCCGACTCGTTTTCCTTTCTTCCTGTTTGGAGCAGCTAGTTTTGCTATCTTGCGTAAAGGATGTAAAAGTCATGCTCAGCCATGACTGGCTTGACCACCGGAAGAGAGAATGCAGAGCTGAACTTAGTCTAGTAGGAGCAGCGCCACTGCCACTGACAATGGTCATTTTTCTACGCTTTTGACCCTTTTGCTCGATTCGAAAGTGACGAGCGAGCTAAGCGAGAATCACTTTTTTAAATCTCCGCTTTCCTGTACGCCCTCGAGTGAATACTGCTGCTCAGAGCTGCACTTTCTGCCTCGCTTCATCGCCACTTTATGTTGCGCTCTGCAGCTAATGTCTCGCCAAAGTGCGAACCAGCCTCTTTCTGTTTGTGTCTCTCTCACAGAGGGCGCAACTCACCACAAAAGCTCGCTTGCACAACTCGCTGTGCAACTCACTGTGCAACACGGCAGTTTGGCTCAGCCCCGAGTTTCCCCCGGCCCCTTCCCCCGCATGATTCGCTCTGACGACACTCTCCTATCAGCTTGCCGCTCAATTGAGATGATGGAAGCTGGTCTCGACCTCAGTGTTTCTTCAGCAAACCAGTCGTGAAGGAGAGACACACAGCCTGGATCAATCTTCGTGTGTCAACGGTAGTTGTCGGCATCGATGCCTCCTCCTTCGTCTTTGCTCCTTCCTTCCCCCCTGATCTTCACTTACTTCAAAAAGACACCACCATTCGAACCGCATCACGGTCCCCCCTTCGCCGCACGTCGATATCTAGCTTCGAGCAACTGCCCACTTTCCGTACTGCTAGCGCCTTTTCTCACCCGGACCTCCCATCGAAGCAAACCTGAACGCACCGCACCATCCGCATATAGAGCCGTGCACCTATCGAATCGTCCCACGGTGCTTACGATTGACACACTCACGGTCTACCAGCTGCCATCCAAGGCTTTAATCGATTTTTTATTTACAAGGCCGCTACTTGAACCACTTGCACACGCCATGTCTTCGTTCTACGCATCTAGAAAGTCTTTTGACGTCTCAGATCGAAGCGTCTCCCACGATCCTGCATCCCACGATACTGTCATGCAACGCCCCACTTCCGCTTGCGGCCACCACTCCAACGCTTCATCCGCTTCGTTCGGCAGCGGTGGTGCTCCCATGCATGCCATGATGGTCCCTGGAAACGTCGTGCCCACTCTGGACCGTCCCGACTCCGACTCGCCCTTCTCCGACTGGGAAGCCTACATTGTCAAGCAAGCCCAGGACTGGTCCGACAAGAGCTCTCACATGGCCGCTTCGCCATCAGCCCAGTCACGCAAGAGCAGCGGCCCACGCATCGTCTGGGCCGACCAGGTTCGCAAGTCGTCTCCTCAAACACAGCCACTCGTATATACCAAGGCGCGCGATCGCTTCGCTCCTCCCGTGTCCCCGGAAGAATCTTCTCCTCCCACCAACTCACGCAATTTGCTCCGCAGACCTTCCTTTGACATGTTGCGCCCCCGTTCTGATGCTTCGCGCACTAGTCCGCCTCCTCAGCCAGAAGCGGGTCGCCCAAGCATCTCTTCGCCCATCATGACCAGGTCGACCCTCACAACAGCACAACCAGACTCGGTCGAGCCATGGCAAGCGACAATGGAGACGCCCTCTGCCGCATCCTTTGCTCGTGCCTCGCCAGATCCGCTCCAAGTACCTCAGAACGAGTCGCAGGTTTCGTCCGTCTGCGGCATGTCGCCTCTGGCTCTCTCGCTCCCCGGAGACGACTTCTCGTCTTTGCTCCTCTCCAACTTTGCCAAGCGAGCCTCTACCTCTTCCACCTCGTCTGGGCGTGCACCTGGTCCTTGCGAGTTGATCGCCGAACCCTTGCCCGCTCTCTTCAGCTCCGAGACGAGCAAGCCGCCATCCATCGCGAGCACCTACTCGATGCACTCGCGACGAGCCTCGTGGGCTAGCTCGATCGACCTCGACCCGGCTCTCATCTGCACCCCTCCTCTCTCCAGCGAGGGCTCGCAAGAGCAGTCTCGGTCCGACCGCCCGGCTTTCCTCGCCGAGTATGGCTTGGATCACGACACCGAGGAGAGCGACACCGAGTGCAGTCACTACGCCGACGAGCACGAGGAGCTCGCTGCCATGCCTTCTCTCGACATGGGATCGCCTCAGACTCCAAAGGATCACGAGCTGCCGCCTCAGCCCGTCTTCCAGCGTCTCGAGGCCGATCTGATCTCGCTCCACGAGAACGACAATGGCAACACGCAGCGCTTCACGCCGGATGGTCGTCCACTTCCCCTACTCGACCTTTCCAGCCTGCCCAGAGAGAAGCAGGACACGGTGCTGATGGCTAGGGCTCGTCTCCTCAGCCCCACCTCGTTCAAGAAGGCCTTTTCGCTGAGGTCTAAAGGATCCCACTCCGGCTCTCGTTCCAGTGTTTCGTCGCCCAGCTTGAACAACAGCAGCTCTGAGGAGGTTGGCAAGGTCAGCGAATCGGCTGTGGAGACTCCCACCGTGGCATCCATTCGCGATCGCCTGCCGAGCCTGGTGGCCGAAGACATGACGCAGTGGGCTGCGGGTGTTCCTCGCGAGGCGCCACCTGCTTCGCTCCTCGACGGATCCAACTCCACCATGTCGCACGCACCCTCCATGCAGATGTCGCCATCGCTCGACTCGTTCGCCCACACCATGAGCTCCGCCGGCAGCTCGGCAGAGACACCGCTCTCTCCCGCTTTCAGCTATTCGGGTGCTTCGATCGCATCCGAGTCGTCGCGTGGCGGTCCCTCATCGATCCTCTCCTCTGGTCAGAGGAAGCACCGCGTTGGCACTCCTGGTCTTACCAAGAAGGCCGGTGCCGATGCTGGCGCTACCGCTTCGCTGGATCCTCACCTTGCACGCTACCAGACACGGGCCCGATCCAGCGGCAGCATCAGCTCGCAGACACCTTCTACGTCCAGCGCACACCGTCGCGCTTCGCGCAAGAGCGGTCGAAGCCGCATTACTGACGGTATGCCTAGCTTCGCCGACATGGCTAGCACGCTCGCTGTACCGGTGTCGAACCAGAGGCGGTTCTCGGCCCGAAGTCTTTCGAGCGAAGGCTCGATCGACAGCCATAGCAATGCTTCGAACGGCTCCAGCTTTGCGAAAGTTGGCGGGTCGAGCGACGATGGTTTGTCAGTAGCTGGTGTGGCTTCGACCACGTCGGTGGTCAAGAGCGTTTTGAGGAAGCGAGTGCCTTCGCTCGATGGATCCTTGCTGTCGCCCAGGAAGGAGGTTTCGTTCGAGCTGCCGGTTTCTGCAGGCTTCGGGACGGTGGATGAAGAGGCCGATGAGGAGGAACAGGAGTTGCTCGAGCATGAGCAGAGGCAGCGCAGCCATCTTGTGCTGCCACCGATGAAGCTGCAGGCCAAACAGAGTGCTGCCGAGCAAGATGCATCGGATGCAAACACCGCCTCGCGGAAGCAGGCGACTCAAGACGATCTCGACATCACTCGATTCCTCGATACGTTCGGCCGAGACATCAAAACCGTCGAGTCGCTCGAGCTGCTCGACAACGTTCACAGTGGCTCCAGCGAATGGCCCAGACGGCAGGACTGGGACTCGATGCCCGCGTACCTCGCCGCGTACGCGACCACCTTCCTCTCGCGCTTCGCCGATGACAGCGCTACGCTCGTCTACTCGGATGACCGAGCTCCAGCTCCAGCAGCTGGAAAGACGGTTTCGGCTCCCCTGCTGAGCAAGCACCCTGTGTACACGTCGATGGTGCGCTCGGTCCTTCGCATCGCCAGCTGGGAACAGCCGCTTGTCTCGGCAGGTATCTCCTCTTTCTACGCGCTGAGCCTAGCCAAGGGCAAATTGGTCGTCGTGCTAGCTGTCGGATTGGCGCTTCTCGCTGCTACCGAAGCAGCACAGAGCAAGCCCACGTCTTCGAGCGAGGCGGAAGAGTTGCAAGAAGCGTACAGCAAGATCGCATCGGTTCTGCTCGGGTCTGCGCAGACGCACGAGCGCATGCGCAACCTGGCACTGTGGCGATCGCCCAAAGCCTCGCTTCGATTCACCGGGCTGCTGCTGGCTCTGGCAGTTGGTGCATCTCGGTTCGCCAGCGGCCTCATGTCGCTGCCAGGTCTGTTCATCGGGTTGGCAGTGTTCGTCTGGCTTCCCTCGATCCTGAACCAGCCAGAATGGGCGCCTACCTGGCTCAAGCAGGGAAACCCGGTCGACGTGCTGCTGTACGACGTACCCACCGATGCGCAGCATGCCATCCTCACCCTGCGACGTAGAGCCGCTAGCGGCGAACAGCTCGTTCACCGTTCCAACGACATGAGTGCTTTGTCGACGACAAAGTTCGACCACCGCGTTTCGGCGTCCGAGTTGCAGCATGCGGGGGACGTTGTGGATGGCGCGTACTTTGCGCACCACGAGGGTGAAGCTGGTCATGTGGTGGTGCTGGCTCACCGCGTGATCTTCCGAACGCTGGCGGGCATGTCGGAGGGAGTGGTGACGTTGAAGGAGGAGTTGGAGCGCGATGCATCGATGCGAGGATGCAAGATCACGTTCGACTCGAGGTTGGAGAAGGTCGTTCGTCTCGACAAGACTGAGATGGGGTTGGAGCTCAGGTTGAAGAATGGAAAGAAGGTTGTGTTTGATGACATGGTAGGTAGGGACGAGGCGTTTGCTAGGTTGGTCGCGCTGGCTCCTCAGAAGTGGCATTAGTAAGGACAGGTGGATGAGCGTCATTGTAGAGCCGATAAAGGCTCGATCTCACTCTCTTTTAGTAGAAAAGGTTGTCCGGCATGGCAGATTGCACGGGACCTTTGCAGGCTGTACTCTAGTGTTGCGTTGAAGAAATCGGACTTTCGAGACGCACAAAGTTGTGGCTGAATGAATGTGTGGTGTTTTGTCAGATGTGGCTGAGGAGCGGGTGACACAGAAGTCGTATGGCGACACAGGGAACGGCAGATCCAGTGATCGATCACGACCTCAACTGAATCCAGTAGATCTTACGTCTTGCTTTTACTCGTCCTCCTCTATCGGATCCGGCAACCTCTCAAAAGCGCTGAACCACTTATCGCCTCTATTCCTCTCGACCTTTTTCCCTTCCTCCGTTGCCGTATACACCGCCTCTACACAAGGATCCCCCTTCAAGACGCCTTCGTCCTTCACGAGCCTCTTGAACAAGGGATGTTCACCGAGATGTTTGTCCATCCAATCGTAGAGCTCTTTGACGTCTGTGATGATGTAGACTATGCCACCGGGTCGGAGGACGTAGGCGTATTCGGCGAGGAGGGTGGGGGAGATGATTCTGGCCTTGTGTTTGCGCGACTTGAAGTGGGGATCGGGGAAGAGGAAGAAGAGCTTGGAGAGTTGGTGTTTGTGGAAGAAGTTGGGGAGGAACTTCATTCCGTTGGCGCGGAGGACACCTACGTTGGAGTAGGAGCCCGGTGTGAGGTGGGCCGAGGAGACGAGTTGAGCGTTGGCGGTGAGTTCGTCGATATCTTCCTCGTCTTCTACTGCTGTTGGGGTGTCTGTCGATGTCGATGGTTCGGCGGGCTCCGTTGAAGAAGGCTGTTCCAATCGTCCTCGCTCTGCTGCAAGTCGCAGTGCGACGATCTTATCGTGAACGTACTGCGTCACATGAACCCTGATCTCCAACCCCAACATCAACTTTTCCGGGAACAATGGCGCCAACTGCATCAACAATCCTCCAAATCCACACCCCACGTCGGCAAATTCCACCCCCTCCCCTGACTTCCTCTCCCCATCTCTATCGTAGAAGTGTGGGAAGATCGTCCCCCAGTTCATCTCCTCCGGTCTGGAGGGGTACTGCAGAGAATGATCCGAGAAAGGGTTTGCGTGTGCACGTTGCCGATACCATCGTTTCTGAGGGATGATGATCTTGCCGCCGGAGATGTGGTTGATGTGAGATTTGGATTGGAGGAGAGCGATGCGGTCGTGTTCGGATTTGGCGTTGGTGTGGGATGGATCGACGGCGTGGGCGAGTGCGTTGCGTTTGCGTTTTGCCATGGTATGGATGTGCTTCGGGACGGGAATGCGTCGAACTGGTTGATGGGTGGCCTGTTTCCGTCGTCGAGTGAAGTCTTGAGATTCTGAGCGGCGGGTTGAAGGAAGCTGATGATGGGGGAGTCGACGATGTCGAAGAGGAGGAGGACGAGAAAGTGTTTTAGAAGAAAAATCTCAAAAGGTGGAGAAACTCAAAAAATTACGACAGGGTCGAACACACTCTAACAAATTGGAATTTCTCGCCAGGCGCCGGGATCCGAGGAAAGCTCGAATTTGATCGGCTCCGACCAAACAAGCAGCATTGACACCAACATCTTACTCTCAACCCTCTCTCGCTATCACGACATTCTTCATACTCAACAAGCCGACCAGCACGTCCCTTCTTTCACGCAGCAGCACTCACCAAGATGGACAAGCTTCCTAGCGCCGAAGAGATGCGAGGTATGTTTCAATATCCTAAGATGCCCCTCAGCCTTGACGCACGGTTGAGGAACATGTCTGCTCCTTCCTTGCTCTTGCAGCATTACTGACGACTCATACATCTCTCTTCACTCTCGACCATGATTCCTGCTCTCTTGTTCGCCATCGCACAATCTGTCCTATCGACACGCATCTCGCAATCAACCGCACATCGCATCGTCTACGCCATCCCAACCTTTCATCTGGCACCTATCTTCCCAAAACGTCTCACCGCCTCCTCCCACCCACCGCTTCGAACCACACAGAGACGCTCTCGCAACGCGAAGAGAAGGTCCGCGAGTCATGGGTCCGCACCATGGAAGCACGAATCGTTCGCGAAGAGCTGCAAAAGTGTCACAAGGCCGAAGGCGTCAACCACTACCAGGCTTGCAGCGATCTGGCCAAAAAGTACCACTCGCTCTTGGCCGATGCAAAGGTGAGTTTGCTCTCGAAAACAGAAAGGAGGGAGAGACATTGCTGACTTTGTTTCGATTGATGTTTGGGTTCTGGTGGTGAAACGTAGGTCAAGGGCTTCAGAGTGATTGACACTGCGTAAGAAACGGTCTTGTGTGGATTTCAATACGACGATACTTTGCGCTTTCTTTCTATCTTCGCTCGCAAGATCAACGACTGAACGGTAGCGCAGTGTGTAAGACTGACCGGGAGGGCTCACTTCTTCAGCGCCAAGTTCAATCAGAACAGACTCCAGTCGCGTGATGATGTTGTTGTCATGAGAGACACGATGAAAGGTACAATTACATTGAGGCCGTCAAAAGCTGTTCCTGCTGCGCTTTTGGACTGATTTGACTGAGGACAAAGACGGTCAGAGGCCGAAAGGAGATGCTCAACTAGCGTATTCTCGTTGGAACTCTTGCAGCTCGGTCTCTTTCTGCTTGTACTGTTTGAGGAGCGTTTCGAGGATTTGCTTGAGCTGTCATATGCATCGATGAGCATTTGCAAGAACGGAACAAGATCCGAAGGCGTGTCAGAATCAAGCTTTACAGAGTCAGGCGGGAAGTCGGAAAGAGCCAAAACACTTACGCCTTCGAGGTTGGTCTGCAATGCCGGGAGCACCTCCTTGACCGTACGTTCGACCAGTACACCTCCGATGAGTCGGAAACACTTGCGATCTGGGTCGGCTTTGGATGCTTCTGTCAATGTGTCGATCACCAGTCTGCGCAATTGAATGTAAGATTGGGAGAGGTCTGTGAGCAATTCCATCCTGTTGCATCTAGTTTGTGGGATGTAGGACAAACTCACTTGTGCTCATCCGCTTCGCCCTCGAGTTCGCCGATCTTGGATGCGATGCCCTGCAGTTCTGATCGTCGAGACTGGTAGACCTGTGCTGCTTCTGCTCGTCGTAGGTGAGTTGTGTGGAAACATGACATCGAATGGTCAAAGGCAGGGCAAGGGTCAGTATTGAACGGAAGACAGCTCGAGATCATCTAGAAAGACAGCTCTTACCTTGCTCGGATAGCTGTCGCTTCTGCCCTACCGCCGCTGCGGGCTTTGGTGTTGCTGCCGATGACATGCTGATGTCTGTTTGCTGGTTGGGCAAGTGCGTGTTCGTATGATACCCAGCCGGTGTCGATGTCGATGCGAAAAGTGTTGGTTGTGAGGGTTCATCTTCTCGACAAGAAGCAAGCAGCTTCACGTGAGGCCGCATTTCCCAACTGCAACATATGCCGGTGTAACAACAGTAAGCACGTTAGTGCTGATGAGCGAAATTCGAGTGTCGAGATCGCAGCACCACTGAAAGGCGATGCGGAGAAGGAAAAATCGCGCAGCCCACACGCCGCTAGAAACTCCACTTTCCAGTCCTGGCTGAGCTCGGACCAGAAAGAGAAGCGGTGCAGTGTGCAGTGCAGTGCAGTGCAGTGCAGCGCAAGCGAAGAAAGGGCCGTTCTGGCCTCGGCTGTGCATCCACTCGAGATTGCCAATCGTGATTACCCCCTGAGTCGACCTTGCCGTCTTGCTTTCTTCCATCCATCCATCCATCCGTCCGTGCTTCCATCCTCCCACCTGCCCAATACAAGAGTCACCCAATCCCAACACAGAACCTGTTAGGAGAGCACAAGCGGTCGCCGCTACCCAAGCATCAACATGGAGGCGATCAAGCTTCAGAGGAAATATCCTCAATTCTCCCAAGAAGAGATGATGGGCCTCATCTCTGGCTTCCGCAATCTCGATGTCGAGGAGAAGGGCAGCGTCCCAAAGCAGGAAGTCATCAAGGCCATCCAAGATCAGGGTCATGCCTCTTACGATCAGGTTCGTGAGACGCTCAAGGAGGTCGACTTGGACGCCTCAGGCCGTGTCGAGCTGGACGACTATGTTGATCTCCTCGCAAAGATTCGTGCCGGACGCAACGTCTCGGCGGGTGTTGTCACCAAGGGCAAGGTCTTTGTCAAAGGCGCTACCTCTTCCACGCAGCACACTATCAACGAAGATGAGCGTACCGAGTTCACCCGTCACATCAACTCCAACCTCGCCGGCGATGCCCACATTGGCTCGCGACTACCCATCCCGACCGACACCTTCCAGCTGTTTGACGAATGCCGAGACGGTCTCATCCTCTGCAAGCTCATCAACGATTCGGTTCCGGACACCATCGACGAACGTGTGCTCAACTTTGGCAAGGGCGGCAAGGGCCCCAATGCCTTCCAGATGACCGAGAACAACAACATCGTCATCACCTCCGCCAAGGCCATCGGCTGCAGCGTCGTTAACATCGGCCCGCAGGATCTCATCGACGGCAAAGAGCATCTCATCCTCGGCTTGGTATGGCAGATCATCCGACGCGGTTTGCTCAGCAAGATCGACTTGAAGAACCACCCAGAGCTCTACCGTCTCCTCGACGAGGGCGAGACGCTCGAAGAATTCTTGCGCTTGCCTCCTGACCAGATCCTGCTTCGATGGGTCAACTACCACCTCAAGGCCGCCAACTGGCACCGACGCGTTTCGAACTTCAGCAAGGATGTTTCCGACGGTGAAAACTACACGGTGCTGCTCAGCCAGCTCAAACCCGACCAGTGCGATCGAGCCCCTTTGCAGCAGAGCGACGTCATGAAGCGTGCAGAGATGGTGTTGCAACGTGCGGATGCCATCGGCTGTCGCAAGTACTTGACGCCAGGGTCCATGGTGGCTGGTAACCCCAAGTTGAACTTGGCGTTTGTCGCGCATCTCTTCAACACCTGGCCATGCCTCGAACCGCTCGAGGAGGCGCCGCCTGTCGAGATTGAAGACTTTGACGCCGAAGGAGAGCGCGAGGCACGTGTGTTCACGCTGTGGCTCAACAGTCTCGATGTGGAGCCGGGTGTGTACAACCTCTTCGAGGATCTCAAGGACGGCACCGTGATCCTGCAAGCGTTCGACAAGGTCATCCCTGGCTCGGTCACCTGGCGACGCGTCAGCAAACCCAAAGAGGGGCAGGAGCTCTCGCGCTTCAAAGCGGTTGAAAACACCAATTACGCCGTCGACCTCGCCAAGGCATCCAGCATGCACATCGTCGGTATCCAAGGTGCCGACATCGTCGACGGAACACGAACGCTCACCCTGGGTCTGGTGTGGCAGCTGATGCGTCTCAACATCACCAAGACGCTCTCTTCGCTCTCCAAGGGCGGTCGTGGTGTCAGCGATGCGGACATGGTAAGCTGGGCGAACAACTTGGTCAAGAGCAGCGGCAAATCGACACAGATCCGATCGTTCAAGGATTCGCAGCTCAAGACGGCCGTGTTCTTCTTGGATCTGCTCAACGCGCTCAGACCGGGCATTGTGGATTACGCGCTGGTCAATCAGGGTAGGACGGAGGAGGAGAGCAGGATGAATGCCAAACTGGCGATCAGCATTGCGAGAAAGTTGGGTGCATTGATCTTCTTGGTTCCGGAGGATATTATCGAGTTGAGGCAGAGGTTGATCTTGACTTTTGTGGGTTCGTTGATGGCGATTCAATCGTGAACACAACAAGGAAGAGGTGGGGGGTGGGGGTGGGGTAGGAATGCTGTGTATATTGCGGAGGTTACAGCTTGGATTTCGTTTGGTCATCTAGGAAGTTGACGATGCTCGTAGACCAGAAATCAATGTCAAAGTAGTCGTACCAGAAGTGAGCGAACTCTTCGTCGGGGGTGGTGAGTCGTGAAGCGTGTTGGATACCAGTGAGGATGTGTTCGCTTTCGTTCCAGAGGACCATCCTGTCTCGTTTACCGTGAATGACTAGGACGGGTACTGTGCAGGGAATGCGGTGGAGTTGTTTTCGTAGATCCGCTTGTTGGATGGCCATGAATTGCAGACCGATGATCCAAGCTGGACGGGAGGTTTGACGGACTTCACGCAAACGGGATTGGAATTTCCGTTGGAGTGTGGGGTTGGAGTCGAGTGCAGAGGGGTGGTATTGGAGACGCATCATTTGTTCGGTGATGAATTCGTTGCGTTGTTTCTTATCGGGGATCTTTTCGGCTTCAGCGTTGAGTTCGTTCAGGTTGGCGTCGCCGCGGGGGAGTTTGGTCATAGTTGCCGACAAGACCGCTTTTCTGATCTTGACCCCGGCGAGGGAGACGAGTCCATCGACTACAGTCGCAGAGGGAGATGAGAGGAGAGCTTGGGTGATATGGCCACCCATGGAGAATCCAAGCAGATCGATCGTGGTGTAGCCGAGGTGAGAGGCGAGGTGGAGCACGTCGAGACCCATGGATTCGAGGGTCAGCTCTTGGTCCCATTCCTCGGTGACGGTGGATTCCCCGATAGCGCGATGGTCGGAGATGACGACGGGACGCGTGGCGGCGAGGGATTCGAAGAGGGGCGACCAGTCGGTCATCACCGCCGACAGCCCGTTGATCAGGAACAGCGGTGTGCGGGAAGAGGCGGAGTTGAGGGTCCGGTAGGCCATGCGACAGCCGCCGGAGTCGGGTAGGTCGAAGAATTGGGTCTTGGCAGAAGACATGGTGCCGGTATGTTGCTGTAAGAGGGGTGAGATAGTTGGTGATGAGTGTGGAGAGTGGAAAGACGATGGACGTCCGCGACAGAGAATGGAGGAGGAGGAGGAGGAGGAGGAAAGTGAACATGAGTGCGGGGTAAGCTGCTGAAAGAGATTCTTGATCCTGTCACCACCTAAGGGTCATCAGGCACCACCGGTTGGTTCGGCTGTGAAGTGGTAACCGTTCGACGCTTTCTCCGCGTATCCGGGAATGTTAGACTGTTCTTCGTTGCAGCTCGAAATTGGGGCAGCAGAGTGGAGGAGACATGCTGTCTCGAAACAAAGACCCTGAACTCTCCCTCCTTCCGCATCATCGATACGAACCCAGCAGTCTCTCCTCCCGTCCATCCATCCATCAAGGGCCTTGCTGAGATGGACAGCTCAGAACTGGAGCTGTACAAGCTTCAACTATCCCAAGTGACCACCGCACTCGAAGCCGATCCTTCCAACCAAGACCTCACCAACCTTCGAGACGAACTTACCAACCTCATACAGCTCACAGAGTCGCTCGTCGGATCCACCAGCGGCACTTCACAAAATGGACCATCTACAACGCAGCCAAATGCCATCAGGAAATCTGATGTTGGAAAGCGAGCAGAGGATGCAAGGGTGAGATTCCATTCGGGGCAGGAGGTGCTAGCAAAGTATTCGGCAGATGGCAAGTTCTACCCGGCAGAGATCGTTGCGGTGTTGGAGAGGGGGAGGGTTAAGGTGAGGTATGCAGGGTACGGAAATGAGGAGGTGGTGCAGGAGAAGGATGTCAAGGCTGCGTCGACGTCTGGTTCAGCACCACCACCGCCGGCGGCTGTCCCTCCATCCACAGAGCCCGCACCACCGCCCCCACCATCTCATTCAACGACCTCTAATCCCCCACCACCACCTCCCCCCTCCGCACCAGATACGTCCTCCCATGCACCTCCTCCGCCACTTCCCTCTTCCACCCTCGAACACCCTTCTCCTCCCCCACCACCGCCATCGTCCGATCCGCAACCTCCACCCCCACCACCACCTTCATCATCATCCTCCGACGCAACCACCTACCAACCTCTAGATGAACGAGCCCAACGCAAGCATCGCAACGACAAAAAACTAGCCCGCAGAGAACACAAATCGCTCATGCAACAAGAGAAAACCGCCTCTTGGCAGAAATTCGCCTCCAAAGCCACCAAGAACAAGACGCTCAAGAAAAGCATCTTCGGCACCAGCGACGATCCGTACGCCAAAGTCGGTGTCACAAAGAACCAGTCCACAAAAAGCTCTCATCAGCAGTAACTAAACACTTTGTTCATGTTCAAGAGTCGAAGGGTAACAAAAAGGGGTATAACATTCCAAAGCGTCAAGTCATAGCATCATTCACCGATCCTCCGTTACGACCTCCTACCAGCCCTAAACCCGGCAGCGATCACCAACGTACTCCCCACATCCCCGAAACTCAAACTCGTCGCCGCCTCCCCAATCACCTTTGTCATCTCACTGTTCAACTGCCTCTCCACCGCATCCCCACCTCCGTTGCGCTGTGCAATCAACGCCTTGAGCTCATCCCGATGCGTCTGTGTCGGATTCCTCCTTCCCCTACCGACGACCACCATGGCGGGCCGATGCTTCCGCGTCAACTCGATGAGTTGGCGCAGCGGTCGAGCCGTCGAGACGTCCTCGATGGTGAGTCGACCGCTGAAGCGATCCGACGCGATCTGGTCTTGCACGCGTTGCAGCGCGAGATCGTCTTCCAGCGTCGCTTCGAGCGCCGATTGCAGGGGTTCGCCGGAGCGCGCGCCCGAATGCTGCGTGGGGTAGATAGTGTCCATATTGCTTCCACCTGCTCGGAGCGCTGCTTGTTGAGCATAGTTCAGGCTGATCTCGTGGTGCACCGTGGGCGGCACGGTGGGCAGCTGATCTTCGCCTGCTTCTTCGGAAGAGATGCGCGTCATGCGCACCACGAGCACCGAGAGGTGGCGGTTGTTGGCACACAGTCGAGCCACCAGGTCGAGCGCAGCTCGATCGTCCGGTCCGCCCATGAAGGCCAGCAGGATCGGCTGCGATCCGACGCGTGAGAAGATCTGGGCGCTGCCGTGGCTCTCCCGGCCCGACGGCGCGGCTTTGTGTTCGATCAGCAATCCGACATCGGTCTCGGCCGTCTGGATGATCTTGCGGACCACGTTGAAGTGCTGCGTCGAGTATCGTCCCTTGAGACTTTCGGAAGGAGCCGACGCCCACCCAACGCTGAACAGACTCTCGAGTGGATTGGCTAGCGTCGCAGCCAAAGGAGACGAGGGACCAGCGACAGCACCATCCGGAGCTCCAGCACCAGTCCCGCCTCCACTGGCAGGAGCCTGCGCCAGAGTCATCGGCAAAATGATAAAGTTGGATCCGGCAGCTCTGCAACGACGCGTCACCGCTGTGGCAAACTCTTCCTGCGGGATGACAGACATGGTCGACTGGACGGGCAGGCCGTTGAGGTGAGCAAACGTCTGAAACACGTTGATGATGGGGTCGGCGCGCATCGTGTCTTCGGACTCTGACACCTTCATCACGGCCGACGTTCGGTCGGTGAGCTCGACAAGTCGCAGCGCATCGATGCTGATCTGGGCCTGCGAGCGTCCTGCGAGCGCGGCAGATGCGAACGGCGCCTCCGAAGCCAAGACGGGCGTCTGGTACTCGGCACCGCTGACGGACGGGTCGTCCTCGTCGCCGGTCTCGATCGACTTTTCGGCTGCTTCGGCCTCAGAACCTGACGAGGTCTGCTTGGATCGACGATGGCGCAGTCCGTTGGATGCAGCGGCGTCGTTGTTTGCAGCGGCCAAGGTAGGTTGCATGAGCTGCACCAGGGTCATGAGTCCGGGGAGGTGCTCGAAGCTGCTGAGAACCACGAGTAGACGCTTCGGAGACAAACGCGAGCTGACGTCGTGGTCATCCTCTTCCTCCCCGGAAGCGGTCTTACCACCGTGATGCGAGTGAACCGAAGTGTCGTCGAGACGGGTGCGATGGCTCTCTGGGTAGATCCATAGCGTGAGTGGCGTGGTGATCACCGTCGACACGACAGCCATGAGCACAAACATGGAAAATACGCGCGTGTCGAGGATACCAGCCGAGAGACCAATGTTCAGCACGATGAGCTCGACGAGACCTTTGCACGACATGAGAGTGCCTACAGCGGCCGACTCGCGCAAGTTGAAGCCAAACGCCTTGGCCGCAGCGGCACAGCCGATGAACTTGGAGAAAAAGGCAATGACGATGATGGCCACCGTGTATGCCCAGGCTTTGCCCGAGTTGAGGTCACCCAGGTTGGTCTTGAGACCAGAGAGCGCAAAATAGATGGGGAGGAAGATGACGAGAACCAGGTCCTCCATCTTTTCGGTGAGCGCAATGGCGTAGCCGCCCTCGTGTGGGATCATGAGACCGACGAGGAACGAACCAAAGATTGGATGTACGCCAATAATGTCGGTGATCCAAGCACTGACGAGAACGAGCAGAAGTGTGATCATGATCATGACCTGATTCGGCCCGTTCTCGAAGCTTCCGGTTCGACGAGCGAGCCAGATGAATGCGGGCTTGATGAGGAAGAAGAGGATGAGGACCCAGCCGACAGCGCACAGGAGAATGTACAGGGCGGTGAGACCGGTGTCGGCGTTGACCAAGGCTACCGTCAGAGCAAGAAGAATCCAGCCGACCACGTCGTTCCCGACACCTGCGGCGAGGACAATGACGCCGACCTTGGTGTACAAGAGCTTGGTTTCAGTCAGGATACGCGCCAGCACGGGAAATGCGGTGATGGCCATGGCGACGCCGGTGAAGAGGATAAAGTGGCCGAATGAGACGTTGTTCTTGTCGATGAACGTGTTGTAGATGCCGACGGACACAGCAGCGCCCATGCCGAAAGGGAGCACCATCCCTGCGAGACTGATAGCTGTCGACTCCTTGGCGCAGCGACGAATGACTCGGACATCGACTTCGAGACCGACGAGGAAGAGGAAAAGCACGAGACCGAGGGTGGAAACCAGGTTGAGGTACGGAAGGGACGGCGAAGGAAAGATGTGCTGCGTGAAGCCAGGAATGCGGCCCATGGCGGTGGGGCCGAGCAAGATGCCGCCGATGACCTCTGCAATGACACGTGGCTGACGAAGCTTTTGAAGAACAAAGCCGAGGACGCGGGTGACGATGATGATGATGGCGGCTTGGATAATGAAGAGTCTGAGAGGGTTGGACGTCTCGAACTTGGTGGGATCCGCGCCGCCGATGACGCTGTCAGCAGCGCGTGGGACCAAGAACCTTGTCATGATAGCAGAGGGCCTCTGTACGTGGTTGTATGCGGAAAGTGTCGATATGTGTGGCCAGTCCGTGGACAGGTTTGAGGTTTGCAGAGGCCGAATGGTTTCTGCGGCCTGCGCAGAGAAGAGACGATGGGCCGTCGAGGCACGATGATGGTGGTGGGAGAAGCTGGCAAGTGAGAGATGGCGACTGACCCTTTATCTAGGGTGCACGGCGTAAATCTTTGCGGATGCAGAACGACAGGACTGCAGGCGCGGCAAAGAGAAAGGAGAGGAGAAGCAAGTGGCTGAGCATACAGTGTATGAGTATTGAATGCCAAGACCGGGTCCGCTTCCAGGAGAGACTAAAAGGGGCCTTTTCGCGCTCGAGCTGCCACGTGAGCGAAGGTTGTGCAGCGCTGGAGGGGCGGTGTGCAGCTCTGCAAAGGGCAAGTCGTGACAGCTGTGCGCTTCGGCGATGCAGGGGGGACGAGGTGAAGCTATGTGTGGCGGCGGTCCGTTCGGTAAGTTCGGGTCGCGTCAAGCGCCTGCAAGCTGGTCAAGTTGGTGTCGGTTCTGTCGTCGGAGTTGAATGAGAAAAGATCGGGTTGACCAACGCTTCGCAACGCTTCTGCTCGCCTCAGCTCAACTTCGGGTGTAATCGAGGGTCAGCACCGAGCTGAGAGTCAGTCGGAGAGATTGCTGTGAGGAGAGAGAAAGAGAGAACGAGAGTCTGCATGTGGAGCGTACCGAGTCTCCCGTGCCAAGCCCCCTCTTGCAACAAAGATCCCACTCACCTGGCGCCACCGGTGCTGCCAAAATGACCACGGAGCACCCGACACACTTTCTCCGGTTTTTTTTCTTTTTTGGCGTGTGGATACACCGAGTGCAGCTTGGCACGCATAGTGAATAGGGTCCGGCCTTTCTTGTGGCTTTCAAGGCTCGAACGTGGCTAGACTCGGCTTCGTCGTAGCAACTGATCGAGACTGTTATTGACGGTTCGATCGGACAGGCTCAAGAACCGCCCAATGCGATCGATGACTGTTACTGTACTGCATTTGGTGCGAGATGTGCGGGGTTCGCTTCACGTTGGCAACCGAATCAAGGGACGAGGCGTTCTTTGCACTTTCCATATGCAACGTGGCCAAAATGACAACGAACGCAGGCGCATGCACGCGCATGACCCTTCGACCCCCCGACTTTTTCGCAATCACGCCGTGCTTCGAGTCGATGCACTGGCGCCCCTTGTACAGGTTCTTGCTACACGCCTTGCTTGCTTGCTTGCTTGCTTGCTCAGTCCACTCACTGGACGAAAAACGACTAGGCGCACTCGTGCCCAAGCTTCCGTCAACGGCTTCTTCCCTCTGGCTCTGCTGCTGGCTGGGTTCTCGACGTTTGCACAAAGGTCAGCTTTAAGAGATCAAATTGATCCAAGGGTTTGCTTGGCGCGCGTGTTCGGGCACGCCGAACGTGTGAGGGAAGCTAAGTTGTCATGAATGCTGCTCCTCTGTCAGGTCGATACTCGATTTAGGAGCCTCCTGCAGCCTCGCCATGCAGTGTCTCGCTCCGCAGACGCCTGCACTCCTACAAGAGTCGGCCCGCCCTGACCTCGATCGCGTCACACCTAGCAGAGCAGCGCACAAGAGGCGACATTCGTCAACATTCGTGATACACGGCGACGAAGCCAGGCAAAGCTCCATGTTCCGTGTTGCGTGACTTCAGCTGCGTCGGTGGAACGAGCGATGGAGGTGAAGCGGGAGAGAAGGAGCGTGTTAGATCCTGCTAATCATTGCTCATCGAAATCCCGCCTCCTGCTCATCAACTCCATCACGATTGGCGCTGCAACGGATGCTGTCGAAAGCTCGATCGTGGGCCCTATGCAATGCTCGACGTCAGTAAACAGTGGGTTGAATCCCGAACCTCTCGTAATGCAAGCCATATCCTACAATCTGCTTTGCAAAGCAACAAGACTCGGGCTGACATCATCCAGGCGTCTCGACCTGGTCTCAAATAACCTTACTGGCCGTACCTATGCAGAAGACGGTCCACACCAGCCTCTCTGACGAGCAATCCGCCGGGTCCAACATCTCTAGCTTTCATGCGCGAGCCGACAATCAGCCGACAATGTGCACATGCAGCATCGACGAGGCCACGTGATAACGCACTGCAAGCTTAATAGAGCATGCAGACTCGGATGCATTCGGAATTTGACATCCGAAGCACATTGACCCTTAGAACCTGTTGAGCTCGGAGTTGTGCCGGTCGCATGCGCACCTGCCTGGGCTATTTGGAAGTTTCACATTTCGGGCGCCACCGCCCATGGAAAGCCTCACCATCAGCCACAGGCGTGTGTCACCGCACCTCTTCAACCAGCTCGTCCAATCGCAATGTCGGGCCGAATATGAAGTTGAGCAACTACTTCGCGGGGGCAGACCATCGACCATCGTTGGTTGCAACGGGTCAGGCGTTCCGCGACAGAACGCCGAGATCAATGCAGCTCAAGACAGTGGTTGAAACGTCGAGACGTCCCGCACGCATCCACTGGAAGCTTGGACCTGTAGCATGACGCTAGTGTTGAGGCTCCCTCTGGCGAGACTCTGAGTAGCCGCACACCGTGTGCCGAATCGAGCGGTGGAAAGAGCTCTCCCCTCGTCTCGATGCTGTGTTGGCACTCGCCGGCGAGTCCAGATTAAAGCTTATCCACATGTCTCGTGCCGATCGATTGGTGGCTGCTCGAACATTCGTTCTGTTCGTTCGCTTTGCAAGGCAATCTATGCAGGCGAGAAGATTACAGTGCGGCACCTCTTAGCACATCCAACCGAAAGCTCGCCACGCAGCCGAGGTGACAAGGTTGTCCTCGTCGTACTCTTCGAGCTCCGATGGCACGGTCTCGAATGTGTTCTGGTCCTGTAAGCGGCCCAGGGGCCCAAGCTTGAGGACGGAGTGTGAGAGATTTCGAGCGTGGAGCACACAGTCGCTCAAGAGGCTGGCTGTAAAAGACACATGCACAGCTCAAGCGGCAGCGAGGATCCACAGAGTCGATGGGGAGGACGAGGAGGCTGCGCTGCTAGTTGGCACGAGACGCGTGTGTGGTGGACACATGGCACGATGATGTCATGTCACCGTGTAGCAACCAAAAGGTCAGAAGCTGAAAATGAACAAAATTCAGGAACGAAAGTGCGTCGACACAAGACGGAGTCGATCGAAGAATCAGGCAAGTTTTGAAAGTCTAACATGCCTGCTCGGGAAAATCGAACGCGTTCGCTGCCGTCCTCGCCTCTCCATCTCTCCCACCCTGAGTTGGTTCGTACAACCTTTCGGCTCCATACGATGACAGAGGAATCAACACTCGGTGATTGATACAGCCTCAGAACCATTCCGAGATTGCCAGCGGACAGCCAATAGCAACTCGGCGGACTGGCACGCTTCAGCCAAGACCTGCGAGTCGGCGTGTCGAACCAGCGACACTACGAGGTGTGCATGTTGGCTCGAGGTGGTATTCGGCTAATCCTCTCGCTGTGGACCTCGGAATGGAGCATAGCGCAGCCCGAACGAGTCAAGCAACGCCGCTCGTCCAAAATTTGCAGGCTCGTCCGACCCTTGGCATCTGGTGGCGTTGAAGAGGCACTGCAGCCGGAACACCAAATGTCGGCATGCTGAGAAGAAGGGGTCTGGACCGCATGCTCTGCAATGTTGAATGTCCGTCCCGCCACAGCTAAGCTCGTCTCCGTACTGAAACCGCCTCGATCATGGAGCAGGGAGCGGTGCATCCCCCGAACCCAAGACGACGATCACTAAATCGAGTCCTCGCCGATTCGGGACGGTGAGCGGCGACACGGGGGCGAAGGCGGCGATGCAAGACCCATGCATGGCCGCAGCCGCGCAGGAGGCGTTGCAGATCCCGCAGCTGACGTGACACAATTTAGCCGTGGCAGTGCGCGCTTGTCCGTTCCGTCCTGTTGGGTCGTGTCGACGATGAGGTGCGTTACATGTATTACGATACCCATCTTGAGGCACAGATCGACTGGAAGGATATCGTCTGCATTGCGATCGACCATTTGCGTAGCGACTAGTTGGCACCCAGTTCGACACGTCCTCGAGGCAGCTCAAAAAATCGCAACGAGCGATCCTGCGGCTTCGTTGGCCTTGCCGTAGCCTTATACGACTTGACCAGACGCATTGCTCCTTTTACACACCTTTCTCTGTGTCTCGTCCTCTTTCCGCATCTCGCCTCATCACGAAGCAATGGAGAAGCCCACACGGAGAAAGAGACAGATTGCGTCGCTCAGGGTATGGCAGCTGCTTTCCAACACCCCAACGATGCGCGGGAGGTGCATCAACGCGTTGGATGCCAAATGGAACAATTCACAAAGAGAGTATGGTCGCGACGACAGCTGCTATGAGGCAGGCAAGCCAGATCCTCAAGGCCCTCTCTGCTGACTTGTTGTTTATAGTTAAGATATTTACACCTTGTCAGCTCGACTTGGACGCAAGCGGCTCCATCGAATCCTTGCTCAGCTGCCATCGCGCAAAGCAGCTGTGGGTCTCGCGGTGCCGCGATCGCACGTCTTCATTGGCACGTCAGATCTTCTTACCGCCGATCCCATGGATGCTTCGCAATGTTGCTGGCATCTAGAAACGAGTGGCACTTGCTGTTAAGCTTCGCATGAGCTGGATGGTCAGGGGCGAGTCGACCTCGCGGGGAACGGGATCGGTGACACTGCGTCTCTCCTCAAAAATCGACACAATTTCGCAGTCCGCTCTCATCGATCTTGCTTCGGTCTTCGTAGGTATAACTCAACTTGATGCATATTTATTAATTTATTTTCTCTTTCGACGTGCAAACATTACTGATATCACCGTGCCAGACTGTGATGACGGGAAACAAGATCTGACGCTGCGAGAGCAAACAGAAAAATAGTCCAAACAAGATGAATATTCTTAACACCGCATGGATGCATGATGCGATGGCTCCTGACTTGGGTGACCGAGGCCTAGACGGTGCGACATGGAAGTCCCAGTCGCGTCAGCTTTGCTACCCTCGAAAGGTTTGTCGCTGGCTCTGGCTTTTGAGTCTCCCGTCTTGATAGGCTCTCGTGGCGGCGCGACTGTGTGTGTCTACGCAGTTCTGCAACGCCCTTCCACCAACTACGAGCTGCCATTCCTCCACCTGGGAGACGCGCGCGCTCTCGCCCCTGATGCACAGCACACTCCGAAATTAGAAAGACGACCCTACAGCCAAGATGCAAGCGTAGCACACAGTGACGTCCTGCGTCAACGCAGCGCAGCACCGCACCAACGAGAGCAGCTTGAAGGCCGTCCGGAGCGTCGGCCAAGCCTGTGCTGCAGTTTGCCATACCGTTCTTCCTCGTCGTTTCCAACTCATACTCCCTTTCCACAACGACACCTTCTTCTGCCTCTTGTCGACCCTCGCCAGCATCGTCCTTTCTCTTCAATCCGTCCGTCGTGTCAGCATCGAATCGTCAAGGGCTCCTTCATATCTTTGTCCAGCTTCTCTCAGATTTTGCAGCCCGTTCAAAGCCATCGCGTCTTCGACATACTATCAGGTCGTAAGTATCCCGGGTGCTGCGGCCTTCATCGATCCAAGTACGCACCTCAAGCTGTTCCAATCGACACGGCTCGGCTGCTACCATCCTGTCCCTCAGCCCCGTGGTCTTGATTATACCGTCAGCAACATTACACTGCCTGAACGGAACGGCGTCGCATTACCAAGCCAATCCCCCTTCCAGCGTAGCATCTTGGTCATTCAGTATCGGCGTTCGTTCCTATCCGTTGGCAGCATTCGGACAGCACTACTCCCAAACTCCGACCATCAGGAACCGCCTGCACGATAGTCAACCGCCTCGACTGCCTTCACGATCCTCTCAACCCAGCCCTGCAAGCTGCCGCCCGCATCGAACCGCTAGCTGCCGAGCCTCTGCACACGCCTTTGGCTGCGCAGTCTCGAACGGCTTGGGCAGCTTTTCCGATCATGGAGCTTCCCACGTCTGCGTCGAGCTCTTCATCGGCTAAGCCGACGCTTTCGGCAGGGCCGCAATCCGACGCGACGACACACGTTTCGTCCGGATCCTCCTCGTCGCCTTCACCACACACTTCGTCGGCCGAGTCTGTGCCCGCGCGCAACAGTCATACAACGCCGCCTTCCTCCGCCTCGCCCAAGCTCAAGTCGGCCAAGATACGCATCCCCGCCTCGGATATCGACGACAGCAGCAGCGTAGGCTCCAACGATGCTCTCGTCGCCGCCAAGGTTCACATCAAAAGCGCCATCTCGTCCCCTCGCTCATCCGTATCCTCGTCCGGTGCGGTCCGACGCGGCGGATGGAGGGGCTTGGGCGCAGCCTCTTCTGCTTCGGCGTCACGCAGCTTCACACACAGCCACCGCGGCGAGACCTACGCCTCGTCCAGCTCCTCCGAACACGGCGCAGATGAGGCCTTGGCAGCCACGTCTAGCTCAAGCACGCACGTCCGTGCTTCCAGCATTCTCTCGGCGCCGAGCCCTCCCCATCCAGGCTCGCCTGTCCAAGGTGGTGGAGAGCTCGAACAAAGTTATCGAGACAATCCCCAGGAGCTATCCGTCGCCGATCACCCTGCTTGGCACAAGATGCGCGACCAGCCCGGCGTAGCTGCGCCCGGGACGCTCAGCTTCCTGCCAGCCGTATCAAACGTGCACTCGCTCGGTTCAGATCAAGGTACTCGAGACGACCTGTCAGAGACGCACGATGCTTCCGATCAACATCCTCATCCGCATCCCCCTTCTTTCTTGCATCCCTTCCAAGATACAATGTCGGCTGCCCCAGCGGACAACACCGTTCCCTGTCGAAGCGCCGCGTCCTCGATGTACGCATCTTCCGAGCACAATAGCGCACCGGCATTCGCCGACGGTGAGCAGACACCGCTGCAAGCCACTGAGCCCGGCGTTTACGACTGGGCCAACTTTGTGTACGCTTACGCGCGAGGACGCTGGAATCCCGGTCTCATCCCGCAACCTCCCGGCCAGTCGACGGCATTTCCGGGCGCACAGACCCACATCACGTCGACCGGCAAGCCAACCCCCGACGCTCGGCCCACAGCAGCTGGTGTGCTCAGCGACCGCAGACCATCGATCGAATATGTCATGCCAACCGCAGTGGCGCAAGGTGCCAAACCTGAGTCCGTGCCAGTCGCGCCCGAGCAGACGCTTCAAAGCCTCCCGTTGAGCAAACGAGGCAGCGCCGACTCGAAGTCCGTCGCTTCCCTACCTCTCGAGACAGCGGCAGACTTGTCCATGGCGAAAGGCACTCTCAACGAGAAGACGTCGCTGCCTTCGCTCCAGTACGTTACATCGCCGAACGATAAAGAGCGTAGCAAGCTCCAACAAAGCGTGCCTGGCTCGTCTGCGACCGAGGGCGTGCGCTCGAGCAACACCGTCGGCAACGTCGTTGACGCCAACGTCCTCGTAGCCCTGCGCGAACCTTCGGCGAGCATGTCATCCGTGTCCCGGAAGTCCACAGGCGCTGTCAAGGCCACGGCACTTCGCACGGATGACTCTGGCCGCAGCGCACTGGAAAGTTCGGACGACACACAGCCTCTTCAACGGGCCAAAACGGCACCCGAAGGCATTCCCACCAGCGGTACTCATGGCCAACTCCCTTCGCAACCGGAGCACGCAGGTCTGGCGCCCGATCTGCCTTTCGCCACGCGTCCAACAGCGGCCGAACGTCGTCAAAAGTCGGACACCGCGCTCGATGAGGCGCCAGATAAGGCGACCTCCGCCACAACAATCTTGGAGGACGAACCTAGCAAGCCTGTGGTGCGCACTCCGACCAGTGAGCTCCCCGATCCGCTTCAAGAGGCAACTCCCAGGAAAGGGACTATCCCCGTCGTCGAAGAGGCGGTCTCGCCAATGACGAAATCGAATATTGAGGATGCTGCCGCGAAACCATCGATCAAGTCCCGATTAAAACTCGCAGACGGCACAGGCAAAGATCCAACGAGCACACCAGCCGAGGCACCGTCCTTGCTAGATCAGAACGAGGCTCCGAATCCCGATCCGCTCGAAAGGCCGGGACCTACGCCGATCCAGTCCACCCACGGTGTTCCCAAACAGCCCGTAGTGTGGCAATCAGCGCCCGAGGGATTGTCCAGCTTCGCTGAGGCAATGTCGCGTCAGGCATCCGGCGCGGCTGCCGCGGACACAAAGTCGCCCCTCGCAAACGAGATCACCATTGATAACGTCACCGTTGCAGGTCTTCGTCGCGCTGCCCGTAGGACGAGCATGGAGAGATCGGTAGCTGACGTGGATCGTTATCGCATTGATGGCGGTCGTAATTCGAAGGGTTCTCTTGTCTCGCACAGCGCGAGCTTCCCTGGTAGCTCGCCACGGCCGTCCATGTCGGCTGCCGCTGGTCCGCGCGAAGGCGTCTTGGCGCTTCCATCGCTGTCTGTGGACGGGGGCTCCACTTCGACAGGATCGGCGTCTGCCTCTGCCTCGACCAACAATGGGCCTACCGTCAACGTGGCCCATTTTGTCGACGGCAAACAGAGCGGAGAGACTCGTATCGACCTGCGCGGGACCGTGACCAGCTCGGGGAGCGTGACAAGCTCGCCCGCGGGTGGTATGCAGGACCTCGATGGCGCTGTATCGGCTACCGGCCTCGCCCCGCACGAGGTCAGCGCCAAGGACGTCTCGCTTGCCGCAAACGCCTCTGTGATCAGGCCCAGACCCGTGCCGACCAGCACTTCTTCTCAGCGCATTCAATCGTACCTTGCAGCAGGTCGGCGCGTCGAGCTCTTCTATCGCGACTTTGGCTACCTTCCTTCAATCCTCCCGCCGCAAGAAGAGTCGCGTCTGCATGCACTCTCGCGTTACGGGCCGCCCAAGATCGCTGGCAACCCGAACTTTGAGAGGATCGCGCACCTGGTCAAACTCGTCTTCAACTCGAAATTGGTGCTCATCACGCTCGTCGGCGAGAACGAGCAGGTCTTCCAGACACAGATGGGAGGAGGGGGTGAGATAACGATCGAATCGCTGCAAGCGCTGGCCGGCTCGCGCAACTGCTCCTTCTGTTCGCATGCCATCCTTCAGGACAGCGACGAGCCCATCGTCATCTTTGACGCTGCTAAAGACTGGCGGTTCTCCGGCAACCCGCTCGTCCGAGGCTCTCCAGACATCCGCTTCTACGCCGGCAGCCCTCTGCGCACCTCGGACGGTCTCAACATTGGCAGTCTCTGCTTGATCGACGACAAGCCTCGCACCGAATTCGGGCCGCGCCAAAGACATACGCTCCGTGAATTCGCCCGTGTCGTGATGCGAGAGATGGAGCTTCTACGCGACAAGATCCAGTTTGGTATGCGAGACCGCATGCAGCGATCTGTTGAGCTTTTCACCAAGGAATGCCTGGAGATGGACTCGGAGGAGGGCGACTCGGAGGCGGTGGCCAGCGCTCAGGGCATCATCGGTACCCACAAGGTGTTCCAACTTGCTGCAAAAAGCATGCGCGAGGCGCTGCAGGCGTCGGGAGCTGTCATCTTTGACCTCTCACACTTCGAGCTCATCGATTCGTACGAAGAGGATTTTCTCCCCAGCGAGCTGGGCAACGGCACTAGCAGCAAAGTCTATTTCGCCAATGCGCCCGCGGCGCACAACGCGGATGCCGCAGCGTCGGCAGCGGGCGGCGGCGAGAATGACGTGGATTCCGACTCCGAGAATGGTGCTGCCGCGGACACGTCAGGCACGTCTCATGGCAGGGCACTAGCGCGAGATCGCTTCTTTGACGGCACCAGTGGCGTCGAAACGTTCAGAAGCCCCTTCCATTCGCCCAGGGGCGATCAAAGCGCTAGAGCTAAGCGCGTTCCCCCCATGAGCGTGCTCGGCGCCAGCGAGACGGACGGTGTGCCTCCGGAGCGTGGCGATTTCGTACCTCTCAGCCACCACGTACAGATGGCCGAGTTCCTGCGCGTGCATCGGACGGGCAAGTTTTATTCTTATGCGCCGCCTCCCTTCCGATCGTTGCTGCCCAACGGCGTGACGGGTCTTTTGCTGGTGCCCATCTTCGGTCTCAACAAGCAGCCATTCGCCCTGATGTGCGCGTACATCACCAGCTCGGAACGATCGATCGCGCTCGAGGAGCTGCAAGTCAGCGGTCTACAGTACCTGCGCGCGCTCGGCATGATCGTGCTGAGCGCTATCCTCAAGAAGGATATCATGCTTGCGGACAAGGCCAAAAGCAACTTCATCTCCAACATCTCGCATGAGCTGCGCACACCGCTTCACGGTATCCTTGCTGCTGCCGAACTGCTCGCAGAGACAAAGCTGAATTCCACACAGGGCTCGTACCTCGAGACGGTCGAGGCGTGCGGCAAGAGCTTGCTCGAACTGGTCAACCACGTGCTCGATTTTACCAAACTCAGCGGCAACACACGCTCGGGTCAACGTTCTGTCCAGACCAAGACCAAGTGCGACATGGTCAAGCTCATTCAAGAGGTGTGCGAGAGCAGCTATATCGGGCAGATGGCAAGGCAGGTCGAGAGCGCCTCTTCCGGCATCGGCAGTGTCTACGCTCCGCCAGTGGCCGGTGCGCCAGGCGACAGCAAAGCGCAGGCGCGGGCCAAAGCGGCGCGAGACAACAAGGTGGAGACGGTCATCGACATTGCGTTACGAGACGACGGCTGGCTGGTCAACTGCGACACGGGCGGCATCCGACGTGTGCTGATGAATCTGATCGGCAACTCGCTCAAATTCACATCGGCTGGATTCGTCCATGTCTCGCTTCGAGAGGTGCAGAGCTCCAAGACGCACATTATGATCGAGTTGTCGGTGACGGACACGGGTCGAGGCATCTCGCGCGCTTTCTTGGAAGAGCAACTCTTCCATCCCTTCACGCAGGAGAATCCCCACGGTACGGGTACCGGTCTCGGACTGTCGATCGTCAACAGCATCGTGCAATCGCCCTCTTTGAATGGAAAGATCGACGTCTGGAGTACCGAAGGTGAAGGAACCGAAATCCGAGTCACCTGCGAGCTCGAGCTGTGCGAGGACGACGATGTCGAGGGCCCCACCTACAAGCCTGCGGTAAACGTTCATCAAACTTACACGGTAGCGATGCTTGGCTTTGACGACTCGCGCGGCGATCAGGATCTGCGTCACGCGCTCGAAGGATACTTCCTCAACTGGTGGGAGTTCAGATTGTCGGAAGAGGACAGCGCTGAGGAACAGGCGAAGCGCAGCGATGTGCTCGTCATCAACGATGATATGAGCCTGCTTGAAAAGGTGAAAAGGCAACGCAAAGGCGAGCTACCACCAGTCATCTTCCTTACCGCCAGCCGTGGCGAGTCCGAGATCGCAATGGCGTGCGAGGATTATCACGCCGCCGGCGGTGTTGCGCGAATCTTGTTCAAGCCCGCTGGTCCAGCCAAACTCGAGACCGTCGTCGACTTCTGCCTGCAGTGCCTGGAACGCAAACGCTCGGGCGATCCCGTGCCGTCGGAGGAGACCAAGCCCACTACACCTTTGCCCTCACCGAGCGAAGCGGGACTGAAGCAGATGGATCAAAGCGATAGCTACTTTGCGCCTCGACACAGCCGACCCGACATTCACAGCCATCCTGGACACGAGCTTGGCTCTTTCGACACCAATGCTTCCATCACACCACGCGCCGATAGGGAGGCATCCGTGTCCGTACTGACGTCGAGCACGGCTCAAGGTGCCACGTCGAGAGCGACATCGAGGCAGGAGCATCCGAGATTGGCCGAAGGCGAGATCAGGGACATGCGGCGGCCCACGCTCGATGCTGGTATTGGGCGTATACGTTCGCACTACATGTCGCCCGATCCGCCGGGCAGCTCGTCGAACTCGCTGATCCGACGACACTCGACGGAAGCACGTATGGACGCCGGGCGCGAGGATGCTTCGGCGACGAACACAAGCAAGCCGAGCCGACCATTGCTGCCTGCGCGCAGCATCACGTATCACGAGCCGCGTCTGCACAAGCACGTACTCATGTCTCCGATGGGCGGCCGCGACGGCGACGGCGACTCGTACTTTGAACGCGTGCCGACGCCGAATGCGCCGCTTACGCCCAACACGCCAGGTTCGACGGTGTCGCTGGAAGGTGGAGATGGAGCGGTGCTCAAAAGTGTACTTGCATCGGGTCGCAGCGGCAGCAGTCTGGGAACGGGGGTCGGCGGCGGCGGCGCCTCTCGGAAGCGGATGCAGATCCTGTCGGTGGAAGACAACGCGATCAATCGCAAGGTGATCGCGGCCTTCTTGGCCAAGTTGGACGTCGATTTTGTGGAGGCGATGAATGGCGAAGAGGGCATCACGCAGTTCTCGCGCTACCCGCCGAACCACTTTGACGTGATCTTGATGGACCTCTCAATGCCGGTGATGGACGGTATCACGGCCATCGCTGCGATCCGCAAGATCGAGCTGGAGCGATATAACAGCGGCAAGAGCGGCAGCAGCAGCACCGGCAGCGGCGGCGGCGGCAGTAGCCAGACGACTACTTCGAGCCGAGGCGGAGCCAACAAGCCGCCTGCACGACACCGATCGAAGATCTTTGCGCTCACCGGACGCTCGACGGATGAAGACAAGCGACAGGCGTTCCAGACGGGCGCGGACGGGTACATTGTAAAACCGCTGAGCTTCAAAGTGCTCTCGTCGCTGTTGAGGATGCTGATGCGTTGATGCGGACGCGCCGATGCCAAAGTCTCGACAAGTCGCATTGCCAAACATAACACACACATACACAGAACTATCACACATGCATCTGTTTGAACATGTCGCATTTCGCTATAATTTTACTCTCATGTCACTCAGCTTCGTGTGTCTAGGTCGCCATGGTACATGGAGTGGGGGCTGGCAAAGTCGACGTCTCGTTCAACGCCGTGACTCACGATTTACGTCGAACGTTTTCGCACATGAGAAAGGGGGGTCGAGGTGTGGATCTGTCGATGCGGAGTCGGCAATGAGAGATGAAAGAACTGTCCGAGATTTTCGAGCGCTCTGTGCGTCAAGCTTGGTTATGCCTCGAATTAGGAAGTCAAAGATGGATCAGCTGAGCGAAGGGGGGTCGTGACCAAGCTGGCCGGATGAAGGAGGAGAGACAAACGGCAAGAGTGGACGACTTGAATCACAGCTGCTCATGCGGTCGGGCCGGCTCGAGCCGGATCGAACGAGGTGTTGGCGTTGCATCATGACCCTGCAGATCGGTTCTTTGAGACCTTCTATCGCCTGAATTCCAGACGACGACAAGATGGCGAAAGTGGAATCTAGCCAAGGTGTCGATCATTCGTTTGTGGAGTCTGACAGCTACCAACTGCATCTCGGCAAAGAAGAACGTCGGGTGTTAGGTTTCCAGGGAGCGGAATCGTGCATCACGGAGTTGTGTTACGGCAGATATGGGAAGTGTTCCGCATCCGCGTCCTAAGCGCTGCAGCCTCTCTGTGTTTGCCATCCACACCCTTGATGACCCCGAGCGGAGTTGCAAAAAGAAATAGTAAAAAATGATATTCGACAAAACAAGAATAGAAAAATGGAAGCAGGCCAGTAGCGAGACAGACGAAAGTGCTCGACCCGGAGCGTTCTTTCTCGCCCACGTCTGAAACACGCTGTGGGTAAATCTCATTCAGGGACTCATCATTTGAAGGATCCGATCTCCCGTTGCCTGCCGAGGCCAGCCACACCATGGCACGCCTCAAGCGCAAGATCGCGGCCTGTCTTTTGAGGCTGCCTGCTCCGTGTGTGCTCGTGCAGCAGTCGACGGAGCAGCAGCAGCAACGTGTCGATCATCGAACGAGTGAACCTGTTCAGAACAAGCTGTACGGCACATGCATCTCGGTGGGAGGAGTGGATCAGAGCGCATCGGATGCAAGTATTTCTGCTCGCTTGCACATGTGCACCGCGTCGTCGGGTTTGACCTTCTCGCCGGCTGTAGCAGTTTTAACGCTCGCCAGAAATATGATTTTCTTTGTTTAAAGCTTGGCGTTCCCTGCATCGCGCTTTGCTGTTGGGACTGGAATCGGTTCTGAATTTCTTGATTTTATTTTGACGAGGGATTTCACACACTTTGGCCCCTGCACCCTGACCCCGGTCGGTCGGTGAGAGCCGTTGAGTTTCATCTGCAGACAGCTCGGATGCACGGGAGCAATTTGAGTGGAGCCTGCGTGCGTGCGTGCATGTGCCTGCCCCTGGCTCTCTTCTTTGCTGCTGTTCCTTCACGCTGGGATTGAGAAACGCGTCTGGTCGCACTGTTCCCGCACCCTGCGGGGCTCTGGCAGGTCGAGGAAGTTAGCCGACGTGTTGTGCTGCCGCACTTTTCTGCCTTTTCTTTTGGTTTTGGCTTGGACCGCTCTGTGCCTCGGCATCCGACACGGCGGTGACAGTCGAGCAGCCAAGCAAGCAAGCAAGCAAGCAAGCAATCAATCATCAAATAGTCGAATCGTCAAGCATTGTGTAACTTGACTGGCAATACAACAGTACTCCGTGCTTGGCCACGGACGCTTTCGGTCGAGGCTCGAGTCTATTGTTCTTCCTTTGGCTCCTCCTCCTTGTCTCTCCTCCTCTCTTGCCGCTCCGACACCTTCGCTGAACCTCTCTTTTTACCTTTGGCAGAGTGACACAGGAGTGCCGTCATTATCCACTTCCGAGCTCTGCTTCCCGAACACCGACATCAACCCCCACCGCATCACAACGCACAGCACAGCACAGCACGCCCTTGTCCTCGACCTCGTCGGCCCACGCTTTTCGTGCTGCCTCTCTTGTCGCCACGGCTCCTCCTCGACTGTAGGCCCAAGCACGCATCTGCTTCTGTCTTGCTCCCTTTCTCGAACTGCCGGTACATCGTGCAGATCTTGTGCGCCGTCTCAACGTCCGCCCCGCCCTGCCTCAGCCCACACGCCGCTGCTTCTCAGCCCGTGACGCCAGCTCGGGTCTGGATCGTTCATCCTTTGTTGATCCTCAGCATCGTCCATCTTGTCGTTGTTTGTTGTCAATCTTCCATCATCCTCGTCCTGCCACAACTTGGCTTCGTCGATATAGCCGCAGTACATCTCTCCGCCACATACAGAGCACCCATCTCTCTCGTTTGCTCCGTCTGCTCAATCCTCCGCCGCGATTTTGGCAATCGACACAATCACACCTTGCCGCCCTCCAGCTTATCACACCGATCGACTGCCTCTCGCGTCCAAATCGGTTGCCCTGCCAGCATTGCTTCGCTTTCGCTCTTGATCCCGACCGCAAACAACATCACCCTCATCACGATCACGCTACACAAGTCACATCACACGCAACTCGCGATTCGCTGAGTGATCGTCTGGCTATCCATCACACCTGCGAACGGCACTTCGGTCTGAGCTCACTTCAGCTAAATTTCTGGCAACGGATCACCCGACCGCCTCCTCTCGCGCATATCACGTGCTTACTGCGACCAGCATAGCGCAGTCACAGTACGATACCAGCTCCCTTGGCATCATCGTACCACCGTTGCTCTGCTTATTCTTTGCCTCTGTGCTGCGGCCTGCGTCTCGAACCGAAATCTCCAGCTGCCATGACCTCCGTCTTGACAAACGTGCGCAGTCATTTTTCGCAGCCCGGCATGTCAAACGATCCTCGTTACCAATATGCCGCCGATCTCTCGAGAGAGATGCATCCTTCCACCTCGACATCCACCTTGACCCACATCGACCCCGCCGCCTCTTCCTCCTCCTCCAGCACCATGTCATATCCTTCTTCGTTCGCGCTGGCAGCACCCACTCCAGCCACCAACTTGTCCTCAGCCCCCTCGTCCTCCGACGTCGCCTCAATATCTCAACCCTCTCTCATCACATCCTCTGGCTCGTCTTCCAATCCGAGCTCCATGTACTCTTCCGCAATCATCCCATCATCAAAAGCCTTTGACTCCGCTCTCGCTGCCTATCCCGCATCTTCCGCCTTGGTAGATCTTTCGGCTTCTTGCCCTCCAGAAGGTCCATCCTTCTCCACCACCGGCTTCGATCCCGACCTCGCTGCTGCTTCCCTTGCACCCATCTTTGGCACAGCCGATTCAACACTCATCGACACATCCGCGACTCCCTTCTCGTTTCCAGCGCTCCCAGCGTCGCTTCTGGATGAGGCACCAGAGTACGAATACGTGAGTTCTTGTCTATCCCCATCTGGTCCAATCACAACGCTTTGCATCCGCCACCATGAGTCGCGCCTTGCTGACATATTCTTCTCATCCACGCTCCAAGTCTGTCCACACGCGGCTCAACGTCTTCGAGGCATCTGAGTATGGCGAAGTTCCCTCCTTCTCATTCGCCGACGATGGCACTCCTCTACTCGACGCCGCTACAGAATACGGCCTCTGGTCAACTGGACTCGGCGGTCTTGACGACGGTAATCTCGCCAACTCGTCTGCGTTTCCATATCCTCACGACGATCTTGCCGTCCTCGACAGCAACAGGCTCGACACACAGCCAAGAACCGCCGCTCACTTGGATCTCTCCTCGCGACCCGAGAACTCGTTCGGTCCCAGCCAAGAGGTTGTCCTCGCGCCTCGCAATACCACAACACTGCCACCGCCAGGTGCAGTCGGCGAGGGTCTCGTCTCGGGCGCCAACAACCTGTCGGGCCCATCTGCTGCTGGTCTCGTCGACTCGGCGCCCTCAGTTCTCGCAGCTGGGCCAGCAGCCAGCCAGATGTATCAGCGACCGCACCAGCACGCGATGGCGAAGAGGTCATCTCTCGAGGGCGACGACTTATACAAATCTCAGGCAGGCCCTTCCCGTGGCCTTCACAGGTCTCGAGATGCGCATTCGGCCGCCAACTCTCCCTACGGACGTGGTCGTCCAGCTCTCCATCCTCAACGCAGCTTGCACAACCTCCCGGCTGCCGCGGGCTTCTCGCCTCCAGAGCTCAACCCGGATCTTCGACGCCTCTCGACCGGAGGAGGAGGAGTCGGCAACAGCGGTGTCGGCGCCGTCCGCGGTCCTAGCCGCGACCCGATGGTGCCCAGCCAGAACGTGGGACGCGCGCGTCTCATGAGTTGGCAGAGCGGTCGAGCGTACTCGGGCGAGCAAGAATGGCAGCAGCAAGCCAACTTTACCGATCCCAGCATGGGCGCAGCTGCGGATGCTGGCCCCGCTGCTGGACCACATGGCATGCCCGACGCACTTGGAATGCAGTCGGGTGGTATGATGCCGCCATCCCGATCGTTCAGCTACAGCATGCATCAATCCTCGTCCGGCTTCAAGCCACACCACGGCATGAACCCTCATCAGAGCGACATGATCAACGCGCTAGGCGACGCCATGGACGCACGCATCGACGTCGACGGCATCGCAAAGTGCCCTTACCCGAACTGCAACAAGACGTTCGCCAAGAATCGTTCGTACAACCTGAAAGCGCATCTGCGTTCGCACTCGCAGCTGAAACCGTTCGCATGCTCGGTCTGTCCGCGCGCCTTTTCGCGGAAGCACGATCTGGAGCGTCACAGCCGGGTGCATTCGGGCGACAAGCCGTACGTGTGCGAGATTTGTGGGAAGGGCTTCCCGAGGAGCGATGCGCTGCGCAGGCACTGGAGGGTGGAGAAGGAGTGCGGGGACAAGGCGGCCGAGTTGGAAGCGAGTCAGAGCCTCACGAGTGTGCTCGGCGAAGGGTATGAAGAGAGGAGTCCGGATCAGCAGAATCATCATCCGCTGTACGGTGCGCCGCAGCAGCAGGGTGCAGCTGGCTCGATGGGAGGCTTCGCGCATCACCAGTACCAGCAGCAGCAGCGGCCGCAGCTCCAGCAGCAGTATTCGAGTCAGTCGCTGCAGGGTCAGCAGCAGAGGGGTTGGGCGGATCAGCAGCAACAGCAGCAACAGATGAGACGTGCTTAGTTTTCTCTTTTCGGTGTATACCCAAGAATGGGTTCATGCAATGGTATTCGAAGGGTCTTACAGAATGGGGTTCGGTGACGGTGTGTGCGAGAATACAGTGTTGCAGGAGTGAATGAGTCTAGTAGCGACTTCGTTTGGCGGGTGGGGCGGAGGGGTCGTCGTACGATCTTGGGTAGTTGGAGGGGGGAGGGTAGTCTCTGTAACCGCCGCGTTGTTGTGGTGGTGGTGGGGCGAGGTTGTTTCTTGGAGGAGGGTTGTTGAAGCCGCCCCTAAAACCACCACGTTGAGAGAAGCCTCCGCCTCTTGAGTTGCCTCGGAAACCGTTGCTGGCGCCTCTGCCTCTGAAGCCGCCGCCTGATGAGGGGTGGAAGCCTCCTGCGGAAGGTGTTGGGTCTGATGGTTCTGGGGCCTTCTTTGGTTTTCTGGAGTTGCCACCTAGACCGCCACCCAGACGCATTGGTTTCCAATCTTTGACGGTTCTACCTCGTTCCACATCTACCATGATTCGTCGACCGTTGATCTTGATGCCTTCGGCGTCTTTGTAGGCGGCTTTCATGTCGCGTTCTCTTTCGTAGGCGATGAAGGCGTAGCCTCTTGATTTGCCGGTTTTGTCGCGGACGAGTTTGATGGATTCGATGGGACCGTACATGTCGAATTCCCTGTGGAGGTCTGATTCGGAGGTATCGTAGGAGAGGCGGGCTAGGAAGAGGGTTTTGTACGGGTCGGAGGTGGCGTCCGGGTTGGAGGCGGGAGAGTAGGTGGAGAGGTGGTGCTGTTTGAGGGAGGATTTGGAGGAGCGGGATTTTTCGAGTTCGATCTCGCGCAGGGTTGCGCGCGAGAGAGTGAGGGTGGATGAGGAGGAGGTAAGGGCGATGTCGTCGGTGGTCTCGCCCCGGTCGGCTGTTTCTTGTTTGACTCGCTCGAGGAAGGATGCTACGCCGGTGAGGGGTGACTGGACGGTCTTGCGGCGAGAAACGCGAGAAGGGTCCTTTGGAAGTGGTGCAGAGTGAGGATCCGGATCAAACCGTCGGATGGGTGCGACGTATTCGAGTGGTGGTCGGGGTGCGAACAGTCGTATTAGGGATGGGGGTAGGAGGTGCGTCATGATGTGAATGTGCGAGGATTGGTGCGGCGTGAGGTGAGCGTTGCGGCCGCTAGTTGAGTTCGAGCGTTGCTAGGGTAGTGATTCCGGAAGGTGGTTCGCGGTGAGTCCAGTGCGCTGCCGCCAAGGAGCAACGATCGCAAAAGGTAGGACGCAGAAGAATGCGCGACTCGAGATGCTGATGTGGTTCGATCGTGCCAATACGAAGGATTTCCGAGAGCCTTCGACTGTATCGTGAGCTTGGTGAGGTCACCGCGAAGCCGCTTTGTTGGCAATAGGACGAGAAGGCACGAGGTTAGGATTGGGAAGGATGTTGTGTGTGTTCTTCATGAGCTTCGGCTGCAGCCCGCTTTCCGAACTTTCTGACACGCCAACATTTTCGCTCGCATTTTGACCGTTACCAACTCAAAGCTTAACAAGCCGAGAATAAAGCAAGGGAATGAAGTGAAGCACAGGTGGAGTGTGGAAATTTGGCGGTGATCGACCTGGAGACTTTCGACTTTCCGGGCTTCGTAGGCTCAGCGTAACCACGAACAACGAGGAACGCGCAGGCCACCCTTTTACACAAAGACTCCACACCAACACATTTCCACGTACCTTCCCCCGTCATCCCTCACCTACCTCTTGATCGTTTCGCACAACGACTGCACCTTCTCACACGCATCCCATTCCACCATACAGGCTGCATCAATCACAGTCAAGGGGCTGGACTCCAGTGCAACACTGCGCAGCCTAGCATAAACTGCTCATACTGCACCCTTACTGCTGCTCTCGCTTCGTGAATACGGCACGACGGCTTCAGCTTGAACCGTCCGAATCGAAAGATTGTACTCTATTAAGCGCACCTAGCTCTCAAAGGACACCGCACATCACCCGCAATGGCATCGCAAGGTACCGGATACGATCTCTCGGCGAGTACTTACTCGCCAGACGGCAGGATCTTCCAGGTGAGTTTCATTGCCGAGGAGCAATGACGATGGCCATGCAAGAGGCGAGAGCATGCTGCGTTCAAGTGCGGAGCTACCGATGCTGTCGCTTGGGCTCGCCAGCTCCCTTGATGTTTGTCGTGATGCGTAAACTGACATCTCAATCGCACCCGGACCCTCTCTCCGTCTCGCTTCAACAGATCGAATATGCGGCGAAAGCAGCAGAAAATGCAGGCACCGCCATCGCCATCAAGACCAAGACCGGTGTCGTGATCGCCGTCGAAAAGCTCGTCCAGTCTAAACTCCTCGTGCCCGGTTCCAATCGACGTATCTTCAACGTTGCACCTCACATCGGAATCGTCTCCGCAGGACTCATCGCTGATGGCAAGCATCTCGCCACCCGCGCTCGATCAGAAGCCGTCTCCTACCTCGACAACTATCGTTTCCCCGCACCCGTCAAAACCCTCGCCGATCGAGTCGCCTACTACGTCCAGGCCTACACACTTTACTCCTCGGTACGACCTTTCGGTGTCTCGGCCATCATTGCCGGGTTGGACGACAACAAGGGTCCCCAGATCTACATGATCGAGCCCTCGGGTGTCTTTTGGGGTTACAACGGGTGCGCGGTAGGCAAGGGCAGACAGTTGGCAAAGACCGAGATCGAGAAGTTGGATCTGGACAACTTGACGCAGAAGGAGGCGGTGGAGGAAGCGGCAAAGATCATCTTCAAGGTTCACGACGATGCCAAGGATAAGGACTTTGAGTTGGAGTTGAGCTGGTGTGGTCCGGAGAGCAACGGCGTTCACACCAGTGTGCCGGAGGATTTGAGGAACGAGGCGATCAGTAAGGCGAAGGAGGCCTTGGATGATGAGATGGAGGATTGAGGTAATACGAGTGATTTGATTCGAGCAGAGGAGCAGATGTGCGTTGTTTGACTTGTTTGTGCGAACCGAGAGCGGTTGATTGTGACTGGGCAAAGACGGCGGACGGGAGGTGGGGAATCGCCACAAGTCGACATCAGCACATTGGAGAGGCAGGCGTTTTCCGCCGAGCATCGCGGCAGCGGCGGTTGCTGGTATCGTCACTGCCACACTGGGTAATTTGTAGCACGGATGCAACGGGTGCGATCGCGGATGCGAATGCTACAAAACTCACGGCAGAGCAGGTTGTGATGGTGGGGAAAGGTTCCGCCCCAACGCGGAACCGCCTTCTTCTGCGCCTCGACCGCATAATCTTGCTCTTTCTGCCTCGTGTGTGCGCAGCTGTCGTTCCTAGCTTCGGTGACTTTGACCGAATGAGAGCCGATTTGCGACCCACAGGCACGCGAACACGCACCGTCATCCCTGCAGAACTGCTTTTTTGCGCACACAGCACCCGTCGGCAACTTCCGATACCAGCGTGCTGGGAGATGTGACATCCAGCTCATCATCTCAAGCAACCTCCTTCCCGTGACGGGGAGGAGTGGCAACGTTGAATCATGTTTCTACTTCCCTCCTCGACGATATTAGCTGTCACTTGATTCATCACGTTTGCGTGTCAGGCGTCGAGATAGATGTTGTCCAATCTGTGTGGCGCCTCGTCTGTCTGCTACGCTCTGTACCGACACGACGCGGAGTGAGTATGGTAAGCAGGATGGAGGCGTGTGTCAACAGGACAATCTCGGAGGCGTCGAGCAAGGGCTTGTCCGCCGCCATGAAAGCAATGTGCGGAAACGCTTCTGTCTGACTGCTCGAGCGATCCATCCCCTTCGGCTTCAGATCGACTCTAGAGAAGTTCCTCGCTGTGACCTGCGCCCGCCATGACGCACCTCGCTTCTTTGCACTTTTGCGCATACGACGCCGCCGTCGACCCCAGGGCAGGCAGCCACCTTATAAGGCAGGACAGGATCACGACGATTCTTTACGAATGCTCTGCTACACCTTCTCTTGTCCAGCTTCGTCAATGCACCTTCACTCTGCACATTCTTTCTAACGAGTAAGTCTTTGACTGAAGATCTTTGCAAAGTGACATCTGCTGACCAGACCCTATTCTGTGACTCGGCCTCTTAATTTGCACACAGTCAGTATTACTCGCAAACCGCTCTCGAATAACCTGACGACAATCCTTCCACAGCATCGAGCGCAATAGTCAAAGCAGATAGTGTGAAGGGGTCTAGCCTTTCGTCATGTCGGCAAAGATGGTTGCCGCGGCGAGAACGTGGTCGACCGACAAGCGCGGCTCGCCCTCATTCCACCAGGAAAACCCTGTCGGACGCCATACAATTACGACGCTTCATACATACCTGAAGCCTTCCAGATACTATTGTGCCAGACCTGGTCCCCGTCGGTCGATCCCCCGAGTTAATGCGACCGCTTCAATCCAGGCCCAGGCCCTGGTTTCACAGCCAAAGACAAACCTTTCCCACTCGCAACGGCAAGGTTTGCTCTCACCGGTAAGTTTCTTCTCTCGGCCCCTTCTTGCTCAAAGCTTGCACACTTCCCACTCGGTTCATATGCCGAGATGCTTCTGAACAGTGGGTTGTTCCGCGGATCTCGTCGGAGCTAAGTCCCCCACACTCTCCCTCGCAAGGCTGTGTCAGCTTGTGTGACGTGGATGCCCATGGTGCGGACACTTCTTTCTAAAAGGCGGAATCAGAACAGGTCCGTCGGAGAGAGGTATTGTTGCAAGGCATCGGCTCCGCCTCGACGGTCGTGATTTGTGATTTTGGAATGCCTCATCGGGCTCACGTAGGACACAGACAGTCTTGATGCGGCGCACTGCATTGATGGCGATGCAGTGCTCTGTGTCGTTCTGTTCGTGGCGCTGATGGGCTACCGTGTTCGTATCCGGCTCTTGGCTTTTCGTTTCCGGTGGTCGTCTCATTCTCGTGTTTCGGAACAAGCCACAGCACCTGTCCGCTGTTCCTTACAGTGTTGTCATCCGACCGTAGCTCCGTCACGGCTCGTTGCAATGTGGAAGATGTTGGGATGCCGCAGCAGCCCACTTGCAGCCGCCCAACATGATCGCGATTGCATGGCACCGGCAAGCTCTGGACCGTACTCGGCAATGCTCCATCCATTGTTGCGAAATGAAACTTTGATTGCTGGTTTGCGTGCAAGTGTTTATCGGTCCGCAACTTTGCTCATATCGTTCCTACGTACAGTATCAAGCACGGATGTTGAAATGACAACATCAAGGTTTGATGCTCCTCATTTGATGTGAGCAAAGTGGTCGACGCGGACACAGAGCCCGGAACAGCGTTGGCCCATTCCAACAAAGTTGACAATTGTGTCACCACGATGGGGGCAAACTTTTGCTTTTTGCTTCATCATGGTAGCCGCACAACCTTCTTTTGGACGGGTAGGGTATACTTTGTTGTAGGCAGTGATGTCGTACAGAATCTGCTCAGTGCCTGAGTGATCACCGCTGTTCATGACGCTTGGCTTCCGCCTCTCCCCACCTGGCCGACAGAGTATACGATTTGCCACCGGCTCTTCCTTGGGCCGATGTTCTCGTAGCTGGTTCGCCGGTGAGCGCTTTCATTCTCGTATCACAGATTTTGTTCTTTGGGCAGGGCTGTTGATGATGCCAGCGTTCATCAGAACAACTTGGAGCGATCTGAGACCGAGCTGAATGTCGGTGCTGCTGCTGCTCTGCTTGCCGGAGCGCCTGACAGCGCCGATGTGCTTTCAAATATCATTGCTCTCATGTCATCGTACGTGACAGCGATGCACAAATAGCCTTGCTGTATAGTTTCAAGGCGCCAGTGGCGCGATCAACGAGCTCAAGGTGGCGGAAAGCTTGCTCGAATTACTGTTTAGGCTCAAGCTTTTGCCAGACTTGGCTGCTTATGCGTCACTTTTCGCCCCTGTCCGGTCTTCGGAACACACACACACGTATCAATGTGGGTGAAGAAGAAGCGCACCGTCTGACTGTCTGGGGATCGCCGGGCAGAGGTGCCACTGTTCTTCCCACTTGGTTTTTTTGGCTCCCCACGCTGGGTTGGTATGGAAAAAGGAGAGACAAGCTCGAGGGCTGACAAAGACTCTTGGCCTGGAACAGACGCGCCCGATGTTGGATGTGAAGTGGCACGGCGAATGAACACCCACCACTTTGCACAAACTGTCTCTCTCTTTCTCGGCGAGGGGAAAGACCGCCAAGATGAGGCGTGAATGAGTTTACGGTACACCTCAACCGCTGGTGACCGGTCATGTCCACTCTGCTCCGGTCGGCTGCTTGACCGCTATTCTTCTCGGTCGCCTGATTCTGTGCAGCAGTGCAGTCGAGTCGTGGTGGTTTCCGCTTTGCGCTTTTGACTAGGTAACCTTGATCCCACTTTGATGCATCGCAGCTCCATTGAGGCGCGGCTGTCGCGTCTCAAGGCGGTTGCGTGCGAACGAAGGAAGAAACGATGCTTGGCTACAATGCCTGAGCGAATTGCCTTTTGTTTGACTGCATCTCCGTCCAATTGCGGCGCTTTCGCCTTGTCTTTTTTCTTCGGTCACTGTCACAATTGCATTCCGAAAGCGCTCTCATTTCGCTGTGCGCTGCGCTTCCGGCTTTCTGCGCAGCTTTGCCGCGATCGTGTTCAGAACCACAAAGATCCTCATTGTCGCCTATAAATCCCCGCCTTTCTCCTCCCACTCCTCGTTCCTTCTTCCCTCCCACCTGTCAGCGTCTTTCCCAGGTTAGCTGCACACTCTGCCTCGACTAGAATCAGTCACTCACGCCTTGATCTCGTTCACTACCACAGCTCGAGCTCTACACGAACAAGACTCCGGCTTCCTACACCACTTGTCCAGACAGCACCCGTCACGACAAGGGCGACTCTGAAAAACTTCCTGTCCGTAGGGAACAGCTCTCGACCTCAACAGGTTCAGCGACGGGAGACACTCCTATCCTCGACAATACTCACCAACAGATCAAGAACGTTGGTCTCGAAGGCGTCGCGTACGCTGCTGAGCTTCTCCTCAAGCTAAAGAATCCGGACGACCCTACTTGTGCAAACATGCCCATGTCGAATCTCAACGATGGCACCTTTCAAGCTGGCGCCGGCATCGCCAGGAAGCGCGGCCTTCCTTACTCTCGCACCGACGCCGAGATGAACCAAGCCGCGCTCAACGGTTCTGGCGGCAACTTCTACATCTCTGCCCCTCACCCCGCGCGACTTTTCCCAACTGCCATGCACGAGTTTAGGAAGGGAAAGTACGCGACCACTGGAGGAGACCGTGGCTTCATGACGGGTAAGTACAAGGCTAACGTCGTCGTCGTACCTCGACCTCTGAAACTGACATCGCTCACTTCACTCTTTGGTCGGGTCAAAGTATTCGAGTACGACGTGCGAGGTCATACAATGATGATCGACGTCGACACCTCTTTCGTTCGCTTCACCTCCATTACTCAGGCCCTCGGCAAGAACAAAGGTTAGATGGCACCCTCACCCCTCGCAACTGACTTCAAAGACGTATGACTGACCTTTGCTCTTTTTCCCTTCTTTCGGTTTTGCAGTCAATTTTGGACGACTGGTGCGCACATGCCCTGCCCTCGATCCACACATCACCAAGCTCAAGGGCGGATACCTGAGCATCCAGGGCACCTGGCTCCCTTACGACCTGGCCAAAGAGCTGTCGCGACGCATCGCTTGGGAGATCCGAGACCACCTCGTTCCGCTGTTTGGCTACGACTTCCCTTCGACATGCTTGCGACCTGACTCGGAAGGCTTTGGTCAGCTCGCCATCGGCATGTCGCAGAAGCGAGCTCGGAAGCGCCACAACAATGGCGGTCCTCATCAGACATCATGCTACGGTCCTAGTCTGCCGATCTCGTAAGTACTCGGGTCGGATATGTTGGTTCCAGGGTCCAAATTCCCTTTGTCTGACATGGTGACCTTTTGTTTTTAAACAGGGTCGTGGGTGGGCAAACCGTCGAACACGCTCCCAGCAGCAAGAGCGGTCTGGTGCAGCCATCGTATGGGTCTTCGCAGCCGGCCACCTTCCACTACAGTAAAGGATATGGTATGGAAGGACGTCAGTGGTACGGACAGGACTATCTCGCGCCGAACAATTTGGAGGGCATGATGTGGCCATCGAGCGACGGATCGACGGGCTTGCAGGTGCCGCTGGCAGCACCGAGCGGAGCCTGCACATCGCCGTCGCTGACTGGACTCGGACCTGGTAGCGGCTCGCCGATCCTTTCTTCTCCACCATCGTCCAACGCGTCTTCTTCGTCGTCTGGCCAGACTTATGCTCCGAACTATATGTTGATGGTGCCACCTACGGTCCCTTCGCACTCTATGGGCGGCGAACCTAGTGTCAGCCACACGGAGGGCTCTGCGTCCACCGAAGATACGCGCAGCTACGGTGGGTTGGCGGGCCACGGTTATCCGACGACCTACACTGATGCCAATACTCAGCTTTCAGCGTGGAGCGAGCCGGCTCACTCGACCTACGTGAAATCCTCGCCTACGCCTCCGCCGCCGGCTCCTCACGGTGGCTCCTCTTTTGCGTTCGACTCGTGGCAGCAGTCGACACCTTCTTCGTAGCTCCTTCCGACGTTTCTGTGTAGTCTGTACCCTCGATTCCGATTATGTCAATAACATCAAGATTCTTCTGTGAAGAATGCGCTTCCAATTCATGCAAGATGACGCTTTGGCTGCTGAGCGAACAAGTGACCATGAATGATGAAAGAACCTGAAATGACGTGCTCTGTACTGTATCTTTGTGCGGTGGCTGATGTGGGTTGGTTCTGCAGAATTCAAGGCGACGAGGAAAGCTCGGTCTTCGTCTTGGCCCGGTCGCTCGGAAGTGTACTGTATTTGGCCAGGCTAGGATGGTCGAGTCGCCGTACCGACGTGGCACCTGTGTCAGCATGATTCTTGTTTGTCCGAAAGTCTGTCGCCGTCAAGCTCGGTGGCGACGACGCCTGGGAAGCAAGAGCATGGACAGCGAAATACTGTACTGGCCAAGTTAGCGAGCTTCAACGTGCGGGTCGTTCGGCTACACGAGTCGACGCGCTGGATCGCTTCTGCAGCGGGAAAGAGAGAGTGACGTGCAGCCACGATCTTTGACGTGTTGCAGAGAGACGGGTGATTTTCAGCTCAGCGAATTTCGGCTTCAGAGTCTGTTGCCCGCATTCCTCTTAGAAAGAGAGAGCGAGCGCACGCGGTGAGTGTGGCGGCGCCGGAAGTTGACTCCGACACGGTTTTGTCACTTTGCAGAAATCACCGATTTCCAACGCTTTCACCCGAATCACACATTCAAGGGTCTAATCTGTCATCCATGCCTGCATCTTCAAGTCCATCCTCATCACAACCATCATCTTCGCACATCATTCCTCCCATCTGATCTGGTGCCAAAAGCCCGCTGCGTGCTGCACACCAGACCGGTATCTTTCCACGGTCCACTCGCTTCAAGAAATGTATTCGTAATCGTATTCACTGGCTCTCTCGCTTCGCATCCCGGCGGTTGGCTATCAAGCCACAGGCACGCAGCCAGCTCAACCTGCACTGGCGGCCTGTTGCAGTGATCATCAGACACATGCCTCTGCGTCGTATTCGTATCCATCATGCAACGCAGCTGGTCCACCGATTCTGTCTCGTCCATCCCCGAGCAATCGCTCCCCGATCCGTCACGTCTGCGCAGGGCTGCGCGTAGGCTCTCGAATCAGGCTCCAGCTCAGGGCGCTCGAGAATGGAGGAAATCACGGCTTCATCACTCCAACGTGAACGCCACCTCGAACGGCAATGCCAATGTCAACAGCCCCAGCAACGGCGCCAACGCCGATACGCTCTCCTACCCGCTCGCCAATGCCAAAGCCGGTCCTTCTTCGCGTAGACTAAGTCATGGCGTCGGTGGCGCTTCTACAGCCCAGCAATCCAAATCTGGCAATATCCGCAGGCGCAACATACTCGATTCGGCTGCTTCAACGTCTGCGTCCAGACACGGTCGACTTCATTCGTACGCTGCCTCTCCGCCTACCTCGTCTCCACAGCCTGCCTCGTCACCAGCTTCTAGCCTCTCAGCCGGGCCCACCGCCTCGGGAGATGTCTCGGGATCCTCCACCGACCGACCGACGCGCAGGCATCGCTCCGACACCGTGACGTCCAAGGACGCCTACTCGGCTGACCCCTCTGCCGACAATGGCGGCGGATACTCATCCAGCAGCGAAGACCATTCCTCGGGCTCCGATTACGAGCCCTTCGATTGGGATGTCGGACGCAAGCGACACAGCAGCGACCGTCCCCGCTCCACAGCGCTCGATCACGCTGGCCATAGAACATTCGCCAATTCAGCCACATCCAGCAACGGCCATTCGGCAGCCTCCGCAACCGCTGCTGCATGGCGCGCTTCTACTTCCACCCCTCCCCCTTATCTCGCCGTCCCTGGATCCGGTAGTGATTTGCGGTCGACATCTCGGTCCACCAAGTCCTCCGTGAGAAACACGCTCTCTCCCAGGCGTCAACCTCTCCATCTTGCCTCCGACTCATCCGCAAATGGCCACGCATCTTCTCGACTGACCTCACGACCCAACCGTAAATCCATCTTGTCGCGTGCTCTCGGCGCGGCAGGCCTCCTCTCCTCTTCCACCACAGCTGTCGCCGAAGCGCTACCGGCCTCCGATCCGTCTCCTCCCGTCGCTGCGCCAAAAACCAGACGTGGCAGTCAGGACAAGACTGTGCGCGGAAACGGCACCACGGCAGCCGGTTCTTCAGCCAAGACAGGCACAGAAGCAGCCCGTTCGTCTTCAGCGTCCAACGCGGCAGGTCCGACGAGCTCCAAGGCATCGCATCCGGCAGCGCCCACGCAGTCATCCAGCTGGAGTCTCGCATCCAATTGGAGACGCTTGCGCATCAACCCTTGCTTGGAGGCTTTGCTCACGAGTCTCGCCTCCTGCATTGCTTACTATGGTCTCAAACAACATCACAAGCGCGAAACCCAGAGCCACGCTGCCGAGGTCGGCTTCGTCACGCTGGCCAGCACACTCTTCTTTTTCCTCCGTGACCCGGATGAGCAGTCCGCCATCTGGGCTACCGATCATCGCAACTACCGCTCTTGCCGCGAGGACGGCGTCATCAATGCTCTCCTGCTCCCGCCGCTGCTCGCCTGCGCTACCCTCTTTTCAGCAATCCAAGATCAAGCCGCCGGTCGCAGCAGCGCACGCGCCTCAGGCGAGTCGCTTCCTAATCCTCCTTGGCTCGTCGAGGGTCCTCCCGTCATTCTAGGTCACAACCGCAAGCTCGGAGGCGGAATGACGACGCTCGTTGTGTCGCGCCACTCTCTTGTCAGCATGATGTGCTTGACGTCCACCGTCTTGCTCTGCCACCTCCTCGCTACCAAGTGGATCCGTCGCCCGCACCAGTTTTCAAAAAGCAACTGGACCAAGCTGCGCAGCTTCACCGCCTTTTCAACAGCCTTAGCCATCGCGCTCGAGCTCGTCAAGGACACGGCGGCACTTTACGGCTTTCCCCTGTGGTCAAATTTAGCACGTTGGGAAGTCGTGACAGCAGCACTCTTCTATCAAGCAAACCTGTACACTATCTCCCGACTGGCTCGCAAGAGCTTCACGTTGGGTGAACTCGGTATCGTTGCCGCGGTCGGTGTGACGCTCACCATGGAAACGCTACACCTCTTTGTTGCCAAGTTGCTGCCGGTCACCACCCCCTACGTCAAGACTTTCCGCCGTCCAACACCGCTGCTCATCTTTCAGCTCGCGCTCATCGTCGGCACTTTCATAGTCGGGTTCCTGCTATCTCCGCTGCTCTACCTCTCGCGCAATCTGGCACAGAAGCCCACGCATCGCCTTCGCTGGCCCGATAAGCGCGATCTGCACCGTCGTCTGCTGGCCGCCTTCTTTTATCTGTTTGCCACCATCTACGTGGTCGGCGTGCTGGGCATGTGGGTGCGGTGGCTGCTCGTGCGCCGCGATCCTTGGGTTTGGACTTTCTCCTTCATGCTGAAAGGTGCAAAGCCATGGTCACGTCCCGTGCTAGTGTCCTACTGGGTCGTGCTGATTTCGGTCTCCATCTCTTGCTGGCAGGCCGTCGTTGCCCGAGCAAAGCGCTTCCGCAGCATGGGCAACTCTTACCAGCGAACAATGCTCGGATTCAAAGTGCCAGTTGGCATGGCTGCCGCCAACAACTCGGCTGCTCAGCTCAAGCTGCAACAGCAGCAGCAGCAGCAGCAGGAGATCAACAATGCCGCTCCCTCCGACCCGGTGGTGGCGGTGTCGCCAAGCTCACACGCACCGGGTGGCGCACAGATAACGGCCGAGAACATCGACACAAACGCACCACTGGACAAGATGGGTGCCACTGCCAATGTCAGTCACGGCGCGGGCTCAGGCAACGGCAACGCAATCAACGGCAGCAGCGCGGGAGCAGGTGAAGCTAAGCGCGGCGCAGGAGTCAATCTGAAGCTGTCGACGCTAAGTGGGAGCGCTTCGCTTCTAGCCAAGGAGCATAACACCGCTGCTATCAAGAAGGCTTCCTACCTGTCGCTCAACGCCAGGCGCAAGTTCTTTCACGCGCTCGCCGTGCTGCTCTTCGTTCCCGGTATCGCGCTCGACCCTGCGCTGACCCACCTGGCGTTTTCGCTGGCGTTCTCCATCTTCATCTTTGCCGAGTACGTGCGCTACTATGCGCTCTACCCGTTCGGAGCCGCGCTGCACGTCTTCATTTCCGAGTTCCTCGACCACAAGGATTCGGGACCGGTGATTCTGTCGCACTTCTACCTGTTGACTGGATGTGCGGGTCCGCTGTGGCTGGAAGGACATTCCCGCATTTTGCAGCAGACGGGTGTGCTGGTGCTCGGGGTGGGAGATTCGCTCGCTTCCGTCGTCGGGCGCAGGTACGGCCGCACCTACTGGCCTGGAGGATCGAGCAAGACGGTGGAGGGGACGGTGGCGTTCATCACGAGCATCATGGCGTCCGCTTGGCTGCTCAGGCTGGTCGGTTGGTGCGAGAAGTTCGACTCGATCAAGTACTTTGCGGTCGTCACTTCGTTGGGGCTGCTGGAAGGAGTGTCGGATCAGCATGATAATCTGGTGCTTCCGATCTTTGGGTATATTGTTGCGTCGTTGGTTGGATTGTGAGAATAGCTGTCAGGTCGCTCGTCATAGTAAAACTTGCGTTACGCCGAGTGAAGCTTATCTGTTATGTGTGACGGTGTGACGATGAGTGTTGTGGAAGGACTGTGATGATGTGCTCCGTTGTGCGGCGGTGGCTATATTAAGAAGTGAAGAGGATCTACTCCGGTGAGGGACGGGAGGGGGTTACGTCGAGGACGGGCTGACGACGTGCGCGAGAGGGAAGTTAAGGTTTTTTTGCAGCTTGATCCCGCACTCGGTGGTTGGTTTCTGCTTCCGCATGACGACGTTTTCTGACACTGTGTGTGTGTGTGTGGATGCGGATGATGGGAGGTACTGCGGAAACGGATAATGTGTGTTGAATTGACAGGAGGGTCGAGGAGGAGAGAGGTATATAAACAGGATAGGAAGAGAGATCGCTTGTACTCCCGTGACCGTGACCGCTTGCACCTCAACGACGGAGCCTGTTCGTACTGCGCAACCAGCTACCAGATCGAGTTCACCATCAGTCTTTGCCACCAAGTCCTCCTCTACATCCGTCAAGACCACCTCAACACCGAGCCGCTCTCACTCGTCCTCATCCCTTCCCTCAACCCGCACCTCCCTCGCCTCCACCTTCCGCATCTCCTCATCCTTCAGCATGGACCTCTTGCGCAACCTAGGAAGGGGAGCTTCCTCCTGTTCGAAACGTCCGCCGCCGACACGCGACGACTCTCCCATCTCGGACATTGACGACTCGAACGGTAAAGGCGATGTCGCGATCGATGTTGGGATCAAGGCTGTGTTGAACGCTGCTAGCGATGTTCGCGGAACGATTCCCGATGGAGTTGCGGTTGAGGATGCGAAGAAGGAGATCATCGTGCAGCAACAGCAGCGTCAAGCGGTTGTGACGGACACGCAGCAGGCGGTGGAGGAAAAGAAACGATGTGAGGAGGAGGAGGAGGAAGAGGTGGATGAATTGGTGACTGTTGTCGGCGATGATGGCGATGTTGGTGAGGGTGTGGGTGTGGGGAAGGATGGAGTCAGAAAAGCGGGGGTGAGTGCAGAGGGTGTTTCGTCAGGAGCTGCTTCTACCCGCAGTGCGGAGAACATCGTGGATATCAAGGTCGACGCGATCAAAGCCTCTTCCGTCAACAGTGACGGCCATCCTGGCCCCGCTCACGGTGTCAACGGCGCACTTGCTCCTCCCGTCCCCGTTACCGCTTCGGAACCCAACACGAACAACACGGGTGGTCAGTCCGACCCTCAACCTCGACCTAATCCGCAACCTCAAGCTATCCCGCAACCTCAACCTGTCCCGCAACCTCAACCCATCCCGCAACCTCAACCCATCCCGCAACCTCAACCTATCCCGCAAGCCGCCAACGGCGGAGACGTCGACATGCCCGACGACCTCAACCCTCCCCCGCCCTCCCCTCCTCCTCAACGATCCTCCGCACCCACCCCGGCTCCCGCTCCCGCTATCATCTCTATCAACATCCGAGACGCCAACAACTACGGAACCTGGTTCCGCTGCAAACCCTCAAGTAAGCTCCACCCCCTTTTGTCTTCATCTTCTCTTTCCCCTTAATATCTCATTGACATCTTACTTCTCTTCCCGTGTGATAGCCAAACTATCGAAGCTTTTCACAGCCTACGCCGATCGATATGATACAGACCTCAGCAAGATCCGTTTCATCTCGCAAGAGGGGATTCAGCTGCCCAAGACTAGTTTAAGGATGACAGTGAGTGGAGCAGGGTTGGAGGATGGGGATGAGATCGATGTTATGCTCGAGCAGATTGGTGGTTGAACGAAACGTAATGGTGGTGATGATGGTGCGAAGGATTGGGGGAGAGGTGTTGGATGACGCAGACCGTGGCTAGGGACATAGTGGTGATCGAGGGGCAGGGAAGAATCAATGAAGAGGATGGGCGTGTGTTGAAGATGGAAGAATGGCGGGGAGCGATGAAATGACGAGCGCTTGATCTTCGGTTACCGGAGGCGGGTCGAGAACAGCGTTAACGACGATTGGTGGCGAAGTTGACTAGGATAGACAGTCTACGATGGAGGAGAAAATCAGCTGCGACGAGCAGCGTCGACTTCGACGGAGCATATAGCACAGCAAGAGCGAGACAGGTCGCAGTGACACCAAGTCGGCCTCACTGATGGGAGCAGGGCATCAAAATCGACGCGATAAAACGATGCAGTCGATTCCGAAGGGGCGATCGACAACGAAGCTAGTACGAGCAATCGAGACGAGTCATACACGCGAAAGCACTCGACAGCGTTTACAGACACGTCTTTTATGTGAACATCTCAAGTGCGCTCTTCTCAGATCATTCCAAACGAGATCTCGACAATCAAAATCTTCATATCGAGACAAACATCTCTCGGCCCCTTTGCCATAACGACATCTGCGAGCATAGCCGACAAGAGACCCTCAACCTTGGACGATCGACTTCACGAAGACTAGCTGTGAAATCCTCTCAGAACTGTCCCGAGAGGAAGATGGGAAAGTCCTGTGCGGCCACCACTTGTGCTCTGACGGACTCCTCGTGATCGGAGGACGGATCCGGCTTGTTCGGCGCGTGAGGATCTCTCAGCAGGAAGTTCGTGCCATCCTTGGGTGTAGAAGGGAGCTCACGAAGGGATTCGAGATGGTTGTGTGGGTCGGGTTGCTGGTCTTCGGAAGCTTGAAGCTTGCGATCGGGGATGGGTGGCCAGCGAGGCGTTCGCGTCTCATCGACACGAGGCGACGGAGGAGGGCCAGGGATCCCGTCGTCGAAGATAGGGTGTCGTGGGATCGGAGAGTCGGAACCGCGTGGGTCGAGAGGTGCATCTTTGGAGATATCTGTAAAGCGTAAACAAGAGGGATGCGGCCGAATCAAGATCTCGTGTCAGCACCAAATCGACAGGCAAACAAAATGATGAGCAGCAAAAACCTTACCATCCCTGACCCGTATAGCCGCGCCAGCGACAACGCTGCTGAGGCAGAACATTGCAAGAGCGACCATGATGACCTTGACTGTCCACGATGCTGCGGAACCTGTTCTTCCCGACCCAGCGGAGCCAGCGTGGGCTGATCTGGTAGAGAGCATCGTATCGGATGCTTGTCTGTCTGGTGAGAGCCCTTCGTCAAAGGAAGCAGACAGGTTCAGATGCGAAGAATCCAAGTTTTTGGCGTTGAAAGATCTCTTTATCGCTGAGGCATGAATGTGACAGTGTATTTATGTTTGATGCGCAGAGCAGGCAGTGTCTAGACGCTGCTGACAAGTCTCACCGACTCGGATGTGAATCTGTGCGGGCCTCTATGAAGAGAGGGGCAACGGTGGGATGACATGAAGGCAGCCGAGGCGAGCTCTGCATTCACGACTACAGGTGGCGGTGTGCGGAGAGCGTCCGAAGAGAGACCGAGAATGAAAGACGGAAGCACCCGTGAGACTTTAGTCAAGTCCCGCATCGACAGAGATCACAACGTAGAGGGCGCGATGATGTCCAAGTGGGCATGAGTGACACGCTGCACCTCGTTTCACTGCATGCGCCACCGCCGCGGTTCACATGTGGCCTGGTCTCGGCGTGAGAAAGATCTCCCACCACTTCACTCTCGGGGACTTGCGAATGTAGGTTTGAGAAACACTGCGAGACAACTGTAAGAAGTTGATTGCAAAGAAAGTCGCCGTCGGTGGGTCGCGAGGAAACGATATGAAGCCTCGAGGGTGTGTCAACCCGAAGACGCAGTGACTCACTTCTGTCACGGTGTGTCTGCCAGCACATGCATGCATTGAGGTCGGCGACATAAGAGCCCGAGGGAGAGGCAGTGAGATTGCGAGATGCTGGTGGACTCGATCTCATTTCCGATGGATCGGTGTGACTGCATTCGCACAGGATTGGTTCCGGATGCCGGTTATGGGCTGAATTGCTATAATGATACAGTGTGAAACTTTCTGTTGGACTCTGGCGAATGCACCGATGCTTTTTGTGAGTGCTACATCGACCGTGGTCAAGTAGCTTGCGGGGTATCTGTCGGCACGCTATCGGCTATTGTCCAGTGGAGACCTATGCGGTGTTCCTCAGAACGAGTACGACCGAGTCGCCACGGAGGAACATCTTGGAGATGAAACGGTCCTTGTTGACCGGCTTCTTGCCTTTGCCCTTGGGCACCTCTGTCCACATTTCCTTTACGTTTTCGAGCACCATGTTCGAGTGACGGTCGAACGCTTTCACCCTCGCAAGGAGCTTTTTGTTGTTGCGGAGCGCGATGAGAATCTGTGTGTGATTTCGGACGGATTGCTGAAGGACGGAGAGAGGACCTTGGGAGATTTCGTACTGTTCGAGCTCTCTGATTTGGGATTGGTCCAACTCGGACTTTGGTACGTTGAGATATTGGCTGTAACGACGCAAGAAGGGGCGAGAAGGGGTCAGCGGTCGGATCGTGGGATTGTGTGCGTCTCGAGAGAACATTGCAACTCACCTCATGGTGCTATATATCGAGTGACCGAATACGAGAGCTGTGGATATGGTGGAAGAGTGAAGAGTCGCGCTGAGCGCAATTTGACGTTCAAAGGCGCACGATTCGGCTCCGACCTTGGGTGGGCTTCCTTAAACTGACTCGAAATGTGCCCGTTGACAACAGGAATTGAATGACACTTTTTGTGGCGGCTTCCTGCGCTTTTGCGAGAGTCAATCAATCTTGTGGACGCACTTTCAATTCTTCTTTTCTTCGCAAAAAAAGGTGCATTTGGTATTGATTGCTATTCCGTGCTGCGCTTTGGTAGCAGAAGCACCTACCTCTCCCTCCACCATCGCATCTTGAACCAAAAGAGTGGCCGCTCAGCATATCCATCATGGCTGCTCCTACGCTCAAGCTCGACCCGCAGGCAAAGGTCGCCCCTCTGGCTCCCATCGCCCTCGCCAAGCTCGTCACTGCTGCCGACCCAGCCCAGTCGCTCACCCTCACCTTTGAGGACGGTATCGCACCCACCCTCATCCTCCCCAACGCCGCTCCCGTCGAAGGATACTTGCACATCATCCGAGAGCTCGCATCTCACTACGCACATCTCGGCCTTTCTGGAACCGACAAGGACCAGAGCGCACAGGTGAACCTCTACGTCAGTCAGGGCGACAACCTCGCTCTCGCCGATTTCCAGACTGCCTCCGCCATCGCAGACAGCCTCGACCAGCACCTTGCTCTTCGCACCTTCCTCGTCGGTCACGCTGTCACCGCTGCCGACGTATCAATTTGGGCTGCTGTGCGTGCCAGCTCCCCCGTCATCGGTCTCGTCCGCAAGGGTCTTCACAAGCACCTCCAGCGATGGTTCAACCACATCGATTCGCTTGCTCCCGTCTCGGACGCTCTCGTCGCGCTCGCAGATGCCAAGGCTGAAAAGTTCAAGAACAAGAAGACCGCTGCAGGCTTTGACCTCTTCCTCAAGGACGCTCAGCAGGGTCAGGTCGTCACTCGTTTCCCGCCTGAGCCTTCTGGATACCTCCACGTTGGTCACGCAAAGGCCGCTATTCTGAACCAGTACTTCGCCCGTCAGTACAATGGCAAGCTCATCATTCGTTTCGATGACACCAACCCCAGCAAGGAGAAGGAGGAGTTTGAGCAGTCTATCATCGAGGATCTCGCCCTTCTCGGTATCAAGGGTGATACAACCAGTCACACCTCGGACTACTTTGACAAGCTCTACCAGCTTGCTATTCAGATGATCCAATCGGGCAAAGCGTATGCTGACGACACTGTTCAGGAGCAGATGCGTGCCGAGCGTATGGACGGCATCGCTTCCAAGCGACGCGAGTCCTCGATCGAGGAAAGCATGACCCGCTTTGCCGAGATGTCCACCGGCTCAGCCGAAGGTCGCAAGTGGTGTCTGCGTGCAAAGATCTCGTACGAGGATCCCAACAAAGCCATGCGTGACCCCGTCATCTACCGCTGCAACCCAGACGTCTCTCACCACCGCACAGGTACGACCTGGAAGGTCTACCCGACCTACGACTTTGCCTGTCCCATCGTCGACTCGATCGAAGGCGTAACCCACGCTCTGCGTACCAACGAGTACCGCGACCGCAACCCTCAGTACTACTGGATGCTCGACGCGCTCAACCTGCGCAAGGTCGACATTTGGGACTTTGGTCGCCTCAACTTTGTCTACACCCTTTTGAGCAAGCGCAAGCTGCAGTGGTTCGTCGACAACGGCGTCGTTTCGGGTTGGGACGATCCTCGATTCCCCACGGTGCGAGGTATCCGCAGGAGGGGTATGACCATCGAGACCATTCAGGAGTTCATCTTGGCGCAGGGACCGTCGCAGCAGATCATCAACATGGAGTGGGACAACATCTGGACGATCAACAAACGCATCATCGATCCCGTCGTGCCGCGATACGTTGCGCTCGACAAGGAGGTGCTCGTCAAGGTGACCGTCAAAGGCGCACCGAAGCGTCATACCAAGGAGTTGCCGAGACACAAGAAGAACCCTGATCTGGGCAACAAGGTTACCGTGTTCGACGAGGTGGTGTACGTCGAGCAAGTCGATGCACGATCCTTCGACCAAGGCGAAGAGGTCACCTTCATGGACTGGGGCAACGTCATCATCGATTCCAAGGAGACCGATGCCGCAGGCAACGTGCTTTCCATCTCTGCGACCGCACACCTCGACGGAGACTTCAAGAAGACCAAGAAGAAGGTCACCTGGCTAGCTGCCACCCCCTCCACCACCGAAGCCCTGATCGAGGTCGATCTGCTCGACTTCGACTACCTCATCAGCAAGAAGAAGCTCGAGGAGGAAGACAACTTTGCCGACTTTGTCACGCCCAACTCCGAGTTCCGCAGCGTCGCCCTCGCCGATCACAACGTCAACGCTCTCAAGCAAGGCGATGCTATCCAGTTCGAACGTAAAGGGTACTACATTCTGGATCGTACGCAGGGTAAGGACGGTAGGATGGAGTTCATCAAGATTCCGGATGGAAAGCAGGCGAGTAGCTCGTCCAAGGTTGCACCGGATGCGGATGTCGAGGCCAAGAAGCAAGCTGCTCAAAAGGCGAGGGCTGAGAAAGCAGCTGCTAAGGCGAAGAAGGAGCAAGAGAAAGCAGCGAAGAAGCAAAAGAAGGCACTCGAGCATGGCGATGGTGTTCAGTACGTTGCTGGTGCTGTGAGCGCGGGCGTCGCTGCTGCTACGGCGGGATTGGCAACCGCGATCGCGGGGAGGAAGGAGGCAAAGGTGGAAGGGTCTGAGGTGGCAAGCTCTCACTTCCCTGAGATCGTAGACACTGGAAAGGGAAAGATCAACATGTACGATGCACCGGTCATCACAACCAACATCCCCACCCCTGTCGAGACAAAGATGTACTCGATGAACAAGATCCTCTAAAGAATCTTCGCTTTCGCAATCGACGATCTCTTGTCAAACTTTCACACATTCACACGTTCGAATGAGGATTCGTAGCAGATCGTATGTGAGAATGAATGTGAAGCAACCGACATGAAAGTGCGCGACTCGACGTGTTAGAAAATGTTCATATCCTCCATGCCATCCCCCTCTTCCTGCAACTCCCTTGCCAATCTCATCCCTTCCTCCTCCTCTTCATCCAGCCACACCTCTTCGCCCGTCCGTCTCTGCCTCACCATGCGATCTGCGTACTCGACCCTCTTGCTCTGCCCTTCCATCTGTCCAGCACTCACCTCTTCATCCCGAACGGCGGTATCCGACCTTCCCTGCTCTTCCGCCTCCTTGCGCTGCAACTCGATCATCCTCTCGCGTCGTTCCTGCTCAAGTCTCGTCCACTTTCTGATCACCCTCTCGCGTTCCTCGATGGCTCGTTTTCTACGCTGCTCTACAGCAGGCATCATGGTGATCACAAACACAAGGATCGGTAGCAACCACTCTGATACAAGAACGCGTTCCACCCAACCAATGTGTCGTCCAGTCGTACCGTTGGGTGGGAGAAGACCCAACTCTTGATCTTCGACGTCGAGTCCGATGAAGGCTACGTGGTCGATGCACCAATCGTAGGTGAAGCGCGTGCGAGAGCGCATTCGTCGTGGAGCTTGGGGAGGGGGGAGCGGTTGCAAGGGGGTGTCGGTTGCTTGGCGTTCGGCTGCTTCTTCGTTCGACGGCGCGGTGGGGACGTTGGCTCCTGTGGGTGTCGCCGCGGCAGCAGCGGCACCAGCAGCACCAGCAGCACCAGCGTCGGCGTCACCAGCAGCAGCGGCAGCCTGTGGCGGCGCTGCGGCAGCCCGAGGCGTCCTCCGCTGTCGCACGCGCATCCGACGCTGAACAATACGATAGCTCTCGAACACGACATACACCGAAGCCATCCCCAGCACAAAGTACCACCTGAACGAATCGGCGCCGCGAAGCATGACCGAGAGCAGAATCCCCACTTTGAAGCCGATAAACGCCATGGGCACGATGACGGCAATCACATCGGCCAATGTGACGCCTCGGAGATCTGCCACCAGGTTCTGGGAGATGCGAGCCACGTATGCCACAGGTCCGCCTCGTTCGAGAGCCATCGTCCGTCCGGTTGCTGAGGCGCCATTCAGCTGTGTTGGCGCGCTCGCTCCGAGCGCTGCAGCAGAGTTAGAGGTGGGAGGCTGCGCCTTGATGAGACGGCTAAGCATGATGATGTTGTCGAGCTTGGATATGACGGTACCAAGCGTCGTGATGCGTTGCAAGAGCGTGGAGAGCGCCTCGCTGCGTTGCACGGCCAAGGGTGTTGTAGAGATGCGCAGCAGGTACGGAAGCCCGCGATGTGTTACTTGCTGATAGAGGTACTGATATCCTGTGTCGGAGCTTTGAGGGGCAGTGCTAGCATGCTCGTCGTTGGGCATTTGAACGGGCTCCCAGCCGAGCAAGGTTGTCTCGATGCTGGTCAGCAGATCGCTTTGCGAAGGTGGCAAAGGCAACGACGAAGATGTTGACGTGCTGCCCTTCTGAGCAGCGCGTGCCTGTTCGTAGATGACTTCGTACATCGTCACGTACTCGTCGTACGCTTCGCTGAGCGCTTCGTTCAAGAGCGGCCAATTGTCGGGAGCCGTGACACGCAGTATCTCATCGAGCACTGTGTAGACGTCGGCTTCAGCCTGGCCGGCAGTCGAGCTGATCATGTTGCGAGTGGTTTCGCTGCTCGACGCGGACACGTCGTGCACGTCGTGCAAGGATGGCAAGTGGGACGTGGACTCTGCCGGTGTGGGATCAACTTCAGAAAAGTACGGCTCGAAAGTGGGCGTCCAATGGGGAGGATGCTCTGTCGACGTGACACTTGGTGGAGGCGGCACGTCATCTTGAAGATTAAGCTGTGTTGCCAGTGCGGAGCGCGGAAGATCGTTCTGGCGTTGATGTTGGAGCTGGTGTTGGTTTTGCCGCAGATAGGAGTTGCGGCGAGAAGGAGTGGGACGGTTCTGTGGGTCCGACCACGCATCGGGACGGATGACAAGATGGAGTGACAACGGCTCGCCTGGCTCGAGCTAGGAGGTGGGTTTGATGTAACAAAGTGAAAAGGGGAGGCAAGTGGGCATGTCAGCAAGTTGCTAGGGGACGCACTGATCCCTCACAAGCTGCGGGACATGGAGTTCGGGGGCTGCTACTTACTGTCTCGGCGAGCTGGCTGAAGACTTCATTGTCGCTCAGGATCCGACCAGATCGGATGCAGCGCATTCCATCTGCGCGTGGAGCACCCGCCCACGTGGTTTGGATGGCTTGTTTGAGGGCGAGGACGGTATCGTTTTTGCTGACGGTGACAACAGCCGAATCCTTGTCCAGGGATGGACATTTGATGGCCACAGAGATGGAACCAGATGGGTGACCGGACAAAGGCGTTGGCGGCTCGTCGTCATGAGAGCGCACGAAGGGGTTGGAGGAGGCAGCAGTCGATGCGGACGGGGATGCGGGACCTTGGGAATGGGATCTGGATAGTTGGGACGTACTGCCCGACGACGGCTGTGAAGATCCCAACGGCTGATGACGCTGACCGTGACGATGATGGTGGAATGGCATAGACGGGTCTGATGACGGCTCCATCTTGATCTCTCTGGAAGGCGAATATGCTGATGCTATGCTTTGGAAAGATTCAAAGGGTCATCGAAGGAGAGATGCCTAATGGGACGACTCCCAGGGTCTCGGCTGTCTATAGATGTTGCAATCGCCACAGAGGATTGCACCCTTCTCGACCTGCGCAGGTCCCGAGGTAACTATTCGATGAGACGGCACTAGTGCAGGTATACGGCAGCGATCGTTTTCCTAATCCCGGCTGAGTTAGGGAGGCGGTAGTGATGTGCTGATTGGTAGGTGATGGAGAGAAGAAGCATGAGCGAATCGGCTTCCGGAGCAGCTCTGTGACGTGGAGGCGTGAATGCGCTTCTCAAAGTGACAGAAGGGAGCCCGGCTGTGCGGGGACGAAATTACCACGCGGGATTGCCGAAAAGTGACGGTTGGACCCCTTTTCGGGCAAATGGCCACCTTGAATTGCGACGCACGGATCCAACGTCCCCACCTCGTCCTCCTTGCACCACCAACAACTCGATCGCAGCAACCCACAGTTCGAGGTCGAGGACATCCGACATGATGTCGAGCTCGTCGTACGGAGAGCTGAACCCGTACGAGGAGGCTCGACTGTACACCAACAACCATGATCGAGAGCGGTACGAAAACATGGCAACACTGTTCAGCCTCATCGTCGCTCTCGACTACCTCGAGCGCGCGTACGTACGCGAGTCGATCAGCGAGAAAGAGTACGCACCAGCGTGTACCAGACTGCTCGCACAGTACAAGACGATGCTGAAGCTCATCGTGGACCAGGAGAAGCACTCGTCTAAGCCCATCAACGACCTCGCCGACTTTATGCGCATCTACAAGATGAACTACCTCGCAGCCGTGCACCGTCTCAACGTGGGAGTGCCAGCGACAGTGGAACATGCCTCATCCTCATCCTCTCAGACCTCATCCGAGAGGGCCAAATGGGTTGCAGAGACGACGCAAAACTTTATCACATTCATGGATGCGCTCAAGCTCAAGTTGCGCGCCAAGGATCAGTTGCATCCGATGCTAAGCGAGCTCATGCGTGGATACAGCCGCAGCGACGAGGTAGGAAAGGATTCGGATGCGAGCGATACAAGGGCGAAGCTGCTAAAGTGGCTCATCACGCTCAACCAGATGAAGGCGAGCGACGAAATCGACGAAGACCAGGCTCGTCAGATGCTATTCGACGTCGAAGGCGCCTACAACAGCTTCTTCCGCGCGTTGCAAGACTAGCGGAGATTCAGTCTCGGACGGCCTCAGCTCGGATCATTGCTCGCACAGTAGCCCAGATGACAGAGACTGAATGCAAGACGGTGACTAGAAATACAGATGGGAAGGAACGAAGCGCAAGCGTGGTGCGTGCCGTAGCAAGGTACATGCAATGCATCGCCAAGGTCAATCCTCCCGAACGACACCTGGAAGGAAGAAGGTCATGACACCGCTGCTCTTTTCAACGTCGCCGATGTAGACGTAAAAGATGGCGCAGTGGTTGGCGCAGATGCAGGCGATGGTGGTGGTAGCCACGATGTAGCTCGATAGGAATTTGAGCAATGACTTCATCTCGAGATTCACGCTCTTGTGTTCCGACGGATCGCTCTGCTGATTCTGCGCCGTGCTCGATTGCGAGGCGTCGATGGTGGGATGCGCGAGACCCGACCAGGTAGTGTCGAGGCTAACTTCGTCTTCGACCACCGACAATCGCAACTCGCCTTGACGGTTGGCTGATAGCGTGACGACATCCGAGAGCGAGCGCATGTGGTCTGCCACTGTACGAAGGTTGAGCAGCTTGGGCAGGATGATGTGCACGTCCGGTTCCGGACAGAGCGGTTCTACAATTCGACTCATCTCTGCTGGTTTGAGTACCTTAATGAGGACATCCTGCACGACTTCGAGCTTGGCGCCCGTGTGACTCTGCGCCGAGATGGAAAAGCTGAGAAGCGGGTCCTTGTTGCGCTTGGCAAGCCGCAGGATGACGCTGTAGGCGTTGTTGGCCGACCTGAGTGCTTTGAGCAGCGTGTCTGGCGACACTTCGAGGTTGATGTGGTTCTGGAAGTTGGACTCGATGCGATAATCTTGGAAGATGGAATCGACCTGCATCTGGGCCCAGATCTGCGTACCGTCCGTGTCGCCGAGGCAGATGATGTGGATCTTGTCTGGAGTGAGCTTGAGTATGCACTTGTTGGCCACCTTTCCAATCGACTGCACCACGCGCGTAAAGATCGAGACATCCGCCACCTGCGTTCGGAACCTCATGTCGGCGACGAGGGGCGCTGACCGCGCAGCGATACGTGCAGCAGCTACCCAGAACGGTGTGTTGCGCCCATATGTCGATACGGAACAGGCATGCGAGGAAGATGGTAGTCCAGCCGGGTGTTGGTCTCTTCCCGATGCTGCGCGTTGACTGAGCCGAACCTTCCAAGTCGAGTGGAGCGGCGTGGAGTGGAGTGAGCTGGAAATTTCGCTTCATGTTACCTCACCCCAAGTGACATAGTAAAGATTTGCCGGTGGAGGTTTATGGGCGTCGATCACATCGCAGGCGGCAAAGAGAAACAGGAGCGCAGCCAAGTCGCTCCGTGTTGGATTGAATTGCGCTCGGCCCTGTTTCTCAGTCGCGTCGTCAGCGGAGGCGCCAGAGGCGGCAGACCTGTATTCGCTTGCCAGTCACGCCAGCCAGTCGAGTTGATCATTCCTTCTCAATCCAACACCATCTTCTCATCATCGTCACCTTCATTCCGTTTCTCGCTACTGTTTCCTTCCTGCGACTCACGCTCGGTCCGTCCAGTCACAACCGCCACAGAATCAAATCGCAGCGCCTGTCTCGAGACGTCTTCAGCATCGTGACCAAGCGTGCACTCCTCCGTTGACGCTTTATTAGGCACTGAGCATTGCTCACTTCACAGCTATGGTCGCGCCCGTAACTTCTGCTGCGGGCATCGTCGCCCTCCTCGACGAACAGGAACCAGAGCTCCAGTCCTACGCGCTCAAGCGTCTCGACTCGCTCGTTCACCAATTCTGGGCCGAAATCGCAGATGCCATCTCCAAGATCGAGATCCTCTACGAAGATGAGCGCTTCCCAGATCGTCACCTTGCCGCCCTTGTCGCATCCAAGATCTACTTCCACCTCGGAGAGCACGATGAGGCGCTCATGTTTGCGCTTGGCGCCGGTCCTCTTTTCGATGTAGAGGTCAAGGACGAGTACGTAGACACCGTCGTTTCCAAGGCCATCGACCGATATATTACCAAATCGGCTCCCGCCACAGCAGCTACCTTGACACCAGCCGCAGACGACTCTACTGTGGCTGTGCATGGCAAAGCCGTTGCTGGCAAGCCCGCTCCCGTCGATCCGAGGCTGAAGAACATTGTGGACCAGATGTTTGCACGCTGCATCGCGGACAAAGAGTTCAAGCAAGCACTCGGCATCGCACTCGAGACCCAACGTTTGGATATCATCGAACAGGTCTATTCGGTCACCCACGATGCCGACCTTCTGACCTATGTTCTCGAGAGCAGCGTCGGTGTTGTCCCCTCCATCGAGGTGCGCAACCAGATCCTCCATCTGCTCGTCGATCTTTTCCAGAGACTGCCCAGCCCAGATCACTTTAGCATCGGCCAGTGCTATGTCTACCTCAACGCGCCCAACCTCGCTTCCGAACTCCTCTTTAAGCTCATCCAGCAGGCGCATCAACCCTCGAGCTCGTCACAGGCAAACACTCCCAATGACCCTCTCCTTGTCACATACCAGCTTGCTTTCGACTTGGCAGAAAGCGCCACACAAGAATTCCTCGAAAACGTACGCAGGGATCTTTCTTCCAAGTCCTCCACCCAGGCTTCGGCCGTCAAGACCGAGTCTGCCGACACTGATGCCGACATGAACGGCTCGTCAGAGTCCGAAGCAACCACCGTAGAGTCTTGCCTCGAGCGCGTACGCTCCATCCTGCAGGGAGAAGAGAGCATCCAGCTCTACCTCGAGTTCCTCAAAACCTCCAACAAGGCCGACTTGCCCATCCTCAAAGCAACAAAGGAGGCCCTTGACGCTCGCAGCTCCATCTACCACTCGGCGCTCAGCTTTGCCAACGCCTTCATGAATGCTGGTACCACCTCGGATAAGTTCCTCCGCGAGAATCTCGAGTGGCTCGCAAAGGCCTCCAACTGGTCCAAATTCACCGCCACCGCTGCTCTCGGTATCCTCAACAAGGGCAACCTCAAGGAAGGCATCAGCATCCTCCGCCCATACCTCCCCCAGGAAGGCGTCACCAGCAGTGTCTACTCCGAAGGTGGCTCCCTCTTCGCCCTTGGACTCATCCATTCGAATCACGGCGCTGAGGTCATGGATCTGCTCACCAACACGCTCAAGAGCAATCCTGCCGAGATCGTCCAGCACGGCGCTGCTCTCGGTCTCGGTGCTGCTGGCATGGCTACTGGCAATGAGGAGGTGTATGAGGAGCTTCGCAACATCCTTTACACCGACTCGGCTGTGGCCGGAGAGGCGAGCGGTTACGCCATGGGTCTCATCATGCTTGGTACTGGCTCGGAGCGAGCTGTCGAGGAGATGCTCCAGTACGCACACGAAACGCAGCACGAAAAGATCATCCGCGGTCTCGCCATCGGTATCGCTCTGCTCTTCTACGGCAAGGAGGAGAAGGCCGAGGCTATGATTGACACTTTGCTCGCTGACAAGGATGCCATCCTCCGCTACGGAGGTGTCTACACCATCGCGCTCGCCTACGCTGGCACTGCCAACAACAAGGCGATACGACGTCTGCTCCACATTGCTGTTTCCGACGTGAGCGATGACGTGCGACGCGCTGCTGTTACCTCGCTCGGCTTCCTGCTCTTCCGCAACCCGACCCAGGTACCCCGCATCGTTCAACTGCTCTCGGAGTCGTACAACCCTCACGTCCGATACGGAAGCACGTTGGCCCTCGGTATCGCCTGCGCCGGCACCGGTCTCGACGAGGCTGTCGATCTGCTCGAGCCCATGACGAAGGATCCTGTCGACTTTGTGCGTCAAGGTGCCTGCATCGCGCTCGCCATGATCTTCATCCAGCAGAACGAGGCGCTCAACCCCCGCGTCACCAACGCACGCAAGACCTTCGACAAGATCGTCTCGGACAAGCACGAAGATGCCATGGCCAAGTTCGGCGCTGCGCTCGCGCAAGGCCTCATCGACGCCGGTGGACGCAATGTGACCATTTCGCTGCAGAGCCGAGGCGGCAACGCCAACATGCCCGCCATTGTCGGTATGGCGCTCTTCACTCAGTTCTGGTACTGGTTCCCGCTTGCGCACTTTTCGGCACTCGCGTTCACGCCTACCGCGCTGATCGGTCTCAACCGCGAGCTGCGCATCCCGGAGTTCGAGTTTGTGTCCGAGGCCAAGCCTAGCCTGTTTGCCTACCCTACGTCATTCAAGCCTCCATCCGAAAAGAAGGTGGAGCGTGTCGAGACGGCGGTACTTTCGACCACCGTCAAGGCGCAAGCACGTCAGCGCAACAAGGAGCGCGAGAGAGCTCAGGCCGAAGGTGGCGACTCCATGGACCTCGATGACACGGCCGGTGGCAAAAAGGAGGAGAGCGACGTCGCGATGGACGAAGACGCCAAAGCTACCAAGAGCAGCAAACCGAAGAAGGAGCGTAAGCAGGAACCGCGATCCGAGCTTTTGCCCAACTACTCGCGCGTCACACCGGCCCAGGTCAAGTTTGTCACTTTCCCCGCCGAGTCTCGTTTCGTCCCGATCAGACCTGTCCAAGGCTTGGGCAGCAAAGTGAGGCAGGACGTGTACAACACCTCGTCCGTGGCGGATAAGTTGTTGGGCAATCCTTCGCCTGCACCCGGTGCTAGTGGGACTGTCACACCAGCTAGCAATGCGGTAGCCACCGTCGTTGCTGGCGCCAAGTCGTTGTATCACCAAGCGATCGCCAACGCATCTGCCGTTACCGGCGGTGAGACTGACAAAGCTGCCAGCACCACCGCCACCACTGGCGCTGGCAACGCAGGTCCGACGGCAGAGCAAGCACGAAGCATCCTCACATCCGCCATCGGTGGAACGGGAGGCATTCTGCTCATGATCGACCGGAAACCAACCGACGAATTCCGAGCGCTCAAGATCGGCGATTCGTCCGACGACGACGGTACCACCAACACCCAACGTCCCGCCACCGACGCTCAGCCACGAGAAGACGATATCAGCCCGGAGGACGCTGCCGCCATCGCAGCAGCCATGGCTGCCGACGACGACGACCGCGGCGACGACAAGGACATCAACAGCGTAGCGGGTAATCAGAACAGGAGGGACGATAGCGCGGGTGGAAACGCAGGTGCCGGTCCTGGGTTGCCTGAAGCACGTTGAAAGAAGTTGTGTTTGTTTGGAATGAAAAGCAAAAGTTGAATTCATGAAAGAGGGAGTTGTGATCGTGTGCGGTCGTGAGCAAGCAGAGACAGTCAAGATGAGCACGCCGACTGACCAGTAACATCTCCTCATCTCAATCACAGATCGCGCTCACACCACACTCCAACATCCCAAGTACATTTCTACACGAACCATTTGCATTACCCTGCGCGCCACATCAGTCTAACCAGCAACGCCCACCGATCCCTGCTCCAACTCGCTCTCCAACTGCAACCTGCTCACCTCATCAATCCCCTTCTGCAACGGATCAAACTCCGCCATCGTGCGACAGACCAAGCTCGCGTCCTCCAAAAAGGCATTGACGCTCAACCTCAACTGCCTCACGGTGGTAGCAAAGATCTTGACGCCCAGCTCGACCGTCCCAGACGACGCGGAGGAAGGGAGGATGGAGAATTCCTTGCGAACCTCCTTCGGTTTGAGTTCCTTGTCGACCGAGATGGATTGTTGGAGGTTGAGAGCCGATTGACGGTCGGGGAAGGGGAGGACGAGGGATACGCTGTGTCGCATCTCGTCCGAGGAGTGCTGGGAGGATGCGGCGATGGTCTGGAAGACCAAGCCACGGTCTGAAGCGGTGGACGAGGATCGGACGTGAGATGCAGAACCGTTGGTGCTGGCAGCAGCTGCGGCGTTCCCGCTAGTCATGCTGCTCGAATAAAGTCCGGCACCGCTACCAGCAGCAACGGAGGTGGTAGGACCGGAACCGTCCGCCTTCTCCTTCTTCATGAGTCGGATCAGGTCGAGCAAGTCGTCAATCGCCTGCTTCTCGATCTGGTAGTGAACGACCATTCGACCACCGCCGAGCTTGATCGGAGTTGGCAGTGCGGCAGCACGCGACACGAGCTCGGAGATGAGTATATCGATCGACGCCGTGTCAAGGAAGACCATGCTCGTCTCGACAGGTGCTGTCAGGCGAACACCGAGCTTCTCGAGCTCCTTTCCGGCGTAGCGCGCCAGCTGATGGGTGGCTTGAAGCTTGGGGTAGTTTTCCAGAACGCCGATGCGCGCTGCTGCAACAAGAGGTCCAACCTGTCGCACGCCAGCACCGTACAACTTACGGAAATGGCGCACCTTCTTGATGAATTGCGAAGGTCCGACAAGGATACTGCCGATAGGAGCGCCCAAGCCCTTGCTCAGGCAGAGCGATACCGTGTCAAACGGATCGCAAAGCTCCTTGAGCGAGAGGCCCGTCTCGGCAGCCACATTCCAAATACGAGCACCATCCAAGTGCATGATCAGCCCGAGCTTGCGAGCTTCGGTCGAGATCTTGACAATCTCATCTTGGGGGAAGATGGTTCCGTTGAGGGTGTTTTCGAGCGAGATGATACGAGTTGGGGAAAAGTGAATATCATCGCTGAGGTTGAGATTGGGCTTGATGTCTTCGTCCCATCGCAAGTGATGACCGTTGGACGGAGCGACAATCTCGGTAGAAGCACCGCAATGGAAGGCGATACCACCCGCCTCATAGCGGTGAATATGCGAGCGTGTATCGCAGAGGACAGTGTGAGGTGGCTGGTGCAGGTGTGTGCGAAGTGCAAGCTGGTTGGAAAGCGTCCCTGAGGGGACAAAGATGGCCGATTCCTTGCCGGTGAGAGCAGCGATCTCGGCCTGGAACGAGTTGGTGGTGTCGTCCTCGCCGTACACGTCGTCGCCTCGGGAAGCCTCTGCCATGGCACGGATCATCGACTCGGTAGGTGCTGTGATCGTGTCGGAGCGAAAGTCTCGCGCAAGCAGCTGCTGCTTTCTGGCATTGTCGATCTTGCCCTTGAGCGGATCAGTTGGTAGCAGAGGAGCGGTCTTGTAGTGGTGGCGCGAAGAGGCATCGGAGGAGCCGGCTTCGAGAGCAGCGGCCTGGCCGTTGGCTTGAACGTTGATGGGTTTCTGTGTCTTTGTGGGTCCATGGACCGGGTCGACCGGCTCGGAGGGTTGGAGAGGATACGAAGAGGCCGTCATATCGTCCTGACTGCTGGCGAGCGAGCGTGATGTTGAGAGGCAAGCTCGAGATGTGAGGAGCAGCGGCGGAGCTGTCAAAGCGACAGATGACCTCTCCAGAGAAGAGACGAAGCGCGGCAAGCGGGCAGCGGCTGAGCGGGAGATTGATGCGGCGAGTGGCGCACAGAAAAGCATATGGGACCGAGCAAGGCGACCGATGCTCAGCGTTACGTATACAGAGTGGTAGTGAAGCACTCGGATAGCTCAGCAAGGGACGGGCGGACGCAAGTGACTGCGCAGAGGCCAGAATGGCTAAGTTGGTTGCTATCTCTGGGGCTTCTTCCCATTTTTTGTTTTTCGACGCCGGCAGGATCGACGGGATGGCTCCTTCCGAACGTTCTCATCATTACCGCTCTGCATGGCCCCTCATCCATGAAGCCACAGACCTGATGCAGTGCCGACCGAAAGACGCTTCGTGGCCACAGACAGAAGTGCTGTACGCATACGAGTGCCGCTTTTGGCTCCAAGTGAGAAGCTATCCTGTGTCTTTGGGTTTTCGGCCCTTCGGCCATTGCGGTCAGTCGCTCGCCGGGCAGCGCACCTGTCTGTGACTTTTCGGCACGCGTTCCGCTCTTCTCTTTGCTTTCGGTCAATTGATCGGCGTCGATTATCAACAGTATCGTCGACCGGCACACTTCTCATGACACGATATGCGAACGACGCCGACAAGCTTTGAGAAAGCTACTTCATCGGTTCGTGTATTTGACCTGACTATCAACGGAACAAGCTTGTGCCGGACCAAGCGACGCTGGGTTTGAGCTTTGCAGCTGTGATGCTGTGTACTTCACCTACATCATTTCGACGTTGGACCCACCTTCGGCCTGAGTCTGCTCAAGCGCTACTCTACCGAGGAACATCAGCAAAGCAAGCCTCGAAGCTGCTAGAGCTCCGTGAGATTTACACAAGAGCATAACAAAGTGCGGCGTGAGAACGTTGAAGCGCAGCTTCTTGTCTGCACGAGGACCTCCAGGGTTCAGCGCAGCGTCAATTCGCCGAGAAGAAGCAGAAAAGCCCGGATGTCGGATCTTCCGTCACAGGCAAATCCTGCCGACATCAAGCTGCGACACGAACATGCTCTCCCTGACACTGCAACCTCGTTCGGATTGAAGCAGCACTCGGAGCGATGACAGCACTCAGGTGTCCCGCAGCTCTCGTAAGCTGTCGGAGGTGCATGTCGCTTGCTGCCGCTGTTCCAACACGCTCTACCGCGGCTTTTCCGAGAAAGGCAAGGGCACTCCACCACGACGTGCAGGCCATCCCGGGTCCATCTCGTTCACCCCACGCCCCAAGCACGCCAACTGTCCGGATAAGCAGGCCCTTCACCACAAGCGCCGCCGCAGCTGCCAAGAAGAAGGGCAAAAGCAAGGCTTCTCCGGGCTCTGCGTCAGCAGCTAATGACAGTCCAGTCGGTCCGTCGAGGTATGCACCACTTCCGCAAGGCTGGCAAGCAGTCATCGGCGTCGAGTGTCACGTCCAGATCAAAGACAAGCACAAGCTGTTCAGCACTGCCGAGCTACCGACGCCTTCCACGCCGCCAAACACCCTGGTCACGGCTTTCGATGCGGCCCATCCGGGTACTTTTCCCACGCTCAACCGATCAGCGTTACGGCTGGCAGCACGCACAGCGCTGGCTCTCAACTGCAAGGTGCATCCGGAAAGTCGCTTCGACCGCAAGCACTACTTCTACTCGGACCTTCCAGCAGGCTACCAGATCACCCAGAAGTACGCACCGCTGGCGAACAACGGCCGTGTCAAGCTCATCTTTGACGAGGGTCATCTGCCAAGCCCCGAGGACGAGCTTACTGTCGAGATAGAGCAGCTTCAGCTGGAACAGGACACCGCCAAGTCCAGCTACTTTGATACTGGCACCACCTTCCGCTTCGATCAAACCGAGAAGGATGGTGCTAGCGCGGGAAATCGAGGCACAGGAGCGATATTACACGAAGCAGACGACGATCGAGTCGGTCGCAGCTTTGTCGATCTCAACCGTGCAGGCGCCGGCTTGATGGAGATCGTCAGTGGGCCGCAGATGCGCACCCCCGAACAAGCAGGAGCGTACGTTCGCAAGCTGCAAGAGCTCGTCCGTCGCGTCGGAGCGTCCGACGGCAACATGCAGGAAGGCTCTCTTCGTTGCGACGTCAACGTCTCGGTCAATCGTGTCGGTGAGCCCTTCGGCACACGCTGCGAAGTCAAGAACCTCAACAGCGTGCGCTTCATGATGAATGCCATCTCGTACGAGTCGCACCGTCAGGTCCAGCTGCTCCAAGAGCACGGTCACGTCGAACAAGAGACGAGAGGCTACAACGAGTCGGACGGTACCACGTTCCGATTGCGTGGCAAGGAGGATGCGCCAGACTACAGATACATGCCTGATCCGAATCTGCCGCCGATTTTGCTCTCCGAGAAGCAGCTGCAGGCTTTGAGGGATGGGCTGCCGGAGCTTCCCGATGCAAGGCGTGCGCGGTTGAGCGAGCAGTATGGTCTTGCGTCTCGAGACATCAATGTGCTCATGAGAGTCGGATCGGAAGACGAGCGGGACGGTCGGATTGCGACAAAGACGCTCGAGTCAGATGGCGACTTTGAACAGAAAGATTCGAACGCGGTCGAGTACTTTGAACAGGTGGCAAGCGGAAGGTCTGCACAGACCGCACTCAATTGGATCATCCACGAGCTCATGAAGGGTCTCAACGCCCGAAATCTCCCCTTCAAGGAACGGTACTTGCCAGCAGAGTATCTCGGGCAGCTCATCGACCTCGTAGAGACTGGTCAAGTCACCGGCACCACAGCCAAGGCCGTCATCGCTGAGCTCCTCTCCTCCGCTCAGCCAGGAAACGGCGACAAGACCGCCATTTCATTGGCCTCCTTGCGCGGTGCCGCAAGCTCATCCTCGTCGCCCGTGTTGGACTTGCTCAAGCAGAACAACTTGCTGGCGCTGAACACCAAGGAGGATCTGCTGCCACTGCTCGAGTCAGCGCTGGCAAGGCTGCCTGATGAAGTGGCTCAGGTGCGTAAGGGTAATCTGAAGGTAGCCATGCGGATTGTCGGGCAGGTCATGAAGGATGCAAATGGCAGAGCGGACGCGAAGCTTGTCCATCAGACTATTCTGGAGCAGCTCGGACAGGCGCCTCCATCCTAGCGATATCTTGTAGGCACCATGATCACTCAGAAGCAGATGCTAGCTGCGATCAAATTGAGCAAGGAGACTGTACAGCAAGCGAGAATTGCTCCAGGCTGGAACTCTATGCCTGATCACGAACATCCTTCTGCACCACCTTCCTCTGCTTGAACGTTCTGCTCTTCTCCATCCCCGACAGATCATCCACTTCGGTCCCCAACTTCTCGGCCTTCCTCTTCCTCCTCTCCATCTTGTCGCTCTGCACCCTAGCACGTTCGACCTTCTTCAAGTAGTCCTTCTGCTCGTACGCCGACTGGCTCAGTTCCGTCCTCAACCTTGCTGCGTGACTCGCCCGTTCCTGAGCCATCTGTTCCGACAGCATGTGCCACTTGAATCCCTTGAGGTACTTCATCGTCCACACGTCGTCCTGGAACCTCTTGCTGCTCTTACCCATCTTGCTGCTCCCACCTCCTGAGCCGGATTTCTTGGAGCTAGATGCGGCGAGACCGCCGATGGGTTGGGCGTTGAGCATTTCGGCGGCTGCTTTTGCCACCTTCTTCGAGGTGAACTCCACCCATCCTTCCGTGTAGTGCGCTACTCCGTGTTTCTTCTTCGCCTCGCCGGGCTTGCTGCCGTCCTGCAGGTAGATTCGACCGAGCTCGCCAAAATTGGAGAGGATGTGTCGCACTTTGGCAGGTGTCATGCCGGGAGGGATGCGAGAGATGTAGATGATGCCGAGCTTGCGTTGCTTCTTCTTGAAGGCTTCCAGCTCGGAGGTGGAGAGTGGCTTGATGATCTTTTCCTCTTCGGCGGCGGCTTGCATTGGGTCGTCCTGCAGGTGCTCCTCGGCGTCATCAGACTCGGCTGCGTCATCGTTTGCTGCAGTCTCGTCGACTCCTACGGGTGACCCCGTCTCTTCCTTCTTCTCCTTTTTGTCCTTCTTCTTCTTCTCTTTCTTCTCCTTCTTTGAGGGGCTTGAGGACTCCGCAGCGACATCAGATGCTACTTGCTCCTTCTCCTCGCCTCCCTTCGCCTTGCCATTGGCGTTTCCGGTCATCTCCTGCTTACTAGGCGTTGCCTCGTGCGGCGCTACGGCTTGCTGCGCTCGTGCGGGTGTGCCGACCTGCTGCGGCTGACCCTTCTGCGGCGTCCCGCCATTCTGCTGCTGGTGCTTCGGTCCGCGATACACACTCCTCTCGTACTTTTCCGCTTCGCTGACGCAGCTGTTGTGGCTCTTGAACTCGTTGGGTGAGTTGAACTGCATCGAGCAGTCAAGGCAGGTCACGGGAGCGTAGCAGCGGTTGTAGTGCTGTTGGAGTTTTGGCTTCTTGACGACATCGCCGCAGCCGTCGCAGTTGAACGACACCATGATGGAATGAGCGTCGTAGGTGAGGTTATGTGTGGAGTGGAGAGCTTTGGATGGGCGTGCGGAGGAGGAGGAGGAGGAGAAGGGTTCTCAAAACGTATCGAACCCTGAAATTTCAAGAGCCAACTCAGGTGCGCCTTCTGGAAAAAGTCAAATTTGAAAAAATGAATTCGGAGTGCGGATGTCGGAATACGGCTCTGCTCTCTGGAGTCTAACATTCGCGAAAACCGTGCCCTTTCGGCCCAACACATTCCGGCTAGTCAGCAAGTTTTGGTCTTCTTGTGGCCGAGCCACTGTAGCTACATGGCCTTGATAAGAATGACAGTTTTGAAAAAGAGCCTGAATATCTTCAGAAGCTGTCTGACTGCTAGCGACATGTTCATGGTTGGAATTTTGTGACCACAATTTAGTGCTCGCTTTTGTACAGAACTTGGTCGTGATTTTTGCTTCAATTGGCCAACAATATTCGCAGAAGGGTATATCCAAAGCTGGTAGCATTCCTTACGAGCAACACAAGTTGCATGCACCTGGTCGACTCTAGCAGATCGAAGGAGATCGACGACATCGCAAACGATCCCTGATAGGCGATCAAGGCAAGAGGTGGATGCTACACCGATTCGGAGAACGAAGACGATTTCGCCGATCCCGATGCGTGCCGAAGTTATGTGAGAAATGTGAGCTTGCCCAGGCGCGTGCATTTCTAGTCCATTTCCTACAATCACATTTCTGGTGTTGGTCTCGCATGGCGGGCCTCGGCAAGAGAGTCGAACCTGACCTGCTAGGAAGCATTCTGAAGCTTTTCGCTTCGGCGCGCGCCCGACTGCCTCACATGTCGCCGTGGCTGGCGGGCGGAACCGCAAGCACAGGCTTTTCCCCCTCAAACTTGGCCGGCTGAATTGTCAGGATGCCTGCGTTGACACGAAGGTCGTCTGCAGCTCGGCGTCCACTATACAGCCCCCGCGCTCCTCATTCCGTCCGTGCTGATCGAGACGGATTGGACGCGAATCGAGCATGGCGAGGCAATGCTGCCAGCTACGGCGTTCGCATGTCAATTGGATGTTGCAAGTCGCCGAGGGGCGCCGACGAGACTGAAACTCAGGACGTCTCCTCTGCGCTTGGACCACCAGGACACCCGGTCGAGACTAAGTTACTTCAAGGGGCAGTGGCTCACGTCGACGATAAGCTTGACGTGCTGCACCGAACAAGGATCCCTTTCTGCTGAAGTCACATACGGGATGTAACTGTCAAGGTTCAGGCCATGCGATACGTTCTCAAATTCACTCTTCAGCTGCTCAAGGAGCATCCGGGTTCTACTGAACAGAGCCGTGGCTCTTGTCTATAACGTGTGAAAAGTCTGCCGGTGCAGCAGGTAAGGTCCCGAGTCCCCCTCTCTCTACGAAGCGAGCAAGCTGCTGAAGGTCCCTCATTGTAGACTAGCTGTCGCGCGAGCCTCCCATGTCGCCGCGGGAGAGGTTTCTTGGATTCGTCGATTGTCCCACGGGCGTAGGGCGACACCGAGATGCGACGTCTTGTCATATCGGCAAACTATCGCCAAAGACGTAAGCGAGGAGCCAGCAATGAAAAAAGAACAGGCGCGAGCTCTGTTTTTGCAGCGTGGCTTTGTTTGTAACCTGTTTGCCGAGATGAAGCCGGCTGCCGAGTACCGCTCATGATAGGCGACGAGCTGCACAGGCACGACAAAGAAGCGTCGTTCCCGATCAGCACGCCGAGTCGTCCAATTGCCCTTCCTCGCTAAAGGATGTCGACCACCCGGAGCCACAGCATTCGGCATGATCGACGGGTGCACCTGCAGCCGTTGCTCTCGGAAGTACTTCTCTTCCACAAAGTCACATTTTAGCTCACCGCAACCGAGGAGTCAAGCGAGCCGATCAACTGTTACGGAACACATCAACGGGAATACTTTGCATTCCTCGCAGATCGCTGGGAAAGATGCGTTTGCAACGAAGGTTTGGGCTCCGGATTGCCTTGGACTCTATCTAGGACAAACAATGAACACGCCACGCGCCATCTTACGTTCTCGGCCCTCGCACGAATCTGTCAGGAGGTCATTGTTCTCCGACGCTAAGCGAGATAGAAGGTCATCCTCGAAGATGCCATCACATTGTGGTCATCGTCGTTCTTGAAATGGTGTCTCGATTTGGTGCCGCATGGCATATTCCCTCGATTGCCGTGAGAGGCTGGTCTGCGCAATTAGCATTCCTGGAGCGCTCGTGAACGAGATCGCCACCGCCGTCGATCCGACCTTGCGGCCCATCAGGCACAGCGGTCACTGGACAACGTGGTGACTCAAATTTCGAGAAACAAAGCTGCTGATTCCTTTGAGATAGCGATGACACCCGATGTCACGGTAGCCATCGCAAGTCAGTGTGGAAGCCCATCGGGACTCAAAGGACCACTCGTAGGGATGCAGGTGAAGGTCTTCAGAGCCTTCCCATGCCCAGCAACCTCCCCAAAACGGCTTAGATCCTCTTGCGAGGTCCAGCTAGTAACAGCAACTTTGACTGCCGCTTCGTGTGTCTGCAAAGCTCAGACAAATGGGTACTGCAGCGATCGTCGAAGCATGCAGTCGACAGTCTTCGCACAGGTGAAAGTGAATCGCAGCACTCGTGCACCTTTGTCAAGTTGTACACGACCGGCGACGCCAGTCTTGATCAATTCACCCCACTCTAGCGAGCGGGATGAGGCGAAATGAGATCGGGTGTGACAGCAGGAAAATGCAATTGGACGTGCAGCGACTTGCATAATTTCGCCGAAACGATGATGTCTTGCAGCATTTCCACCGTGTCACGCCCATACTCGAGCCCGAGCGGACTTCATGAATTTTGAGCTTTTTCTCAAGCTTCGAACCAGAAAGATGGCCTGCCGTCTTGTTTCCCTTTCTGCCTCGCTGTCTGCGACGGTGTCTCTGCTGCAAGTCAGCTCGGACTTGTCGAAACGAAGCGTCTCGCTACGCCGGCTGGACCTCACCATGTTCTGTGCTGGTGCCTACCGGACCTCTGCACGTACACCGGCCTACAGATGCATTGGCTGGGCTGCCCTCTGCTCACCGCCGCTTCAAGACTGCTTGACCGTCTCTCTGTCAGCTACCTAGCGCTGTGCTTGGCACCTCCTCTTCCGGCAAAGCAGAGTCTCGGACACTGGATGTCAGACTGCATCCAGTTGCCTGGAAATCTGTTTGCATTGCCATGCGATGAGGGTCCAGCCTGAGCTGCAGCCGCAGCTTTGTCCGAGCTTCCTCTGTGCGTGGCAGCTAGGTCCGCCACCCACGCCTGCCCTTGAGACCGACCCGCATACCTAGGCCCGAGCTGATCATCGCCGCTGTCCTCAGCATGGCCGATCGTTTACACCCCCCATACCACAACACACCGTCGCAGATCCGGTCGACAAGCGCCAACTTGAACGTTCTTCTGGCCTGCGCGCTGCTGCTGCTCCTCCGAGACCCACCAAACGCCTTCGGTTCTCCTTCGCATCCTTTCGAGTTCCGCACAATTCGAGTTCCGCACAATTCGAGTTCGCCTCCTACGGTACCCTCGTATCATTTGGAAGCAACCACCTTTTGTCTGCCCTGGAAGATCGAAGGCGCTGCATCGAATCATATTCCTGGCCCCCCTTTCGTGTCTCGGTTTCGGAAGATCAGCCCCCCGCAGACTGGACCGCATATCCTTCGGTCTGTTGTCTGCACATACAGCATTCTGCCCGAGGCCTCAAGACCTCGTCAAGCTGGTCTCTTCATTGCAAGCCTTTCAGCCAGTGTCTTTGCGGCATTCCCAAAGGCGTCGTCCACCGATCAGAACCTGTCTGGCATCATCCTACGCATCTCTGATCGACATTGCTTCCGAGCGGACTTTGGACGGACAGCTCATAGCAGTTCAACACCGATCATTTCCCTCGATCGAGTCTGCCGCCTCAGCTCTGTCTCGACAAACAACCGCCTCTGCTTCCGTTCTCAACTGGTTCCGGCCACCTCAAAGATCACAGCAGCCCTCGTGATACCCTTCGATAAAGTCGGTACCGCCAAGACCGTCCCAAGGTATATACCATCCTATCTCTGGCCGCTAGCCTTCACCTCGCTTTCTCTTTGTCTCTTTACCACAACGTCCTTCCCCACTCCACTCCATCACCCCACAACCAGATCCACCTTCCTCACCCGTCCCAAGCACATCAACCTCGATCAATCACGTTCCTTTCCTGTCTCTGTCAGCTTCGAGATCGCCTCTGGACTCGACATCACACGCTCTTTTGCACAACACACACTCATTTCGACATCGCTAGCAACACTTTGATTGGCTCGTTCATTCCTGTAAGTTGATACGCTGCCTCTTTTGGTTTTGGTAAGGAGGAACAAGGAGATCATATCAGCAACGCAACGCAAATGCGGGCAGGAAGCAGGTTCTCGGCCAAGCTTTGCGAAAACCAGATCATACACCAGGCATACCTCTCCAGCCCTAGAACAGGATCGCGGAAGCGACTTGAAAGTCGGTCGCTAGGTCGGGCGCTGTTTGGGAAAGCTGTCTGTGGCGGATGGAGGAGAACTGCAAAGCGTCAGCAAGCGACAAGGGACATTGGGCACGCTACCTAGCCTGAAATGGAAACGACGCTTATATGATATGAGAGGAAGTCGACACGTCCAGGTCATCGAGGGCATCCCGTTGGCGTACGAAGGCGATTATATATGCAATGGCTTTGCGCTCACGGGGTGACGCAGAAAGGTGCAACAGCAGAGGTCCTTCAGCAAGCGTCCCTCGAATCATGTTCACTGACTCTTTCGTGTCTTCTCTCTTAATGTTCTCCCCCCTCATCGTCTCATGCTCGCTCACACAATTACGCCCTTGCATGGATGACCTACTGCTGCTTGTCAACGCAAACGCCATACTCGAATGCACCTTGCCTTCCGGTCTGCGTTACGCTGCCGTGCTTTGGAAATCGGGCCTCCTTGCATCCGGACGCTGTCCCGGATGGATACCTCGCGTTGCGAATTTTCTCCCAAACCGAATCGGATCCAATCGGGCAACAATACCTACTGCATCGGGTCCCTGATTTTTCGACATATCGGATTATTTCAAATTTCCGTGTCTGGACCCTGTCACGCTTGGCCCCCTTGCTTGGCACGCACTGCTGGACGCGTTGCTGGTTGCCCCACCTCCTTGCCGCTCACTCGCTGTAACTGACATTTTCCTACGTTGTCGTGGTATTTTGACGCTCGTCATCGCTGTCCATGTCCTGAACACCCTCATCTACACGGCACTTCGCTCGCCGCTCTGCTCATGCTTCGCCTACGATCGCCTCACTGCTCTGTCTCATCCTCCGCTACTTCGCTCATCTGCCTAACGTGGCTTGATCGTCTATCTCCTACCTCCCTGCACCATCCTCTGGCGATTGTCGTGATGCATCGCCATGTTCCTTTCATGCGCTGTCGACTTGCGCGTTCGCATATCCTCCTTCCATCGGATTCGGGTCATGTGCCTCGTCCCTTGCACCTTCTTGCGCCATGTCGATCCTCCCCGGACCTGCACGCCAACCCTGCTCGATTGCTTCCGCCAATCTACAGGCACAAGCCCGAGTGACCAACATTCCGCGTACTTCGTCAGCATACTGCAAAGATTTTCGTAAGTAAAGAGATAGCTTCCGATCTTGACCAATGCCTAAGCGGAAACGGTAGCAGCAGACTGACCCACCTCTCTCTTCACTCTTCGTCTCACTTCACCCATTCGACTCTCGCTTTCCTACTCATGGCGTCCCTGGCTCGTCCTCGCTTCCACATCGCTTCTCTCGCTCGCGAAACCGGTTCCGCTGCCGCTTCTCGCAAATGCGTTCACGCCTCATGTGGCTCGTGGTATTGGAACGTCCTGCGCTTTTCCCCCCCTCCACTTTTCGACACTGGCCCGTCGGCGGCATCCATCGAAAATCTGATATCGCCCATCAATTGTTCCTGTCCGGTACTGCACATGCCCTTCCTCGTCCGATCTCCCCTCGACTCTCTCGCACCTGCGGCATCCTCGGCTCGGCGATTTGGCTCCTCCGACAAACAACCTGATGCACGCCCTCTGCATGTGATCGCCTGCGACTACTCCCTTCGCCGTCATGCCCGCCTTGGTGCCGACCTACCTCTGTGGGCTGCTAACACCCTCTTCACATCCGTTCTCCCCTGTCCTACCGGTGTTGGCTCACCTTTTGCTGATTTGTTTGTTGACAGGCCGTTGTCCAGCCCTTCTTCAACGAGCTCTAATTGACGAGGCTTGCGAAGTTCTCGACCCCACGCATTCCGCACGCCGAGCCACCAGCCCAAGTGTCAGCCTCCGGCCCGCTGCTGCGATCGATATTCCTCGCCCATTCCAGGCATCGCGCTCGTCACATTCCCAATCGAGTCTACCTGCGGCTCACCTCTTCTGCAAGGTAAGTTTCCCTGCCCTCCCTATTCCTTGACGTAACATTCTCCATCGTCCGAAGCTTAATGTCTGGAATGGCGTTACTTGTATGCCACTCGATGTCCCTTCAGGGGCCATGGAGGACGCAAGCAGCTTGTCCTCGCAGCTTCCTTAATAAGGACCTGCGATCTCTACATTTGTCTTTAGCAACCCCACATGATATTCAAGCCACTCCCCTCCTCTTGCTCTCCCACTCCAATTCTCCGTACGCCGTCGTCTCGAGGCTGACTGCTGACACTCTCCCATCACTCCCCCGTCTCGTTCCCTTCCTCTGCCCTGCTTCGCCAATTTGGACCGCCCACTGCCCCGTCTCACCCCGAATACGCTCTTTGATCCGTACCATTTTCGATTATCTTGCATCATCAACGATCGGCACACTGTCTCTACTCACTGCACTCACGACCATCATTGAACATCTCGTGACACAAAACAGCATTTGATCCCGAACAACTTCGTCGACCCTTCAATTTTGCATTAAATCATGACCGCCTCCGCAAGTTCCAGTCAGCCATCCCTGTCTCGCCGCTCGTCCTACAATCGCCAAAACCGCCTTAGCTCGGGATCTTCGAGCGCAAGTGCCACCATTTCTCGACCGCGCTCATCACGAGGGAGGAGCACCTCGCCTCTGGACTCGGCCAAGCAGGAAGCTGCCGTACAGATGGCGGCCAAACGCGCATCGGCATCGAGCGTCGGCTCGACCGCCTCGTCATCCTACTCGACCTCTTCGACAGGCTCCAAAGCAGCCGACACAACGGCTGCAACCTCGACCATGTCGGCTTCGGCATCGAGCAGCAAGATCCCAGCCGATCTTCGCGCGATGCTCTTCGAAGAAGAGTACCAAGAAGAGGTGATCGAACACATGCTCCACATGGAAACACAGACCATCGCGGCTGTCGAGCTGATGGATGTGCAGCCGGAGCTCAAATGGTTCATGCGCCCATATCTCGTCGACTTCCTCATCGAGATCCACCAGACCTTCCGCCTGCGCCCCGAGACGCTCTTCCTCACCATGAACATCGTCGACCGCTACGTCTCGAAGCGCATCGTGTACAAGCGCCACTACCAGCTGGTGGGCTGTGCTGCGCTTTTGATTGCCGCCAAGTTCGAGGATGCTAAGGACCGCGTGCCCACAGTCAAGGAGCTCAGTCAGATGTGCTGCAACGCCTACGACGAGTCGGCATTTGCGCAGATGGAGGGCCACGTGCTCTCGACGATCGGCTGGACTTTGGGACATCCCACAGCTGAGTCTTGGCTCCGCATCGAGAGCGTGCGTGGGGGCGAAGACCTCAAGACGGTCAACCTGGCTCGCTTCTTCCTCGAGGTCAGCTTGTTCCACCGTGACTTTATCTCGCTCAAGTCTTCGGCGCTGACCAAGGGCGCTCTGATCTTGGCTCGCTTCATCTGCGGGCTTCCGCAAGCGACCAAGCTGTCGCCCACTGACGAGGCCGCCAAAGCCGCGCACATGCTTGACGCCTACGTCTCGGAGAACCTGCAGGATCTGTCGTTGATCCTGATCAAGAAGTACTCGTACGCCTACTTCTCAGGTGCCTCAACCATCGTCTGCGACTGGTACCGTGCTCGCGTTGCGGCCGCCAAGTCGACGCCACCGTCGGGACTTCTGCCTGCGCAGATGCTCACCCGCAACGCCGAGGTGGAGAGCCGGGAGGTGGATGACGATGAGTCGATGTGCTCGCAGCCCACTACTCCTGCCTCTTCGGTCCAGTCGACACCCTCGCGCTCGATGGACGAGGACGAGGACGAGGATGAGGAGGATGACATGCCCGTCACGCCTCTTTCCCTCTACTCGTTGCACGACCCTCTGGTCGCCGCTGCTAACGCAGCCGGTCTTCCTGTGCCCATGCCATCGTCGCGTGCTTCGGTGCAGGAGAAGGAGAGGCGCATGTCCACGGCCAGCGTCAGCACGGAAAAGTCGATGCCGAGCAGCAAGAGCTCTTCGAACCACTTGACGGTGCAGCAGCCCGTGCTCGGCGCGAGAAAGCCGCTCGGAAACGTTGTCTGGAACGTCAACGTCCAACAATTCTGAGCGACGATAATGTCTTCGCCTCCGCTCTCTCCCTTTCCCTCATGAAAAGTTTCTCGGTCTCTCTTGGATTCGTAACACTGTTTTTTTAGCATGCATCTCTCCTTCGGGCTGCTCATCTGCCCTCCTTACCCTTTAACCCCTGCTCTCCCGCTCTCAGTCACCCTCACCCTCTCACATGGTTCTCGCGCCGCTATCCGCGCCTTTGGGCCTTGTTTATCATATTATCATACATAGACGCTTTCTGCCTCTCTCATTGTACCGGAATGCATCATCTTACCGCCGCATGGAACCTCGCACAATCAACTGTTTCCAACGATGTCAATGCCTTGTCTCTGCTTGTGTGCAAGCCTGAAGCTGACTTTTTTTGAGAATGAGACAAAGGAAGAGGCCAAATTGATGCAAGTCTGCGAAACAGCGTAGAGCGCAGTGTTAGACAGGTCAAGGACACGCCGCGGTAGAAAGACAGCCTGAAATCCGCGACTTGCGATTGGTCGACCGAGTCACGCATGGTCGACCTAACACCGTGTTTTTTCCCCAGAGCGGACGTGAGAGGATCTAATCTGGTTTGGCTCATGGGAAGAATTCCAACTTCTTCGGCATTTCGCCGAAGCGTCGACACTTTTGGTTGGACAGTCGAACTTGGCTTTGCTCCACCACGCATCTCCCTAGACGTCTGACCCTTTCCGATCTTCAACATGAGGGCATCGTCCATGCTGCGCTTCAGCGCCGTCAGCCGCCTCTCAACGCCTCTGCTCTCACGACGCAGCCTGGCAACCCACGCACCAGTCAACCCGGCCAGCGGAACCTACAACCTGGTCGAAAAGATCGTTCAAAAGTACGCCGTCGACCTGTCTGCCGGCTCGCACGTCAAGTCAGGCGACTACGTTTCCATCCGACCAGGCACCGTCATGACGCACGACAACACTGGACCCGTCATCTCCAAATTCGGCTCCATCGGCGCCACTTCCATCTACAACCCAGACCAAGTCGTCTTTGCCCTCGACCACGACGTCCAGAACAAGTCGGCGAAGAACTTGGAGAAGTACAGCAAGATCGAGAGCTTTGCGCGCAAGCACGGCATCGACTTCTACCCTGCCGGAAGGGGTATCGGACATCAAGTCCTCGTCGAGGAAGGCTATGCTTTCCCTCAGACTTTGGCGGTGGCAAGCGATTCGCACTCGAACATGTATGGTGGTGTCGGGTGTTTGGGCACACCGATCGTGAGGACGGATGCAGCTGCTATCTGGGCCACGGGTCAGACATGGTGGCAGATCCCGGAGGTGGTCAAGGTCGAGTTGAAGGGAGAGCTGCCGAAAGGCGTCACTGGTAAAGACGTCATCGTTGCGCTGTGTGGGTACTTCAACAAGGATCAGGTGCTCAATGCCGCCATCGAGTTCCACGGATCCGGTCTCACGTCTCTCTCGGTCGAGGAGCGTCTTGCCATCGCCAACATGACGACCGAATGGGGTGCCCTCGCTGGTCTCTTCCCCACAGACGACGTCACCCTCTCCTGGTACGAGAAACAAATCCGCAAGCGCGACAAGCTCGAGTTTCAAATCGGCTCCTCCCCATCCCCATCCAGCTCTCACCCGCGCCTCAACATGCACCGTCTCGACGAGCTCTCCCGCACTCTGCTTCGACCCGACTCCGGCGCGCTCTACTCTAAACACCTCACACTCGAACTCGCCACCCTCGTTCCCCACGTCAGCGGACCCAACTCAGTCAAGGTTTCCACACCGCTCGACGAGCTCACCTCTCAAAACATCGCCATCAACAAAGCCTACCTCGTCTCGTGCGTCAACTCGCGTGCATCTGATCTCAAAGCGGCCGCCGACGTGATTCGAGGTAAGAAGGTCGCTCCCGGTGTCGAGTTCTACGTCGCTGCAGCGAGCAGCGTCGTTCAGCGCGAGGCGGAAGAGGCTGGAGATTGGGGTGCTCTGATGGCTGCTGGAGCCAAACCTCTGCCAGCCGGATGTGGACCGTGCATCGGATTGGGCGTTGGGCTCCTCGAGGATGGAGAGGTGGGTATCTCGGCTACGAACAGGAATTACAAGGGTAGGATGGGTAGTCCGAACGCTCAGGCGTACTTGGCGAGTCCTGCTGTGGTAGCTGCTTCGGCGATCGAGGGCAAGATCTGCGGACCGAACGATCTGGATCTGAGCTTGTTGCCTCCTTCGAGGGGTCTCAAGTATTCGATCTCGACGGCGCAGGATGCGAGTGCTACCGCTTCGACGGAAGCATCTGTTGGAGGTGTCGAGATCCTCGATTCCTTCCCTAAAGCCTTCTCGGGTCCGCTTATCTTTGCTCCTCAAGACAACCTGAACACGGATGGAATCTATCCCGGCAAATACACTTACCAGGACGACATCACTCCCGAGAAACAAGCCGAAGTGGTGATGGAGAATTACGATCCAACGTTCGCCTCCACCGTCTCCACCCTCCGACCGTCCTCCTCATCCGGCAGCTCCTCTTCGCTGAAAGAAGGACCGATCCTGATCGGAGGCTACAACTTCGGCACCGGATCCTCCCGCGAACAAGCGGCCACAGCGCTCAAGTACGCCGGCATCCCGCTCGTGCTCGCCGGATCCTTCGGCGACATCTTCAAACGCAACGCCATCAACAACGGTCTCATCTGCCTGGAATCCCACGAACTCGTCCAAGACCTCACCAAGCTCTACCTGCCCAACGAAGGCGGCGTGAGAAATCACAAGGCGATCCTGCTGGAAGAATCCAAGGTGGAGATCGACTCGAGTACGGGTGCCATCAAGTTGAGCTTCAAAGGACCCGATGGCGAAAGGGTGGAGAAAAAGTATATGGCTAAACCGGCGGGTATCGGCAGGAGCGTTCAGGAGATCTATACCGCTGGTGGACTGGAGAAGTGGGTCAAGGAGAGGATCTGATTCGCCACCTCAAAATTACGATGAGTCTTTCAATGGCTCTGGAATGTTAAAAAAGCTGTTCATAGCAATTCTGCAACACACGTTTCGCTCTCGCGTCATGACACCTCAGACACGACCAGTGTGATCCGAAAGAAAATGAGTGGTTGATCCGATCAAGACTGCGCCCGTCGCGGGCCGACACGATATGTACACAAGTGATGAGAGAAGCGACTGCCCAGTGGGGGCTACCTCTCCCTTCTCTAACCGCTGATAAACGTGTGTTCCTCAAACAGCGAACCCTTGACCTCGGTCTCGCCCTTGACATCCCCACCATAAGCCTCTGGCAACTTGATCTTCAACGTCGCCTCATTCAGCGTCTGGTAGATATACGGCTTGGTACCAGCCACATAGTTGACCAGCTTCCTCACCATGTACGGGATTTCTGCCAACACGTCGACCTTGTCCACCAAACCATGGGTCTCGCTCGAAGGATACGGTTTGCCCAAGTCGACCTTCAAGGAAGCCTCGACGGTGTTCTGCAGATCACCTTTTCCTGAAGAAGCATCGAGCAGAGGTCCCTGCCAATGATACTCGATGGATTGAGGTGCTTGGTAGCCAGTGTCCTGATCCAAGGTCTTGTCGAGGTGTTTGACGTACGAGTTGCTCTTGCGGCTGGGTTGCGATTCGGCTGCACCAGCAGTTCGGGTGGCAGCGGTGACAGAGATGAGCTTTCCTTCGGCTACGATGGATCCGATGTTGACTGTGAGCGATTGACGTTGCTGCTCCTTCTCGACGCTGCCATAATCAGGAGTGGTGGTGAACTCCATCATGACGCCGCTGACCCTTCCGAGTTTGTCATCCTGCGCCTGGAAGTTGGCAAAGTTCCACTTGGCAGCGACCAAGTTGGGTCGCATACCCTGGATAGCATGTACAAACATGCCTGTACCCTTTGCGTCGATAGCAGCACCATGCGAGATGATGTGACCCTCGCTCTCGGCCACGGGCCAGAATCGGTGGATAACGTAGCCTTCAGGACTGTCCGGGTTGGAGCCGAAGTAGCTGAAACCTCCCTTGGGACCCGAGCCGAGCTTCCAGCCTTTGACAGCGGACGGTCGGGTGAAGGACCAAGAGAGTTGCAGATCCGTGTCGAGGTTGGCGGTGATGGTGTACTTGTCGTCGCCGGCGTCGGTGGTGGAAAAATTGACGCTGAATTCAGCGGCCTTGCTGGAGCGTTTGTCGCTTTGAGCGGCGAACTTGGTCACGTTGACCGACTTCCAGATCTTCTTGCCGGTCTTTGGGTTGAAGTACTTAAATGTCATCTGCACCTGAGGGTACCAGAGTCCGACAGCCGAGTGGATGATCTGAGAGGTGGCGAAAGAGCCATCGTGGAGCACAGAGTACCAGGTCTGCGTCTCGGTGGTGAACCCACCGGCACAGGTCCATTCGAGATCCGAGGCTTCGAGAGGGCCAAAGAGGGCGGCCTGAGCGACCTTGTCGCTAATGGCGTGGAAGTTGCTTCCAGAGGCAGCTGGAGCGCCGCCAGCCGCGCCGGCTGCAGCGTCGCCTTTGAGCCAAGATCCCCAGCCTGACATTGTTTCACGAACTTGGAGGACGAGAGAGAGCGAGGCGTCCGTGTGTATTTGTTACCAGGAGCAGCAACGAGCGAGAAAAGGAACGTTCAATCAAGACTTGGATGCGGCGGAAGCGTGAGCCTGGGGTGAGATGGTGGAAGTCGCCACGAACGGATGCGTCTTCGTCTTGACGTGTGTGTACTGTATGTGCAAAGGGGTGAAGGTGCGTGACAAAAGAAAAAAGTGTTGGGAGCACAGGCCCGCTCTGAAAGTGTCAGCGACCCTGACGTTGCGCAACCGCAACACACTCAGCGAGGCGCACAACACTCGTCTGCTGCGCCCCTCTCAACTTGCTAAAAGTCGAGAGCGACCTCGGCTCGAGGCCAAGCATAGACCCAACACACAGGTCTGATGACGCGTCGGAGAAGCAAAATAGCCAAGTCCAAAGTCGCAGCTCGATCTGCAAGACGCATGACTCTCTGCACTGCTGCTGCTCGTCAAAATTGACCAGCATGTAGTCGAAACTTTTGACAACGGCCCGCGGCTTTCGCATCTCCACGGACCACTCTCGCTTGTCATCACCTTCGAGAAGCAATTTGGTCTAGAGTTGCTCGCTTATGAACGACCCCACACTTCATACAACATGCTTAGAACTGGACGAAAGCTCATAACACTCCAATGTGTTCATGGCAAGACTCTTTGACAAGACACACCGAGCTCGAATTGAGCAGCGGCTGCTCGAAACCCAGACGCGACGAACAACGAATCAGATTTGCGACTGGCTGGATTGTACAAGCAAGATGCAGCTTTTCTTTTGAACGGCTTCAAACATCCAGACGTGAGATATCCATCTGAGGACTCTTTGACAGGATCTCGGGCGTGGCGATCTTGTCCTTGTGCTTGAGAAGCTCCTTGAACGAGTTTTTGATCGTCACATCGCTCACACCAGCCGCCTGGCTGATGCGCTTAGCTCCCTTGTCCACCCCCCACAGTAGCGTCGAAAAGTAGATGCAGGCGGCAGCAATCGTGATGGGACTGCGACCTGCCAAGATGCCCAATTCGCGTACGCGCGCTGTGATGTCTTCGGTGGATCGTGTGATGCGCATCTCGAGTCCCAAATGATTGCAGTAACGCCCAACCAAGTCTGCAGCTCCGGTCGGTCCAATGCCGACCGGTGTCGACGTACCGCTGTTGTTGGCGCTCGCCCTAGATCCATCCACCGATCCAGTGCCCGTCGCATTGAGACCGAACGCCTGCTGCATCTCCTTGAAGCATTGGCCAATGTGCTTCTTAGAGACGCTCGTCAGCGAGCAGATCTCCGGGAACGTTCTCGGAACGTGGTTCATCTTGCAGGCTACGTAGATGGCAGCGGCGATGATGGCATCCGGCTTCTTTCCGCGAAGGATCTTTTCCTCTTCCACTCGGCGGTACGCCTGCTTGGCGACGTCCGAGACTGTTCTGGGCAGATGGATCGAGTCGCATTTGCGCTGGATGTCTTCGAACGCATCGAGCATGTTGCGATCTCTCGTACCCGTGGCACGGTTCATGGTCCTCTGAAGATCCCTCGACGCACCTGTGCCTCCATCCCTGTATCCGATGCGCGATTCGAGCTGCTCGTTGATACCATCCAGTAGCGGATTGCTCGCCGCACCCACACGCGAAGGGTCGTCACCGTCTTCGTTGGCAAACGTACGCCATTCGGATCGAGTGTCGATGATGTTCTCGCCTACGACGAGCCCGCAGTCGGCGCATACCAGGTCGCCCGACTCGAACTCTTCCGCCAGATTGGGCGGATCCGTCTTGCAGTCACGACAGATCAGGCGCACGTTGAGATCCGGCACAAAGTCGTCTTCGCCTTTGGGCGCATCACCACGGTCAGCCGCGTATCTGGCGCTGAGCGCAAAGGGCTGAGCAAATGCATTCTGCTGGGATCTGGCAATGTCGGCCGTCATGACTGTTGTTTCGGCGTCGGCGCTAGCGAATGTGTATTACTGCAGGGTATCACTCTACTGTCTCTTCCTGGCGACACCTTGCTGACAGATGCAATCCAAGATTGGCAATGTTCGGTTCGGGAATCAGATCCTTGAAGTCACAACGACGCAAATGAATGCGGATGACCGTGAAATCAATCTGACTTAAGTTAGACCAGACAAAGCTTGTCGTTGGTCGATTGCCAAAGTCTCCTGATAGCAAGAATAGGATTTCCAATGAATCAAATCGAATGGATGCAACCGAATCGTATCAGCAGCGGGTGTCGTCTGCAAGGATCAAGCAGATGATGGTGGCGAAAGGCAAAGGAACGACCACTGCAAATTCGACTGCGGGTTGATTAAATCATCATGCGACCGTAAATGTAGAAGAGCTGCTCAGCCGAGACGCCGGACTTTACGGACGCTGCAGTCTGCAGTTGAGGAAATGCTGGATGGAATGTCGTGCGAGAATCGCGTCTGGAAATCCTCACAAAGCTCGGAATGCGGAGCGTTGCTCGAACCACGCGCTTTGACTGCGAGAATCAAACACTTTTGGCTTTTTGTGGATGGTCTTCTTGATCGAGCAACTGACAACTCCTTCATCAACACCTTCCGCCTCTTGCCATCGTCACCTCATACGGTACGGCTGCTCACGTTACATTCCAAGCAGCCATGGCTATGGCGACGCAATACGCGCAAGGCGCTGCCTCCACCTCTGCATCCGCTCAGGCTGCTTCGACACGCACGAGCGAATCGAGTTTCAACGCATTTGCACGCGTGCTGCAAGCGTGCAAGGACCTCGATCCAGCCGCCAGAATCGATCCCGACAACGGTACCGCTCTCCTCTTTGCAGACATCTGCTCAGGCCTCGGCGAAGAAGCGCTGGATGACGCAGGCTACATCGCGCGCCGCCAAGATGAGAACCTCGAAGATGACGACAGAGAAGCTTGGGATCTCGAACAGAGCACTTGGAGACTGGTCCACATGCTCACATCCGAAAGGCTGCAGCGCGTCGAGCGCAAGTCGCAGGCTGCATCAGATGAGCAGGACAAGGCTGCACTCTCACCATACGAGACTCCTCTCGCCGCGATACAGAACATCTTTGAAAAGGACGAGCATCTCAACGAGCTTCGAATCATCCGTGAATGGCTCCAAGAGACACTAGTCCCGAGACATATTGTAGAAGTACGCAAAGGCTACCTCGCTTTCACCAAGAATCGAGTGCGCGCCGAGAAGCGTGCAAGTGTTGCAGGTGGATCCACGGCCAGCGACGGACGCAAGTTGACGTTCGGTTCGGCTGCTAGCTCGAGTTTTGCGCCTAAGAACCGCGGTAAGGCCGTCAAGAACCTGGATCCCGATGCTGTTTCACGGGGTGAAGGTGGTCTCGAGCTCGAAGACGCTACCTACGAAAAGGCACTCTTGCGAACGCTGTTCGAGTACGCGCGCGCAGGAAGACTAGACGCTGCCTTCGACCTCTGCCACCAAATCGATCAGAGCTGGCGAGCCGCAACGCTGCGAGGTGCCATGCTCTACCACGACCCTTCCGTCAGTGCCGAGCCGCAGGACGTCGACCGTGTCGTGGGCAACCGTAATCGGTCTCTTTGGAAATCAGCGTGTCGCAAGCTCTCTGCAAACTCCAATCTCGACGAATTCGAACGAGCGCTGTACGGATCTTTGGCAGGCGAGCTTCAATCGGTAGTCAATGTCAGTCAGAGCTGGGAGGAATTCCTCTGGGCGCACGTCAACGCCAAGCTGGAAGCTGCCGTTGACCTCAAGCTCGACGAGAGGCACAATTGGTGGAGCCAAGAAGCTGACTTGGACCTGTTTGGCGAGGGCGAGCACGGCGCTGTCGAGGTCTCACAAGGAGCTGCCACATCTGGATCTGCATCCGGAACTCAAGCAGGAAACATTGCGAGAGGAGAGGTCGAGGTTGGATCTCTTCACGGCGTCTTCGACAAACTCAGCCAAACACAGTCTCACAGCATCCATCTGCAAGCCAACAATCCGTACCGTTTGGTGCAAAGGAGCATCATCTCGAACAATCTTACGGATCTCTTCAACCGCTTTGCCGACAACCTCGGCGATATGCAGGCATCGCTCGAACCTGCAACCTTTGCACGGCTGCTGCGCTTCTTTGCTCATCTCATCCTCTACCTGCGTCTGCTCTCCATCTCGCTTCCAGATTTTGCATGCAACGCCATCCTCTCGTGTTACGTGCAGGTCTTGGAGGCAGCAGGCGAGACCAACTTGGTAGCCATGTACGCCAGCTCGCTCGAGCCGCAGTCGGCGACAAGGAGCTATGCCAACTTCTTGCGCTCCATGGATGTGAACGCCAGTCGCGAGGCAAAAGCGCATGCGCTTCGACAAGCAGAACAACACAACCTCGATTTGGCAGCAGTGGCCAGGTGCACGGTGGAGATGGCATTCGACGACCTCTTTCCTAGCATCGTCTCTGACTTTGATGAGCCAGCAGGCTTTGGAGGCGGTCACAAGACAAGAGGTGGAGCTGGAAAGCTGGACGCGATCCGATTCGAGGTGCGCCTGGACGGAAACGACGAGGCTCTGGTGCGGGCGATCGACTGGCTGACGTTCGATCCAACAACATATGCCGATGCGATCACACAATCCAATGCTCTCACAAGGCTTTTCTTGTCGACAGGACGCCTGCATGCGGCGAAAGTGCTACGCGAACGCATGCCCAACGAGGTGCTATCGAGCATGGATAGTCTCGACCTGCCGATGGACCAAAGCATCGAGCGCTCCGGTTGGGACACATTCTTCACTGCCTTGGAAGCGCACGTTGCCTACAAGCACTTCTGGACCACGCGACCTGCCGATATCGCTTCATCAGGTGCTCGCGCTGCAGGAGGCATGTCGAAACTGGAACGTATGAACTGGATCAAGGCGCTAAGCCAAGTAGTCGAACAAGCACGTGATCTCGATCTGGTCTTGCTGGAAAGGGATTGGCTCAAGATCCCTCTCGATGTAGGCCGAGGTGGTTTGGAGGCAGAGCGACGAGCTCGAGAGCTGTTCGACATTCGACAGACCTACATCCCCGAAATCGTGTTCCGACTGCACGACATGCTGGTCGAATCGTCGAGCGCCATACCAACCAACCTCAACATGGCACTTCGGCTGTCGGAGATTGTGGCAGACGAACGACACAAGATCTACCTCGAGTTCATTCGAAGCAACACCAACTTGCTGCAGGATTATCTGCTGCGTGTTCGCGAAGCGTCCCTGTTGCTTCTTGACAATGGCGGTGATGTATTTGAAAAGGCGGTGGAGTCGTAGCTTCCTCATTGCAATTCGACATTCGTGATACACTGCCTCATCAACGACCGCGTGAGCTGGGGGCGGACTGTGCAAGCGTTCTGCGCTCCTTGAAGTAGGGATGTGAATGTCGGTCATCGTTGCAACGATGCTCGGACCGAGTCGAGTTTTGCTCAGACGCTCCATCGCACACAATCCAGCACACTTGATTTCTGAAACGAAGAGCCTCTGAATTTGAATCTAGCCATCTAGTTTCATCAAAGAGCGGTTGCACCAGTGGCCACGCCGTGGTTGAGCTGCTTAGCAGCCTGAACGAGACCGTAGATGCACGTGATGTTGCCAGTCCACCAAGCGATAGTACGGCCCCAGGCCAGAGAGGGATCCTCCACGGTAATGTACAACGCAGCAAAGGCAGCACGAGCAGTGAGGTAGACTCCAGCGACGCGGTTGATCAAGCGGTTCGAGGCACCCGCGAATTGAAGCGACAGGATGGTGCCGACAAAGATGGGCAGGTTCTCGATGGCGTTGTAGTGAGCAGCTTCCCAACGCTTGAGACGACGGAGCTGAGCGGGGGTGATCTTGCCAGAGGCAACGTGCTTCTCGCCATTGACGCGGAGGTCGTCGCGAGGGTAGACGTTGTTGTCAAGACCATAGAAGAGCATAGGCAGACGATGCTGCAGCAGGAGGTGCGAGCCAGCAAAGGCAGCAAGGATAGAAACGGGGCCATAGTTGTAGTGAAGGGCGCGCGAAGCGTCTTGGGCGAAGTGAGGATCCTTGAGCGGGTTGACGCGAGAGATGAAGCCTGCGGCTCGGTCGGTGATGGAGCTCATCTTGGATATGTCTGCAAAGGAGGTCTACAGGGAAAGAGGGTCTAGCTGGAAGTTTGCAAGATGAAGGTTGGAAAGCAGGAAGTTGTACAGACTCGGACGGCGACTACGGTGTGAATGATTCCCGCAACACCGATTGATCAGTCACGTATCACACGCGAGTTGCCGATGCGAAGCGATTGATTGATGGCTTGATCGCTCCAGCGGAAACAGATCCAGCTTAGCGCTCATCCTGGCAGCGCACGTTGCGGACGAGGCGCGCGGCTCCAGGGCTGTTGACCATGCACGAGGACGTCAAGGCGAACGGACAATGCAGATGTCCAAGCGTCATCTGAGGCGAAGCGAAATTCCCCCGATCTCGCCGATCCGAGTGTTGCCGTTCAATTGCTGCAGGGTCCAGAAGATTTCATTCTGCGTTTCTTGTCCCCCTCTTTGAGCCATTCCGCATCCCCGTTGCGAGAAGTCCATCAGCGCTCACCACCAACGACGATCATCAGCATGAGTGCCGCATCGACGTCGAGGGAGTCAAAATCGACAGCAGCCGGCATCGTCGAGCGCGCAGATACGCAAGAGAGGATCATCCCGGAATCAAGGAGAGCAGATGGATCGTAGGTTTCGCCGCAGAACCAGTCCCTGTTTGGCTACACGCACTGACATGATGAAAACATCTCTTCCTTTGCAATGAAATCGGTAGAGTAAGGAAGGAGCGCAAAGTCAGACCAGGCTTCACGCCAGTTGAAGACGTGGTGCGCTACCGCCCTGCCAGAGCTAGGGAGGCAGAGGAAGCGCGCAAGCGAGGCGTGCCAGGAAGCGCAGCGCAAACCAAAGCATCGACCAGCAGCACATCACCGTCGTCCACAGTGTCATCTCCAAGTGCATCGCTCTCAGGATCAACAGAAGCGGTTCCGCCGACACGACATTCAAGCGTGGCAAGGTCGTCGACAATACCGTCGGCAGCCTCAAACGGCAGCAACAACGGCGAGCAGCCACGCGGCAAATTTGCTCCGCTTGAACCGCCACGGCAACGAAAGGGTGCAGGGGCTCCAGCAGCAACGAATATCACTGCAGCTGGTAGACCCGACAAACAGGCAGACGAGCTGCCGAAGCCATGGCGAAATTCGCGCTTGCGCAAACCGGCAGCGCCCGCGGCAGCTCAGAATGAGGCGGCGGACGTACCGATTGCATTGCATGGAGAGAAAACAGACCGTAGCGGCAAAGCCGACGAGAAGTCGAAGGACGAGACTCACACTGTGCTTGATCGGCAGCCACAAGTAGCAGGCGACGAGTTGGTAGCTCAGCTCGAGGATTTGCGCATTGGCCAAAGCAAAGAGCCATCACAGAATCGAGGTTGAGTGCTTCTGTCGAGCATCTTCATCAAGGCATATAGCTAACTTTGACAAGCTCACACTGACTGTGCATCGCTTCTGTGAGCTCAAAGGAATGCGAGTATGCGCGTATGCAGCGAAGAGCTCCACTGCTGACGGGCCGTAGAGGCAGGCAACAACTGATCTTTGGCAATGGTCGAGGTCAAGTTGGCCAAGTCGACGGATATCTCCGAAATTCAAATGGCGCTTTGGTCACCTTTCCAACTCACATCCTCGGTGACTTTCCGTGACGGCGACACTCGGAACAATGGATCTTGCTCATTGTTTGCATCCTTGCCACCACACAACAAAGGGACTCGTGCATCTCAGTTCTGCGATCAGTTCACACAATGTGAGAGAACAAGAAGAAACGCAGATCCAGAAAATTCTCATCCGCCACGGGGTTGCAACCATCCTTCCGTTGCCATTCGAGGAATCTTCGGAACGACACCTGCAAGGCATCCGTCTACCGCGCTCAACATGTCCAGCGATGATGTAGATGCCAAGGTCATGGGGCCAACCTTGGAGATCGACGATTCCTGCCGCAGTGGCTTCGGAAAGCTGCCGACAGAGCTTCTATTCCACATCATTCGTCTGGCTGCGTCAACCGATCACAAGACTGCGCACGCCTGCGCCTACGTTTCCAAGCTCGTCTGCAGATGGACCGCTCCCGATCGCTGGAGAACCATCATTTGCACCGATGGCAATCAGTTTGATGCCCTTTGGTTTCTCTTGGAGGTTCACCTCACGACACCCGCAACCGATCCGCCCAACGATGTCAAACGTTTCACATCTCTGCCCAGCCTTCAGCCAGGCGCTTTCGTCGAGAGCCTCTTCATCGACACGAGCGACGCGGCATATACACTGGCGGATATTCTGGCTGAGCAGGAAGACACGGTGCTATGTATGGCAGCCTCCTGTCCACGCCTGACCTCGCAGAGTAAATTGATCTGCGGCGAAGGTCACCGACCTCACGAGGTCCAGGACATACTCCGACACTTTCCCTTCGTCAACTACTTGGCTCTCGGCCACATGGAAGCTCAAAATCTCAGACTCGACACGATCTCTCCGGTCAAGATGCTATGCACAGCTGCGAATGAGGGTCCCTTGATACACACAATCGATCAAATGGGTCCTTACCTCAGCAACGATTTCGAGGATCCGCCGTACGTCGATGACGCCCTCTGGCGCGCAGACGGTTCGCGGATCTGGAAGCCGTCCCTCGAATCGTTTCGAAGACGGCTCAATTCTGTTCATTTCGTCGCTATCGATCTCACCAACAAGATCTCGGGCGTCACGATGCCAATTCAAGCGATCGAGACACTGCGCTCGGGAAGCTTTGGAAATTTCTCGTTCGTTCGGCGCATCGCCGATCACCAGGCTGGTGGCCCTCCACCACGCCTCAGTCTGGCTGATCAGGAAGACGCCCTGGCGTCGGAGTGGTACATCTGGCCGGCCGAAGATAGGAAGGGAGGACGTCGGTATACTCGAGGAAGTGATCCTCCCTTAGCGTCGTCATCAGCACGCCTGAGGACAGAAAAGACACAGAATTTGGAGGCCGACGAGGAGCACGGTCTGCATCCTTTCGACAACGAGTACAGTCGTATCAGCTCCAAGTCTTGGAATGCCTTCCATCAGGGCGTGACTAAGATTCGATACGATACTCGCAAGTTTGCGTTCCGCCCCTGCGAGATCACCGCGAGTCGCCTCAAGCCTTTCTTCGAAGAGCTGACGACAACCGGGGTGGAGTCAACGGAAATGAACGGGGATGAAGGGAACGCATCAACGTCATCTTTTACACACAGCGGACCCCGTCATGCAGCACCCCACAGGGGCGCCGGCCACTATTCCAAGCCTGATCCGGGTAGTCAGTCCGGTCGCACGAACTTGACAGCGAAACAAGCCGCATTGAACACATTTGGCTGCAACAAGTTTGAAACGCTTCACCTCTGTTGGGATCCAGTCCCTGGAACCGACGACAACGGAGGGACGACAGCCTTACAGAGAAGCAGCGATGCTCAGACCTCGTCAACTTTCCCCGGCGCCGGAGGGGACGCAGACTGGCCTGTGGAAAGACAAGACATCTGGACCAACACACTGTCACAAAACAACGAAGCGCAAGCTCCCCCGCCACACACGCTCCAGAACGGCTCTACCAGAGCTACATCCTCACGGAGCATCGCCTCGCCTCCTCCCGCTATCGCAACCACACAGCGAGCATCCTGGGCCATCCCCAGCAGCATCGAATCCAAGCAGTCGAAAAACTTCCGCGCCGACCTCATCGACTCGATCCGAACCACCATCGGCTGGACGCGCCAGGACCAACAGCTGCTTAGCGACACCCCCCTTCTCTCCAACCCATCCGATGTCCTGCGACGCTTCGGTGGCGATCAAGCGCGCTACTCTCGCTTCGAAAACATCGTCACCGAAATCGCCCTCCAACAGAACAGCATTGCTGCACAGACCGCGTTTGACGCCGAATCCGTCGCACGCGTAGCACCGGATCACGAAAAGCTGACGACGCGCCTCGTGCCGCCTGCGGAACGACTCAGGTTGGGCGGCATGTATGTTCCCTACACCAAGCAGCAGCGTGTCAGCTGGTTTCTGGCCAACTTGGATACGGACGATGCGTAGGTGTGCCACGCTTGCCGCTATGCAGCCCAATTCTGCTGTCGTGGTACGCTTCAATGCCACTTTGATATCGTCGCATCCGCTGTTACGCACTCGCACTGCCAACGTCAGTTTCATAACGTGTTTGAAATGCAAAAGAATGTCTAGAACCCGCCTGTGCGCGATCAAAGCTTCGCCTTTCCCCCCGTCCCCGCCGCCGCTAGTCACTTACCCTCCACGGCGCTAGCGGCGGGTGTGATACTCAACCCGCTCATACCCTGCAAGGAGCTCATGGTCGGTCTCTCACCTCTCTCCAACGCGCCCTGCGATTCCCTTCTCAACTTTTCCCTCTTGCTGGCCGACATGTACACCCTGGGATATGACAGTGGCGTGATGGCGCCACTGTGCCATCCGCTCTTGCGACCGTCTTCGTAGTGTTTGATCTCGTGGTCGACGGATTCGCCGCGGGCGATGCGTTCGCGTTCGCGCTTGATGCGTTCCTGTGCTTCGTCGCATCTCGTCCTGAGGAACTTGATGACGTCCTTGGGAGACGAGTGGTTGAATATCGCCGTTCCGGCGACGATGATGTTGGCGCCTGCGTCGGCACACCTGTCAATGGTCTTGGGACCTACGCCTCCATCAACTTCGACGTCGAGGTCCGGAAACCTCGCTCGCAACTCGGCCACTTTGGGCATGCACTCCTTCATAAACTTTTGCCCACCGGCTCCTGGCCATACGGTCATTACGAGGATCATATCCACCGCCTTTCCGAGCTCGTCGCTGATCTCGGAAGCTGGTGTTCCCGGGTTGATGGCAACGGCAGCGCGCATCTTGGTAGCTTTGATCTGACGTACGACATCCATAGGATCATCGGTCGCCTCCAAGTGGAAAGTATAAGATGCTCCTCCCGCTTCGGAGATATCCTTGACCCAGTTGCCTGGATCTGAGACCATCATGTGGCAGTCCATAAAGATGTTGGGTACCGCCTTTGATACCGAGGCGATCACAGGAGCGCCCATGACGATGTTGGGCACAAAGTGACCGTCCATGATGTCCATGTGAAGCCAGTCGGCTCCGGCGTCCATCATGCGTTGACATTCGCAATTGAGATTGCCGAGGTCGGAAGCGAGCACCGACGGTGCGATCTTGGTTGCTGGCATAGTGTGTGTGTAGAGGCGGTTTGAGTACGGCGATGCGTGCTGGGATGGACGTGGCGGAAGGATTTGTGAATCCGCTAGTTCTCGTTGTACAGAGTCGAGAAATAGCCGGCCAGTGTGGGGCGTCGCTGGAGAAGAGCGCTATCAGAGCCAGGACTGGCGTATGATGACGGCAGTCGATGCGACAGATCTGATCAAAGTGAGCAATTGGAGTCACCTGTGCGAGACGATGACAGACGCTCTCGAGACCACGATAGGTTGTTGCAAATGGCTAGCAAGCAGCAACGAGGTTCCGAGACGGTCGAACTTAAAGCGTGGAACAAGCTTGTTGATCCTTCGAGCCTTTTGGAAAGGCTGGCTCAGACTTGAGGAAAGTCGAGTCCGATCAAAGCGCTGTTCGAGCGAACGAGTCGTGCGAGCGAGATGCTATATCGGTGCCGAGAGGCTCCTCGTTTGTAGTTTGCCGTCGTGGAGGATTGAAGGGATGTATCTTGCCAGTTCGAGAGGTCGGTGCCGATGGTCGGAATCGAGGTGAGGGTTTCGTGGGATCGAGGCTGAGGATGGTGCAAAAGAGAGCGGAAGGATAGCTTAGCCGGCCAGAGCAAAAGCGAGGTGAGATAGAGCTGCAGCAGCGAACAGTCACCACACCGACCGCTGCACACACCCAACCCAAAAAACTTGGCCCATCCGCAAGCACAGTGCGGCGCGGTGAGGTGCGCTTTCTCTGCGGTCTCTTTTTTCTATCTCCGTGACCCTCCTTCTAAATTTGAAATAAATTCAACACAGCAGACAGGCAGAATCCAAGATTAGAACTGTAATCGATGATGTGACTGACGCTCTCCTCTCTCCCGCTTGGCAGCAATGACCTTGGCGGGCTCGGCGGTGGTCACACAGGAACGGGAAATTCTGAAGAATTCCAACAATGACATCGCTGTTGCTGCTGGTGGATACCGTGTTGGGAAGCAAGCTCGGCTTTCTCTCCCGCATTTACCTCGCTTGGAGCAGCACACCGGAAAAAAGAGGAGCTGTGTTGGCTGCGTTGGATCGCCGATGCATCGTCACCATTGTAACTTCAGTGAAATCTAGAAGACGCCGGACCGTGCTTCCGGTGTCAAGAGCCGTGAAGTATAGCACGCTCGCTTCGACGCTTGCACCTGTCAGTCATTTTGACATGCTGTCATCCCCGCTCAAGGTGATGAGCACTTCCGTCTTCATCGCTTCGGGACACCTCACACATCGATCACATTGATCGCAACTGTCTGTGTCACAATCATAGCATTGGAACGGGTATCACACAATTTTCGTCTCTGGACTGATGCATCTTATGATCAGAAGTGCGAGATGCCTTCGGCCTCCATCTTGCCAATCCTCTTCGACTGCTTGTTGCCGAATTGACGCTTCATCTTAGCTACTGAATCTTCGGCGTTGGTCTTCATCCACGTCAGCGTTCGGAATCCTTTGACCTGTGCAGCGCCTCGCTGATTGCGATGCAATGCGCGTGCGCGTGCTCGTCGGCCTTCCGGGCTGTCCGAGTCGCCATCATCTTCCGCCATTTGATCCAGCTCGGTCTCCGTCAGCGAGAGCGCGTACAGAGAGTCGTCGTCTGCTGCGCCATTCGCCCCATCTTCTCCGAGTACATTTGGCTCCTCGCTGAGGGTCCCCTGCGCAGAAGCGTTGGAAGGTACACGGCCATGTGTCCGAGGTCGTGTCTCTGTGCCGTGCGCGTTGCTCAGGTCCACCTGGCTAGAGCCTCGGTATCGGTTCATTGCCAGCGTGCGAGGTCGTGCTCGCTCACCGGCATCTTGCAACGTCATGTACGTCTCGAACGCGAACCGCATCTCGCTGTCGCCCGCTGTGCAAGAGCGATGCTCCGGCGCAATGCCTCGGTGGAAGATCATGTCAATCTCGACCCAGCCCACCGCTCGAAGCTTGGCAGCGCTGATGGCTTCGTCTGAAATGACCGCTGCTCCAGTGCGACAAACGTCTTCTAGCACCGGAAGCAGCTTGGCCTGCGCAGCCCCATCGTGCGTCTGCAGCAACGCGGGGTCGCTCGTCGCGCGCAACACATCCTGCTCCACCTTGGCCCAATCCGTCGACTCGAACAGACGCAGCCGGCGCTGCACGCGCATCTCATCCGACAGGCGGTTGAGCGGCATGAACGCAAACGCGTGGTGGTGTGTGCGTCCAGGCAAGCGCGAGTCGGTGCGCAGGCTCACGTACACACAGTTCGGATATCGCTGACGAACAGGCAGGCGCATCGGCTCCTTGAGCGCGAAGCTGTAGCTCACCGTAGCGTCGCTGCCCATGCCAGACTCGTAGTCGTCCACTGTTTCTGTGTCGTCCGTCGTTGTCTTACCGCCCACCGTCTCGAGCAAGACGTGGCACGCCTTCTTGTCGAGCAACGTCTGCGGAACGCCCGTCACCTTGATGCTGGCCACCTCGACAATGCCCACGTTCCATCCGCGTAGCGGACGCGGCACCGAAAGCTCGACGCTGCGGAATAAAAGAGTGATACGGATCTTGCCAAAGCCAAGTCCGCCGGTGAGTGTGTGCCATCCGGTGCTCCGGCTGCTCTCTGTCAGCACATCTGCCAGTCGAATCCCGACGCAGCCCAGAATCGCGTCGCTCTCGCGCATCCGAGCGTCGCGCACCGCAAAGTCGAGCCGAGCTGTCGTCCAGTCACCGATGAATCGCTCGCTGCCTGCGTTGATGTACGGTCGCGGATTGAGATTCTTGGTCCTGGTGCGGAAGATGGCCTCATCGTTGAGGAACACTTGGACATACGACGACGGTAGCTTGCCACCTGCACCTCCTTCGGCGTGACTCTCGTCCGTCGGCGCGGGCCCATTCCGAGACTTTTGAGAGAGCCTCTTTGACGCGCCCCCCAGCGACTTTTGCGTGGAGGGGACTTCGAGTCCAGTGATTGAGTGGACGTGGAAAGCGAGGATGCCCGACGGCAGCTCTGCCGTTGGCGGATGCATCGTAGCCTGCTTGGCTCCTTCAATCATCGTTGCGAGCTTCTGAACGCGTTCTTTGCGCACTTTTCTCTTCCGCAGTACCTCGTCGTCCATCGGAAGGCCAAGGCCGTGGACAAACTTGTCGAAGCCTGTCATGTAGGCATGCAGGTCCTGATCGACGCCACTTTCCATCTTCACGTCAGCCTTTTCAGGAAGAGCAGGCAGGTCCTTGTCGTCATCCGTTTTGTGCTTGCCATCGACGGGAGAGACCAGATCAATAGACGCGCTCTGATCTGCAGCGGTGCTGGTGATACCTTCCAGCAGCTTTCGTCTGGAAGGGGCGTGTCCCGTCCCTGGCGCATGGGCGAGGCCAAAGAAGCCGACGCTGTATTTGAGTGTGCCCTGTACCGAAGCGCCCTTCCGCATCGGCTGCAGCTGGTCGGTACGCGTCTCGAGCAAGTTGGTGCTGCGGCCCTCACCGTCTGGGCGAAATTTGCGGATGAGCCGATGCAGAGAGATCTCGACCTTGCCGAGCGGATCGTCGGCCGAGAAGCGATCAGCGTCAAACACTGTGAACCTCAATCGATCGTGGTCGCGCACCTCGTCGGGGGACACGAGCAGGAACCCCGTCTCTTGCCATACGGCGTCGCGCCTCTTTCGGACGATACGTGATGTGAATAGGGGCTTGCCAGCTCGGGCGAACGACGCTTGCACGAAGGGGTCGCTCTGGCCGTTGGAGTCGGCGGCAGCCAGATTGTCCGCCTGGTGGAGCACGAAGCAGATGACGCCGATCGAATAGACATCCTGCGGGCCGTCGCCTGCGCCGAGAAGGCCAGCTACGTCGATGGTGTACGAAAGCGGAGCGATAAAGCCCTTGATGACATCCTCGACCGCATGGAGCACATAAGAGGACATGAGCGGCAGATTCATGGCATCGATAACCATTTTCTTGCCCAGCGGCTTGGCCGAGATCTCGAGCTTGGGTGCTCCCACAAAGGTGACGGCGGCATGCTTGACGAATGGAGCTACAGGTGTCATTTGGAGACGCACACGTGCTTTTCCTTCGATGCCCACCAGCTCAATCCAGACAGGGATGTCGACCGCTGCAAGCTTTTGGAGACCTACGCTAAGGTAGAGTAGCATATGTATCCTTTCCGTCGGGATGTCCTTGAGCTGATCGAAGTCGACCTCGTCATTGGCGCTTTCATCCTCGGCCTCAGTTACTGCGACGGGACCAGAAGCATTGAGCGGTCCATGGCTGGTGTTGGTGGTGGAGCGGAACAGGCCCTTCTTGGGGGCAGCTGCTCGATAGGCAAACGTAACTTCGAGGTTGACAAAATCGCCAACGTCGACACCGACATCGTCGTCTTCGCTGTCTGCGTGGAAAGAGGAGGGCACCCCGTTGGAGGACTTTCCGGCGTCTTTCTGCGCCTGTGCTACAGCGCCTTTGAGGAAGGAGGCGTCGTCGGAGGGCAGAACGCGGAAGCTCTTGACTCGCAAAGGAATCGAGCCCTGGTCCATGTCGTCCACTCGCACATTGTGCACGATACCGGGCACCTGTGTCATGAGGCTGTCCTCGAGCAGATCGACAAAGGGCGCAAAGTAGTCTGCATTGATGAGCGGCCAGGCAGTTGCGAGTGCCTTGTTCAGCCACTCGACCGATTCTTCGCCCTCACCGGGCAACGCGCTGCGCCGAGCTACAGCTTCCATCTCGAGCGCCCACTTGGCGTCGTCTCCCCTCGCTTTGAGCTTCTTGTAAAGGATGTGACCGCTGCAAGTAGAGATCAGGACAGCCGCCAAAATACTGAATCTGGCCAAGATGAGTGCAGCGAGGACGGTGGCTCCGAAGAAGAGCATTGTCATGGGAATGGTTTCTTTGAACGCCGATTGCGCATCGTAGCCAGTGGCGTCCACATCGGGTCGAGCAGATTCGGACTTGTGCGCGCCCAACGTCATTCCGAGAGAGGTTTTGGCGAGGGCGGAGACGTCGGTTTGGGCAGTTCGCTCTGCTTTGCCAGACGAGGCAGTGCTGATGACGGAGTTTCGCTTGTTGGCGGAGGCCTTCTCCGATTCTGGAACAGCGAACCCATCAATCCGTGAGGGACTGGCCTGCAGGTAGGAAAGGTCAGCTTTGTCGGCGTTGGCCATCTGCGGTCGAGCAGGAAGGGGTGGGACTGGTGGGATGGAACGGTCGGACGCGGACGAGAAGCGTTTGGAACGTTGTTGACCGTGCTCGTCCTGGACGTGCAACGACTCCTCAGCATCATCATCTTGGGCTATCGACTGCCTCTTGCCGTTACCAAAGCTAGGTTTGCGCAACCGTGATCGAATGGAGCCGAAGCTAGGTCGACGGCTCGACAGGCTTTTACGAGGGGAAGGCTCGAGATCCGACATGACTGCAAGTGTGCGGGATGCAATCTTTGTGACGGAGCCGCAGACCGCTTCTTGTATGTGATTCGGATGTGTTCGTTTCCAACTGGACCGTGTTTCGTTTATCGATACCTCCACGGGCCGCTATGGAGGTGCGAGCAAGCCAGGTGCTGAATCGGCCAGCTCGACACTCGAGGTGTTGTCTTCGATGAGGCGGTGGTGGAAGTGAGGTGAAGGGAAGCGTTGATAGAGAGCCTGAGATGTAGTGACCAACCCACAACTGCCAGGTGGGTCCGGCTGAAGCTTTAGCAGGTTGTCAACGACTTGAGACTGCTGTCGGCCCGGGTTGCTGGCTCGGTAAGGGCTGAGTGAAGGGCGTGCGCATCAAGGTCAAAAGTGTTGAACACGCAGCGTGACAGCCATCCCAATCCTGCTATCGGTACGTTCTTCGCAAAACCCTCTCGCCTAAAGTCGCCAGCAACTTGGTGCGCGGTCATTCGGGAAGCATACCTCGTGCAGCAATGTAGCAGGACGCAGGACACAGCCTAGCACGGCACAGCTTTATTTCTTGTGTTGCCCACATGCCGAACCATGTTCCTTGTCGGCTGTGCCAAAATTGACAGTTGCTCTGTTTTTTCGATGCGTTTCCCACAGAATTACGTCAATCGACCTGTAGCGTGCAGCATCCATTTTAGCGCTTTAGCACGCACAGGCCACTGGAGGAGCGCACGAGTTGACGGGTAGCCAGATCTTGTTAGATTCTGAAACAGCCAAGATGCTTCCTCTCACGTCGTTCCACTTGCAGGCATCCCATCGCTTCCGACAGATCGTCGGAGGGAGAAACGGTGATGCCGATGAAAAGGACGTGAGCGTAGGGTCGGAATCAGTCTGGTGGCCTAGTAATGACGGCCGAACATGCCTGTCACGAAGCCGAGGCGACAAAGGGTGAGCTTCTCTGAGTGACCAATGCGCGCTCCACTTCGGCTATGAAAAAAAGAAGTTCGGCGACTGGATTTTGGAGTCAGGCTGTAGAAGAAGATTGGATTGCCGTTGCTCATCATATGACAGGCTCCCTCCATGCCATTTTCGACCACGAGTTCGGCAAACTCACTGCGAAGGTCCCCGTCCTCGTTTGCTCCCTGCGTCCCCATGGTCTGAACTTTACAGTCGTGATGCTATGTAGGATGCAACAGGCTTGCGCGAGAGGCCCGCAACGGAAATCCTGTCTCGCTCTGCAGTGTTGATCCTTATACCTCACCGAGCCGCCTAATTCCGGTCCATGAACTGCCTGACGGCAGGCTTCTTCAGCCTGGGATGCCGCCGAACGTCTTGCATGATGGATGGACCGTGCCCGTTGTGCCACACTGTGAAGTAAAACACTTTCCCCGCATGAAAGATCACCAACGCCTCTGCCACATATAAGGTCGACACTTCCTCGTTCCTTTTCTACACACCCTCTCTCCACTCTTTTGCACCGTTGTCCAAGAGATAAAAATGTCGGCTCAATACACTCTCTACTCTCACCGTGGTCCTGGACCTAACCCTCTCAAGGCGGCCGCCTTGATGGAGTTCCTCGGCGTCACCTACGACGTCGTCCCTCTTGACTTTGGTGATGACCCGGAGAAGGGTGTCAAGGGCGCCAAGTTCCTCAAGGTCAACCCTAACGGTCGAGTTCCATGCCTCGTCTCCAACGACAGCGATGGCTTTGCGGTATGGGAAAGCGGAGCAATTCTCTACTACCTTTGCGACAAGCACGACAAGGAGGGTCGATTCCTCGGCAAGACCCCTGAAGAAAGAGCCATCGTGATGCAATGGCTGACGCATCAGCTGTCCGGCCTCGGTCCCACTCAAGTTCGTAGATACATACACTCCATAGATGCAGCATGCCATGTTTGGTGGTGTTATAGAGGAGAGGAGCATGGTCTCAACTTCTTCGCGGACAAAATGCGATCAATCAATACCATGCAATCGCGTTCGCGTCATTTTCGATATTTGTCCGCTGACCAGCTTTCGCTTCCTTTTCGCTTTTTCTCTTCCCACAGGGCAACGTCAACTACTTGCACCACTACTGGACCGGAACCTACGGCGAGAAGCCTCAGAAGTCGGCCTTCACGCGTTTCGAAGGCGAGACCGCTCGTCTCTACCAGGTTCTCGAAGATCAGCTGAACAAGCAGCAGCAGCGTGGCTCGAGCTTCGTCGCTTTGGACCGTCCCACCATCGCCGACTTTGCCTTTTGGTCCTGGGTCCGCATCGCCGGCTTCGGCAACATCGACCTCTCCCCGTACCCCGCTGTTCAGAAGTGGTGTGCCACCATCGAGAACGATGCCAAGTCGCAGGCCGCTATTAACAAGCTCCCCATCAAGTAAAGTCGCAGTCTCTTGGAGGAATTGAGAAACAAGCCTGTCAGACCGGATCACTCATTGGTCCGACGAGAACGAACATCTTGTAGATTCGTCTGATCGGTGAAGCACGCAGGCGCTATCAATGCAACCATCGATTCAATCTGGCCCTGCTTGTTTGCTCTTCGTTTGCCACTGATAGAAAAGGTCGACTTGTTCCTCGCACACGGCTTGAGATGTGAGAGACTGGCCTCCCCCACACCGGCAAGGCCCCGTTGACGCGGTCCAATGCGTGTCTTGGGGAGGTAGCCTCTCACACCACAAGCCGTGTGAGAGGAGCAAGTCGTCGCCGTCACAGGCGGACGAATGGTTTATTGTGTTATGTCGACAGTTGTTTTCAAATTTGGAAAAGCGACTTCGGCTAACCGATCGAGGCACCCAAGACCTCACCGTCGATCCGATTCACAACGACCGGAACATCAACGACATCGTCCTTAACCGCTGATGATCGAACTAGCAGATCGACCATCGGGCAATGCAATTGCGATAGCGACGGGCAAGACGATGTTCGTGAGCTCCACACACGATAGCTTGTAGCTGAGTCACGCGGTCTTTCTCTGCAATGGCTCAAGCGAAAACATTCCGCAGTGTTGAACAGTGACGTGGTTATCTACGTCGAGAGAGGAGTATCGAAGACTTTGCCGCTTCTGGGCCGGCTCTTTCCATGATCACCTAATGGAGCGGTCCCGGTGTTGGCTTGGCGAGAGAGGGATGGTCGTGTGGCTTTGACGTCCGGTTCTGCAGCCGCTACGTCTGCGACACCGTAGCCGAGGTCGAAAGATCGGCTTTGCTAAGCCTTCAGGGTCCACGCCAATTGTACCCTTCCGTTACGATTCTTCTTGTTCGTCCTCAACCTGTTGACCTATCGCCTCAATGCAAGCGAGGATGCAATTGTTTAGGAAGGTGTAGATTCTTCTTTGACATCGTGACCTCGATCCTGTGACGTCGACCACTGAGCGCCGGCGTTGAGAAGTAAGATATGCCGTACACCTTGCGTAAGGGAGACATCATCGTGCCCCTCGACAGCCTATCACTGACCTCAGCCCGCTCTGTGGCTTCGACCGCGCGCTGTCCAGCCCAAGCACTGATGCATTGGGACCGTTCACATGTGAATCAGCATTCCGCCTGTCCGCATGTGTTTCCGGTGTTGCAATGCCGTGATGGAGTTGTACGCGTGTTCCACTCGTATAGCAGGGTACTCTACGCGACGAGCTTGTCGCTACTCGGCAGGTACTTGACCCTCAATGACGACGTTCTGTCCGTCGTGATGTGTGGAGGGCATAGGATCGGCATTGTACGTCGTTCTACCTCTGCCTCCTTGCGACGCATGTCATGCACCCTGTACATCTCTGGAGTGGGACCAGCTGATTGCTCGACGGCCGTCTCGAAGCTATAAAGAACCCAAGTCCAAGAACCCTATCTCGTCCTCCCCCATCAGCCCCGCTAATTCAACGCTACCAAGCACACACACTCTCTCCATCACAACTCTCTTTATCACTCACGTACAACAATGTCGGCCCAGGACGAGCAGATTCCCATCCAGGATGAGTCGGTCCAGGACACCAACGTCGACGCTCAGGCTGAGGACGAGGTCGTCTCGAGCGGATCCGAGCAGAAGCAGCTCAACTCCGAGGCTTCGGAGCTCGACACCTCCAACATCATCGATGACTCTCCCGGTGTCTCGACTCGTGGTGCCAAGGTTGACGCTCTCAAGCAGGTAAGTCATCAGCGTCCGTTGTGTATGTAGCTCACGTTGACGTGCAGCAGCTGACTAGATCTTCCTTGCTTTCCTCGCCGTTTTCCGCGTTCAAAAGGAACGCGAAATTGACCAGGCTGTTGGCGCCGCCGAGAAGGCCGACGAGTCTACCTAATGGACTCGATACTGTAGCTTGTAATTGTGCTTGTCGCACTTAATCTGGATACCAATTCTTACTTCGAAGTGCTCAGGTGTGTGCCCTTCGTTCCTTTACCATGAAATTTCAGCGTCTGTGATCATTTAGTATATGAACTTCGGCGTGGCTCGACCCTGGTGTTGAAGACCTAGGCCAAATCCAGCTCGCAAAACCGGTCCATTCATACAGTCATCCGGCCGATCGAGCGGAACACATGAAGGGAAGGCAGCGAGGCGACCACGAAATCGGAGTCAAATGAGTTGCATTCAGCGTCGGCGATGCGGCAACATGTATGTATTATGCGAATGGTGAGTGTCGGAAGGTCCGTTTAGTGGTGACCGGCGTGCTCGTCGCCCTCGAAGTCCATCTCGTAGACTGTAGTGTAGGAAATATGGAGAAGCGATTCAATGCGAGTGTTAGAATATCGACGGCCTCAGAGCAAGCTGCTTTCCGAATGCTGTAGAGACTTACCACTTCCGCACTCGGGGCATCGGTGGTGCTTGAGCTGGTTGTTGAGGTGAAGGTAGATGGTGTCGTGCGAGTCGGCGGGATAACCGGTGCATCCGACGATTCGGGTAGGCCACTGTTCGAAGAACAGAAGATAGGCGGGTCGCAGCAATTGAACGAGGGTCAGCAAAGGTCGAATGATGAACAGCGAGACTGCCTATGATCGTATCGTTCGAGCTCCGCTGTGGGAAATAGCAACACACGCCGACACGGCAACGCCTGTTCCTGCCTGCTAGATTGGTGTCGCGTTTCAATCGGAACCACCCATGATTGCCCCTTCGACGCAATGTCGTACATGCTTCCTCCGGCTCTCCATCACGGCGCTGCGCCGTAATCAATATATCCTATGCCGTCCTCGTGCAGATCATCGCGCAAAAACTTACGTAGCTCTTAACCTTGATGGGGTTCTGAGTGGTACCCAGGTGGGTCATCTGCAAGGGCTCCATGTCGAACACCTCCACGCCCTGAAGCTTTCCGAGCAGCTCAAAGCGCTCGAGACCGGTAGCTTGCTGCTCGTCGGTGGGGATCTCACCGTCCTTGGCGCCCTCGCCCTGGATGACGGGAGGTCCGGCAGCGAATCGGAGTGCAGACGAGGTGAAAAGTCGCGAGGCCGAGTTGACGGGAGTGGGAGCCACGCGCAGAGCGGCGGGCACGCGGGCGACGAGGCGGCGTGCGGCAAAGAGCATGTTGGGCAAATGACCAGAATAAGGAAGAGGTGACGTGATGGTGACGGTAAAGAATCAGCGTTGCAAGATATCGACCAGAAAATGTCGAACGAGACGAGGTTGCAACTGAGAGACAGATACAGCCCCGATGGCTCTTTCCTTTCTCGCCCTTGATCTTCCGACTTGCGAAGATGCAAACACAGCGACGTTCAAACCGCCAGCCCGTGTCCTTTTCACAATTTGATGCCGAAATTCTCGCGCGAATCAGGCTCGTCTCGGGTCCGACCAGGAACATATTTTTGCTCACTTCAACTTTTGGTTAAGCGTCGACGTAACATTCATAAAAAGTCTCGCTATTTTGGCCGGTGTTTTACCCCGCAAAAAGTGGACCCGTTCGCGTTAGCCGGTACATGTAGAGACCCTCGCGTGTTGCTACCAGCGAGAGAGTGTAAGTCTCAAGTGGCCAAGGCGTCGGTCAAGCCGAGAGCGCTTCATAAAATGTTAAGCAGAACAGAGCTATGCCGGTCAGTCCGCAGCTGTTGCCCCACTCGGTCACGTACCATTGACGTGGGGCGCGAAACATTGGCCCGAAAGGAGCACATGTCGGAGCGCTCAATTCTGTTTCCGTACCGAGATCAGGGATCAGAAGCCTGAGGAGGATGTCATTGGGCTCGGCTGCATACCTGTCTCCACCATCTTGATTCCATCCGGTCCATTCAAAGATTGCTGCCGGCGCCACTACACTCGAGCAGATCGCGACCGAAGCGAATTTGGTCCCTCGCCGTTACCATGCCACCCCGCTCGTTTATTCAAGCTCGCGCCCTGTCAGTAGGGCCCTTCACCTTTCAAAACTCAGCTCGTAGGCAGGTACGACTAGCTTCCAGCCTGACCTCTGCCTATCAGCTGCACCCAACAAAGAAGGATGAAAGCGGAACACTGCTCTCGCGAGTCTCTGGACCCATCGACAAGCCGCTCTGCGAGCTGTCGCTCGGCGAGTTCTGGGAGAAGGCAGCGACAAATTACGCCGATCGACCGGCATTGATATCCAAGCATGAGCCTGCAACACAGCACGCAAAATCATCGTCCGAATCGAGCGACTGCATTCGTTGGTCGTACGGCGCCATGAATGAGCATGTACAGAGCTTAGTCGCTGGGTTGCACGAGCTCGGCGTACGGAAAGGCGACCGCGTAGCCGTTCTCATGATGTAAGTTCCGTCGATGCGCGGAGACGCAAGCCCAGAAGCTGACGCGATCCTGACCTTACCTCACTCCGTCTCAAACAGGAACTGCTCTGCCTACGGAGCGCTGCAGTGGGCATGTGCACAAATCGGAGCAGTGCTCGTCACTCTGAACCCTGCCTATAGCACTTCCGAGCTCCGGCGGGCCATCAATCTCGTCGAAGCCACCTCACTGTTCATGGTGCCGTCTCTTCGCGGAACCAACTACCTCGACTCGCTCCTCGAGCTCCTGCCCTCCCTCTCTAGCAAAGCCTCCACCTCCGGCGATCCGACAATTCTCCAAGACGAGTCGCTCCCGAGCTTGAAACGAATCGTGATGCTAGACAACCTTGACAACAGGCCGAGACACTGGGAGAGCAACAGTGTGCTGGCACAGCAAGGAAAGGACTTCGGCCACGCCATGTCTGCACTCAACCATCGTGCAATTGACTATCGCGAGCTTTTGCTCTCCTCCAGCAAAGCAAATGTGACCCCCGAGGTGTTGAACACGGATGTCATCAATCTGCAGCTCACCTCGGGCACTACAGGCAAGCCCAAGGCTGTTGCTCTCACGTCTCGGAATCTTCTCAATAATGGCATCGCAATCGGTGACAATCTCAGATTCACAGAAATCGACAAGCTATGCAACATTCCGCCGCTGTTCCGTGAGTAGTCGCGCAGCCTTGAAGGCCCGTAATAAGTCGGAGCTATGTCGACGTCGTTGCTGACTTTTTGTTCCACATCGACTTTTTGACATGTCAGACTGCTTTGGACTGGTGCTCGGCAACCTAGCCGCCTGGACACACGGAGCTTCCGTCGTCTACGCGGCAGAAGGCTTCGACCCTCTGAGGTCTCTACGTGCCGTCTCTGAGGAGCGCTGCACGGCCATGCATGGCGTGCCGACCCATTTCATCTCTGAGCTCGAGCTTCTTGAATCGGCCAGAGAGCACGCCCAAGATCCCGCCCGTCATCCCTTGCCCCAAGGCATGCAGGAGGGCGAAACCTTCGATTTTTCATCTCTACGGACTGGTCTGACGAGGTGAGTAGAGCCTGCATCGCTTTGGTGCATCCCGGCTTTTCTGACGTTTACATTCTTACTAATTCTCTTTTTGCTTGGCGCGATGCAGCGGATCGACGGTGCCCATCGCCTTGATGGAAGCGCTGGTGAGTCCAGGTAAGCTGGGCCTCCGCGATCAAACGGTGGTGTACGGAATGACCGAGACTTCGCCGGTCACTTTTGGATGTGGTGGGTCTCACTGAAAGGTGCATGAGCGACGTCGAGATGGCCAATTTTCGTTGACAATCAACCTTGTTCGGCAACGTCCGAAATCTTGTTGCTGCAGATGTCGACGCACCCATTGTGAGGAGATGCGAGACCGTCGGCAGAGTCTATCCGCATGTGCATGCCAAGATCGTTTCTCCTGACGACTCTTCGGGCCAGCCTCTGCCGGTCGGACAGCCAGGAGAGCTCTGTGTAAGTTTGTCCGCTTCTCATCTGCTCGTCAGATTCAAGAACCCTGGATGCACGTATCGATGCTGACGATCCGTCCCTTCCGCACACAATTGTGATCATCAGACCGCCGGGTACGTCGTCATGCAGGGCTACTGGAAGGACCCTCAAAGAACAGATGAGGCGATGGAGCGGCATCCGGACGAGCCCGACATCGTCTGGATGCGAACAGGCGACATCGGTATCATGGACGAAGAGGGCTACGTGCGTATCGTTGGGCGTTCCAAGGATGTGATCATACGGGGAGGTGAGTGCTGATCCCAGTCTCGACCAAGGGTTCGCATGGCTGAAGGAGGAATTGACCCGTGCATCTCTCGTCTACTACTCTCTCGCACGTCATCTGCTTTCCGTTCATGAAGGCGAGAACCTCTTCCCACCCAACATCGAGAAGTAAGTTCATCCCTCTGGCTCCTCGTTTCCTGCCTCCGCCCATGGGCGCTTCGCGCGCCAACGCGGAGTCGGGGCGAGCATCTCCGACCAATCACAGGCTGACACTCCTCGAATTCATTTCGGCTTCGTAACCAACCCCAGTTGCATAGATCGCATGGAAGGAATCGCTACGAACGCTGTCATTGCCGTGCCAGATGAGAAGTACGGAGAGGTGAGTAATCGATGAACTCGCCAAACGCAATTGAAGGATTCGCGGATGGCATTTTAACGCGCAATGCCATCTTTCTCTTTATATCGAAACTTCTTACAGGCTGTTGGCGTGTTCGTCGCAAGATCGCACACAGAGGCACACGTAACACCCGCAGAGATTCGAGCCTACGTCAAGAAGCATGTTGGCGGACAGAGTGCGCCAGCCTGGGTCTGGTTTCTTGGCGAGCAAGGCGTACCCACCGAGTTCCCAAAGACAGCCTCTGGCAAGATTCAAAAGGTGCGTTCTGAAATGTGATGGCAGAGGTAGTTCTTTGCGAGACGACGTCGTAGCGATGGGAATTTTGCACTGACTCTGCGTTGCTTCGCTTTGCTTTCGGTCCACCGCGTCGGCTGGACTGCCAACCTTAACTCCCTACCTCTATTCCTAACCTTGACTTTGTCCTTGGAATGTCCCTCCGACTTTGTCACTCCTCGACCATGTTCTCGTCACCATCACAATTCTTCCTGACTCAGGTCATTCTCCGCGATTGGGCTAAGGATCTGGCCGAAAAGAACCAGGGCAAAGTCGACAAGGTTTAGCACGAATCAAGTGCTTCCTCGCGGCCGGTCATTTGTACCACCTAGCAAGACATCGCCTTTTCGTCCTTCAATCAAGTCCTTGCGCCGCATGTGCTCAACTTTATGCAGGATGTACGACGCTCTTCATCATCTCCGTGTCCTTTCTATCGACTGAACAGTATGCGCAAGTTAGCGCAATCAGCTTGCCGTCGTCTTTGTTCTACCGCCATGATGGCTCGGACCATGTTGGACCAGATTCCTCCCGCCCACGGAGCTGAGCCGTCTTTCATCTGCAAGGCGGATATGACCTCAGTCGTGGCTACTGCCAAGCCATCGATCTTTTGTCACTGTGACAACGAGCAGCCCGTTACCACTTTCAGGATGCATCCCGGCACCATGCCGCTGCTTAGCGGGGGCACTCTGCTCTGCACCATTTTGGCGGCTTCCTATTCGACGCTGCCCCACGTTTTTGCTGCAGTGTGAGCTTCGGGACGAGGTCGTCAGTGTTTCCTACCTTGGGTCTGAGACCACAGTGCTGCTTTGAACTCCACCACCTTGTCGCTGTCTCGGTCTCTCTCATGCATATGTCGTACTTCAAGATCAAATATCAGGCGCCCGCCATCTTGGTCTTTCCTCGAATTGCCCCTCTGTCGATCCAGCTCTCAACGAAACAGCTCGTCGTGCGTCGAACATCAATGGGCTTCGTCGCCCTTTAGGTCACAACAATAATCGGACGCACCCATCGCATCCGAAATCGCGGAACAAGCTCGACCACCATGTCTAGCTCAGAGGGCCGCCGCGCATGTAAATTTTGGTAAGCAGTCGAGCATACTAAGAAAGGTGATGTGCTTAGGAACGTCGCAAGCTGACGCATGTCTATCGCTCTCTCACATCGCTTGTCGGGTGCAGCCGTGGAAGGAAGATGAAGTGAGTGTCTATTACCCTCAGAACGATGGCACTGTTTACACATTCTTGCTTACTGACTCGTTCACCAGCGGGCTTGGTGTCGACTGTTGCACGGTAAAGATGTTCGGGCGTAAGTGCAATGGCCGTTCCATGCTTACTCTGCACGCTACTCACTGACTTGACTGAATTTGTAACGTCATGGCTGGGCTGCAGCAACGACCTTGGTGCAAGACCTGCAAAGAGAAAAACAAGCCATGTGAGTCAATGTTCGCTGCTCATACACTGTGGCAGAGGATCCAGCTCGACCGATCTCTCCTTCCTCAACGACTTTTGCACAGGTATCTACGACAATGGCGCAGTCAACGTCAGAAAGCAGGATGCGGATGCCCAGCTTGCCGTGAAACGGACCTCTCCCAGCTTTCCCGTTGCGATTTCTGGTGGCGATGTCACCTTGTACCATGATCTCGTTGTGCTCTTCGCAGTGAGTCGTTGCTTTGTAGCGAAAGGCCCTGAAATGCAAAGACTACTGACCTCAAAACTCACGTTTTCTCATCGCCTCAGACCCAATGGGACGTAGATGCTGGAAGCTTCGGAACAGCGGGAAACCCATCGGGATCCGGATATCAACAGCAAACGTTTGCAATCGATGTGAGTTGTCGTGGCCACATCCGATGCTTGACACATTGAACATGGATTTACCCTCAGCTTCGACGTTTCGCATCCACCAGTATAAGCGTGGTCTCTCACAGATCTTGAAAATGATCGTCGATTCGCTGGTAAGGCCTCTGTGGCTCTTTCACGACCATTCTGTTTGAACATGAACATACTCACCGCCATGACGGCATCGATCTTGACAGGTGGTGAAATCTTTGCCCTTCGGACAACGTCTTCAAGTCATTTCAACTTCCCGGGACGGCTTTCAACTTCCTTGTCCTACTATCACACGTGCCGACAAATTTCAACAGTGAGTAAAATGTCAGCGGCTTGGAATCACCCACTCATCTCATCCATCTGACGTTTCCCCTATCTCGAATCGCTCGACAACGTTACAGCTACACGCAGGCACGCGTCCGTGCTTACGCCGAGGATGAGCTCCTGAGGCACGCCCAGCTCCATGACCTTGCCTTCAACAGCCACCCATTCCTGTCGCTGATCGTATGCCGGACCATTTTCGTCGGAGACGTCGAAGAGAAGGCGCATGACAAGCTGCTCTACGATGCTGTTCTGATTGCTGGACTTGGGATCAAGCGATCCCTTGCGCAGAACCTGTGGTACGCTCAGACACAGCCTCACGGTTTGCCGGACTTGGACAAGCTCGTCAAGACGACTACCTGCACACTGTACGGCAGCAAACTAGGCTCGCTCAAGGCTGCTAGCCTCCACAAGTTTGCACAGTGCATGATGATACTCGCGTGGCACGAGCTCACACTGGGTCTTCTCAGGTAAGTTTGGGGTCGTCGTCAGGGGTCGGTCGATATATGCCCACATCAGCCGTTGATCCTCTTCGCGTCTTATTGCTTTTCACACGGTGACAGACGCGCAGCTACGTGGTGGACCAGCGTCTGCGGGCTCATCCTCAGGATTCGGGATCTGAGGGAGCAAGAGGAGATCGCCGCAGAGTTCCAAATCAACGGCATCCACATGCACCTCGTCATTAGAGAAGAGCTCGATAATATGCAGACAATCGCCCAACTCGTCCTTCTTTGGCTCGAACTGCATTTGGCTCCTATCCCCGCAAATACTTCGATCTTGGTGGATGCAAATATCTCGCAACCACAGGAGAATTCTTTCTCGTGGATCTCGGAACTCGATCACGCAAGTGGAAAGTTCTCGGCCGCCGAGGCTCACAAAAAGTCCTGGACACTTCTATGCAGCATCAGCCGAGTTCTTGGTAGCCTAGCGGAAAGCGTCACCGACTTCAAGATTACAAACCGGCTCATCGACACGCGTATGCTTCCCGGAACGGCAAACGACGATGCGACATTCAAAGTGTTTACGACCTTACCGCTCGCAAGAGCTACGCAGGCAGACCCTGGCGCAGCAGCATCTGCAGGTGATTTCATGGCCGCTGCTCTGATCTCTCTGACTGGACTGCTCGCCTGTTTTCATGCTGGATCCACTAGCACTTCTGTCAGCGCGCAAGGCGTTGCCAACATCGTCAGAGCGTGCGCTGCCATCACTCTTCAGCTTCGAAGCGCTTTCGGCGACCCGCAGCCCCAATTTGGCCCGGACCGAGCTTCTGATAGCATCGCTATTTGTCGTCCGTCGGTCAGTGCGTCCTGCTTTGTCGACACGCTGGATGGCAGCTGCATTGTACTGACAGTGATTGAGACGATTGCGCTCTCCTTCGAGCACTTGCTGACGCAGGCGAACATTCGACTAGCCTCTGACTCGGAAGGGTCCAGGGAAGCAATCATCTTGTCACAAGAAGCCCAACGAACCGTTAGAGAAAAGCTGGGAAGCATTCTGGGTATCATCAGCACTATCACGGAATTCTTCGATAACATTCCCAAGCAGGGAAAGAGGCCGGTTCAAATGTCACGAATGCTAGGCCGCATGCAAGACCAAATCGAGATGCTCGGAGTGCAACCGGATGTCTCCTTCGCTTTTGATGTTGCTTTTGGCCAAAGCGAATACGAGGCTTGGCGTGGAGGTGACTTAGACCTCAAAAGGGATTCTGTTCTGCAGATGAGACCTCACGAGATAGTCTCGCACCCCTCCACAGCACTGGCAACCGGACTTTCAAGATCTGAAGGCATGGCGCAGTGTCCATCCTATCTCACAGTGGGTCCGCAGCTGCCTATGTCTCTGCACATCGCACCCCCAGCATCTCCATACGACCATCCGAATACGGCGAACCCGGAAAAGAGACCAATTATTCACGGACCCGGCCCTATCACGACGACAAGGCATGAACCTCCGGAAGTTCTCGGCCCGCTTCCCCGGGCCGCTCACGAAGTCGAAGGCTTTACTGTCAAAAACGATTGTTCCGTTATGCTTGGGCAAGCCACTCATGCGTGGAGGCAGCAGAGCTACAGCGAGGACTCGACAGCGATGGTCTCATCCTCCCATGGAGAGGCTCAAGTTAACTTTGACGACAAATCTCGCAGGTGCACGATGCAGACGGCACCTTTCGGCGAGAGCATGTTACGACAAACACAGCCTGAATCAATGGAGAAAACCTATCTTCGTCAATTGCAACCGCAGCCGCAACCGTGGTCGACTGGCGGAGCCTACTCGTCGACCGTGCTGGGATTTCGTCCCGCATACGCCGGACTAGAGCCGAGCCTTCGTCCAGCAGCACAATCGATGCCCGTTTCCCGCTGTTCGGGTCGTTCTGAAGTTCACCGCCTGGCAGCAGAGTCGTTCTATCAAGGATCCGGCTCCGGCTCATCGATCGACGAAAGGCCCAACAAGCGCGCTCGCATCGATCTACCCGGTTGTGATTGGACAAGCTCAATCAACAAGACGAGGCTTCTTTACCTCGACGAGGCGACATCCTCCACGAATCCCTTCTTGCGGTCAACTGCGCATATACACGGCCATCACTCACCGGCGATGGCAGCGTTGGTTTCCATCAAAGGCGTCCAACCTCTTACCGACGAGACCTATCTAGGTGGAAGGACGAGCGCGCAGTCATCCGAATTGGAAGGAGACGGCACAAGCAATGGAAGATTGAGCATGGACTCGGAGTCAAGCTTGAGCTCCCTAAGCGACGATGAAGATGACGATGAAGACAAAAGTGGGGATGGAGTCGACGAGTACGGGGAGGAAGACCGAGACAGAGATCGATTTTAGATCAGGGACAAAGGGTAGAGATGGTACGACAGCGAGGGAGATGCAGCTTTCGAATATGATTGGGCCAGGCTACGAAGGGCTGCATCAATGGTCGACGTCACAGCTAGCTCAGCGTATTTCAATAACACAACGTGCTGCGGAAGCAAATGCTGTACTCAAAGCCGATCATCATCGAGCATGTTTGTCGCTGATCTTTCGCCGACGCGACCAAGAAGGTCACAGCACGTTATCGAGATTGGCTCGGAAGCATTTGACCGAGCAAACTCATGTTAAGCGCACACCGGGCTGCATTTGTGTGCAACGATTGTGGGTCGCAAAGTCTCCACGACCAACGTGTTGACAAGACGGGGATTTGGCGGAGAGAGGTTGATGCTAGCTGACATCGGCAATCTCTGCTTGTTGCCAACCGCGTGGGTAAAGGAGGCACCTGAGCAGTGTACAGACTCAGATGCGCGACCTGCAAAAGATTTCGGAAATCTCTTTCTTTTTTGACCTCGCATCGACGTTTTTGCGCTTGACCTTTCTTCGGAGTGTGGGGGAAGGCGCTGGAGGACAAAAAAGACTTTGCAGCACCCCTGCTCTCGGGTGCATTCGATCCGAGAGCGCATGGCAGCCCCGTTGACCGGTCAACGAGCTGACCCCTGTCGAGCCCGCGTGCTCTCACGCTAACGCCGCCCGTCCTTCCAGCTTTCGGTGCTCTTCGGCGTTCTGCCAATGCCAGCAGTATGATGAGTGGCGCTTCTTGTCTTCTAACTGCAGCTGGCCTGCTGCGGATACTCCGCAAATGTGGACCCTTGTTCCGCTGGGGTGGCGGCCCAGCCGAGCAAATGGGGGCAAGAGGTCAAGCGCAAAGCCGCGAACAAAATAATAGAAATTGGCGGAATCTCATACAACGCTCCGGAGCATACCCAGGCCAAGTAGTGGGGTGTCTAGCGTCGTTTGTCGTTCACCCTTAGTAAAGAGCTGAGAGCGCAAGGAGCGACGACGCTACAGAAAGGGCGATAAAGCCCGTAGCGTTGCTCACGTTGAAGTCCGGCAATGGAGCCGCAGTTGCATGAGCAGATCCTCCGCTCTGAAACGCAATTCGCCTTGCGGGTCGGGGCAGGACCCTGCGGTTAGAGAAAGGAAGAGCGAAGTGCCGCCGTAGCCGACTTCAGTACGGCTTTGTGTGTTTCAACAGTCCTTCTCCTGGTCGGCTGCCGACCCCACAACGTTTTCTCCTTGCCCGGACCCCTCTTCTCGCATCTTCCGCTGCGAATGATCTTGCTCCATCACCACCATCCTCTTCCTTCCTTCCCACGCTTGCTTACGCCGTTCCACTGGAGTTAAAGAAGTTGTCAGATTTCACTGCAGCTGCATTTCGATTGACTTTCGGCAACGCCGCTCGAGCGCTTGAGGCGAGCCGCCTTGTTCCTTCCCCTTGCCGGGCGTCACCAACCGCATCACCGCCCATCGGATTCCGTCCGACGACGAAAGGTTCGCGCTCTGAAAGCACGCCTTTCATCGACCCGCTCAAGAACACTGCAACCAATTTCACAACGTCACACGCTCGCTCTCATCACACACCGTCAAGCCTCAAGCCACATTTCATCTTCCTTGACGTGCCGCCAGCGCACCATCACCTTGGCTTGACTGCATTCTACAGCGACAAACTTGGCGCCTCTCCACCTTCCTCGACTCGATCTAGCTTTCCCCAGCTCTTGAGGCTCAGCGTCGAGCCAGATGTCTGTCCCTTGACCTTTCGACGGCCAAGTAACTGCCACCAGCCCTTCAAAGCTCCCGCTTGATATCCATTGGCTCGGATATCATCCTGCATCCTCCGACGTAGGTCCCGTTCTCGGCAGGAACGCATGCGAAAACCATCGCGAGGTCTCGACACCCGCTTCCCATCTTCACTGACGACCAACCACGCTCCTACGGCCCTACTTGTTAATCTACGTGAGCATTTCCGACCATGACATCGTCCGCCATGATGGCTGCTGCCGAAACGCTGGCTTCTGTCGCATCCGCCGGTCCTTCGAGTCCAGCCAAGGAAAGAGCGTCCTCCAAGTCGCAATCGAGGAAGTCAGATGCTGCCGCAGCGGACTCGGAGCCCAAAAAGCGCACTCGTCCCGTTAGTGCATGCGAAGCATGCCGTGCCAAGAAGGTGCGTTGCTTGCTTTCTCCCGATGCGCCTGTCTGCCAGAACTGTCTGGCTTCTGGCAAGCAGTGTCTCTTCAGAGTCGACGATCTCGCTCCTGCACTTAGGGCAGCTCGTTTTGCCCATTGCGGTCCCCCGAGCGCCAATGCGAGAACCATTGCATCAAAAAAGGGCTCCAATTCCACGCCTCGGAAGTCACACGACGATGCCGACGAATCATCAAGGCCAAAACCACCCAAGCGAAAGAAGTCGGACGTCGAAAGCGAAGCATCTGATTCAAAGGACAACACTCAAGACGCTGCTTCTGTTTCCGCCTCGAAACCAAAAGCAAAAGCTGTCTTTCGCTCCTTTGCCAACCCCAACAAGTTGGCAGCACCTCTGCCTATCCCAGCTACGCCGACCTATATTAAGAGGGCCTCCTCGCCACCTACCATCATGGCCTCACCGCCATCAAAGGGCGCACCTGCTCACTTTTCCAGAATGTCGTCTTCATCCTCTTCGACATCCAGACGTCGATCAGATTCCGCCTCGACACGCAACGAGTTCTTCGACAGAGAGTCTGGCATCCCCGCCTCCTCGAAGCACAGATTCAGCCATCCAACAATGGGAGACCAACATGGCGCATACCTAGAAGCGTTCGCGCAATCTCACGACCCGTCACATTACGGCCATGCCGTGGACGTTGCGCCAGCCTCTGGGCCTGGCTCGGCAGGCGCAGCCTCCTTCTTCTTGCAGCAGCAGTCGCCCAGCGACAGCAGCGTGTTTTCCAATAGATCCGGCCGCTCTGCCACCATGTACGCCGCACCAAGGCCATTCAACCCACGTCCCACGGATGACTTTCGCCCTCGACGCAAGTTGTCTGCCGCTAGCCCTCCGAAGGTGCTCAATCAGCCGGTCGACCCCATGTCCTTGGAATACTACGGTCATCCTTCCGATCCGTCGTCTGTCCACAAGCACGAAGCGCCGCATAGGCCCTCGTTTGACCACCGCGCTTCCAACAATGTGACAGAAACCCATCATCGCGACGTTTCTGCAGAGCTTCGTGACGGCATCGAAAAGTGGCAACGTGATGGCGCTGCTAGAACGGACAACGCGCCCGAGGTCACGATCCAGGCGCAGGAAGAGCCGATGCCTCAATCGCGCCCAAAGATTGTCCTGCCCTTCTTCCGTTGGTTCGGCACGACCGCAAACACGCCTGGTTATCGCAAGATCAAAGTCGGCGTACTGCAGGATTCAGAGGTGCCTGGCACGGACGAGCTGGCACCGGCCTTGGGAGCCGACGACGATAATCCCGAGAATGCGGCGAGTTTCGGATTCACCGTTCGCGACGAGGACCAACACCCTTCTCGAACGCCAGGCAACGCGCTGGACGAGTCTGTGCTTTCGCCGCATCCTGCACAGCTGGCGAGTCCCAGCGCTCGACTGGAGAACAAGGCATCTTCTTCGGTAACGCGCGAGCTCTTCGAGATCAATCGTCCTCGCTATCCGAGGAAGGACATCCTCGAGCACCTCGTGACGCTCTTTCTCACCCATTTCAAGCCGTCGTGGTGTCCCTGGATGGAAGCAGACGAGCTCAGGAACGGTGTAGCGAATGGATCCATGCCCGCCATCCTCGCCAATGCCGTATGTGCTGTTGCAGCTCGCTTTTCGAACCGACCCGAGCTGCGCAAAGCTCCGCGGAAGTCGTCGGGCGACCCGTTCAGCGAGATGGCCAAGATTCTCATTATCCCTCTGCTTTCCTTCCCTTCGATTGAGGTGATTGAGGCTCTCATCCTCCTCAGCTACTCAGAGTTCGCAGCCGGCAGCGACTCTGGTCTGTGGATGTACGTGGGTATGGCGCTGAGGATGGCACAGGATCTTGGACTGCAGCACGAGGTCAGTATCCAGAGCATTTCCAACGAAAAGCACCAGGAAAAGGCTCGTCTGCTGTTTTGGGCCGTCATCGGACTCGATCGCATCACCACCTTCGGAACCGGTCGTCCCGTCTCGATCCGAGAGAGCGAGATCGACATCGAGCTGCCGAAGCTCAGCGAGAGCAGCGACATGAAGGACGAGACCGTCGTGTTTGGGCACGTTGTTCGAATCCTCATGTTGCGCGGACGCATGGGCGAGCTGCTTAATCGTCGCGAACGCGAGGTTTCGTCCATCTCGGCGGAGACGACCAAACGCGACCTCACGCGAATGTGGTTCGAGCTGGCTCAGAGCTATTCCGACCTTCCCGCCAACCTGCACTTCAACGTGCAGACGTTCCAGAAGAGCGCTGCTCACAATCAGAGCCCAGGATTCGTGTATCTGCACGTGCTGTTCCAGTCGACCATCGGCCTGCTGGATCGACCGGCGCTCGTGAAGAATTTCACGGGCGACTCGGTGCCTCTGCTGCCGTCGTTTGCACCGGCAGCGAGTGCGTCTGCTTCCCGCACGATCGCGGACATCTTGACGCTGGGCGACGCTTTCGACGATCGAAGCATCACCGCCTCGCCGTACTTGGATCAGCTGGTCTTACCGGCGGGAAGATCATTCGTCGCGGAAAGGCAAGCGGCACGCGAGGCGTTGCGCAGCATGGGTCACGGAACGACACCTGCGCCCTCACGACCTCCCTCACGAGGCGCAGCGTCGAACCACCAGCAGAGCCGCACCAGCCACCTCGTCTCGACCAAATCGTACGCCGAGATCAACCTGGGCGCGTGCCAACGCATCCTGCAGAAGCTGCAGCAGTACTGGGCGGGAGCGTCGTGGCCGCTGCGTGCGTTGGAGCAGGAGGCGGCCGGCAACGGAGGCGAGATCGACCCGCAGGCTTCGGACGAAGATGCGCAGTCGGCACCCATCCGCGACATCGAGATGGTGCTCAAGTGGGCCAAGTCGCGCATCCGGAGCAAGAAGCGCTTGGCGAGGTCGTTGCAGGCTACGCCGAAGCCGGAGACCATGACGCTGTCCGAGTCGATGGAAGGCATGAACGGGATCATGACGGGCGGTACCGGGTCGGACGAGTTTGCGTCTACGCACAGTGGGGATTCGCCGTTTGGGTTGGGCATCTCGGCGGGGTTGACGTTTGATATCGACGCGTTGATGGGGAGCTGGCAGATGGACGAGTTTGATGCGCTGGGTGGGGTCGGTGCGGGTGTTGCGTCAGAGCAGGGTGGCGTGGCGGGGGATCAGCAGGGGAACGGACACACGCCGTATCCTGCCACTGGGTTTGCAGCCGGACAGATGTACTCCCCTGGAGCGGCAAGACGCACCTCGCTCTCGACGCACCTACCTCCCCCTTCCCTGCTCCCCTCTCCGCACCGCCCCCACTCCAGATCCACCTCCCTCCACGCCCCTCCCCACCACCTCCCCCCTAGCTCCCTCTCAGCACTCACAACCTACCACGCACCCACACCGGGCACGCTCGACACCAGCTCCCTGGCCATCGCCGAGTTCTTCTCGCACGACCAGAGCGTCTGGCCCCTGTCGATCCAGAACGACGACATCGACCAGGAGGCGGTGAACCTGATCGCCAGTGCGATGCAGTTGCCCAGCTACGGTGCGGCGGCCGCGGCGGGCATGGGCGGTGCAGGCGGCATGATGTGAGGATATTCCTGCAGGTGCAATCGCATGGTCAGGCGGTGAAAAGGTGTGCTTGTCGAGTGCGCGTGTGTGTATGCAGAGTTGAGCGAGGGGTGAGTGATGGCGGCTCGGTTCGCGGGTGTTGCACAGTCTTTTGATGGGCAAACGGTCTCACAGATGGACTCGATGATGGGATGAGTGTTCAATTTCGGTGACAAAGATTCAAAAGTCCATGGTACAAAAGCATTACATCGTGACACGAGAGTTCATGAATCGTTCCTGGTATCGCCCGAACCTTCGCTACCTCTGTTGTCAGGGTTAGCGACGAACAGCTGTGCACGGGGGACCAGGCCGTGCGTCACCACTTTCCGTGTGCGCGAAGCCATGGAACCTGCGGGTGAAGTCGTCCTTTCGATCGACTTTTGCACTTCACTGGCGTGGGCGATTCGATTCGATTTGACGCTGGAAAGACTTGCATTCCAGGCCGAAGTGGTTGTGTCGGCAGTGACGGATTCGAACGCTTTTACCTTGTCCTTGACGCTGCTGCTTGTGGTGGCGGTAGGTCGTTGACGTTGTGGGTTTGTTGATGGGAAGAGCGGTGAGACCATGACTGGGTTGAGTCGTGCACGCTTGGTCGTGAGTGGCGTGATGGAAGGGGTTTCCGAGACGTTGAGTTGTCGACGGACTTGCTGCGTTGGTGGTGACAGATGCGTGTTGCTCGAGACATCCTCGCCGTTCTCTTCCACAAGATCTTCCAAGCCCTTCACGGTAGGATGGAAATCTTCGGGCTTCCATACGACAGATCCAGGTGTAGACTGCGCGTCGTCACGCAGCGCTTCTGAACTGGCAATGTTGCGGGGCCGGAGCAGCGTAGGTCCACGACTGAGTGCCGCTTCACTGTCCGTATCGCTAATGGAGCTTCCTGCTCGTGTTGAGTGGGTGCGCCGACTGCTGCCCGTACGAACGCGCTGGATGACATCCATCCCGCGAAGACGCGATTCAAAGTGTGACGAAGCGCCAGTGCGTGCAGATCCAATGGTTGAGAGTGAACCGCCCTGCGAGTGTGCGCTGTATGGAGGAGCTTCTTCGCCGGTTTGAGAGCCAACACGACGGCCCATCTCGTCCAGGCCGCCAGTGTGGTTCGCTGCGCTTGAGTCGGCAAAGGGGTCCTGGGGATATGCTTCGGACACATCGCGCGAACGAGGTGATTCGGCGATTGCTACAAGACCGCTCACCGGAGGCGGCGCCGGATCCCGGATCGGGGTGTTTCCGTGTGGGTTTGCAGAGAATCGGCCGGAAGAGGATCGTTCTACGAGCGAGTTGCCCATGAATCGATCCCACCAAGTAGGACTGCGTTTCATCGTGATTTGCCCGCTCTGACGACCGTGGCTCGCGTCGGAAAAGGAGAGCATGCCAGCACTGGCTAGCATATCGTATGACTTGGAAGAGCTCGGAACGTCGCTCCTGCTGGTCGTGCTGTGCGATTGAACAGATGGTCCGGATGAGGGACCTTCATGGATGTCGAGATCGGATTTCGCGTCATCGGAGCGACCATTATCATCCCAGCTCCCCTCCAGATCTCGATTTGCCAGCTTTCCATATCCTCGTGCGGCGAATAGCCCGGTTGCAACGGCAGCAAGCATTCCTTGACCATGATTGGTGTCCTCTGGACGATCTTCGAAGGGCGAGTACATGTCGTCTTCGTTGTGGTACTCTTCTTCGTGTTGATGGCAGCCAAGATCGCCCATGGAGAGGTCTTCTTCCCCAACGTGGGCATACGAGTGCTCCCGAACGCGCCGGTCATGCCACTCTGGATCATCTGCCTCGTCCAAGTCGTGGTCGTAGGATTCATTCAAGTCACTGGCGTCGTGAGGTCGGAAGACACTGTCACCTTCGTCTGCGAGCATGTCGAAGCGAGGGCCCAGGTGCGTATCTCGTTTGCCTCGACCAGCGATGATGGCGATGCGTTCGCGGAAGTGTGGACCTGAACCTTCCATGGCATGCCCCAGGTTGGCGGCGGCCCACGGCGATCCTTCGTTGCGTCCACGCCTCCTACCGTAAGCGAGACCTCCTGTGAGCTCAGCTACGTCGTGTACGGCGCCAGCTCCGCCTGCACGATGGTATGGCCGATCATAGTCGCTCTGAGAATAGCCTTTCTCCATGAGGAGGTCGTCATCTGCCGATTCGCCTGCGCGACGGTCTCCGAAGCCGAGTAGACCGACCGAACCGTTGCCGTAGCGGCGATAATTGTTGAGAGCGCGGCGACGGTAGACGGCGTAACCGCCACCAAGGACGAGACCGACGCCTAGAAGAGCTCCTACGGCTGCGCCTGCTTTGGAACCAGCACTGCTGCCTGACCCTGCGCTATCGGTGTTGGCCGAGCCGCCGTCGCCGGGTGCGTTATTGCCGGTTGGGAAGGTTGCAGAGCCAGCATTTGTATCACTCGGAGTGCTGCTGCCGCCAGAATTTGAGTTGCTGGAAGGTGAGGAAAGATCGCCTCCGGAGCTTGAGCTCGAGCCGTTTGGCGTGGCTGATGAGCCGCTGGAGGACTCCGAAGATGGTTGCGATGAAGTTCCGGACGAAGGTGCGGTCGAGGCAGTGGACATTTGCGGGTCTGGTGTGTAGTTGGTGGCAGACCAGCTTCCGCCGGACCAGCTGCCCTTGCTTGCTGCGACGGGGGTCAGAGTGGAGGCGTCAAAGACGTGGAGCCCGGAGGTGGCTGCATTACCTCCCGCCCATCCGAAAGAAATGAGTATCTCTCTGCCATATGCTACAGCCGAATGACCGAATCGTTGACCTGGACCATCTGTGGAATCGATCATGGACCAAATGGGTGGGTTGACGCTCCAATCGAGGATCCAAGCGTCACTGTAAACAGTGGAGAGATCCGCACTTGCGCCACCTTGGATGAAGACTCGCTGGTTGGGAAGGCTGACGGCAATATGACCACGACGAGGCGCCGGGGAATTTGATTGGCGCGTGGATATTGTCGAGTTGGCCGAGGTCTGCGTGACTGTCTGTGACCACGTCTTTGACTTGCTGGAATAGGCATAGAGGTTCTGCATGGACTGGAGCTGACCTGAAGCATCAAGACCGCCGAGAAGCAAGAGAGTCCCATCGCTGAGCATGGTGGAGGTGGAGCCTACTAGACTTCCGGGAGGAGGTGACGAGATGAGTTGGAAAGAAGGAGAGGTAGAGGTAGTGTCGATGGTCCACTGTTGATCGAAGATGAGCCCGGAGCCATCTGCCCTTTCTCCTCCAATGATCCAGACGGAGCCTTGAGCATTGCTTTCGCTGGTGTGATGCATCCTGCGCATGGGCTGATTCCAAGATGCGGGCACGGGCTGATACGCTGCTGTGCGATTGCTCTGTGAACCACCGAGATGAATGATGTAGGCTGAATCGTTGCCAGTCGGAACGGGAACGAGAGGGCTTCCATCACCGCCAAAGAGCAGGAGCGACGTGCTGTTTAGTGGCGAGATGGTGTGGAAAGAGACAGGTGGAGCGGCGTTACTCGAGGACTGTGTTGAAACGCTTTGCCATGGCGGCGATGACAGCGCAAAAGGGAATGAGAGGTCGAGAGTGTACATCTGGGCATCGTTTGGCGCCGAGTTGTAGGTATAACCTCCACCTGTGGTGCCTTGCGTCTTGCCGCCCTGGACGATTAAGAGGGAACCGAGAAGGGCTGAAGCTTGACCCCATCTTGCTGGGATCGGGCTGGAGGCATCCTGTGCTGAGACGAAGGCGATGAGCGGAAAGGCGAGTGCAAGAAGGATGGCGCTGTGCATGGGTGACGTCCGTCTTGAAGCGGGACAGCGTTCTGCCTTTGAGGACGGTCGGCGACGCGTCATGCTGTAAGCACCACTGCAGACGCGGCTGCAGGCTCCAAGAGATGAACTCGCTCGTCGAAGCGAGCTCGAAGGTTGGGATGCACCAATATGAAGTTGAGATGCAGGCTGCAAGCCGGTTGCCGAGGGGAAGTGGAGAGATGAGGTTTGCTTGACAGCTGTTTGATGGTAATGGAAAGGAGATTGTACTCGGTGTTGTCGTAGTGTGGATGTGTTGGTCGGGTGGAAACGATGTCAGCTGGAGCAGGACCCTGTTGGAAGACAAAGACGAAAGGGTCCGAGAGCAAATGGAAGGGCGACGACGACGACGGAGTTGGTAAATGAGGTACCGCTATGCAAGTCTCGGCCCTGAAAGTTGCAAGTTGGACGTGTAAGAGCCTGCACAGGCTAAGGAACGGGGTCGCAGAGGGGCTTGGTTGGTGAGAAAGGGGTGCCTAGAAGAGTGAGAGAGAGACAGAGGGGAGGAAGCTCTATGCAAGTCGCTGCAATACGTCGCTAAGTTTAGCAGTCTGTGGTCAGTTTGCCAAAGTCGACGCGGATGCTTGGCAAACAATGAGAGCGTCAGACTTACTTGCACAACGGCGTCGACGTAGAAAGCGGATGGTTGAAGACGTCGGTTGTGCTGTGGGTGGGATGAGAGAGAGGGAATGGTTGGTTCAAGTTTACGCCAAATACTGTCGGCCAAGTGACACCGAAAATAGGGGTTTTCTGCAGCCCCACCTTTTCCTGCTCTTCATGTCACACAGCACACAAAGCTTCGATCCCTCTCTCCCTTGACCCCTGCCAGCTGTCGCAGCATGACTATGGCCAGAACACGATCCTTCATATGCTATTCTCGAGCTTCTTCCATCCACAGCTTGGTTCTTCCTACCACGGTCGTAGCTACGACGATGCTGTCTGGATGCTCAAACGACGCAAGCTGCAAGACGAGGTCGAGGTGTAACTTCTACAAGGCCTGGACGCGTCAGGCGCAACGCGTTTCCGAATTGGGAAATAAAATATTGAATTTTCAATCTTGAACAATGTTGGAAACCACTATCTGTCACGTTGGCAGACAAGAGGCAATCCAGGTCGAATTACCTTGAGAGCTGGCAGTCGAGTATCTCCCCGAACTGCCCTACGCACAGTTGTCGCCTTAGGTGCAGAACAGAAGACGGTGTGCGTGTTGGATGATGTTGGTGTTCAAGTGGGAGGACGGGAAGCAATGTCCGGCGGATATAATCCCGCGCCCCTTTTTTCCCAAGCGGACAAGCGGCACTTTAGCAGAGGACGAGGATGAGCAAATGTCAATCAGTGCAGGATCGTCGTGTTGGTCTCTTGCCTTGCAGAAGATGCAGCTAAGCGACGTGCACGCTCGAGTGTGTGCGTCTCAGGCTTTCATTTTTTTACCCCTGAGTGACGTCGAGGGTCGCTCCTTCCCCTCAGCCCTCTCTGGTTCGTTGTCAGCGATGCTCATAAAATCTTCTTGCTCCATCGTCGCAGGCTTAATATCATACAAGTCGCCAGCAGCATCATTCCGTCGTGGCTGAAATAGAGCTCATAGCACACGATGACGTGGGTGTGACCTCTGAACCTCACCGCCCTATCGAGTTGCCCGAGAAAGTCGCCGCAGCTTGAACAAAGAAGATCGCCGTACTTCTCACGATCGATTCGATGTGACTAAGCTACTTCTCCATTGTTTCGACGCAGCGACTTGTTTCGGCTCTGCTCGGTGTCGCTGAGGCGCATTGATCCTTGTCCCGGTGCTGTTCGCACAGGGTCGACAATACTGGACCGTTCAGCGTCGATGATCCGTGATCTGCATCGAGTGAGCCTTTGACCCACCGCCGCTCAATTGCTAAGTTAGCTTTTCGTATCTCCGGAAGGACAGTATACCCGGCGTACCAATTTGCAATAGCAAGCGGTCGCATTGCAGCGCTACCTTTTTTGTTTGGTACGAGCATCTCGCGTGGGACTGAGCATATTAGCGAGTGTAGGATTTAGCCACCGACACTTACGCAACATGTTTGTCATGCTCGTTCTACGATGGTGCGAGCCAGCGCTCAAGAGGGGCAGTCTGGTCGATTTGACGGTCCTGTACGATTCTACCAAACTTCCGCTTCGGGCTCGATATTTCTCGATTTGCCGCTTTTTCCTACTTAATTTGAGGCTCCGACCAGAACAACAGTTTTTTTTTCTGAAAAAGAGTACCCAGCAGCACAGCGCAATGTATTTGGCGTGCTAACCTAAATTGCGTGTGCCTGAGCTGCAGAGTGTTGTTTCGCACTTTCCTTTTTTGACAGCTCGAATTCAAAAGCACAGCAGAGCAGTGTCAGCCCCTGAACCAACACTCTGCTCCAGGCTCGCTTTAAGAAGCTGAGCTTCGCCGGCTCTCCTTGTCGACCTCATTCAGGGTGCTGCTTATGTTCTCTCTCTCTAATTCTCTCTCCGCCGCCCTCTTGAGCATCTCAGAATCACACACCTTCTACAACTCGTCCAACTCCGCACCGTCTGCCTCAAGCTGCTTCTTCGAGTTAACTGCATCCTTCGCTGTCCGCATCCGGTCCACCACCCTGCCTCAACTCCACCACCTCCTTCTTCTCGTTTCCACCTCGTGCTGCGCAGTACTATCCGCATTGATCATAGACCCTTGACGCTTCTGCAGCTTCTTCGCCTCCTGCATCATCCACCCAATCCTGTCTCGTCTTTGCCGCCCTGCTAGCTTGCTGCAAGCAATAGATCCTCCTTCGTCCATTCGATCCTGCATATCTTGTCGATCATCCTCTCCAGAGACGCTCTCGAACCTTATCCCAATCTCCGACTCACAATTCAGAGGCGCTTCTCTCCACTCCGCATCTGGTTCTCTTCCAGCGTAAGTTCGATTCCACGCGGTCTTGCTCCACCCGGTTCGACCGGTCTTTGGACTTTGCCTGTCTCATCTTAGTATATAGGCCCACTCGTGTCGAGTAGGCTGTTCTGGGCGGCGTTTCCTCTTGCTCACCTTCACTCGACGACGCTGGCCGCCACTCTTGCAGCTCAAAGCAGCTGACAATCCCTCCCTCCATCTCCACAACCTACCACCATCATTGTTTCGTTGCAAACCACTCAACCCAGTTTCCGAGCCCACTGCTTTCTGTTCACGACTTTCACGACAAGCACAACGCTACATCTCACGATTGGCAATCGCCTCTAGCGGGCACAAGCCCCAACATTGAACCACACTCGCTCGCAGCCATCGTCTCCCCTGATACTACACAGTCATGGACAGATTCGACGTCATCAACTTTGCTGACCTCTCCGGTCCCAACGGTGGAGAATGGATCAGGATCGGCGGAGGCAGCTTCGGTGTCGTCTTCAAGGGTGAATACCTCGGCACAGAAGTAGCCATCAAAGAGGTCCTGCCAAACAACACTTACGACGTCGAAAAGTACTTTGAGCGCGAATGCGTTCTCATGAAGGAAGCACGTCATCCCAACATTGTCCAATACATCGGCCTCACAAAAAGCCCCGGTCCGGACGGCAGGATCTACATCATCTCCGAATTCGTAGGCAGCAACGTCCGATCCTACATTGCAGATCAGAACAAACCCTTCCCATGGCGTCTGCGTATGAGCTTCGCCATGGACATTGCACGCGCTCTCGCCTACTTGCACGCACGCAACTGCATGCATCGCGATCTCAAAGGAGAGAACCTCCTCATCACCGCCAACGAGCGTATCAAGGTGTGCGACTTTGGCTTCGCCCGTATCGCGGCACGTAACGAAGAAGAGATGCGTCGAATCAGCTACTGCGGTACCGACGGTTACATGTCGCCGGAGATCCTTCTCGGTATCGACTTCAGCTTGCCCTCGGACGTCTTTTCACTCGGTGTCATCTTTGCCGAGATCGCCTCCCGCCATCTCGTTGACTCGTACACATTCAAGCGTGTCATGCCCACTTTCGGCTTGGACGCCGATGAGGTGCGAGAGATGGCATCCGAGGGCTGCCCCCAATCTTTCATCCAGCTGGCCCTCGACTGTGTCGAGGAAGATCCTAGAGACCGCCCCGAAATGCGCCAAGTCGTGTCGAGGCTGCGCGATATCGAGCGCGAGGTGCTCCTCCGCGAAGAAGCAGAAAATCGCTACGCCATCGGAAGTGTCCGAGGTGCCACCATCCAGTCCATCATGGGCACCAAGATCAAGCGCGCTGCCCCGCCAAGACTGCCCAGCTTCAACGGTGCTCTCAAGCTCAACGGCACACACTCAAAGGCCAATTCGGACGACAGCAGCGACGAGATCGAGGAGGCGCTCGCAGCGCTCGAAAAAATCGGTATCGAGCCCGACGACGCCAGGTCGCCCGGGACCATCAAGGGCTCGAGCACGCTCAAGGTCGCAGGTCACGGCAACCCGTGGTGGAGCGAAGAAGCCACCGAGGCTCTGCCCAGCATCAACCGCAGCTGGCTCGCCTCTCCCGGTGCTGCCGCCGAGAGGATCCGTCAGGAGTCCGAAGCCGGCTTGCTCGAGGGTGCAGACTACGCCGAGAGCGACTACAGCACTTCGGTTGTGCGTTCTTCCAAGATGACCCAGCGACACACACCGCTGGCCATGCTCGACGAGCGTGCTTCCACACTCTCTGCCAGGACACTACGCCAAGGCGACTCTCCGCTGCTCATTCCAGCACGACGAGGATCGGCCGACGTATCCGCCATCCGAAGAGGCTCCAACGACACAGCAGCGATGCAATCTTACTTGACAGCCCGCACCCACAAACCTGATCCCTCCATGGCGCTCGCCACCATCGCCTCGGTCAGCTCGGGTCACGTCGAACCCATTCCTATCTGCCATCGCTTCACTCTCGTCAAGAACGGAACTCGTCGTCCCAACAACGTCGTTGCCGCAGCGCAGCAAGCCATGGCCAGCGGTAGTGCGCACCAACACTCTCACCCTCCTGCTAGCAGCTATCCTTCGCTCGTACCTCCTGCTGTTATGCTCAGCAATGCGCTCGCAAAGTGCTGGATATGCGGTAAACGTATCGGCTGGAAACCGTTCATGGACTGCGACGACTGTCCGTGGAAGACGCACGTTGCGTGTGCCGAGTTGGCACCACCGACGTGTCAGGATCTGGCGATTCCCATGAGCGGTGCGGTGGGTGGTGGCAGCGTTCAGCCGATCCTGTCGCCGTTCAACGCGCTGAGACGTGGTTCGGCCGCTACGGATATCGTCACCTCGCGTCGAAGCTCCAAGGCCACCGACGTTGTCTCGTCTCGTCGTAGCTCAAAGGCAACCGATGTGGGTGATCAGAGGGAGATCTCGGCAGCTGCAGCTGCGCTCAGGAGAGCTTCGTTGGCAGACTCGATCGACGAACCGGGCTCACCGCAGCTGGGCAAGGTGAAATCCAAGAAGAAGCTCTTTGGCGGTTCCTCGGCCGTCCGCTGTCAGTGAACTCGATCGAGCCATCTTCCGTATGCCACGCCGCAAAAAAACTTCAAGCACTCTTCATTTCACCCCTCTCTCATTCACGCAAGCATCTTTACGACACATCTTCTCGCTTCTCACGACAACGACCCATTAACGAACCTTTTCTTGACTTAGACTCTCTCTCTACTCGTGTGCCCCGTTCTTACTCTCGACAACTCACAGCATTTGTACTCACTTCATTCATACAAGTTTCACCGAATGGCATTGAATCTTCTCATCGCATTGCAGACCGGCGCAGAGTTGTTTGTGTGAACGATGGTCGAGCGTGACACGATGCGTGAGTGTGGGAGCAATGACAAAAACTCTTCTTGCAATTCAACTCAGAGCAACAACGGATGAACAGATTCGGATCTAGATAAAGGGCGAATGTGTCTACTTTCCACCAGCACGTCTCGCCTTACCGGGTCTCTTGGCAGCGCCCGACTTCTGCTTCGGTCGGAATCCAGCCTTTCCACTGGTGACCTTGACCTTGCTACCCCTTGCTCCCCTCTCCGGGCCGACCCTGAAATCGTTGGTCGATTCAGCCGTGTTGCTCTTCGAGTACTTCTTCTTACCTCCAAACCCGTACTTTGCATCCCTCGCCGTCCTGGGCATCTTGCTCTTGCCACTTGCCGGTCTACCCTTCTGCGTCTTCTTCGCGTCACCACCCGAGCCAGTGCCACCGATGGCCTCCTCCAACCTGACATCGAACTCTTCCGCGTCCTCGTCGAGCGCTCCATGCTTGCGTTTCAGACCTTGGATCTTGGAGGCGAGCTCCTTCTTGTTTCGAATTCGTTCCTGCAGCTTCTCCACCTGAACCTTTTTGCCGAACTTTTTGAGTTCGCGCTGCTTCTTGGCTGCTTCGCTCGCCTTGATCGCGGCGGATTCGTCGAGCAGCTTCTGACGGATGCGTTCCATGTGTTCGTCGGTCTTGACCATCTCGGCGAAGAAGTCCGAGGGACGCGAGAAGGGGGTGCCGGAGGCGAGGATGAGCTTTTTGCCTTCGACGGCGGCGTGCAGCGCTTGCTTGTAGAAGGCCAGCTCGCGTTCCAGGTCGTTCTCCGGGTCGGTGACGAGCGAGGAGATGGAGGTAGGGTAGGTAATGCGCATGGTCTCGATCCAGGGGAGCTTGGAGGAGGAGGAGGGAGCGTCGAGTCGGATGTCGTTGTAGATGCGGGTGAGCGCGGATTCGTTGTTGATCTTGATGCGTTGGGTGCGCGATGCTTTGGCGACTTCGGAAAGCTCAATGTCGTCGGGAAGGTCTTCGTAGGCGATGGGCTCTTCTTCTTCTTCTTCTTCGGCGTCGGAGGCTGCTTCGGGGTCGGATTCCGAGTCGGACTCTTCGACGGGGACGAGACCGGATCGTGCGATGGAGGCGGCGAGCGTGTCGCCGTTGGCGTTGGGGACGACGCGCGGAATGTCAGAATCGTCCTGCTCGGCGGCGAGCTCTTCTTCTGCGGCTTCTTCGGCGATCTCTTGTTCCAGTGGATCCGCCTCCTCGTCTTCCTCGTCCTCTTCTTGATCATCGTCCTCGTCGTCTTCCTCCTCCTCGTCTTCTTCGCCAGCAAGCTCATCAAGCGCAGCCATGTCTACCTCATCAAGCCCGTCGTCGCCCAACGCAGCCATGAGACGCTGCATGCCCTTCTCCGAAACATCCTGCCCCTCTTCCAGATCCGAGTCCTCATCCTCTTCTTCGTCCTCCTCCGCGTCCTCCTCCTCCTCCGAGTATTCAGCGACGATAGGCTCAGCCGTAGCCAACGCAGAAGTCGGCTTCCTAGTCAACTTTGCATGGCTAGCAGGAACCTTGCTTGGCGACTCGACTTTAGATGCTGGCGAAGCGTTCTTCTTGGCCGATTTGGGACTGGCCTTGGTCGGTGTCCTCGACTTCGTCAGCGTCTTTTTCGCCGGAGAAGGCTCTACCATCTCGGTCTCCTCGTCATCTGCTGCAGCAACAGGAACGGAAGCAACAGCCTTCTTGGCCGAAGCCTTGGGAGTCGATATGCTGTTGCCCTTCTTCAACGGTGAAGGGGTCTTGATGCCTCCAGTGGCGCGTGCTTGTGCTCTGGTCATGCGACCGGGTGTGGACGCGGGGGAGGAGGAAGTGCTGCTAGTGGCAGCGGATGCCTTCTTGGGCGTGGACTTTGGTGTTGACGGCATGATGGATTAGACACCAGGGGCTTTGGTTGGTATCGACGTGTGTGGGTCGGGATGAAGATCTCGAGAGAGAGGCGAAGTCGCAGAGTGTCAAAAATCTCCACACTTTGGTTTCCAAAAAAAAGCACGGCTCTCTGGCAAAAATTTCTAGCCCGAGCCTCTTTGGAATTTTTTTCCTTGAGCCGAGCAAAGCTTCGACTTCGATTATGTCAGGCTCCGTAACAATTTCGGAAAATCAATCAATTTTGTTACATCGACTACAGGTTTGGTTTTTGGTTCTCGGATGAATTTCGGATGCAGGTGAATCAGCCTTGCATGCAATCCGCAGCCTGCGACCCAATCGCTGTCACTTACCGCTGTAGAGCGGGCCTACCGCTGGATTGGGTCCTCGATGCTGACTGACACATACACGCAGTTTCGTGCCGATCCGATGATGGACCCTGCCAGAAGAACTGGCTGTCGCAGAGAAGCAGGCAGTGGCGTTGCTGCGGGAAACTATCTGACGTCAAAGCGCGGCTGCCTCTCTCCAAAGCGACGTTTCCGATGCCCTCATCCGATCTTGGAGGCGCACTCGTCTAGCCTTCCCGACTGACTGTGGAGGGAAAGAAGCCCAGGGAAGACCAAAGTGTGGTTCATGTGGCATGTGGCTTGATGTCAGAGCGCTTTCAGAGCCGTCGTGTGAGAGCGCCCATTCAAGCACGACTGCCTCGGCTCAGCTGTCGCTCAGAGCCTCCGCTGCTCGATACAAGCCGAAACGTATATAACCTCTTTTCAGCTGCGTGCTCGAACGCTCATCCTCACCATCACAGCCTCTCGTAGCAACCTTTGATCAACTACCTCGAATCATATCAAAAATGGAGAAGACATTCCAGGAGCCCACCACCACATCTCAGTTCAAGAGCGACGCCGAGCGTCAGCAGGAGAACGCCAAGCTCGCCGAGCAGGGCAAGCCTCAGATCCCCGGTGCTGCCGGTCGTGAATCCGTTGCTAGCAAGGATCCCAAGGGTGAGTTGGCCTTATTACCAAGAGACAATCTGCTCCAACGTTCATACTGACTCATATTCTATGTCTTTCTGTTGGTGATCTTTGCAGAGTTCGACACTCGAGGCGGTCCCGGTTCGGAGGGCAACAAGCCCATTCAGGATCCTGTCTTGTAAGCGATTTGACAGCTAGCGCCTCACACGTCGTCAATTGTATTCTGTAATCAATAGTATTTATCAAGTCAACCCTACCAAAAGTGTTGCGCGATGACGCCGAGTGAAACCAGTGACAGCACATCATCGTCTTTCTCGCATCCTCCAACTCACCGCCCCCGCCAACAGCACAAAGAATCCCAGTACGAAACCCAACGCCAACACCAACAAATCCCTGTAGAACGCATCATCTTCAAACGCAAACAGATTGCCCGAAAACACCGACACGGAAGCGGTGATCCCAACCCCACCGACATTGTCAATCAGCTGCAGTCCTTTCAACTCGTGACTGGCCACCGCTTCCAACGCGTACTTCATGGGGCAGATCCACTGCAGCCACCTGAATACGCCAGAAAGGTTGCTCAAATTGAGCAGGAATCCACCAAAGCCGATGTTGAAGAGTATGAACACGCCCGCGAACAAAATCGACACGGACAAGTCGTCGATCAGCGCGGCGAGCAGCATGTTGTAGAGCGCCATGCAGAGGTGGAACAGGACGCAGATGAGGATGAACTCGAAAAAGTAGTTGGTCTGCGACTTCATCCCTACCATCCAGTACATGATGGTACCGAGTAGGATGGCGGGGATGACTCGAAGCAGCAGAGCGTCGTAGACGACGTAGCTGATCAGCCACGATAGCGGACCGTAGAGACCGTTTGCGCGTTCGCGCATCATGAGCGGACGCGCCTTGGACAGCGCTGTCGCCGACGAGAGCGCGGAAAAGGAGAGCAGGATGAAGAGGAAATACATAGATCCGACACGGTTCTGGAATCCGGCGATGGTGAGCTTGACTTGGTAGAAGCATCCACCGACGATGAGACCAATGACCACCGCGCCGACAATGTGAGCTAGCGCACCGCCAGGATCACGTCGAGCAGTGATGAAGTTGCGTCGACTGAGCGTGGTAAACTGCGTCATGAACGAGGCCATCGACGAGCCGCCGACTGTCTTTTCCCACGACGCACCGGCGGCGACAGCCGTCCCTTGGTCCAACGACTGTGTCGGTGCACCTTCTCTGCCAGAAGAGCCTTCCGCGGAGAGATTGCTCGTCTTTTCTTGCAGACCCTTCTCGCCGATAACGCTGCTCCGGCTCGACGCATCAGGAGCCGAAGCAATCTTGAGCAAGTGATCGGCAACATTGTGACCGGCAGGACACTGTTCTCCTTGCCTCTCGCACCAAGGAAGGGAGTCGGCTGGCGATCCTTGGTAGATGACAGCTCCCTGCGACATAAGCATCACCTGATCGAAGCTGTAAAAGATCTCGGACGAAGGCTGATGCACCGTCACGATCACCGTCGTACTTCCGACCTGCGAGCCCGAAGCTAGCTCGCGGAAAGCCGACACGACGCGAGCTGCCGAGAATGCGTCGAGTCCCGAAAGCGGCTCATCCGCAATCAGCAGACGCGGGCGCGACACGAGAGCACATCCGATCGAGACCCTGCGCCGCTCGCCGCCGGACAAGCCACGTCGACTAGCATCGCCGATTCGCTTGTTGGCGACTCGCTCAAGGCCAAGTTGGTGGATGACCTTGTCGACGATCTCACGCTTCTCGGCTCGCAAGACATTGTCGGGCAGAGAGAGATCGGCCGCCATCTGAAGCGCTTCGCGGACTGTGGAGAAGGCAGGCAGAGCGTCTTCCTGATCGACAAAGCCGACTGCGCGTCGCGAGGAGCTCTCTTGGGTATCAAGCCGCATAGAAGCTTCGATGGCACGGATGCTGCCCGATACGCGTCCGATCTTGTGCCGTCCTGCCAGGATCTCGACCAAGCTGGTCTTGCCTGCACCGGACGGGCCGAGCACCGCGACCATACACCCAGGTTGGATGCGGCCAGAGCTATCCCGCACAACCGAGAGCTCACGCTGATTATGCAAAGGATGCGACTCGAGATGAGCCACCTCGTCGGGAGTTCGGGACGATGAGACGACGTGCGTAAGATGATCGTCATCCTTCTTGCGGTGTCGTTTGAACAGGTCGTTGTGGATCGGGACAGTGTAGTCGAGGTGCTCCCATTGAAGCCCAACAGGTCCTTGTCCGGAACCTTTCGGGAGTCGCCTGGCTCTACGCTGCTGCCAAACACCAAGTAGCAACAAGGCAAGAATTGAAGCAATGGCTACGCCAAGGATCACAAGTCCAGCAATGACAGCATTGCTGAGCCCAGAACCCGAATTTTGGCTGTCGCTCTCGCCCGACCCCGTCGCATAGAACGTGTCGAGTTCGGACTGAGTGATGCACGATCCGAACTGGCAATTTTCGAGTGGCAGACCTGCCTGTCCGAGAAAGTTGTCGAGCAGCTCGCCTCGGAAGGCGCAGCTCGAAGTGGCAGTGGCATTGTTGGGATCAACGTAATCGCAAGGCATAGTGAGCGTGCCATTGAGCTTGTTGATGACGGGCGAAAGGTCGAGCTGACCCTTGCCGCACATGGTGGTACCGGGGATGCAGTAGCACTGAAGCGCAGTGCACGTCCAGAGGCTGCTTCCGAGCGAAGCATCGCCTTGGGAACTGAGAGTGGCAGAAGAGTTGCGGGCAGAGCAGCCGGCTGCTTGGCAGTAGAACTGCTCAACGCCGTCGAGCCACACCTGGGACAGAGCAGTGTTGCTCTGTTCGGACCAGCTGGCGAGACCGGTCTCGGAGAACGAGTCGGGCTTGTACGTCTTGCTGAGCGTCATGCGCATCTCGCCGGGATAGACGCCGTTGACGGTGGCTTGCTTGACATTGCAATCGATGTAGGTGGTGCGAACCGCCGAGGGTTGTTTGTGACAGACGAGCGTCTCATTGCTGCCGAAGAGGGAATTGGGCGTATTGATGCCCAGCGATGACCTGCGCGCCTGACACGAGCCAGCTGTCTGGCAGATGTTGCAGTTGATGCCGCCGAAACCGGCGTCGCAGGAAGGACATTGCTTGTCGGACGATGGTTTGGGAGTTCGAGCGTCGGGAGCGACAAAGGTGGAATTGCAGGTGGCCGCATTGCAAGCTGTGCCATTGACCGATGTGAGGCCAGGCGGACAGCTCTGATACATAGAAAGAGCACTGACGGACATGTTGACGGGAAGCAGTGGAGCTGCGAATGCGAGTGCAGTGGTGGTGCAGTCAGAGGAACGTTCGGCAGAGGCAAGACAGGGGATTTATATGCGTTACACCTTTGCGCTTTCAGAAGGTGGGGTGTCGACCTGGGGTGAGATGCGGGTCCAAGAGCTACGTGAACCTCATTGCGATGGGACGAGGCGTCACGGAGCGTGCGAGACAGAGCGAGCTTATGGTGGGTTGCTTGGGATCGCACGGTCCTCAATCGCTTCTTAAAGCAGCTGCCCCTGTTTCCAGCTGAGCATGCTTATCGAGATCAGTGCAAGATCTCGTTCGCCTTGTGGTGAGTTTTGAGACTGGGACCAATGCGAGGGATCCAATTCGATCGACAAAGTTGAGACTGTGGTAAGAAGATGGTGTACTGTGTTCCAACGCGGACGGGAAGTTGCTTTGCCGTTGGGTGGCAGGCGAGGCCTACAATCGCGGAAGTGCAGCGAGCGCCACTTTGCAGCGCCATCTTCTGCGGGGAAGGCGACACGGGAAGCAAGCATCACAGAGGCGCGTGCAGTAAAAAGACAATAATTAAACCGCAGACCAGACTGCTCATGAGCCGTGTGCCCTTTTTCGGGATGCCAGGGTCCGTCGACCTCATCTAGATATGGGACCATCAACTGTTCTGCATTACTGCTGGAACCGGTACGTACACGCTCGAGTCGAATGCTGCTCACATTTGTGCTGTCGTGCCCTTGTACCTGTCAGTGTGTCTAGTGCAGTGTTGTTGGTGCTGTACTCGCTACCGTCAGGCGACACAGTGAACCGGAAAATTGTCACGTTGTCGTTACAAAATAATGGAAAGGAAAAGGCCCGAGAAAATCGAGTTACAGAAAAGGGACCAACCACCTGTCTTCCGTTCCAGGCGCTCGCTGTCTCGTCCGTTCCTGCATCTCCAAAAGGTCCAAATCTGATGACCACGAATTTCGAGCCTTAAATTTCGCGCTCGCTTAAAGAGATTCAGAAGTCGCGACGAGTCTCGAAACGGCCCTCCATCGGTCTCGGCTTCTGTGCCCCACAAGCACCAGAGGCGATGGTCACAGATCGAGCCTTGGTGCACGTCACATCAGCCGACGCAGCTTGCTGCCGAATTATTCGGCTGCTCTGGAATCGGCATGACACCGAAGGTTGGGGCTTGAGAGAATATGTTTCGGGGTCATCGTTCGACTCTCGAAGCAGATTGTCTGGAAGCAGCCTCGCGCCTCGCACTCACATGAACCAGTGTAGCAACAACCGCGAAAGACGAGCGCCGCAATGTCGTGTTGGGGGGGGAGGGGGGGGTCGATCGGGCCATCGCATGCGCTCTTATCGTGTCCAACGCCAACCATTGCAACCCGCTTGAAGCACGAAGCAGTGGAATGTTTTGGACGCAAGAGGCGCCGCCTCCAAAATGAAGGCCACCATCTCGATGTTCCTACGCCCGCCTTTATTGCATTCATGAAAGCCAGCGCAGGAAGAGGCAGGGGGTCTACCTCGGACCTTCAGCATGAATATCCAAGGTTCAATGGGCGGACTTGCAGCAGATCCCGATTTTCATGTCGGTGCGCTCTCATGCTAAGGAATGCGGGATCATGCACGGCCTGCATGCACGTCTAACCGTTGCTCCCGCCTGTTGGAAAGCTACTGGACATACGCTCACCGCGATCGGGATGACATCGTCCTACCTCCTACCAACCAGCATTGGGCATGCCGGGATCGTTTGTGCAGCGACAAGCCTTTGAAAGCTTAAGAGCGCACCGCAATGCTGTCTCTGAGAGTGCAACGTCGCATCGGACGAGCGTCGATTCGAATGACGGCCACATAGCTCTAGCCGAAGCACGGCGGTGTGCCAACCACGTTACATATGTCCTACATTCCGCCTCGCCTGGTGTGACGTTGCCACATACACTCCAGACTTAAAGGAACTCGCACGGAGATGGACAAGACAACCTGATAGCCTCTGGATCTCGAGGGCAAAGTCTGAGTAAGAGGATGCTTGCGCTGCCCTTCATGACAACAAGCTTGCAGATTGACACCGCTCGCCGAACCAGTACTACACACAGCTCGCTGCGCAAGTCTGACAGATGTCGTCAACCCGACCAGCTGTCGGTGGCAGGCGATGCTCTCCGTCCCGTCTCTTCGCGATTCGGCTACTAGTTACAGCGTCATGAAAATTCGGATGGAAGGTGGCGAAGAAAATGGCGGCAGCAGCGTCACTATTAAGCGACTACCAATAGAGTGGACGCAGGAGGCCCGCTTCGCTTCTCGAAATTTTGCGTGGTTCGCGAACCAAGCTTTGTTTTTTAGGCGCTCTGCTCTCCAACCCGCCTGGGCGCCAGTTGGGAATTCCATTTCGCGAGGTGTGAAAAGAGCCTTTTCCTGCCCCCACAGCGCGATCTGGGGTCTGCTACAGTGTGCGGTGTACAATTCTGCAAAGTTCGCGTTCTCACTTCGCCCAGCGCAAATGGACAATATTGAGCTTTTTTTGGCACTCAACTTGGCTGTTCCAGTGCCTTTGTGCTGCTGCTGCCGCCTAGTTCAGTACGTTGGCTACCCGATTAGGCTTCGCGCCTCGACTCTTGCCTCTCGCCTCTCGCTTTCCGCCCTGCGTCTGGGAAGCTGGCTCTGCTGACCCTGTTCCACAAAAGCTTGTCCGCCTGTGTGTCTGTCCGTCCCAGGCTGACGGCCCGCCTGCCCGCCTGCCTGTCTGTCTGCAGCCGCTCTCGCTCGCGCCCTTGCTCATGCCGTGCATCACGATTTCGTGCCTCTGGCTGTCCCGCTCCTGCTCTTGCCTGTGGCCTCTCGCTCGCTCCCAATCCTTCCTCGACCTTGCCGCTCGTCGCTCGTCGCCATCACCATCACCGTCACCATCACCATCACCATCGCCTTCATCCATCCTTGACCGCCGCAGTGTGGTCCATCGCCAGCTCGTTGCCGGTGCGCTCTCTCCTTTCTACCTCATCTCATCGACAAGAGCGCGACTCTCTTCACGGGTTCACCGTCGTCGTTCCGGTTTCTCTGGCAGCCTCTTCGTGTCGTCGAGCTCCCGAGCCTAGGATCGCTGCAGCTCTTCACCTTCCAGTGACCACTCACTACCTCGACTTCGCTCTTCTCTGATAGTCCGCTTCCGTCGGTCGTCGCCCCCGAAAAGCATCCCGCCAGCCCGCCGATTTTTCTTCGTCGCAGCCGCACGGTGAGGAGCACGTCGTCCCATCTATACCCTTTGTTGCGCAGATCGTTTCTTCCCATCTTTGCATCTTGCATCCATTCGCTGCTCCTGGTCTCGCCTGACACCCGTACATTCGACTCAACACGTCCAGCTCTCCCCACCGTGCCTCGACTTCGGCCCGTTAATATAAGCGCACAGCGACTTCATTAACCGGTATCACGCACGGCTCCATCGACGCTTCCCCATAGCCAACGTGCCACGAATCCCTTCATAGATTTGCGCACACACTCCGTCCGTCTTCGCGATCGCAAGACACAACAATCGGTCTCTCCCACCACTGCATCGTGAATGTCAGTCGCTTGTCGTCCCGTACATCCCATCACCGTCCAATCGCGCGAGCTTCTCGAGCTCTGACCGATCCGGCACTACGCTCGTTGCTTCCCGAAAACCCCTCTGTGCGGTCCGCATCTATCAGTGCCAGCCTGCAGACGCGCTCTTCGTCACGAGTATCGCCAGCTTCGGGCAGAGCACGCTTCAGCCGCGTCTCTGGCATCATCTCACCTCGCGCCATATCGCAAGCGACCCACTGCCGACACCGCGCGCGCTCTTGACAGTAGCTGCTATACGTCGCCACCATGTCGGGCTTCGATCAGTCGCACAATGGTGCCTTCTTCAATTTCAACAATCTCACTCCACAGCAGCTCAACATGCTCCGGCAACAGAGTCAGATGCAGCAAGCCGTGCAGATGCCCCAGCAGCAGCAGCAGCAGCAACCGCAGCCGCAGCCCCAGCCCCAGCCGCCACCTGGACAGCAGACTCAGATGCAGCAGCGTAACCCCATGATGCCTCAGCTCGGTCTGCCCGCTGGGTTCAACCAGCAGCAGCTTCAAGCTCTCATGGCTCAGCAGCAATCCCAGCTCGCTAACGGCATGATGGCCAATAATCAGAACCCGCTCATGCAGATGATGCGCCCGCAGTCCATGCTTCAGCAGCAGACGCCTCAGCAGCAGATGCAGCCGCAACAGCCGCAGCCCCAGATGCAGCAACAACAGCAGCAGCTCCAGATGCAGAATCAGCTGCCTAATCAGCCATCTACCGTCTCGCAGCCTGCCCATCTCCAGCAGCAGCCTCAACCGACCAACAATTTGGGTGCCGCTGCGCAGATGGGCGGTCTCGGAGGGCCTACGCCGTCGTTTGCACAGCTCTCGCATGCCATCGAGCAGGCAAAGAAGGGCAATCTTACTCAAGAACAGATGATCCAGGTAAGTCCTCCCCTCGCAGTCTGTCTTTGATCCTTTGTGATCCTCATGCTCTCCGGTACAATTGCTGACTTTTTCTTTTCCCGCTTTTCTGTCCCTCTGACGTACGTGTGGCATTAGTTGCGGCAACTCATCACACGGCAACAAGCGATGCAAGCACAGCAACAGGCAGCCCAGAATCAGAACACGGGCGCAAGGCCTCTGCAGCCCGGTCAGCCCAACATCAACGTCAACAACATGTCGAACGGTCAAAATTTTGCCAGTGCCATGCAAAGGACGCCTCAGATGCAGGCGCAAGCACAGATGATGGCCGGTCTGCAGCAGGTGCGGCCGGGTCAGTCCACGCCCACTATGGGCTCGCAAGGCTTCTTGCAACCTGCTGCACCGTCGCAGCAACAGCAGCAGTCGCAGTTGCCTAATCAGATGCAGTCTTCTCCCCAGGTGTTGCAAGCTCAAGCGCAGATGGCGCGCTCACAGACCCCGCAGCAAGCGCTGGGCCTACCGCAAAATGCTCAACAGGCACAGCAGATGATGGGCCAGCAGCCTGCCCAGCCCGGACAGCAGAGGCCACCCGTCGGTCGACCGGATCCGTCGCCCGGCGCCAGCAACCAGCAGAATCCGCTCAACTTCCTGCGTCTTTTGCACCAGCGCGTCACAGACATCGAGAGCAAGCTCAACTCGGATCTCAGCGCAGAGGAACGCCAGTTGGTGCAGCAGCAGCATGCAGAGGCAAAGCGCTTGCAATCTGCACTGCTGCAGCGTCTCAATGTCCAGAACGCCCAGCAATTTGCCGCTCTGATGCAACAGGGGCAGCAGACGCCGGGTCAGGCGCCCAGCAATCAGCAGCAACAGCCGCAGCAGCCGCCACAGCCATCGTCGCAACCTCCGCAGCAGCAGCAGCAGCAGCAGCAGCAGCAAGGAGGTCTCGGTATGATGGGCAACAACATTCAGGGCTCGCCGGTTGTCCGTCCTCCAGCCAGGCCCGGCTCGGCTCGACCGCCACAAGGTCAGTTCGGTAGTCCCATGCTCAATCAGCCCGGACAGCAGGCGCAGAACCCACAGCAAATGCCTCCGCAGCAGCAAACGCCCCAGGTGCGTCCTTCTCCCCAGATGGGCGCCATGAACATGGGAGGTCAGCCAGGCATGTCTGGCCTGCAAGGCGTTCCATCGCTCCGTCCCGAGCAGTTCATGAAGGCCCTCGTCGATCTAATGAAGAAGCGAGGTACTCCCATCACGTCTTTGCCGAAGGTTGGCGGGCGGGAATTGGATTTGTACCGCTTCTACCAGATCGTGCAAGCGCATGGCGGCAGCGAGGGTGCGCACCAGAAAGGAGCTTGGCCCGCCATCGCCATGTCGCTGGAACTCGCGCCATTGGGCTCGCCTCAGACGCAAGCGCTCGGTCAGGCCCTCGCGACCGAGTATCGCAACTATCTTGCGCCATTCGAAGAGACGTGGCAGCGAGCAATGCAGCATCAGTACCAGATGTCGATGGCAGGTGCTGGTCTTGGTCAGGCTCCAGGCGCTGCACAGACGAATCCACAGGCGCCATCCTTCCGACCACCCTCGACGCCACAGATGCAGTCGCAGCAGCCCAACCAACAGCTTACTCAGCTGCAGGGTCAGCAGACTCCGATGATGACTCCGAACCCATTGCAGCAACAGCAACAGCAGCAGCAGCAGCAGCAGCAGGCGGGTCAATTGCAAGCGCAGAATGCAGCCGTTGTACCTCAGCAACCATCTCTTGCCGGCTTCAATCCACCTCCACCGCCGATCCTCAGCGCTGAAAATCTGGCCAAGGCGGGAATGTCCCAAGAGCAGTTCAACAAGGCCTACCTTGCCCAACAGCTCAATGCATGGCGTCAGGAGCAGCTACAGAACCAGCAACGACAGATGAATGCAGGTTTCCAAGGCAACCAGGTGGCTTCGGGGCAAAATGGCATGCAACAACCCCCGCAGTCACAGCAACCTCAGCAGCTCCAGCAAGCGCAACAGGGCCCAAGCCAACCGACACCACAGCCAGGTTGGCCAAGCCAACAGCGTTCCATGATGCCGCAGACCTCTGGAGCTCAGCCAAGCCAGACGCAGCCTGTCAGCTTTGGCGGCAGCATGCCCGGTCAGCCGAACAACGCGCAGCAAATGCAGAACCAGCCTTCGATGGGTCCCAATCTGCAGGGCCAGCAGCAAGGTGCACCGCAGCAACCGCAGCAGCAGCAGCCGTCGCAGATGCCGAACCAGTCAGCTCAACCGCCACAGATGAACGCACAGGCCAGCTCGGGTTCGAATGCGGCTGGCGCTCCGCAGGGTCAGCAAGGTCAAGTGGCCGGACGCCCTTCCAATATGTCGCAGGCTCGCTTCATTGCGGTGAGTCCAGAGCAGCTGGAACAAGCTCGCGCAGCGATGCAGAAGATCGATCAGGAGCTGGCGACGCAGAGGCCTCGATTGCCCATCATCCAGAACATCGCCGACGACGAGAGAGACCAGATTCTCGACCAAGTGCAGAAGCTTGCGCCGATTCAGGCGACTGTGACCGCGCTGCTACCCGCCTTCTACGCCATGAACGGCAACTTGGAGCCTGCAAAGCGTCTCAAGATCATGGCCTTCATGTACAAGGACCAGTTCGACCTGCTGCCCAAGAAGCAGTGCATCTTGCGTTTGGCCGACCTGGACAAGCTCAAGATGCAGATGAGCCGATGCATCAGCTTTGTCCGTTCCAGCAATCCAGATCTGGCTCAGCGCATTGTCACTTCGCTCGGCGAGCAGACTCGTGCTGCGCAGCAGAACGGCGTCGTTCCGTCGGCGCCAGCGCTGAACACATCAGCACCGCAAAACATCAACCAAAATGCTGGCACAAACGCGACGCAGTCGACGGCAACCAACGAGACGACGAACGCTCAGGCGCAGCGTACCGAGGCAGCGGCTGGCGTCAATGCCGATGGCACCTTCGATGCTGCCGCCGCGATGCATGGTATCAAGCGCGGACTTCGACCAGAGAACCTCAAGCTACCGCCGAGCAAGCGCGCAAAGAACGTCGTTGGAGCTGGCAAAGCCATGAGCCCTTCGTCCGGTGCCAACGAGTCGCCCAAGATAGCTCCTTCGCCCGTCCAGGCCGAAGATGCCACCACACCGGCAGGCTCGACACCGGCAGGCAAAGGCGGCAAGAAGGCCGAGAAAACGGTCAAGGGCGGTAAGGCAACGGCCAAGAAGGGCAAAGGAGGTGCTGCAGGCACACCGACGTCGTCCGCCACCGAACCTGACAAGAAGTTCAAGACGAGCGCCGAGATCATGGCCGAGGTCAAACGCGAAATGGCCGAAGCCGAACGCAAGCGTCGCGAGGGAGGTGCTGGCGGCATGGCTGGTGGCGATGCGGGTGGCGCTGCCAGCAAGGCGGAGACAGCCAACGTCAAGGCCGAGCTTGAGGCTGACGAGAAGCGCAAGAAGGAGCAGGAGCTGGCTGGCCGCGATCCCGCGGGCCTTGTCGAGTCGACGTGGCAGGAGCTTCTCGCTACCGGCAACAACGGATTGCAGGGCGCCAGTGCCTCGTTCGGCGCTCCGAGCACGGGCGCATCTGGGGCAAATATGTCAGATTCCAAGGCGCTCCAATCGCTCATGTCGATGCTGGGACAAGACTCGATGATGTCAGGCCTGCCCGCCAACGGTGTCAACGTGCCTTCGAAAGGATTCTTGCCGGGCGATGGCAGCGGTGCCGCCGGCGGATCGAGCTTCTTGGACGGCGCGCTGGGTTCGCTGCCCTCTGCGGATGCGGACACGGGCATCGACGACGACCTTTTCGACTTTATCGAGGCGTCGGCAGCCGGTCCCGACGTGTTTGGCGACACGGACATCGACCTGAGCGGCGTGTTCGGGTCGAGCGCGCTGAACGCTTCGACGCAGGAGAGCGAGCCGCCGGTCGAGACGCCGGAGCTGGTGGCGAGCGCGCGACTACCTGGAGGCAGCTCGAACGCGTCGACAGTGTCAAACTCGACATCGAACTCGATGCGCGGCAAGATGCCAGCGGCGCTGGGAGCGAGCGGGCTGGATTTTGGCTCTGCCGGACCGTCGAGCACGAGTCCGGCGGAAATGAGTAGCTGCGATGAGATCGATCTCGAAAAGAGCCCGTTCGTTCACAGAATGAGACTAGATCGCATGGGTCTGACCATGGCGCCGGCGGCTTCGGGTGCAGAGGCGAGCAAGACGACGAGCGCCTCGGCCGACTTGCAGGGGACGCTCAAAGCACCGGAGGAAACAGCGATCGGCCAGGTTGAGCTCGGACCTGGTTCGCAGGGCAACATCGCAGGCTCAGGTGGCGACGATTGGTGGGAGCTGGACCACTTTGGCAGCATGACCAACGGCGGGTTTGGATCGGACGCCAATGCGGACCAGCCCTGGGCGGTGCTGAGCTGAGGGATCACGATACCTTGTTGACAGCAACGAGCTTTGGTCAATTCGGCGAGGACAATACCACGTCGACGACAATACCCTATACAACGATGCGCTTCTCGCTCTGTTCGGGAGCACAATATATCCGGATCTTTACTCGATCCTCCATTCCCACATCTCCCTTAACCTCGAAAAGATCTTCTTGTTCGGCTCTCGACTTGCTCTGCTTGTTCCCCAATCTCCCTTTCTCCCTTTTATCTTTCGAATGCTCATTCACTGTATCAGTCGTACCATCTGTTGTTCACGGTCAGTCGTGCTCTTTTCATTGTTCAGATTGTTTGTCATGATAACGTTGCCTTTTCCCCAGTCTTTATTGAACGGTGTGCGGTAAAAGCGCAGAGCAGCGCCCAGATGTTAGTGTCCGAGTACGGTGTGAAAAACGAGAGCAGTTGGAAGAGCAGCGGAAGCAGCGCGGTCGGATGAAAGGGAGAAGTCCAGATTTGATTACGAGGCGGAACGGGAAGCGTGGCTAGGGTGACGCAGTTACCTCAACGCATCAGGAAACTGCGGGACCTCAGTTGACTGTGAGAGACGCTGGTTTGTGACAAGGAGATCGAGATTCTGTGTGAGGAGGAAGCCAGACAAGAAAGTCAAAAAGTCGTTAGCGCCGAGAACGAATCATGTGGAGAATGCCTGTCCGAAGTACAGAAGAAGAAGAACCCTGCCAAGCATTGTGTCAGCTTGGCACAGCAGTTTGCGTTTCTTGGATCAGAGTGCCGATCGAAAGGCTGCCCTGTGGATGGGCTAAGCGAGAAGCTGCAGAGTCGGATAATTGTCTAACTTGAGGGGAGGGCGGCATTCCGGCTGTACGGAAGGAGAAATCCTTCGCCAATCGAGCTCGTCCGATTTGTCGTGGTCAAATTATCGCAACGAAATACCGGAAATGAAATTATTTGGCATTTCGGCACTGTGATCCCGTCGGTGGTGCGCTGTCGGTAGCTGCGCCTCCACTTTGCATGTTCTCACGTCGGGTCCATGTGAATCGCGGATTCCGGTCGTGCATCCACCTGCAGCATTCGAAGCCTCTCGTCCTCTGCGCCGCCTCTCGTAAGAAGCTGTCCTTCGTCCTGAGCTGCGCAGAGGCCTTGCCAACCCACTTCACCAGTCACATACGCTCAATCTCGCCCGCTTTCGTGTTCTCGTCCTCGTCTTATTGCGCTGCGCATCTCAGGTCCTAACCATCACCACCGTCACTGGAACAGGTATATACCCAAACCCCTCTCCTCTTCGCTAGAACGGTGCTTGCTCTCTGCTTCCCCACGTTCGCGTACGCCCACCCCATCCTCGGAAGCAAACCTCTTCGAGTCAAACAAGATGACGACGCTCAACGTCAAGGCGGGGCCTATGCTCCGATACGACAATGTCGATCTCACCTCGGGCATCTACCACGCCTACGCCATGATCGTCACCGAGGACGCAACCAGTGACTACCAGCTCACGCCCACTCTTCAGTACCGATGGGAGGACGCCACCAGCGTTTCGGCTACCAACGACGGCAAGACGGCCGTCACCGAAAACGAGTCGCACAAGCAATCCGAAGCCATCAAGCTTCACCAGTACCACGGCAAGGAGGGCTCCTTCACCTTTTGGCGTTTCAAGATCGAGGTTCCTCTCGCCGATCGCGAGCTTGCTGTCCACTACTCGATCGACGGCGAGGCACACCCCAACTCGCAATCCGAGGCCATCAAGGGCATGACCGGCCACACCTTCTTCGTCCCCTCCAAGACCGACAACTTCCGATGGGCCGGTCACAGCTGCAACGGCTTCAGCGCCTCGGTCGACGAGAAGGAGTTCAACGGTCCCAACCCTCTCTGGGACGACTTGCTCAAGGCCCACGCCAGCAAACCTTACCACGCCGTCATCGGTGGTGGCGACCAGATCTACTGCGACACGCTCGTTCGGGAGCCAGAGATGCAGGAGTGGAACAACCAGTCCGACCCCAAGAAGCGAATGAAGATGCCCCTCACAGACGAGATCCGCACCTGCATCGACCGCTACATGTTCAACCACTACTGCGAGTGGTTTGGCGGCGGATCCTTCGCCAAGAGCATCGCCCAGATCCCCATGATCAACATGCTCGACGACCACGATCTCATCGACGGCTTCGGTACCTACCCGGACGATCTCATGCGTGCCCCCGTCTTCAACTACGTCGGCGCTCGAGGCTACTTTTACTTCCTCCTCTTCCAGCTCTTTGTCAACGACGAGGTGGATGGTGTCAGCGAGACTTCGCACCCCAACAAGAGCATGATCATCGGCGGTGACGGCGTCTACATTCCCTTCAAGAACCACAGCTTGCTCTCCTACCTCGGTCCCAAGCAGTGGATCCTGCTGGCCGACTGCCGTTCCGAACGCAAGCTTGATCAGATCTGCAGCAAGGCCACCTACCAGCGCCTGTTCGATGCAGTTCGCAAGCTGCCTCCCGGCGTCGAGCACCTCATCTTTTTGCTCGGTGTACCGCTCGCCTACCCCAGAATGGTCTTTTTGGAGCGTACGCTGTCCAGCTCCATGAACCCGCTCATTATGCTTGCCAAGGGTCTTTCGCCTGGCTTCACCAACAACTTCAACGGTCAGGTCGAGCTGCTCGACGATTTGGGAGACCACTGGTGTGCCGGACCTCACAAGCACGAACGAAACTGGCTCGTGGAACGCGTTCAGGAGGTTGCGCTCGAGAAGCACCTCCGCGTCTCGTACATCAGCGGTGACGTCCACGCAGCCGGTGTCGGCGTCTTCTACGGCTACCACCAGCACGATCCCAGCTTGGACCCCAAGTACTCGCTCGCCGTCATCACCTCGGCCATCGTCAACACCCCACCCCCACCCGCGGTCATCTCGATGCTCAACAAGCTCGCCAGCAAGAAGCACCGTTCGCTCTTCTACTGCGGAACCAAGGAGACCATGGTGCCGCTCTTTGAAACCGATCTCAACGATCAGAAGCAGAAGGACAAGTACATCATCGGTGCACGCAACTGGTGTTCCGTCGAATACCTGACTGCCACTGGCGAGTTGGAGTTCGATCTTCGAGTGGAAAAGGTCAGAGGTGGTGGAGAGACAAAGAGCTATGCGGTCAAGGCTCCGGCTCCGAAATGGGATGTGGCGAAGCAGCATCATCACTTGCTGTTGACCAAGAACTTTGATAAGGATGTCGGTACGCTTAGGGGTACGGGTAAGGTGGGTGAGCCGGCAAAGGCGTAGATTAGATAGAACGTTTGTACGGCATTATACCCTGTATGGTTTTTGTAGCGCTCCCGATGTGGTTCGGGAGGCTGTCAGTGCTTGATTTCTTTTGATCGATGAATGATAAATGATTCTTCCAATTGCAAAAGAACGAGGGTTAGACAGGTTGAACAGCGTTCAACTGCTGCTGTTGTTGCAGTTGTTGAGCCATGACTCTTTGAAGTTCCTCCTTTCTGTTTTCCTCGAGACTGTATGCATCTGCTGTCTCCTTCGCCCCTTCCAGCGCTTTCTCCGCAGCCAACCGTCTCCCATCTGCTGTGGAGTAATCCAGCTCGGCGTCCCTCAAATCCCTCCTAATCGACCTGAGATTTGTCCTTTTCCCACCGAACAAGTAGTTCGAGATGAAAGTGGAACGTTGGGTTTCCAAGGCAAGGAGTTCGGAGTCGAGGTCGGGAGTGAGGATGGAGGCGGAGCTGAAGTGTGGAGTGGTGTTGGTGGCGGTGGTGGGAGCAGCTGGAGGAACGAGAGTGGATGGAGAGGGTAAAGCTGAGGAGACGGATGGTCCGGTGGGGATGGCGGATGTAGGCGTGATGGGAGTTTGCGAGGATGAAGTGCGCGAGAGACGCGGTGCGGCCAAGTGGTGAGGAGCGACAGAGGTGGAGGGAGAGTAAGGAGAGTTTTCGTGAGGAGATGAACCGGGATGGCCACCGGCGTAGCCACCGCGAAAGTCGTCTTCGGGACCAGCAGGGTGGAAGTGCGAGTCGTACGGGTTGGTATCCCGACGTCCACGTCCGAAGGCCGGATGACCGCCGCGGTACGGTCCAGTGGGGATCCCACCATCTCGTCCGGCGCGAGCGAAGCGACCGTTGGATGGGCTCATGTAGCTGCTTGCTTCGCGATCGCGATCCGAGCCAGGCGTGTAGACGCCGACGGAACCCGAACCTTCGCGAGCGCGGTACGCGGATGACGGATGTGTCGGCGGACCACCACGGGAGGCTTTGGGACCTGTGGGCGGCGTAGAGATGAAGCCCGAGTTGTCCCTCGCTGGTCCGCGCGGAGTGGAGTGCGGAGAAGGCGGTCTGTAACGGGACGGAGCTGCGACGTCGACTGTGTCGGCATCCCATGCTGGTGCTGCAGATGCTGCTGCTGGTCCAGTTGGTGGAGCTACTGCTGCTGCTGCTGCCGAAGACGATAATGGCGGAGGAGAACCTCGTCGGACGGGGTAGCCTGCCGGTGCATCCGGTCTATCTGCTGGTGCACCTGCCAGCTCTCGCTCCCTACCCTCCGACGATCCGATCGAGGCTCTGCTCCAGCCTGCCCTCTGCTCATATCTCGGATCGGCTCCAGGACTCCGCGAACGATCCCGCCTCGACGGTCCAAGATCCGGATGTCTCGCCCTCTCCCTCTCGTACATCTCCGCATCCCTCTCTCGATCCCTTCCAGGACCAGCCCCATAGCCACTTCCACATCCGCTCCTCTCCCAATCCCTCTGCCTCTCGCGCTCTCTCTCCTCCATCCTCTGCTGATATCTCTCCTCCTCTTTCGCCTCCCACGCCTCTCTCTCCCTCTCCAGCTCTATCCTCTCCTGCTCCGTCCTGGGCGGTGGTCTTCGGCTGTAGTCCCACGGCCTCGGCGGCGGGATCGCTTTGTGCACCCTCCTTCCGTGCGGTCGATCCGGATACCCGCGAGGCTCTGGATAGTAGGACGAGGCGTACGAGTCGCGTGCGTCGTACGCGGCACGAGCATCGGCATACTCGTGCTCGTCTCGAGGATGACGTGGAGGATAGCGACGGTCATCGCGGTAGGGACCGCCGCGACTGCGGTATGCTGATCCGTGGTATCGATCAGACATGTTGATGGGTGTGAGAGGCTGGAAAGATGGTGAGAATGTTGTGTGAGATGCAGAAGCGCTGATAGAGGTAGAGATGCAAATCCATAATGAAGGTTTCGGAATTCGGAACAAACATTTGAAAAAAAAAAATCCCTTCGCGCGGATAAGAAGCTTTGAGGATTTCGCGGGTCAGACGCTTGGTGAACGAAGCTTTGTCGAAATATGATGATGCTCAGGCGACGTTCGTTTTGCACCTACAGTATAGCTGGTGCAAAGTGGATTTTCCGCAGCTGTCACAATGCATCACGCCGTTGTGTGTGTGGCTGCTCCTCATACGACGAAGGCGCACGGTGTCGGTGGGATGAATCGCTGCAATAGCGTGAAAGCAAAGTTTCGGCAAAGTCAAGCCTTTCGTGTTGCTGGAGGTGGGTTGGAGGCTTGAACAAGAGCCAACAACGAGTTGGTGATCAGAGCATAGCAACTCTCTCACATACTGTACTAGCAGCTACCGGAAAGCTCGACATGCATGTTTGAGGGAAAGCGGCAAATCACATACCTTGAGCAATGAAGAATGCAAATGTCGAGACTCGACTATCCGCGCCGGTCATTGAGTGGTCGAAAGCAGCTGCATATGACCGAGATCGTCTGTCCTTCGGTCAACAGATGAGAGCAGGTGGCGTCCGTCGTGTCATTGCTAGTCTTTGCAGCCGAGTCCGGTGTTTTTATCCATGCCCGACCTTTCGACCTCATCAACTTATAAATGGAGTCGAAGGCAGCATGTACAAGTCGCTCCTTTGAATCTTTCGTTCTGGCTCTCGAGATGGACGTCGCTTCGACACCATGAAGACTGCCTCATTCATCGCTTCCTGTGTCGTGTCAGGGCTACTGTCCAATGTCGTCCCTGTGCTAACCGTCCCAGCTTCAAACACCTCTGGCTCGCCTCCACGCTCTCCATTCTTGAGCGATTCACCAATTTATTCTGGTGGCGAACCAGCTGTCGACCCGACAGGAGCTTTCTGGACGCACCACTACGACCATGTACAGCCAGTCTCACACGATGGTCTAACCAGGACGAACAGCGCAGGTGGTCCGCTTTCCGCCGTGCTCAGTACGTCTGATTCGGTCGCAGCTCAGCACGTGCCTCGACAAGCGGGTTTCGTGGATCTTCTGCATTCGGTGTCTTTTCCTTCGCTGTCTCACTTTCTGACATCGACCGATGAAAAGCAGGATCCTACTATGATTGCAGGACCGAGCTCGGTCTCGCAAAGAGGCATAACACCACCAAGAGACCACAATCTTGCTTCCTCGAGCTTGGTACCATCAAGGCAATTTGATTCCGGAGTCGCGCGCTCTTCCATTCAGCAGATGCCTCATTGGCATCGCGGGGACTCGAGTCCTAGCGCACAAGTTTCACAGGTCGAGCAAGAGAATCGCGACGAGCTCAGTGCGCTGACTCTGTTGTACCAAGATCAGAGTGAACTGCATCTGACCCTCGCAGAGCGGGTGATTATCAAAGAAGCTTACCAGCTTGCTATTCGGGGCGATCTTGTTGGCGCTCGAAGGCATCTGGACATGCATCACTTGGTTCCCTCGAGCTTGTTCAGAGCGCTTTCGGACGAGAACATGATCAAGCGTATCTTCACGACCGATTCCCAAGAACCTTTCGAAGGCGTGGATTTCGACCACATGTCGCCACTCATGAAAAGCGTCTTCCGACAACAAGTTCAAGATTTCCAATCCAAACTGCGGGCCGATCACCATCGAAACAAGGGATCCATCCTTGCCAACGACAGATACGAGGCACCAGAGCCTCGAGCATTTACGCCTCTCCAAAAACTCACCGCCCATTACAGCATCCCCAAACATTCGGATCTCGTCCAACATCGACCTGAAGGGACGGTCATCTTCTATGGATTGAACGGTGCAGGCACCAAAAGGCTGCGTCTCGGCACTACACCCAATGTTGCCGACACCTTGTCCTCGGTACGTCTCTCCGGAGGGAGGTTGCTCGCGGATCGGGCGACTTGGAAGAAAATGGGTATGAGAATGCTTTTCGCCCAATCCCCAAAGGTGGCGTATGGCATCGTAGAGTCGAGCATCTTCAAGGGCTTCTTTCCGTGGCTGCCAGAAGCAGATGCTGAGAAGCTGCGCGACGGTACGGTGGCAATGATCGAGGTGCAGAAGGAGGAGTTTGGTTATTCCTACAAGCTGTTTTCAGTGTTCGATACGACCTTATTCCGAGGGCTGCTTGCTGAGGTCGAACACGTTGGGGCAAGGATCGCACGGTGAAGATACAGCAATGGGCATTGCTTTCCGACTGAACGCGAGTTAAACTGTGCAGCGGTACAAAAAATTGGGTACTACTTTATTGAGACTGAAAGTGATGTTTGTGTTCGCTTCAAATCTTGTCCTCATGAGGAAAGAATCCACTTCTCACAACTCATTTGAATAGCGAGCTTTCCTTCGATGCAATGAAAGATTGAATCCCTAGAGACGGAACCAGGCCCTCACATACACGAAATTCTGGTGTCAGGGTAGCTTTCGCAAACGAAGGACCGTCTTCTCTTAGAAGGGCAGACATAGACTCTGGCAACTTTGATATTCTTGCAGGTCTTCTTGAAAGGAGTTGATCGGAATCGAGAGGCGATAGATTTTCAGAGTTAGTGGACACCCTCTCTTCACCTTTCAAAAGAGGCCAGAACAGGAGTCGAAGTATCGAGCTTCAAGTTGAATGTGCTGAGGGACAATGTTTGCGTTGCCTGCCGATCAGCTCGGCGTAAAGGCTCAGTCAAGCTGCCGCTAAACGCGCCATATGAGCAAGGGGAACCCACCGGGTGGGGTGATGTAGGAGATGAATCTAACCACTGTACAGTACGAGCTCGAGGTGCCGCACGCCTATGCTCCCACCCACCTGACATGAGGGATACGGGCGTTGCTCGGTGACAGAATGCTCCTCTGTTCCATTGGCACCATTTCATTTGTGGAAAGAGCAAAAGAGAAGGGGGTTTTGATCGAGCATCTTTTGCGCCCATTGGTGGGGAAGACTATGTCGACAATGTCGACGTTCAACTACAGCGCATAAGCTTCACGAAGCAATCCTGATCTTGTCACATGCCATACTGTGGGCGTAAGCGAGCTGGACCCCTAGTGTCACTGGATCAGCAACCCCAAGAAGTATAAAGATCTGGAATTTCCAGTCCGACGAAGAGGTCCAGCCTGCAAGCTCATCAACTGTGCTGGCCACCAACTGTCTTCCTGTTCGCACTCCTATCCTCTCCCTCCTTCGAAGGCTGGCACTTCGTAGTTCTCTTCCGTCTTACCAATCTCGTCAAGACCCCTCGAGATTCAACGTGGCAGGATGAAGCTGCCCTTTGCAATCGTTCTTGCAGCGATCACATTGGCATGCTGTACGACGACCTCTCTGGCATACAACAAGCCTACAGGACCATTTGCGACCCGATATCATGACTGTTGTCGAGCAGCTTTCAGCTACGATCATCCGGCTGCGCACATGTACTCTCCGGTCGACACGTGTGAGAAGGACGGTGTGACGCTGATCCCCAAGTCTCAGCAGACGTCGGGCAAGAATGGCTGCGATGACGGCGGCAACCAGTTCACGTGCAACTGTATTGCGCCTTGGGTCGACTCAATCGATCCGCAACTCGCCTACGGTTTTGGAGCGTACAACATCCACGATCCAGATGGCACCATCGAAAGTGCGTGCTATTACAACAAGTTTCTCGCTCAAGATCCGAACGACAAGACGATGAAAGTACGCAAGATGATCTTGCAGAACATCAATACGAGTCAGGGCATCCCGAAAGGATGCTGGGACATGAACCTTGCAGGGGGTGGTGTAGGCGGTTACAACAAGGGATGCACCAACCAATGGGGATCGGATTGGGGTCAACGCTGTGGAGGTGTGGACAGCCAGGAGGCGTGCTGCAAGCTGCCTGAAGGGCTTCGATCGTCCTGCCTGTTCCGCTTCGTGATGTTCGGATCGAATCCGGGTTTGGCCTCGACACCGAAGAGGGTGCGATGTCCGGTCGGACTGATCGATCGAAGCGGCTCGCAGAGGCAGGACGATGCCACAGTGGCGCCCTACAGCGGCGAAACAGACCAGACAGGACATCCTGCTCCCGACAAGTATCAGCGCAACCGAGCCGTATGCCAGAACATCGATCCCATGGGCATCGTGAGCTCCGTCTGCGGAGGCGTTGCAGGCGGGGCTCGTCTGCCCAAAGGCTCGGGCATGGTACGCCAGGATTCGCCTGGAGCAAGCGTGCCGGGTGAGAGCGGATCATCTCCTCCGACGGGGTACCAGCCTGATAGTGATAATACGTCTCCTGATACAGGTGGTCTGGCAGGTACTGTCGGGGCTGGCGAGACGTCACCTGATCAGCCAGGCTTGCCCGAAGGCGGGCTCGGCGATAAGGGATCCCCATTTGCACCTGACGCCCAGACACCAGGCGAGGGTATGCAGTCTGGAGGAAACGGTCCGCCCAAAGCGAGTCAGCCTCGGGGCTCAGCAACGAACGGCCAGGGCTTTGACGATGGCGCAGGAGCACCTCAGCCTTACACTCCTGGGTCATCAATGCCGATCGCCAATCCGAACACTCCCGTCGGCCCACTCGGCGGACTTGCTGGTCACCGCCGCGGCGTGTGCGCCCACAAGAAGCACAAGCACAATCATAGCTGAGAACATTGGCGTCCTGCGAGCGCTCTTGCTTTCTGACAGGTGCCGAGGCAAGAGATGCTCCCATATGTGTATCACCGATGAGCACGTACTCGAATTTGAAATCACTCATTCGCGACCAGAGTCGGTGGATCAGGCCCAAGCCGCTCGCTCTGTGAAGTCGGTGACCCCGTTATGTCTGTTAAGCTCGATTGAGATCGTTATCAAGTCTGAGTTCGCAACCTCCTTTAGTAACACGTGAGCATTCAGAACAAAGATTGGGCTGAAAGCGGACATCAAAAGTGTCAGCCGAGCTACCAGCGTGTTTTCTATCTTCTGTCGGCTCTGCGGTTGACGTCCCACGAGTTGTCAAGGGGAAGGCGCTCCGCACAAATGGAATTCTAGCCCTTTTGACAGGATTTTGCGACCCGCAGGTTCGCAACGTGATGTTTGAGAGACAACGCGTGGGCGTGAAACATTCGGTTCCTTCTCTGTGCGCTTTGGCCATGCCAATTAATTTTCCTATGGAGACGTTCGAGTTTAGCGAAGGCAACGCCGCCGCCGCCGCCGCTGCTGCTGCAGATGACGTTCTCACGCAAGGCTCGCATGCGATTCGGCATGGCCGCTCAGTCGCACATCCCGATAGCGTCACAGCCGCTTTTGGCTCTTCGACTTGGGGACAATTGACAGGCTACTGTATCAGCCCTTCATTGTGCAATCAGCCAGCTGCGACGTGCTCTCCTTGTTTCCCCCCACCATCTCTCCCTCCACCGATCGATCCTGCTTGCACGAGTTTCGGCCCCTCAAAAAAGCCCATCGACGGCCAGAACTGCCCACTGCCGTCCGATGCGCTGAGCCCTGCTTTGCAAAATGGCGTCCTTCCTCAAACACAAGGACCACGCAGCTCCTGCGCTTGCGACCGCAGCTGACCCATCTGAAGCGCAGATCAACGCGGCTCATGCCAAGGATGCCGCCGAAGAAGCAGCCGTCAGCGCAAAGTTGAAGCAGAACGAGGCCGCCGGTGCTCGTGTCCTCGAGTTCGACGAAAATGCTACTCCACAAGAAAAGGCTGCACAGGCTGCCAAGGCGATGGACCGCATCAAACCCAAGAACGCTCCAGCAGCCCCTCAGAGTTCAGGCATCGCAAGCGACATTGGCGGAAAGAAGGTCGACCCTACTCTCAATCTCAAGGACGTCGATAAGCTCAATCAGCAAGAAAAGGACGCTCCCGGCTCGCTTCCAGCCGGCCAACCCAACGCCAACCTCCAGCCCGGAACCGTGGCAGGCTGGGCTGCTGCGTCACTCGCCGCAAGAGGCCTTCCGCTTGATCGCGCCGTCAACACCGATGAGGAGGCTCAACGCGATTTTATCACCGCCTTCATCGGCGAAAGCTACCTTGGCTACTTCTGGTGGAACGCCTCGGTCATCATCCTCGCCGTCCTCTGCACTTACTTTGCTACACGTCTTGGAGGCGGTCTCGCATCCATCTGCATCATCGCTGCTTTCTGCTCCACCTACTACAACACCAGCATGCGACGCACTCGACAGCGTGCCCGCGACGACATCACTCGCGAGCTCGCCAAGAAGAAGATGGTCTCGGAACACGAGTCTGCCGACTGGATCAACCACTTCCTCTCGCGCTTCTGGCTCATCTACGAGCCCGTCCTCTCCGCCACTATCATCGGCATCGTCGACCAAATCCTGGTGCAAAACTGCCCTTCTTTCCTCGACTCGATCCGCATGACCACCTTCACCTTGGGCACCAAAGCACCTCGCATCGACTCGGTCCGCACCTTCCCCAACACCGAAGAGGACGTCGTCATGATGGACTGGAAGTTCAATTTCACACCAAGCGACGTCCTCGACCTCACGGTCAAACAGGCCAGCCAGAAGGTCAACCCCAAGATTGTCCTGACCGTTCGCATCGGCAAGGGCTTTGTTGGCGCAGGCCTCCCTATCCTGCTCGAGGACATCAACTTTGTCGGCCACATCAGACTTCGCATGAAGCTCATGAGCAACTTTCCTCACGTTCAGCTCGTCGACATCTCGTTCATGGAACCACCAAAGATCGACTACGTCCTCAAGCCTATCGGAGGCAACACGTTCGGCTTTGATATCGGCAACATCCCTGGCCTCTCCGACTTCATCCAGGGTCAGATTCACGCCAATCTCGGCCCGATGATGTACAACCCCAACCTCTTCACCATCAACCTCGAGCAGATGATGTCCGGAACCCCGCTCGATACCGCTGTCGGTGTGCTCCAGGTTAACATCTGGTCGGCGCGCAACCTCAAGGGAGTCAAGCTCGGTGGAGGCACACCAGACCCGTACGTGACGCTTTCCATCGACAATCGCGACGTTCTCGCCAAGACCTCGGTCAAGAAAGGCAGTGCTAACCCCCAGTTCAAGGAAACCAAAGTCGTCTTGCTCAACAATCTTAACGGCATGCTCACCATGGCCGTCATGGACTTTAACGAACACCGCCCCGATTCAACCCTTGGTCAGGCCGCCTTCGACCTCAAGGAGCTCATGGAAGATCCTGAGCAAGAGAACCTCAGCACTCCGGTCATCCTGGACGCAAAGGAGCGCGGTGAGGTGCAGTACTCGCTCTCCTACTACCCTGTCCTCAAACCCGAGGTGGGCGAGGATGGCCAGCCCAAGCCGATGCCCGAGACTCGCTCAGGAGTCGTGCGCTTCACCTTGCACCAAGCCAAGGAGCTCGACAAGCGCGCTGGATTCGGTGGCGAACTGTGTCCCAAGGGTCGCATCAAGCTCAATGGTCAGACAGTAAAGGACACCATCGTCATCAAGCGCAGCACCAACCCCATCTTCGAAATGCCCGTCGAATTCCTTGTCACTGACCGCAACAAGGCCGTCATCACCGTCGAGATTCTGGACGACCGTGATCTGCGCGCCGATCCTGTGGTTGCGTATGTCAGCATTAGACTCGACGACCTTCTCGCGGCCAAGGAAAAGCAGCAGGACTGGTTCCCGCTCAAGAGCTCCAAGAACGGTCGCGTGCGCATGTCGGCCCAATGGAAGCCAGTGCAGATGTCTGGCAGCATGAACGGAAGCAGTGGATATACACCCGCCATCGGTGCCGTCAAGTTCTGGATCAAGCGCGCCACCGACGTCAAGAATGTGGAAGGAATGACCGGAGGCAAGTCGGATCCCTACGTCCAGCTTCGTGCACGTGGTCAAGCCGTCGATGGCTCTACAATCGTCAACAACAACCTCAACCCCGAGTGGGACGAGATCTTGTACGCTCCTGTCCATTCACTCCGCGAGAAGATCACGCTCGAGATCATGGACTACCAGAACACCGGCAAAGATCGATCGCTTGGCAACGTCGAAGTCGACGTCGCTCAGCTCGCCACCGAATCCAGCGGCGGAGATCCGCGACACAGGTACTCGGGCACTGGCAAGCAGGTGCATAAGGATAAGATTCACCTCGGACGTGGTATCTACAAGGGCCAGATCGAGTTCGACTGTGAGTTCCTGCCAGCAGTGAACATCAAGGGCGCCGAGTTTGACGAGCGCGAGAACGAAGCTGTCGCAAAGAGTGGCGCTATCCGTGAGGAACCTGAGGAGGAGGCTGAGGCATCTGGTGTCAACGGCGTCGACAAATCCAAGGCGGTCACCAACGGCGTCGGAGCAGCTTCAGGCCATGCTAAGAAGGCATCGATCGCTTCGATTAGCAGTGTCAAAGCAGCTCCCGCCACCGGTCGCCCGTCAACCGCAGACGCGGCTGCAGAGGGCATCACGCTTTCCAAGGAGCAGTTGCTTCAAGAACAATCCGGTATCATCGTGTTCAACATCTTGCAAGGTCAGCTACCTCAGAGCAAGAAGCACGCTCGTCTCGAGGTGCTCTTCGACGATGGCTACTGGCCAGCCTACACCACGGAAAAGGCTCGCACAGCTCACCACACCTGGGACGAGGTTGGCGAGTCGGTGGTCAAAGAGCTCGACTGGTCCAAGTTTCTTCTCAAGCTGCGCACCGGCGATGGCGACGACGACGTGTTTGCAGAATTCGCAGGCAACACCAAGGATGTGCTCGAGAAGGCGCTCAACTCGCAGTACGAATTCCGACTGCACAACGCCGCTGGCGCTCAGGTGGCTAGTGTTGTCATGCAGTGCCGATACATCCCGATCAACCTGCACCTCGAGCCCGTTGAGAGCGTCAACAATCAGGGTTTCCTCCGTATTGACCTGGTCAACGCGCGAAATCTTCGAGCAGCTGATCGCGGCAACCGCTCCGACCCGTACTTTGCCTTTGTGCTCAACGGAGAGCGGTTGGCAAAGTCCAAAGTGGTCAAGAAGACGCTCAATCCAGACTACAACGAGAACTTGGGCGAGTTTAAGGTGCCCTCGAGAGTGCACGCCGAGGCCATCTTTGAAGCGTACGACTGGGATCAGGTCGGTACACCTGACAAGCTCGGTAAAGCCCAGGTGGATCTGTCTGTGCTCGAGCCGTTTGAGCCGTTGCAGAAGACCTATGCACTCACCGGCAATGGCGCCACGGAGAACTCGGAGGTGACCTTGCGCTTCGTGTTCAAGCCCGACTTTGTCACGAATCGCGAGCGCAAGGGCACCAGCATCAGCCGCACATTCACGTCGGGCGTGGCCGGTGTGGGTCGCGTCGGAGCCGGTGGTGTAATGACGGTTGGGACCGGAGTGGGCAAGGTGGGTATGGGTGTCGGGAAAGCCGGGTTCGGCGTTGGAAAGGGTGTTGTGGGCGTTGCAGGTAAGGGTGTCGGTGGCGTCACCAAGGGAGTGGGTGGCTTGATTCGTCCAGGCGGACGCAAAGTCTCGGCGAGCGAGATCGCTGCTGGTGAAGAAGCGCTGCTAGATCCAGCCACTGGCGAGATGGTAGCGCCGGAGTACGTGACCGATGGCCTGCCTGCTGCATCTGCGGGAGCGGGTCTGCCTGCAGGCCTCAGCAGCATCCCGGTGCCTGCGATTCCGGAAGATGCCGACGCCAGCGTGGACCACGACGCTCGCTCGATGGCCGAATCGCAGGGCACGCCGTCGAAGCGCAAGTCGAGGTTGCACAATCCTTTCAAGCGTCACAACAATTGATTTGCACAGTCAGAGAGGATTTCTATTGTACATAGGTTCCTGAGATACCAAAGGAGTGTTGATTTGCTTATATCGCTTGATCGTGGTGTGTCGCTGTGAGGTGATCTCACTCAGCTCTGTAGGAAAGGCAGTGTGGGGGGAACAAAACAAGCCTGTCTCTCCCTTCTCGCATCTCAAATTGCAATCTACCATTGCGAATCAGGGCAACACAACCGGACCATGTTCATTCTTCAATTCGACACTACACTCTATCGATCAAGCACATTTTGGAAGAGAAAACCTGAGTTGTGTTGCAAAGCATGCAGCTGTGGAGGAGGGGACCTAAATACGACGGAAAGCAGCGATACTAGCGCTGGCATTGGCAGCTTCCTCTGACCTACTCGCAACCTTAGCATTGGACTTGGGGTGCAATCTTCCGAGCATGATCTCTTGATCCGTGAGGTTGGCTAGTCTGTGGGATTCTGCTCTGATGAAGGTGACGATACGGTGGAGGTGATGGGGGAAAGCGAGTTCGGGGTGGGCGGCTGCGAGGGGGTCGATTGCGGGGAGGATGTTGCCCGTTTCTGGCATGGTGGCAGGATTGTGCGCGGTGGGGGGTAGAGTTGATGATTGGGCGTTGGATCGTTCGGCGGCTAGGCTGGCGGAAGCAGCACGAGCGTAAGGGCTGGCGTTTTTGGACGAGAGTCGGGGATCCAAACTCGCGACATCCCTGGCGAGCTCCGGCTGTCCTTCCGGATCTTCCTTCTCGCCCTTGACGAGTTTATCCACACCAGCGAGCTTTCGTTTGACTCCAGCAACAGTTCCCCAACCAGCTCCCCAGATGTTCCTCCACACAGCCTGTGCCAGAGTGGCATCACCACTAGCCAACCCTTCATCGTAACCCAACACCGATCCCCGCTGCTGCATATGCATGTCCCTCATATACCCTTTGACCAATCGAGATGTTTGTACGCCGAAACGATCGCGCATGCGGGATTCGGCGTCGATGAAAAAGTGATTGATGAGTTCCTGAGAGTAGGTCTTGTTGGCAGCCTTGTCGAACGCCCTGAACCGCGCGAGCAAGAGGTACACGTGGAGGTTGGTGATCTGGAACCACGTCTGGTAGGTTTCCGGAAGCGCACAGTCTCCGTACCAGAAGTTCCGCTCGACATGGGCTCGTTCGGCACAACGATCGTAGAGGTCGGAGGTGACGCGGATCGAGGTGGAGGTGAGCGAGTTGTAGCCCATGAGCTTGGCGAGACCCTTGACGATGGAGACGGTGATGGGCGAGTAGGGCTCTTTGGAAGGAGGTGGCGCGCTGGGTGAGAGCTGGGATGTGTGGAGGAGCGGATTGGACTTGTCCTTGGACGAGCTTGGCGGTGAGGACTTGTTGAGGGTGGGTGTCGAAGTGTACGTTCTCCCGGTGGCGATGGCTGCTGTCGAGGTGGTGGGCAGCAGGACGCCAGTGCGCGTGGCAGCGGCCAAGCTGGAGGAAGAGGCTTTGACAAGCATTGCGGGAGTTGAATCAATCTGCAATATCGATGGTAGCGGTGCGAAGGAGGAAGCAAAGGACGTGCGTGCAGGTTGCACCTGTGGGTCAAAGATGGTGTCGAGCCACCCTTTTGCTTTTTCTTTGCTAACCAAATCTTCGCATGCTTTGGCGAACGCTAAAAAAGGGTTCACCTTTTCGAGGGAATTTGACCCTCCTCGCCCGGCACATCGGACCCTGAGGAAAAAGGGGAAAAAGAGTTTCCATGAAAGGGGGAGGTTTATATAAGTTATGTCTTTGCTGCGCAACATTGCTCCTCGCTGCGCCAGCATAGCTCAGCATTAGCGGTGCTAGTCAGCCGTTGAGTCAGCCAGGCTTTAAAGGATGAATGATCGAACCGTCGCAGCAGAGGTGGCGGACTCCATGCTATTCGGTTGATGGCCCGTTCGCGTGCGATGACTGATACAGGTGGGTGGAGGCAGATCTGTGCAGAATCGGGCGCCACGAGTGCGAATCTCGATGGGGTCGCGGAAGAAGGAAAGGCCGCGGATGTAACGGGCTCGAGCCACATTTGAGTGAGTGGCTTTACGTGCCTGGAATTTCGAGAAACTTTTTTTGGTGGTTGAAATTCGTAATTTTGCCGGTTTCGTGTGTAACATACATGTGTCGTCGTGCAGCGTCGGTCAGCAGACCGCAACACGCAAGCTTTGCTGCAGCAGCAATGTCGAAATTGTGGACCCTGCTGCTGCCCCTGGTTCAAGAAGCTTTGCTGAATCTGGACGGACAGCTCTTCTCCCCCATCATCATCCCTTGTCGTCAATAGCGCGGTCGTACCTGTGCACCGAAGTACGAAGCAGTAGTGATGATCAAGTCGGCTGCTGCGGTGGTCGCCGGACCATCCCGTCTGCGATCAGCAGTGTCAATAGCGTCAACAGCATCGCGATCCGGGCAGGCTAGCTCGGCATCGTTCGCGACGTGCTCCTCATCCCGCTCATGGCATCATCATCATAGAGACTTCGCTGCATCTTCAACACGATCTCCCTTGCGAAGCAAAGGCAAGCAACGAGCCATAGAGCCATCCACCCTGCCGCCAACGTCGTGCGCATGCCATTTCCAACAGCGCCGTCACCAACAGACGTTCGTTCGCACGCTCTCGCCATCAGGCGGTCAAGCCCGCATCCAACTCAAATCCACCCGCAATGGCGTCTTCGGTCTGTCGACCAGCCGTGGTACACGCGCGTACCAGGAAGATACCGCCTCGGTCTCGTGCCTCCACGTACCCATAGAAGAGTTGAGGCGCAACTACCTCAAGCTCCATTCGCTCTCGTCGTCAGCTGCGGGCGCCGCTGCAGCGAATGCTGCGTTGGAATGGGATCCGGAGAAGGCGGGGGGAGAAGAGCTGGCCGGCCAGGTAGTCTGGTTTGGCTGCTTCGATGGGCACGGCGGTCAGCAGGTGTCGAGCTTTCTCAGGGACCATCTGCATACTACGTTCGAGACCGTAGAGAGCGACATGGTCACAGACACGGTGCAGTATACGAGGGAGCTTGGAGGGTACTTTCGTCGATTCACGGGTGGAGTGTTGGAGCGATGGGTGCGCAAAGATAGACTCAAGCCGGTGCGAGCAGGTCCGGCGCCGGGGCGCAGACCTCCAGTAGTGGCTGCTGCTGCTCCTCCCAAGACGCAAACAGCCGAAGACAAGCAAGAGAGCTCCACTCGAACGACAGGCTCGGAGGAGCAGGTGGATCATTTGACGAAACCAGAATCCTTGTCGGACATGCTGAGCCATGAAGGCAAACCACAGGAATCGAGCAAGACACTTCTGCAGCCGACGCGTCAAGAAGGAGCCATCAAGATTGGGGGCAGCGCAGACGGGCTGGGCAAGAAGGCAACGGACAACCAGACACCAACAGGATTTGCAGAACAGGGCTGGGATCGACTTATCGAGCGCATCCCGCCTCCCGAGGGCATGGAGAAGGAAACCATGACGATGGCCGAGCGTCTCACTCTGGCCTGGCTTGTCGCCGATAGACAGATCCAGTCATCGCCCAAGTTGGACGTCGGAGGCAGTACTGCCTCGGTGGCACTGCTCCACTCGCTCGACATGCCGTCGCTGCCATGGTACTCTTCCGAGTATGTGGGCGTGCACGTGGCGCACGTTGGCGATACGCGCGTGCTCATGTGCTCTGTCAAAGACGGCAAGGCTATCCCATTGACGAGCTACCATCATCCTGACGATCGGTCCGAGTCTGAGCGACTGCGCAAGATGGGCGCGGGCATGATCACCGACTCGTTCGGCGAGGCGAGGTGGATGGGCGCGCTGGCCAACACGCGAGCGTTCGGCGACTCGCGATTCAAAAAGGTGGGCATCACGGTGGAGCCCGAGATCTTTTCGCAGGTGGTGCGTGGCAGCGACTACGGCTTCCTGATCGCGTTCAGCGACGGCGTGGGTGGAGTCATGTCGGATCAGGAGGTGGTGGATTTGTGCAGAAACGCGAAACACCCAACGCAGGCAGCGCAGAACGTGCTTACGTTTGCAGAGGAGCTGGGCGCGCAGGACAACTGCACGGTCATGGTGATCCCGCTCAAAGGATGGGGTCAGGTGGGAGGTCAGGATCTGACTAGGGAGAGGCGAGAAATGCGCAGGTCCAAGATCGATGTGTTCCGTGACAACCGCAGGTGAACGATCATGCACGGAGTTTGCAATACATTATACACTCGTTCTAGCACAGTTGAAGGAAACTGTGTGATCGATTCATTCACGGTGTGGCAGTGAAGAGGCGCTGGCGAATGCAGTCGAGCAGCGTGCAGTCGTCAATCACCCGATCCGAGTTAGACCGCATCGGGCTGCCGACGCGTCTTGGCCTGCTGCAATTGTCGAGCTTGAACCGCGTAAATGAATGCCGGTCCAGCACTGCCAGACACGAGCAGCCACGACGCCCATCGCCTTGCATGCTGGAGGTGCTGCTATGCTACGTCCTTGTCATAGACGACAATCGTAGGGACATCGAAACTGCGGAAAGCGTGGTCAGCATCAATGCTTTGGAGCAGGGCTGAGTGACCTTCAGAAGCAGAAAAGTGGAGTTGCAGTGGAAGTCGAAATCAAAATTACACTAACAAACACAACAGAGAGGCACCACAACCGCGCCGCTCCGCAACGCCGACGCGCTTCTCTTTCTTCGTGGTTGTCATTTAATGGAAAGCTTTGTCGGCCGTTGCTGCTATCACCAGCTTCCACCATGTTGGATTACGAAGGTCTTTGATGCCGTGCACCTTTCTCTTCAATGATGATGCTACCTACGCAAAGGTCTGTGGAGTTGACTCTGTCTTTCGACGTGTGTGAAGCTGTCGAAAGGGAACGTTGTGAGCAAGACGAGCATCAACGGGAAGATCCTGACCCTCAGCCTGCAGCTCCGAGCCGATGCAGAAGCGGACAGGCTCGAGACGAATTTTGTGTGCCGCCTCCTGGCTGCTCAAACGAGCGGCTCAGTGTCGCTGCTGCTGCTGCTGCTGTTGCTCTCGGTCACGTCAGGTGCGACTCGACTCGCTTCTCCTTTTCCTCTTTCCTCATCACCATCGTCTCGGCCCAAGCACCACTTACGGAAAATCACACACCTTCCGCTCCTTCCTCCATCTCCTTCTCCGCATTCCCACCTCGCTGCCTCAACCCTCCCCATCGCGATCGTCAATCCGCTTACGCGCTCCTCCTCGAAGCTACCGCTACCTACCATTGGGCGCCATCGTCTAGTCATACATCATCGCCTCTCAACGTACACACGATCCGGTCCCTCTCGTCGTGCAGTACACGGTCTCCAGTGATATCTGTGGTCATTCACTCTCTCTGCACTCTGGATACGCATTCAATTCGCGGGAATTCGCCAACGCCTTTCGCCTCTGCGCGTGTCTATCCAAGCATTGCCATATAGCTTCTTCCCACCGACGCACTCGTATCGGGACGCATGCACCTCGACTCGTGATCGTCTACATAAGCGCGGTCTATCGGTGCGACTGCCAGACTTTGCCCCGAGTCGTTTCGACGTGTCACTCCCAGTCTCGCCTGCTGAGTCTGCATTGCAACTATGCCGCTGGTCAAACGAAAGCCAGTCGAGCCCTTCCCACCGCCAACCGCCACGGGCTCTGAAGATCCTGATGTCTTTTTTCTCGCGGCCACCGGCGAGGTCTTCGCCGATTTCGAGACATACTCGAACCGGCTAAGCTTCTACAACCAGAAGGTCTTCCAGTGCGAGCTCACCGGTAAGATCAACCTCACCTACTTTGAGGCTCTCAAGAGCGAACGCAAAGAGGCCATCGCCCTCCACAAGATCTTTCCAGAGCAGCTCAAGGGTCCCGTGCTCAAGGCGGTCCAGTTCCAGATCACTGGCCGTATCGATGAGCTCGTCGACCGCGTTTACGATCGCTTCAAGGACCGTTTCTTCCCCGGTGAGACCGTCTACTTTGACCTCGATGGCGACAAATACTTTGCTCGCATGACAAAGGTCGATGCTCCCATCAAGCAGGCTCCCCTCGCGAATGGTGACGCTGTCGACATCGACGTCAAGCTCGAGCCCAATGGTCATGCAGAATCATCCACTTCAACTCCGCGAGCCTCGCCATCGCCGTCGCCATCACCAATTCACACAGTTGGTACCAACTTGACGCTCGAGCTCGATGAAGCAAACCGCCTCGACGATCCGGCTCAATACGTCTACACCGTCGATCTTATCGACGACGAAGATGAGCCTACCGGCGGAACACACATTACCTCGTCCGAGAAGCTGAGCCGCGACCGCCTCGCCTTCTCCAAGACTATTCTTCGCAAATATCTTCGCGATTGCATTGTTCGTGCGGCCAATATCGGAGCAGAATGGAGGGTCAAGGAATGGCTCGCTCTCAAGTATGGCATTCCGCTCGAGCCTACCGACGAAATCATGGAGAAGAACGAGGCGCTCAAGGACGCCAAGCTCTCCAAGCGCAAGAAGTACCTCCTCGCAGACGGAGATGATTCCCCCGGCTCGGCCAGCAAGAAGATAAAGTCGGACGGTAAGAAGCTCAGCGCTTCCGCACAGCGCAAGGCGGACGAGGCCGAGAAGGCCGCCATCGAAAAAGCAAAAGAGGAGGAGAGGCTTCGCAAGAAGAATCTCAAGTATCCCATCGAAGATCTCGAGCTTGACCCCATTACCAAGCGTGAGCTCATGTTCAAGATGCCCAATGAGCTCGAGCGGCGCAAAGAGCGACCGCTGCCAGCACGCGGCGAGCATGCGCTTCCAGTGCCCAAGGAGCTGTTCGAGGCCTTCCTCGGCACCTACTACTTCCTCATATCCAAAGGCAAGCCACTGCTCCTCTCACCTTTCACCATGGACGACTACGAGCAGGCGCTCCGACACAGTCTGTCAGACCCATCTTGTACTCTGATCAACGAGATCCATCGTACGCTGATCAACCTCATCGTTCGCGACGGCGGCTCCAATCTCATGGCTCAGGGCTCTGCTCTCGTCGCCAGCCTTGACGCAGCTACATCAGCACCCGCCAGCATCGACGGCGATGCGGAAGATGAAGCAGCAAGCGAAGCCGGCTCTGACATTGACGAACTCGACCCCACACCCAGTGGCCCCCAGGCGAATGGCAATGGCCACCGTAGCAGCGGCCACAGTGCTGAGGCCGAAGCCATCGCTGGTCTTCTGGATGCTGCTCACGAGCTGAGCAAGGGATGGGAGAAGCTCACCATTCGCGCCGACAACCGCCGCGAGCGATGGGAAAACAGTCTGGTCGGTCTAATCGCCGCTCGTGCTACACCTGATATCCTTCCGCGCATGATTGGCATCCTTTCCCATCTCACCGCCGTAGAACACGCAGACGGTTACATCGACGGCAAATTCGAAGCCGAACTCTACGACACGCCATCGCAGAGGTATCCGCTCTTGCCCTTGGCCGACAAGCTGCAGATCATCGACTTTTTGTGCATCTTGGCTGTCGAGACGAAACCCGTCAAGGCGTTTTACGACGAATGCGAGGCCCAACTCACCGAGCTCAGGAAAGAAAAGATCGAAGTGAGTAGGGCCAGGAAGGAGCTAGCCACGGCGTGGGAAGAGTTCGAAGGCAGCAAGAAGGAGGAGGAAGGAGAAGAGGCCGAGGGTGAAGCTGAGGAAGGAGAAGGCGAAGAAGATGATAACGAAGAGGAGAATGAGGACGAGGAAGAGGAAGAGGAGGAGGAAGAAGACGAGCTGGCTTCCGACTCGGACACGCGCTCCCTGCGCGAAGACTCGTCCTTCTCCGACAGCGGCCGCAATGTACGCGGCGGTGCATCGCGTCAAGAGATCCTCCGCCAGAAAGCCATCGAGAAGCAAGCGCACGAGGCCGCACGTCGCGTCGAAGAAGCCAAAGCACGCGAAGCGCACAAAGCCAAGCTCGCCGAGAACAAGATCCTCACAGCGCAGCGCAAGAAGCTCGAAGACGCGGAACAAAAGCTCGCGCGTCAAGACGAGACGATCGACCGCGAGTTCCGACGGCTCATCCTCGCCTCGCGCATGACGCCGCTGGGTCGGGATCGGTTCGGCGACAAGTACTGGTGGTTCGACGGCGTCGGTTCCTGCTCGATCTTGACCGGATCCGAAAAGCACACCTACCAGACCGGACGGCTGTTCATTCAAGGAGCATCGCTCGACGAAGTATCGCTCCTCATACCGGACGAACCCGCCACGCCCGCCTCGACCTCGCCATATGCGCACCTTTTCCACCCGCCCATCACCGCCTCGCTCCTCGCCACGCGCCGCACCTCCGAACTTGGCGGACCCGACGGAACGCTCGACCCGAACGAATGGGCCGTGTACAGCGACGCAGACCGCATCGAACAGTTCTACGCCTGGCTGCGTCCCAAGGGTCACCGCGAACACCACCTCAAGCAGCAACTCGGTCGTCTCAAGTGGTACATCGAGAATGGCATGCGCAAACGAAACGCAGACCTCACCAGTCATCTGCGCGACCTACCGGATGCTGTGAGGAGGAGCGCGCGAGCCGGCAAGGAGAACGGCGGTGTCAATGCGGCTAGGTTGGGCTACATGGCGTGGAAGAATACGTTGGATAAGGTCAAGTGATCACGCACAAATAGAGGTTGCTCCAAATTGCAAAATGCATGCTTCATCAGAATCCAAACCATATACGAGTGTCTGTGCGAGAGCGCGCGCGCGAGAGAGAGAGAGAGAGAGAGAGAGAGAGAGAGAGAGAGAGAGAGAGAG